AAAAGCTAGGTTATTTTTTGCCAAACCCAAAATTAGAAATTCCTGAGAAAGAATCTCGAAATCCAGATAAGCCCATGTTTTCTCTGAAAAAAAACGGAAAAATAATAATTTCGTCATTTCGAGACAAGAATTCCGAAAACAAAAGACTATTCAAAAAACATTCAAGTATTTTATTTTTCATGTTTCATGAACTTGAACAAAGTTCACTATTTCTTTGAGATAAATAAGTTTTTATTCATGATGAGATGAGAAATTGAATTGTTTTTGGTCAAAGAGCAGCGAAACTAAATCTTCACATGTTTATTATTTTCTTTGTGTTTTTTAGTGCAAAAAATTGAAATTGAAAAACGTCAGATTTTCAAAATTGTTTCGCTGTTCTGAGTTTGGCCTTTTCTCTTTCTTCTTTACCAGAATTTCACATGACATACTGTTAGGGAGTCAAAAAACAAACAAAAAATGGTGGCTAATTTGTGAAAAGGTCCACCCCAATTTTTGTTCATTCATTCATATTTCGTTTTTTTTTCCTTTTTTGATCTTTTTTTCCGTATTCTGAATTTATTCTACATTTCATGTTAGTAATACCGTTGAGTTCATAAAGCAATAGCAAATAAAAGTGCCAGACTTAATTGAAAAACGTTCATAAAACGGGATAAATTGTTTTATAATGAGAATTTCTGAACGTTTCAATTAAAAGTTTTCGGAAAAAAGTATATTGCGAATGAGAACATTCCAAATAACAATTTGAAAAGCCTTTTTGGATAATTTTCATTCAAACATTTTGGGTGAATCTTAAAAGTAAAAATATAGGTCAGAGTTTATAGTATGATTTAGATTTTCACCCGTTTCAAAGCTCGTTTTCCAGTTGCTTACTTTTTTGCTTATCTTACTTTTTTTGTGGTGACTAATGAGAGATTTTAATATTTGATTTAGTAAGTTTGCGTCAAAGAGCATTTTTTTTTCAAAATTAGGGCGTTTTATGCTTGATTACACCATTCAATGTAGTTGTAAAAAATTTGATATTATACTTTTTCATGAAAAAAAAGTTTTGTCTGTCACATCCCAAAAACACCAAATTTTCACTCACAAGAAAAACAAATGTTCTCAAATTCATGTGTCTATCTCACTTTTATTCATGCATGTTTTCTTTTTTTTTCAAAAAAAAAAACTAGCATACATACGTTAATTACCAGATGTGTATGTGAATGATTTTTGCTCCACAGATAGAAGAAGCATCCTATAATTTTCTCAAGACAAAAAAAACGATTGGACTTTTTTCTTCTCGAATAGAATAATATATTGTTTATCGCATGATTCCTAATACATTTATACCTAGTGTGCTCTTTTGAGAAGCAAAAAATGGCAAATTGAATTTTATAATAGGGTCTGTTTGTTGTTTTTTTTTCTCGGGAGGGTGGTGGGTGTATTTTTAAATCATTTTTTTATCTTGGTAGATAGAACGGAACAACGAAAAATGTACGTAAGTTCTAGATTCAAATTTGATCTACCGCAACATTCGTAAGCGAGATATGCATTTTTGTCGTAGTGTTTCGATTCAAAGAATCTTTTACTCAAACGAGTCTGTAAGCTCATGTAAGCTCGCGCTCCATAGTAAAATATAATAATTCTGGCTCAATATTTTATTGAAAATCTGAATATCAGAGAATTAAATTTCCGAAGGTTTTTATTATATTCTCCATATTCAAGCTAGAAAAGTTTTATTTGAGCTCAAAAGGAATTTAAACTGCATTCAGAAGTCTTACAGATCTCGGCTCATAAGGCCAATTTTTGGGTTAAAAATGTCTTGCCAGATAATTCCTCACTATTTCCCCTTCATTTTGTTGTTGTTCGATACTTAAATGTCTACATCAGCGATATATAGAATAAAAGGAATAGGGTCCAAAAACCAGTGAAACAAAAAAGAAGAGATAGAGTGAAAAATTCTATTTTCTCACTTATTTGACTGCCCCCTGTGCGACTCATTAAATGATGATGATGAACCAAAATCGGGCTCAAAAAAAAGTTTTTTTTCGCACCCGAAATTTTGAATGAGCTTGAGCTCTAGAATGCTCCTCTTTTTGGCTCACATTCAGTCTCTAGTGATTCTATTGTCCTTTTTGAATGAATGGACACCGAAGCGAGATCATATTCAATTTTGTGCAACTTTTTTGGCTTTTTTGCGAAATGAGATTTGTTTTTTTTTTCAGTTTTTTTTGGGCCGTGTGTGAATGACTGACTGACTGAAAAAGTTGTTTTTGTCTATAGGGTTTTGGCAGTTTTCCTCCATCTCTTATAGCAAAATTATAGCTTGATTTTTTATGAAAATCAAATATTTTTGGTATTTCCGCATTATGAAAAGCAGACTGGGAAAACATTGATGTTTTATTCACTAAGGAATTTTTTTGTTGAAAAACAGGTGAACTTTTTCTTCGTTTTTCGTTCGAATTTCAGATATGAATTTTTTATTGAGACTATTGTCTCAACGATATCAAGATTTTTGGATCATTTTTGAGAAGATCAAAACATATTGTTGAAATTGTGTTTCAAAATTGAAGGATCTCAGTTTCCAAACTGATTTTTTATGAAAATCAAATATCTGAACGAAAATCAGAATATTTGAAAATCAAAAACCTAGAAATTATACGTCTTTTTTGGATTGAGGTTCGTTTAATTCAACAACAACAGGCTTACTGTATGTCCTTTTTTTCTTCCGCCTCCAATTTTCTTCCATTTTTTCTAACAATAAAAACAGAAGAAACCAACGTGGCATTTTTAATATCCAAAAATATCCGTAAATCTAAAACCATAGAAACGTGTTGTCTTAAAATTTAAGACAAAATTTCGGTTGTTTTTATTTTTTGTTGTTTTCCTACCAATTTATATTTTTATTTTCTGGTTCTTAACGAGTTGTGAACGTTTTTTGTTCTTCGAAAAAAAACTCAGAACGTATTTTTTGTCGACAAGCTTTGGTAATTAGGGGTGTTCTTTACAAAGCGTCCACATGATTTCAGAACTATGTTAGGCAATTATTTGAATTCTTAATGCTATGATTTCTGATTTCTAAAAAATTTGAATTTTTTGACGACACAAAGAAAACACCCTCATATTCTTCATTATGCATTCTTTTTTAATATCTTATATCTCATTTGGTGTCTGTTTTTTTTCTGAAAAAAATGATGTTTTCAAAATGATATCAGAAAAACTCTGCAGTTTTTTTCTAGTCTAAAATATTTATGATGTGTGAGGACCTTTGAAACTTTTCCCGGAAGTTGGTAAAATAAAATCTCGAACTCATTTTTTATGGTTCAATTGTTGCGGAGGTCCGGTCCGGAAACGAAGAAAACCATATTTTTTTGCATTTTCTTGGAAAAAATGTTATCCGAACTGAATGTTCATAAAAATTCAAATTTTTTTGCGCTTATTTTTTAGAGAGCTCTAAAATATTTTTCTGAAAGATCTATGTTTTTTTTCGTAGATTCCTTTATTTTGTGTTTTGAATCATCAAACAACATTTTTTCATGATTAGTTGGGAAAATTGTACATAATTTTCACACGAAAAAACCTTTGATTTTCTATCAAAAATGTTTATAGTTAGTTATTATTCAAGATTTAGGAAAACTCAGTGCTGCTGCGGTTTTTGATGATACCGAGACCTACAAAGGTTTTCTAGAGTCCAAAGCAGTCCTATACTTGGGAAAACTGAACATTCCCGAGTTTTGAAGCTTTTGAATTCGGTTCAAGTTTATTTACAATTTTTAGGAGTTCAGTTAAAAAATTAAAAATTATATATATATCTAAAGTTGTTCTGATATTTCAAATTCTGAGTTTACTTAGGTTTCAATCGGTGAAAAAATCGCAACACCGCTGATGTTTTGATGAATTCTATTTTCATTTTTTATAAGAAAAAGAAAAACAAATTACGGAAGTATGCAAATCCTTGTTTGAGGTAATAGGAATTTGGATTTTTTCTGATTTCTAGCTCTTTTTAAGCACTTTAGTTCTTCACCATTTATAAAAAAAACTGGTAACGGTTGTCCTAAAACCTCATAATTTCAAATCTTAAAATTTTCAGTTAGCATTTTTTCGTGAAAAAAATGATGTCAAGGACAATCCCATTTAAAAAAATTTTCAAAATTTCCGGAAAATGCTAATTTTCTGTTTACAATCAGAAAAAATTGTCTAGAAAACATGATTCTTAAAGATAGATTTGCAGAAAAACATCATTGCTCATGTCAGATTAGCCTAATATAATTCTGTTGATTTATTTTTTTCTTATTTCCAAAAGCTAACATAAGAAAAAAATGATTTCACATAGAGTTCGCAAAATATTTCGAAAAGCAAATTTCTTTATTGCTGTTGTTGTCTATGTAATTTGTTTTTGCTTTGACTTGTGCAAAATGCAAATAGATTTTTTTTCAAACTCTGTCTAAAAGAAAGAACGGCTGTTCTGACCGGATTAAATATTCCAGATAGATACGTTCTTTTAAAAAAATATTTATTTTTCTAACAAGTCTGATATGAAATAAAAAACAATAAATAATTCATTATTAAATAAAATAGTACACTTGTTTTACCTATTGTCGCCCCAACCAAAAAAAAGTGAGTATTTACTTTATCTTGAGATATATCCAACGAACTTTGATTTTTTCTTCTGTTTATTTGAAAAAAAAAGTTCCAAAAAATCGTATCAATAGAAATTTTCCGGTTTTTTCTGTTTTGTTTTTCTTATTTTCTCAACTATTAAAAAAGTGCAGTTTCAGTGTATAATTATTTTTTAGTGAACTGAACTTCTTCATTTTTTTCCGAAAGTGTCTGTTAGAAAAATGAAAAATGAGAAGTTCGAAATTTGACACTCATTATTCAACAATCACACTGTTTCTTTTTCTGCTAATTGATAATTAGAACTTCTCTACTCATGTTTACTTACTCACTTCTAAATATTCTTTTTATATTCTGAAATTATGACTAATCGTAGAAATTTTTCAGATTTTTAACAACAAAAAATGATAGAAGGATGTGATATAAATGGAACTTCTAATGGATTTCAAGATCTCGAAGAATGCAAATGTTTAGCTAAAATGTGCCCAATTATTTATAATCATTCAAGACAATTAATGGAGGATTGTTATTTGGAAAAGTGCTTTTTGTCAAAAAGAGCACTTGATGATTATGCATTGTACAGGGTAAGTTATTTGAAAATTTATTTAGGATATGAAATTGTTAAGAAGCCTGAGAAGGTTCCAGAAAAAAAAACTATCAAAACTCGGTGGGGAAAATAAAAAGTCGGTCTCTAAAAATTCAGAACATTTGAAAAAGGCCTTTCAACAATTTTTATGGTTCAGAATATTACAAAAGTTCATGAAAAATGTTAATTTCCAATTTAAATGCCTACAGAATTTTTCATTTTTGATAAAAAACAATAATCTTTTTATCCACATTCTCTTTTCTCGATTTTCTGATCTATTTTTGTTGACAGTCCCAAAATTTCTGTTCTTCAAGTACAAAAGATAATCCGAAACAATTTTGGAAAAATAAACTTCAAAGTTTTTTTTTCCAAAATTGTTTTGATGATCAACAAAAAACTATGTGTGTCCCACACAAATTTCCGAGTCTAAAAATAAACGGGTCTTCATCAGTAGCGAGAAAAAGCGGACGAATAAATAAATAAATAAGACAATGTGTGATTTTTGAAGCGGAAGAGAATAAAAATAAAAATAAGAGACAAAAATGAGATGAGACCATAAATAAATACTTTGGGGAAAAAATCAAATACATTTTAAATATTTCAGGTGACAGCACTGTATGTTATGATATTTTTTGTTGGTGTCATTGGAAATATCACAACTTGTTTGGTTATGAAACGACATCCAATGATGAAAACTCATGCAAGGTAAATTCAGAAATAAAATAGAAAAAATGAAAAAATGAAAAAAAAGATAATAATAATATAATATGAGTAATAATAATAATAAGAAAATAATATGGAAATTGATACAAATAAAACATTTGTATTTAGAATAAATTAATTGAATCAGAAAATACAGGGAGCAAAAATCAAAACATGGCTAGAAATTGATATTTTGAAAAACAACATAAGGAGTAGACTTTTAGAAATTCATCAGAACTTTGTTGTGATTTATTGAAAACAGTTTCAGAAGTTAATACAGTCAACCGAAAACTTGAGTTCAAGAGCTTTTGACATTTGAAAAAAATCTATGACTATTTCCAGTATGTACCTCCTCAACCTAGCAATTTCGGACTTGGTGACTTTATTCGTCGGCCTTCCTTTCGAAATCTTTATGAACTGGCATCAATATCCCTGGCCTCTACCAGATTTTGCATGCAATTTGAAAGCCCTGATTGCTGAAACCACATCATCCGTCTCAATTTTGACTATCCTGATTTTTGCTATCGAACGATATGTCGCAATTTGTCACCCCCTATTTCTTATGAAAACTCAGCCTTTTAAAAGAAATGTCGGTTTCTTTGCAAATTTTGACACAAAAAGAAACGGATAATTTTTGTAGATTGGAACAATAATCGGGTTCACTTGGGTATTTTCAATTTTGTGTGCAATGCCTTTTGCTGTTCATCATCGAGCTGATTATTTCATTAAAAGTTGGCCTGAGACAAATAATAATGAGCCTATTTTATCTTCAAAATTATGTATGATTGCTGTCATTTTTGAACCGCATCTTATGCCTACATTTAAGGTAAATCAGATTTTGAAAATAGTAACGAAATGAGAAAATTGATGTGACTTTTACAGGCTCTATTTCATTTCTCGGCTCTCACATTTTTTGTAATTCCACTTTTAACAATCCTAATTCTCTACGCACGAATATCATTCAAAGTGTCAAGAACAAGAGTTCATCAGAAACGTGAATTCGATATCACTGATGAGTTGCTAAGCAGAATAAATGCAATTTTGTGTAGGTTTTCGGGAGGAGGAAGAAAAATCAAAATAAGAGTAATAACAAAACAAAAAAATACATCCTGAAACCTGAGATGTGTTTTTTTATATCTTTATTTTTCATTGTCAGTGACAATAAATAAATAAATAGGGTTTGACTTTTCAGGCGCAATAGTTCTGGCATTTTTCATATGCTACTTACCTTTTCAACTTCAAAGACTTGCATTTTTCTATTTTCCGAATGAAGTAATTTTGCAATTCAATCAATATATTTTCTTCATATCAGGTAAGATATTCAACAAACACGTTGTTGGCTCAAACTATTTTTTATTTTAGGATTCTTATTTTACCTTGCCCCAGTCATAAATCCAATTGTCTATAATTTGGCATCAAGTCGATTTCGAAGAGCTTCAAAAGATGTGATTATCTCATTCTTCTTCCGAACATCTATAGATTATCCAAGAACTTCATTGAGCAAATATAGCTTGTAAGTTTTTTTTGTGAACTAAAAAAATGAGCATAATTATTGTTGCAGAACACATCAACCTTTGCGGCCAGTTCAATCTCAACGACTCAAGAATTGCGAGGAAAATGGATAATTTTTTAATTTTTCGGAAATCTATTTTATTTGTTTGAATTTTCGATGTTTCAATACGGGATAAAGTAATTTATTTATTTTAAAGTTTGAATTTATTCTTAATTTTTGAAAAACGTGAACCTTACATAATTAGGTTACAGTAATGAAATTTTCAAAAGTAATTCATGTTTTATAACTTTTACCAAATGCGTTTAGAATTTTCTGATTTTCTCAATAAAAAAGATCTCAATTAGTTCCTAAATCACATGTGAATGGACACTGAAAAACTTACTTCTGAATTTCTGGTAACTCTTGACTAAATTATTTCAGGAAATTTTCCAACTCACCAATTCCCGGGTTTCATCATTTCAGTTCTGGCCTGCAATGAACAAATATTCAGAGGCAAAACAAGATCTGCAACCATTTCCAAGCAGTGTACATAGTTTTTCCATATCATTAATTGTTTTTCAATTCATCCCTTTTTCAAAATGTTTTATTACCAGATCACAAGTTCTCCGCTGAATTCTTCATTCACGTTTTTTCCCAAACTTGTCGGATTGAGTTCATATTACTTTTGTGTTGTGTTCGAAAAAATGCAGTAACGAAAAAAACGACCAAATAAATATAAATTCAACGTTTCTGGTCGATTAGGTAACTAAACTCAAAATAAAATTCATTTCGTACTAGTTGCTTTTTCTTCTTTTTCTTTCCCATTTTTCATTTTTTGATTTTTTTTCTCAAAAAAATACGTTATTCTCTTCTTCATCCTCTCTCATTCATAATTTATCTATACTTATGTATTTCATTACTCGTTCGATATACCTACGAACAGTAGAACAGAAAGAAAAAATAATCTGCCCCATGCCAGGCTCGAACTGGCGACCTTGGCATACCCTATTTACTATAAGTACCACGCGCTAACCGACTGCGCCAATGGGGCAACAAGAGAGAAGAGCGAAAATAGCAAGAAGAGAAAGATGCGAGACAAAAAACAAAAAGGGAGGAGAAGGAAAAGAAACGACGGAAAAGACGGAGAAGGAAAGCATAACATAACTGTATATGTATATGTGTATCTCCCCCTTTTTTTGCTTGTTTTTTTCTGCTTCATGTTTTGTTGAGCACATTAAGCGTCTGCAAAAAATTTGATAAAAATGTGATTTATTTTGTGGAGAGAGGGAGGATGGAGAAAATGATTGATCACAATTGTGATTAGCGATATACTTTTTTGTTTTGAGGACACTTTTTGAAGAAAAAAACGTGGAGTTTTTCAGATTGATGATGGAAAACAACGGAAGAAATCACGTGAAGGAAGTGCATGTTGAAAACAAAGATATTCACAATCAAAATAAAAAAGTCGCAAAATGTGTGCATTACTTTTATTTTAGTTGGTAACACGATGGAAGTTGAAACATATATTCATAACACTGACATTAAGAAGTCTATTAGTTTTCAGAATAGCATTCTCCAACATTTTCGTCATTTTATTCAAAAAAAAATCTTGATCTATCGAATTTTTTTTAATATTTGAGTTTAAGTTATAGGTTCACATAATAGTGTTCAAGTTGAACACCATGATGTGACCCGATAACAGCTTGTTAACCTCCCAGAGGCCAAACTGTGTTTATTTTAGAATTTTCATAGTTATATTTCGAGTTTTATTGAGCAAAGAACAGTGAATGTTTTGGTCAAACTTCGTCAAAGATTTGTAAAATATGAAATTCTATGAAGATTCAACGTATCTTGAATATGACCATGTCGAATAAATTACTTTTATTTAAACGAATTAATAATCTGCTCTCCCAGAAGCAGAAAACATGTATACAGTACACAAAAACCCGATAACTACCCAGATACAAAAATGGTTTTTTTTTGTTCTAAAAAATCTAGTAGTATTTTAGTGATTGGTCAGTAAAAGGAACTCATAAAATAAAAAAAAACCGGAATTTTTCTGAAAACTTCAATGTCATTTCTCAAAATATCAGAACTTCTGCCCCGAAAGTTACCATTACTAAAATGTATCACACAGAAATCGGAAACTTACGTTATCCTGATTGATAAACTATTCTGATTTCCCAAATCAGTTATTTGTTTTGATTCTGATCAAAAATTGTGATTTTTGAATCTTCTTAGATTTCATTCTTTAGATTTCAGACCAAATCTCAACATTTGTTTTTCACCTCACTGAAAATTGAACCCAAAAAAGTGTGAAAAACAAAAAATGCCGAGACTCAGGAATGTTTTCCTCTTATCTTTTCTCACCCAAAGTTTCAAACCTCATATATCTTCTCACATTTTTTTCATTCAAAAAAATGTGGTTCAAGTGAAATCGCTGCAGACAATCTAATTTGTCAATATCTCGGGAAAAATATGGCAAGCCTGTCGCAAGCTTGCTACGTATTTTGGTGTTGTCGCTAGCTTGCTACACAAAAACACGCTGTTTTTCGAGTTGCCAACTTATGTCGCAAGTCTTGCGACATTTTTGGATCCTTTTTTGATGTAGCAAGCCTTGCGCTATGGAAAAAATGGCGTCAGTTTTCAGCCTCGCTTGGCACATTTACTGTAGCCAGAAAAATAATTTTGTTTTTTTTTTGTTTTGTTTTCCCTATTTTACACGATTTCGAAGTGAATAGTTTATTTTCAACGCATTTTTTTGAGAGATTAACATTATGAGCCTAGTGGGAAACGTTTATAACGTTCTGAATCGCTGTTTTCCGTATGGTTATTATGTTTTCAATAAAAATATTTTAGGATCGGTTGAATGATGAGTCAACAGACAAATTAGGCAATTTTGGAAGAAGGAAAATGGATCAACAGTGTGGGAAAGATACTGAGTGAGTTTATTTTTAATCAATCGAATTCCTTTTGTGAAAATGTTCTAAAACGTTTCATTTGTAGGATCAGAACCGAATCATCAAGTTGGAGTGCGTTTCGATTGATCATGGCTACACAAATCGACAAAAATAGTATTTTTTGAGCAATGATTTGAGGTAAGTTAAATTGTAATAATTTCATGTTTTCAAAGAGGAGATAGACTACAATATTTTTCATATTTTAATAAAGTACTCACATATTAAAAAAACATGTGACTCACATGATGTGAGTACGTTTTAAAGGGGCTGGGTTTTCAGGATTTTTTGCTAATTTCATCACAAAATAATTTTGTTATTTCTGAAAAACATAGAAAGTTGTTAGTAATGTCCAACGAAATTACCAAAGTGCCATGAAAACTGCTAAGTTTGTTGAAACTACTTCAAAAATTTCCAAAAACCAACAAATTAGTCTTTATCTGAAATTTCTCCGAAATTTTCCGAAAAAAAAAGTCGGAAAACTTTTTTCCGAAAATAAAATTCGGAAAAATGACTTCGGAGAATTTTTCCGACCTGATGGATTCGGAAAAACACAGTTTTCCGAAATTTTCCGAAAACCTATTTTCCACACAAGCCTGGCTGCGACGCAAAAAAAACTGTATTTCATGAAAAAGAGCATGCTCAAATTAGAAGAATCTATGAACAATATATATAATTTCGAAAAACTATCCCAAGCCTAAATAGGCGCAGTCTGAAAGCCTGTGCCTTAACAATATTTAATCCATAACCTATGAAACATTGAAGCAATCCATAATATTATAATTATATTATTTATTATTTCAGAGTTCATATTCGACATCGAAGCAACATCTCAAGGACGCTACAATTGTAGAACACCGACAACAAGAAAACATACATTTTTATCGAATTTTTAAAGTATAACTTTGTAATCGTTTTGTCTTATATATTAAATGTTCAATAAATAGTCTCTTGGTACACTGTTCTCTACATTTTTTATTAGGAGGTCCAGCGATTTTTTATGACTTCGCGTATGCGTTCGCAAGACTTGCGACAAAGTAGCAAGGCCTTGCTACACGTATGTAGCAAGCTTGCTTCAGGCTTGCTACATAAAATGTCGCAAGCTGGCTAAAAATGGTAGCAAGCTTGCTAAAAATGGTAGCAACTCTTGCCATATTTTCCCCGAGATTTTCCTCTCATTGACACACACACGTCCTTTCAAAAACCCAAAGTTTTTCACTTATCTTAAAAAAAGGTTGAACAATTGGCATCGGCACCGGAATTGTTGTTGTTCATTTCGTTTTCTGTGTGTGTGTGAAAACGAAAGAGCAAGTCGAAAAAGATGCAAAAGTGTATTATTTTGAGATTCTCCTTTGCTCTTCTTTTTGTTTCTTCTTATCCGTGGGCCACCGTCAGCTCAGCCAAACACTTTTCAATTTTTTTTCGACTTTTTCTCATTAATTTTATCTTTTTCTCATTATTTCTTTAGATTTTCGAGAAATGTTTCAATTAGTTCATCGTTAAATGCTTTTGGTTTTAGATGGGAATTTTAATTTAGTTGACAGGGGTACTGTAGAGTTTAGAATTGTATTTTCTGCTTTGTTTTCAGGATCAAATATGAACTTGGAAAGAACGAACTCAGAATAATCTAAATTTCAATATCGAAGCCATTTTCAAAATCTGCTAACCACAATTCCAGGTTTTCAAACATTGGCTCAATAAAACTTTTATTGACCTCATTCATGTTAACAACTTTTTTATATCTTTCTCCCACTGAAAATCTTATGTCTCAATTTTTTGTTATTTTCTCTTTTTTATTTTATTGAGGAAACAATTTTATTTGTGCTCATTGATTCATGAACTCGCCTCGCTTTTGTTCACCTCAACCTCAACGTCACTAGCAAGTTATTTTATTTTTCACATTTTTTTCAGGAAAAAATGGTTCTACTGGCAAGTGGTATCTCAACAGTGGTAACAACTCTGCAAAATACGTTCAAAGGTTCGTTTTCTAAATTTGTATCCCGGTTTTCTATTTCCGTTTAGTTGTAATATATGTTTGTAATATGTAAATGTTTTATTAATATGAGCAACTGTCACATATATCTATGAGATTTTATTTGAAAAAAAAACTTTTATATATTCCAGGGCTTCTTCCTCTGTTCATTTTGGCAGTTTACACCATTATTGGCGCATTATTATTCCGAGAAATTGAGGGACCTCATGAACAACAATTACTTCATGATCAACAAGTCGAAAGAGCTGAACACCTCAAGGTTTTTTCTATTCGATAAATAATTTCGGCTTTACCAAAAAAAAATTTCTAGAGATATGTATACCTGATAAACCGACTTCAAATCCGGAAAGAACGTGAAAAAATTAGCGCTATGGAGGAATTCAACAGAACTGCCAAAATTTTGACCGATTTTCAAACAACTCTTGGTGTTTTACCGGTGAGCAGATTTTTATTTTGATTGCGAAAACAGTGATATGAAAAATCTTGAATTATTTCAGCCAGATCCGGAAAATGATATTCATTGGTCATTCCTTGGATCATTGTTTTATTGTATGACTGTTTATACAACTATTGGTAAGTGTTTTGGGAATTTCAGAATTTTCTTTTTGAGCACATCAATCATATTTATAATTCCCTGCCTCAGAATTGATATCAAAGTACACCCACGTTTCGATCTTAATGTCAGCTCAAACTTGAATGAAATCATTGTAACTTCTATTTTTCACGTCACTAAAACAATAATCTCCAAATACCCCAATGACGAATCATTCCAACGAAATTATTACAATAGTTATGTGATCTACGCATTTTTATTCTGCAAAAATTTTCAAACAAAATATATTTCTGAAAATTGTCATCATAACGAGTTAGTTTTTGATCTGGATTTATTGAAAGTAATAATATCATTATAGGAATTAATCATAAAAATAAAATTTGACATTTCCATAATTTCAAAAAAAAGAGGGGGTGATTACGGTAGATGTAGTGGATATATATTAAAAATAGAAATATAAGAACGAGTAAACGAGTAGAAAAGTTTTGAAATTAATATAGGTTATTTGGACAGTTGAAAAAATCAATAATAGTAGGTTTAGGGATTGCAATTTCACATTGGACCTCACTTTTAAAAAGGTTGTGCAAAATATAACTAACATTTCTTCAAAAACATAAAAACTCATTTGTTAATTAGTTGGTTCCTTATTCCACTCGATTTCCAAACGAGCAAAATGAGCATCAAAAGTTTCTCTCTGTGACATTGCCATTCCATCGATGTTCTTCGGAGCTTCTTGTTTTTGTGAATTAATAAATAATACTTTTCGAACTCTCTTATGTCGAACAACAATTCCCACTACAATCGCAATATCATATAAATCCAAACTTATGTTGAAAGTTGAAAAAGAGACTTTCAAAGCTTCTTCCGAGAAAAAACTGTCAACTCGAATGACAGAAAGAATATAAATGACTGAAAGAGCTCGGATAATTTTGGCAATCATGAAGCTTGGGATCAAACTTTTTCCCCAAATTAAAATTTGAGATAATTGAAAACGGTGCTCAAGGTCATATTCCAATCTTGCTTTGTATTTTTTCACTGAAAATTTGTGAAGTCCGATCATTGTAATAAAATTGAAAGTGTCGAAAAACAAGACATATTCAAAACCGACATTTGCGTACCAAATAACTTTTTCTAAAAAATGAAATTTTTTTTTTGAAAAACATTTTAAAAATTACCACGGAGAGCCATGAGACTCGTGATAGTTATCGGAACTCCAATCATGAGAATGAGAAGAACAAAGAAAATGAAACAGGAAATGCATTTTCGTTTGTAGAAGATGATCGTTGAGAATTGGACGAGGGTAAAAAACATGGAGGCAGTTGATTGTAGGTAGTAGCCAAAAATGTGACAGTAGACAGAAAAACGGAAGACTGGAAATATTGAATTGTGAACTACGTAGGCTTTTTTTAAGGCATTTTTTATTTTGAAAACTCACGTTTATTATTCATGTAAACCTCATCGAATGCAAATTCGTCTTTGGAAAGTATGGTGAAAAGTTTGAAAAAGTGTCCAACATTTAGACAAAGTGAAGACAAGAAGATTGCAAATAAAGCAATTCTGAATTGGATTATTCATGTTTATATTTCCTTTTCTTTTTGCTGAACTCACCTTCCTTGTAGATTGATTCCAGTTGAGCTGAAGGCAATGATCAAAAATACAGTGAGCGACATAACCGATACAATGCAAATGATAAGCTCGAGGTATAAAAACATAATGCTCCACAACATTTTTGAATGAGTAAAATTAGTGTGAGAGAGAGAAAGAGCTCACCAATTTATATCAACCAAGTTAGTAAAATAACAAATGATGATTATACATAGTTAAGCCTGAAAAAAAAATGATTAGTATAAACCTCTGGGGAATGTTATTAATCAAGATCTTTTAGGATATGGAAATATTGTGCCAGTCACCGTGTCAGGAAGGGTTTTGACTATAATTTATGCGTTTATTGGAATCCCACTCACAGTCATCTGCCTATTTTGTTTGGGTTCTCTTTTTGCAAGAGGATGCAAACTTTTATGGAAGTTGTTCTTAAAATCTACCAAAGTTGTGAGCAAGGATTTGGAGAAAAAGGTGGAGCAAATAAAAACAACAAGACATTTGAAAATGGAATTTATTTCAGATCTCTAGCGCCGCAAATAATATTGAAGAAGGAACTAATGCGATAACATCAGCTCCAGAAGCTGACGATGATTCGGATTTATTAGCATTCCCTATTTCTGGACTTATTTTTATCACTGTACTTTGGGTTTTGATTTGTGCAATTATTTTCACCTTCTTGGAAGATTGGGATTTCGGAACATCACTTTATTTCACACTTATTTCATTCACAACTATTGGATTTGGTGATGTGCTTCCATCTGATTATGATTATATGATTATTGTTGGAATTTTGTTATTGATTGGATTGTCGTTGGTGTCGACAGTTATGACTTTGATTCAACAACAAATTGAAGCTTTGGCGTCGGTAAGTGAATTGTTTAAAAAATAAAATTTGATTTAAAAAATTGATGAAAAACAAATAAAACTAAAATTTCAGGGAGTCAAAGACAACATTGACACAGAATATGCTCGCGCTCTTGACGAAGCAAAAGAGGATGGAGAAATTGAAGAAGATGTGGATCCTGAACAAGATCCAGAAAAAAATAAAAAATCATTTGACGCAGTTCTATCTCGAATGGACTGGAAGAAACGCGCTCTCTATTATGCTATGCCGGAAAAACAGAAAAAACAATTGCAACAACATTCGGATAAAGCAATGAGTAGAAAAAGTGTAAAATGCCAAACTGATAATGATATGCTCGAAGTAAGTCTGAATAAAAATAGCTTTTTTTATTCACTACAGAAATTTTGGAATTTTCGGATAATTATAGTATTGCAAAACTTTGATCTGGTGTTTGTTATTAGTCTGCTAGAGTATAATAACGTTGCATGATAAAATTATGAGAAATTGAAAATCAAAACTACAATACATAATTATGGATGATCTTTGGTGAACTGCAATTTTGCAGAGATGTCTGATTCACAAATATAAATGTTATAACGTTACTACTGTACCTGCATTTTTAGGTACATTTCGAAACTAGATCATTAATCGAAGATTTATTTTAATTTTATTTTCAGCATAGAACTTTTAACCATAAAATCATTCACTATTTTTTTTTCATAATAATCACAAAGATTTTCCGTTGATAAATTATATTCTAAAGTTGTTCAATCAGATTTTTGAATAAACCGTATTCTCCACGTCACAAAATTATCACCTCAGTTAGCATGTAGCACTTATATATTTTCAGACTCTCATTCGTGAAGAAATTTTGAAAGCTGAGCTCAACAACGAAATGCACAAATACACCGCACCTCGCCAATCCACACAACAACCAAGATTAGTCTATTCAGATGTTCGTGAAAAAGAAATTCCAATTGAAGTTGTTCGAGTCGATCATTTGAAGAACGATGTGCAAGAGCATGATGTCTAAATATCTCCTTTTTATAAAATTTTCTTTGTTGTAACTTCATTGTCATATGTTTTTAAAATGTTTTTCTTTTCTAGTTGCAGGCTTATGTAAATGAGCTGAAAATGCAACGATTACGCGAGAAAGCGGCTGCCACAAAATCCAAACAAAAGGTGCCATCAAAGTCTCGTCGAAAATGATTTTTTTTCAAATGTCTCAATAGCTTTATTATTTTTTCTTGTCTGAAAAACTGCCTTATATGAATTGTTTTTTTTCAAAACTTTTTTGTGAATAAAAAGACTACACTGTGTTGTTATCTTTCCCAAATGACAAGAAAACAACATTGAAAAACAGGAGAGTACTAGAGAATAATAGAAAAACAAGAAAAATAGCGTTATTAGTTTTTTGGTGTCATATTTTTGGTTCTGGTGTAATTGCCTAATATTTTCTGCACATTTTTGCAAAAACGTATTATTTTTGACATTGTTTTCGGAAAACTGAACAGGAAAAATGCAAAAATTGTTGGCTGGAATTAAAGTTGTGGAGCTTGCTGGGCTTGCACCTGTACCGTATTGTGGATTAATTTTGGCGGATTTTGGAGCAGATGTTACAGTGGTAGATAAGGTGAGAATTTTTTATTTTGGTTTGCGGTGATTCTGTATTTTTCCATGTTCCAGAAAGATAGTTCACACGAACAACGCCTCAACCGTGGAAAACAGTTGAAAGAATTGAATTTGAGAGACCCAGCAGACTTGAAAAAGGTAAGTTTTCATGATGATTTTTAAAAAATCAACCAAATTATCTTTTTCAGATCCGTGAAATGTGTCGCACCAGTGATGTTCTTCTCGATCCTTTCAGACCAGGAGTTTTGGAAAAAGCTGGTTTGGATCCTTCAAGTTTACTTGAAGAGAATAAAAGTTTGATAATTTGTCGAATAAGTGGATATGGACAGACTGGGAGAATGAATCAAGATGCTGGACACGATATTAATTATGTTTCGATGAGTGGAATGTTACCCACATTTACTGGAAAACAAGCTAGTAGACCATGGCCACCGGCGAATATGTTGGCTGATTTTGCTGGAGGAAGTTTGACTGCGGCGTTCGGAATTGTTTCCGCGATTCATGCGAGATCAAAGAATGGTGGGTTATTTTTTGAAATTGTTTTTGCCTGATTTTGGAGCTTGAATAAACTTCTGTTTTTAGTAGAAAATTTGAGAACGGTTCACTTTTTAATAAAACAAATAGAATCCTTGAGCTCTTTAGTTTTTTTTTCAGGCGGTGAAGGATGTGTGATAGATTGCTCAATGACCGAAGGTGTTGCATATATTGCTTCTTTTATCCAACATTACCATGACCAAGACTTTATGTTTTCTGACGAGTTTTCTCTTTTCTCTGGAAACTGTCCAATTTACAGGTTATCCTAACTCTTCTTTTCGATTGTCCAGAAATTATTATTTGATTTTTTAGAACGTATAAAACCAAAGATTCAAAATTTGTAGCTGTTGGATGCATTGAACCAAAATTCCATCAAAATATGTTTGAAGGTACTTTTTTTAAAATTTTTTTTTGATAGTCATTTTTTTTATAGTTTCTGAATCTCTAACATTTCAGTGTTGCAAATCGATGGTAGTGATTTATTCACAAATCCTGGTGGCATGGTGAAGCAGTTGGAAGATATTTTTTTGACAAAAACACGCAATGAATGGGAGACAGTTTTCGAAGGTTTGTGGGATTTATGTACGGAATACCCCAAAAGTCAATTCATAAATTCTAGGAAAAGAATGTTGTGTGACTCCAGTGTTGGATATTGATGAAATTGGTTCTCATGGTCTTCACAAAGACCGTAACAATTTCGAAAAATCTGAAAAATATGGGGGAACTTGGATTGCAAAACCTGCTCCAAAAATTCAAACGCTTGAAGATCTCCGGAAATCCAAATCCAAATCTAAATTATAAAAATGAAAATAAATATTCCTGCTTCCGCTCGCTATACATATTTATTTATACATAAATCATATCTATCTCGTGTCAGCCTTTTTTCCTATATAAAAACACAGAAAAATGATGAAAAATGCATTGAAAGTAAGAAAAAATAATGTAAATAACGAATGACTTCTGACTTTTTTGTGTGGGGTTGCAAAAATTTGAGGAGGCACTGTTTGTTTTTTCTATTGATTTTAGAGATTTTTCCAGTTAGTTTGTTGTGAAGGAATAATATAAACAAATAATAAAGTAAACATTATCGCGCTTATTTTTCTGGAATAGCTTATATAATTTATAAATTTGTTATAGTTTCATGTTTTTTCAGAAGATCCAGATTTTTTGAAAATTGGTTTAAAATTTGAATCTTATTTTTAGTTTGTAAGATCAAAATCGTATTATTACGAATAATTTCGCATACAGAAAAACAATAATCGAATTATATTTCAATGTGTTCCATGATCGTGGGCCACAGGAATACTAATTCTCTTGATTTTGTATGATATTTCTCTTAACGATATGAGAGACAGTTCTCATAAAAAAGGCTGGCTCGAATGATAATATTAGATGCAATAAATATATTATATTCCTCCTCGAGTGCTAGTTTTCGATATTTTTCATTACAGATCAAAAATTTTATTCTTTTCAGTCGTTTTTTTTCGAAATTTTCTGGAAATATTATTAAATTTCATCAAGTTTATTAAATATTAAATATTAAATCATTCTTCTATTTTTCTCAATTTTTTAAAATCGATTTGTTCTTGAACAATGTCATTTTTTTCTATATATATTGAAAAAATGTATTGAAATTATTTCCGGCAACGTTCGCCCCAAAATAAATTTTTTTCCTGAAAACATTTCTATCAATTGTTCCACATTTCTCTTGATTCACAAAATATTGTAAATATTTACACGTATTGTGACCCAAAATTTCACATCTGTAAACCAGATGTATTTTCTTCTTATTTTCCCATTCTCAATCCCCTCAAGAATTCTCATTTCTCCTACAAAAAATGAAATAAATTTCAACAAAGTGTTGAGAAAAAAACATTCTCCCCATTTTCCTCCACCAAATTTGGTTTTGCCTTCGTTTTTTCCTCTCCTGCTTGCGTGGAAAAACGACAAAAATATTGATTTAGTGGACTGGCTGCTGACGACGGACCCTCTTCTTGCTTTTTCTTCATCTTTTTTGAGCTGCTAGCTTTCTGCTAGCTTTTTCTCTTCAACAACACGAAAGAAGTGAAAACGGAGAAAAGAGAAAAAGCTTACTAGTCGAATTTCTCTCTCGTTTTCACGTTATATTTTCGTTTTTGAGAAGAGTTAGGCAAAGTCTCAGTCAGTTGGTTGTGTTTTTCAAGGATGCCAAGCTGCTGTTTCTGTCGATGTTATTATTCTTTGCAGCAAAAAACTTTATTTGTATTTCAGAAACTTGATTTTTTTCAGATTTTTCAAACACTTTTTGAATTTTTGTTTGATCTTTTGATCAAAAAGCCTAAACCCTTTTACTCTGTTTGAAAGAAACAAGAAGGGATAATTATGTTTTATTGCAAGGTTCCCAAATGATTCATCGCCCAACTGCTCCCTGCGCCGCACTAATACGTTCCTTTTCTCTTTTTGTGTCTATACGATTTTTATTTGAAAAAGAAATATTTGCAAGCGTTGTTTTATTCTAGAAAAAAAAATATTTTTTCTGTACGAAGCATTGAGAATGTTCTGGCAATTTTATTGAAAAAAACTGAAGTTATTATTTATTTTACTGTTTTTTTTTGTTCCCATAAAAAGTAATTTAAAGTTTCATTTCTAGAGTTGAGATTTAAAATAAATAATGTATGACACCAGTCATCAGTTTCACAATTTAGAAACCCCATTAAATTGAGCTCACTCAATTTGATTCCAACAAAAAATTCACTAAATTTTCTCTCGCGCGCTCTTTGTGCGACGGCGACTAAATCAATTTTGCGACTGTTTTATTATTTGTCCCTCCGTTTCGTCCTTCGTCTTTTTTCAAAATTTTTTTTATTTGCCGAGTAAGTCGAGCTTCTTCCCCTTGTCTTTCTCTAAACACATTTTGTGTTTCTCTCGTTTTTCGAAATTCTCCATTCTCAAGTTACAATTTTCTGTGTTTAACCACTTGATAATTTATATAAATTTTATTGTTTTCATTCTTTCTTCAAGAACCAATTTTCATTGTTTTTAGGACCCTCTTAATCGTTATTTTTTTGCAGAACAAGCAAGGGAAATATGGTTGATTTGAAGCAACAACTCGATGTTATCGATTATTTTGGAGTGATTGCCGTCTGGCTTTTGTTCTTCTCCATTGTTTTCATCATTTCAATCACCTGTATTCTTTGGTGTTGTGTTTCCAAAAATGACGATCCTACTGTATTTGCCAAGGTAATTTGTAAAAGCTATTAAAAATTGAACAACATTTTTTTCAGTACGGATTCGGACCACAACCACGTGTCAACGCCCAAAGGTCAGCTGCCCAAGAAGCTAAAGCTGAATAACTTTAACACTCCTTAACTAACCTTAACAATTTTAAGTAGATGGTATGCTAACGCTTTATCAATTAACTCTAATATTTTAAAAAATCTTCTTTCATTTCAGAACAAAATTGGCAAACGATAAAGATTTTTAATATCATATTCTTACCATTCCTCATCTCTTTTTCTTGTAAACCCACAAAAAATTGTAGTTTAGCCCCCATCGTTTTTGTTTCTTTCTTTTTTTGGAAAAAAATAAACGTTTTGACGTAGAGAATTTGAGATCATAGCAACAGTTTTGTTGTCAAGGGACGGGACTTTTTTTTTAGGAAATATATTTTTTGAAAAGAAAAAAAAACTACGCTTAGAAATTAGTATTTTTTTTCTGAAAACTGAAAAATGTCGCAACGAAGGTCGAGACAAGCACGAGATACCGCCAAGGATATTATTTTGGGTGTTGCGTAAGTTTTTTTTTTATTTTCAGGAAAAATTGTATAAAGACAGTTACGGAATTCATTCAATTGTAAATTTTCGATTTTTTTCTTTTTGAATGAAGTTGGTTTGCTATATTTTCTCACGAATCTTGAGCAAAAAATAATTCAAGTTTTAATTTTAAAATGTATGCTCTACAATGCAATTACGCTAGGATAGATTAGAAAAAATATTATAAAAACTGCAATTTTTTCTAAAACATTTTTTGAGAAATTTGAAACACCGATATCTTTAACCAAACTTGTCTACTGAAATGTTTCAATTATTAAAACCGAAGGTGCACGTTTTTGTGAGTTGAACACGTATATAACTATTTCGCAATTGAATTATGTCAAAAATTCAAATGCAAACCATCAACCAACGTTTCAAATGAATTTTTAAGTTTGAAATAACAATTATATGTGATTCAATCGGAAGATTTTTCTTCATTTTCATGAATATTCAGCTCAAAAATTGTGTATCTTTATCAAAAAACATTCAAAACATGAATTTCGCATACAGAATTGTATTCCTATTGATAGTGCACAAATAAAATACTTTAAACAATCCTTATTTACCTTCAGAATCTTCATTTTCCATAAAAATCTCTAAAAAATTAAATAAATTCCAAGATATTGATCCAAGTAAAACGACAACAGCTCGAGAAATATTGTGTGTTTTTGAGAGAGCGGAGATAAAAAGAAATGGGTCTCAAAACGCCCCCCTTTCATGTTAGGTGGATGCTTGAAAATTATTTTTTCCTCTTGATTTTATTTTTACTTTTAGACCGTCTGGACAAGTGCCAAAACAACCAAAAGAAGGTGTTCAATACACCCCAAAGGTGAGTTTTAATTAGTTAATTACTGTTTCGTAATTATTTTTAAAAATCGCAAGAAGCATGCGCATTTTCTAACAAAAACTTAAGATTCGTTCAAATTCTTATGATGTGATACCAAATTCTCGTCGGGTAATCAGGAAAGAAGTTGTGCCTGCTGTGAAAAAATTTTGAGTTTTCTATATATTTTCTTTGATTCTTTTTTATTTTTGTGTTTGAATGAAATCCTGTGTTATTTTAAGCAAAACAATGAAAAACCACGGGATGATGGACAACTTCAGCGATTGCAAACACAGTTGTCACAAATGCAGCAGCAAAATCGGGATTTAGCATCAGCTGAGAAAGTTGGTTGATTTTTTTACTACCTGAAATTGTTGTAACACACCTTTTATTTTTCTTTTATGATATGAAGTGTGATTTGATTTTTTATTTTAAACTTAACCGCATCTCATAATTTTTCTAACTATAGGCTGCTAGAAAACGCTTGGAAGACAATCAAAATGCTCTGCAACGAAAACTATTAGACACTCAGCAATCTGGGTTACAATCGAGGGATTTGGATGATGTTCGTAGACAAGTTAATAGTATGGATGCAAAAATGATGCTGCTGAATAATGATTTATCCGGATTGAGGAACACGTTAGATCGACAAGTTACTGATTTGATGCAAATCAATAATGAGATGAAAAGTAGACCAGTCGTAGATCCATCAGTAAGTGTTTTCGAACAAGGTTTTGAGAGTGAAATTGTAATGTATAAAATCAAAATTTAGCTTTAATGACCTTCTTTGATTATCCAAATTCTTATTCAGATCCGAATATCCAATCATAAGTTGTTTTTTCAGAAAATCTCCACAACCACAACTCAACTTGACAATAAAATACGAGACATGCACAATCAAGTGATGGAGCTCCAGAAAAATCTAACCAGAGAGCAACGAGATCGAGAAAAAGATTCGAAATTGGCCAGTGATGGAATAGCTAAACTTCAAGATATTATTCGACAACAAGATTTAGCTAGACAAGACATCATGACAAATTTATCAAAAAAGGGAGATGTTGATAAGGTTTTTTCTTTTTTTTTTGCGACAAAAACACAAAGAACTATACATATTTATCAAAATTTTCAGGAAAAATTGAACGAAGAAACTCGACGATTGAATGATAAGATCAATTTGATAACCGCAGAGGTTACGAAGAAAATGAGTGAAAGTCAGCAAAAAATGAAAGATGATTTAGCAGGTAGAATCGCAATTTTGGAAAATGTTAGTAACTTGTTTATAAAATTGAGAACACCTGATGAAACGTTTTTCAGATGATCCGCGCACAAACTGAAAGATTTGCTGAAAATGAAAAAGATTCAAGACTTCATTATGAAACCAGATTGAATGACTTCGAAGAACAACTTCAAGTTCTCATAAAACAAATTACTAGCGAAAAAGCCAAGCAAAAGGAGAGATTTTCAAAAGTAAATGAAGCCTTGGCAGCTTTGGAGCATCATTTGGAGCTTGGAAACAGCAAGATAGATAAATTGATGGGGTCTGAAATTCAAGCAAGGAAGTTGCACGAAAAGGGATTGTTGACAAAAATGATCGAAATTGAAGATAAATTGAATAATTATATGGGTGGAATGAGTAAATCTATTGATGAAGTAAGAAATGGTAGAAATAATGTGCAAGTGCCATCGTTGGATACTGATGCGGTAAGGTTATTGGGAATTGGACTATTTTGATTTATATAATGTTATAGAAACATTTTTGTTTTCCAGTTTTGAATAAACCCCAATTCCAAAAAAAAAATCTTATTTTCCAGCTCCGTCGAGAAATGGAAGCAATCGCTGCCGACAAAAACAAATTGAGTATGGAAGGTCTTTTGAAACTGGAAGAAAAAATGAGTCGAGTTCAGCAAGGATTTTATCACGATCGGAAAGAGATGAATCAACGTCTTATTGATTTAGGAGATGGTGAACATGTTAACAAGTTTGTTTTCCTCCAAAAAAATTCTACAGTGATCCTTTTCTTACAGAATCCGCGCGCAAATTAATAAAATGGATGCTGTTCATGAGGATATGGAGAAAGCGCAAGATCGAATAAGGGATAAAGTTGAACGACAGATCCCTCAAGATGTATGTTGTTTACTCAAAATTCTCCTTTAAATTCATCATCTTTCAGTTGAATGAATTGTCAGCAAAAGCTGACAATATCAAACATCAGCTTAACACACGAATTGATAACGAGGAAGAGGAAAGGTAATTTTGAAAAAAAAAATTTAAAAATGAAGAAAAGTGAAATTTGACATTCTTAAGGTACTTAGCGATAAAGGAACTACAAGAGGCTTATTCTCAACTACAACAGAATCATAAACCAGGTTCTGATACACAAATGAAACGAGATGTAGACGAATGCAAAATTGCGATTAAAAAGTTGGCGGAATCTGTGACAACTGTAAAAAATGTTCTGGATCGCAAAATAACTGAAGAATCTAGAAAGGTTAGTACTTTTGATTCAAAAATGTTGAGATCCTCATTTTTTCCAGAGAGAAGAAGATATTTCAAATTTGAAGCGACAGAAGTAATGATTCATAATTTTCCAAAAATAACAAATTATGCAACCCTTACCATTTTGCATATCTGTCATAGTTCAATATAAACTTTTTTGCATAGAAACTCTTACTGATAAAAATGGAAATTTCGAAAGGGCAGAATTTATGTGCGGTTTCTAAATATTTGAAATTTAAAGAGGAAAAAAATTAATATGGGTTTCTGAAAAGTGTGAAGTTTTTTAAGGTTCTGCTAAAAGATAGGAGTCAAGTTTTCAAAAAAAAAAAATTATTCTAGTGTTGAAGTATCTGTAAAATAATTTTGATGAAAATTTCTTTTTAAGAAAATGTTATCTTCATATTCACAAATGAAATAACGTTTCTAGTTTCTCATTTATTTTTTCAACGATTGAATCTGGAAAAGATTCAAGAACCTCAAAATATGTTTTAATGTTGCAGAATCCGTAATTTTTCAAAAATGTGAAAAGACTTTTGACCATATTGCAATTTCTCAATTCCAAACGCCACACCTTTCTCAATTTATCTGTAGAAACAAAAAATCATCGAATTGAATCATATAGTGTTCTCAAATCTTTAAACCCTCGTTCAACATTGATAAGCACCATTTTAAAATATATAACTGATAACAGAAGAGCACTTTGCCTTGTAGTCACCCTCTAGGCATGTCGGCTCAAATAATCACTGTTGGTGAGTTCATTTTCAAGAAAAATTTTAAACCCTAATTGGACATTGAATTTTCAGTGATTGTTCTTGCGGCAGTCGCAGTAGCGATTGCATCATTGGTGTTGAATATTATCATCTTGAATAATGTGAATACTCTTACCACAAATATCAATAATAACCCAACCTATCATTATACACCAGCTCCAGCTTATAATTCTTCAAGTGGAGTTGTTGGAAATAGTCAGGCTTATAAAAATGCAGCGGCTTATTTGTTGAATGGTCTTGATGACACAGTTGATCCATGTCAGGATTTTTATGCTTTCACTTGCAATAAGGTTTTTGTTTTGATTCGATTTCCTATTTCACAAGTAAACTTATAATATTTCAGTTCCTCGCAAACACCGATCTCCAAAAGCTGCACCGTAGTCGCCTCGGAACATATGATCAAGCTCAAGTTGATGTTTACAATGAAGTTGCTGCACTTTTAGATGCTATTGATGTTACGGACACAAAAGTTTCGAAAACTGAACGAATCACCAAAGCGGTAGGTCAATTTGGAGAAGAATGAAATTTATTAACAAATTTTATAGGCTTTTGATTCGTGCAGAAAAAATTTGGGAAATCCAACTGACAAAACTCAAACAATCTATAAAGAGATTCAAACATTGTGAGTTTGATTGTTTTTTTTCCAATATGTGGTTTTATTATTCAATAATACATCTCTAATTCAAATATGAGCAATAGTCTGAAAATTTTTCGAATAGAGTTTGAAAAATTCCATTCTAGAAACCCCCAAAAACACCTTTTTGCCAATCTTCAAAAAAATTCCTGATTTTCCAGATTCGGTGGAGTTCCATTCCTTGGCGAAGCTTTGAACGCAAATGTTGATTATTGGGATGTTGCTGGACATATTGAACAACAACACGCTGTTGGAACTTTGTTCTACACTATCGCCTCTTCAGATTATAAAGATCATACCAGAAATGCACTTTACGTTGGACCAGTATGTATTTTGTTCTCTAATTTAACATTAACTTATCGTACTAAAAATTTTACCAAAAAACCCAAATTTCAGCCAGGACTCTCACTTGCTCGCGACTTTTACGTCAAGCCACAATACATCAGCGAAGTCAATCAACGTGTTCAAGATGTCAATGACATGCTGACTGCATTTGCGCAAGCTACCGGAAAACCTTTCAATGCAGCTGATGTTCTTGCGGCTGCTCAAGAAACTGTCAACTTTGAGGTTCAAATTGCAATGGCTTCGTGGCCCGATGATTTGTTGAGGTAATAATGGGAAAAAAATCTTATCTTTTATCGAGATAAGAAAATTGTTGCGATTATTGAAAAAAATTGTGTTTTAGAAATTATCAGCAACAATATAATCCTTATACAATTGCGACAGCAAACAAAGCTTATTCAAGTATTAACTGGAACTCGTATTTGGCTGAATTGTTCAATGGTGTTACCGATGCTAATCAATATTCTGGTTACAATGTAAGTAGAAAAAAAAATTAAGAAATAACGATTTTTTGTAGATTGTTGTTACCGAACCATCATATTTCGCCTGGGTGAACAGTGTTTTCTCTGGACAAATCGCAAATTCAACTGTTGTTGCTAATTACATGATCACACAATTGATCTCAGATGAAGCTGATTTCATCAATCCAACAACTCACCAAGCTGCATCGAAGACCAATTATATTCATTATGTTTTGAGAGGAGGAAGAGGAGTCACAAAGTAAGAAAGGGTTACTGTAGGGATTGAAACGGGGTCGTGAAAAAAATAGAGTTTTTTTTCTTCCAAAATCAAAAATCGTTAGTGATTTATAGAAATTTCTTTTTAAGCATAAACGATTTTTAGTGCTGAATTGTAAATAAGAGCAAATTGAACATTTAAATAAACATCAACAAAAATCAAATTTCCAGAATTGGCAAACGCGATAGCAGAAAATTCGACATTGATGGACTCTCCCAAGGTTGTCTTGATCTTCTCACCGCTTACATGCCTTATGGAACCGGATATGTTTATGTGAAATCAAAGAAAGAAAAATACACCGTGCAAAGTGATGTTCGAAATCAAACTGATTTGATCATCTCAAACTTCCAGGTTTGCTTCAGCTTCAAAAGCATTTTTCGAATACTAAGAAATTTTCAGAACATGATTGATAGTCTTCAATGGATGGATGATTTGAGTAAGGATCGTGCTCATAATAAATGTAAGTTTTCTTAAAGGTGGAGCGCGAGAAAAAAGTTCCGAATTTATCAAAACTTGTCAATGATTTTTTTAAACCAGGAGACGAACTTATGAATTGAAACTGATTCAAATAAATCGATTTTTATGTCAGCCACCACCTTTAACAACAAACTGATCTGGTTTCTAAATATAAAAGAACGTTTTCAGCTGGAAGTCTTGTGAAAAATTTCGGATGGCCTGAAACTCTTTTCGGAGATTTTGTCGATTTCAGCGTTATTGATAATTATCATCAAGATTATCAATCAATTATTGATATTTACAATAAAGACCCAACAAATCTCTATGATATTTTCTCGGTTTTGAAAGCTGGTATGGAAATCAGAGAGTTTTATAGAATTATGACAGAGCCAGCCAAGAGGTAAGAAATGTTTGGTAGGGGGAAAAACTAACAAAAATATTTTTTCTAGAGAAAACTTCCTCCAATCGCCAGCCATGGTAAATGCTTGGTATCAACCAGAAAGAAACTCTATCACTTTCCCATATGCCGCCTGGAATCCACCATACTACAAGTAAGTTGGGACACAAATTTATCACTTTTTTTTATCAAAATTGATCATACAATTTTTTTTCTTAGAGGTTTTTGAATTTTTGATTTCCAATAAATTCTCAATTGCACGAAAAACTTTGGATATTCACAAAATTTTAATCCAATGCGATATTTTCAGCTTCGATTACCCACAAGCCTACAATTTTGCTGGTCAAGGAGGTACCGGAGGTCACGAATTGACCCACGGTTATGATGATGAAGGAGTTCAATTTGGATTCAACGGAGAATTATCAAACTGTGAATGGAATAAATGTGGATGGATGGACTCAAATTCATCATCTGGATTTATTGATATGGCACAATGTGTGGTTACTCAATTCAGCACTCAATGTTGTCCCGAAAAAACCGGAAACGTTCATTGTGCCAATGGTGCAACAACTCAAGGAGAAAATATTGCTGATCTAGGAGGTCAACAAGCTGCTTATCGTGCTTATCGCCAATATATTGCTACTCAAAGAAATGGAATGGAAGAGGATCGTTTACCTGGAATGGAAGCCTATACACCAAATCAAATTTTCTGGATCACATATGGTTATTCATGGTGTATGAAGCAAAGTGATTCAAATTTGGTTCATCAACTTTTGACAAATCCACATGCTCCAGCACAGTGTAGAACTAATCAAGTTATGCAAGATATTCCAGAATTTGGACAAGATTTTGGGTGCACTAAAGGATCTCCAATGTATCCGGAACCAGCTGGAAGATGCAAAGTTTGGGTTGGAAATTAAACATTTAATATTTTTGTACCTCATTTAGTCAATTTTTGTGCTAGATAATTATTTTTTTTGGTTTCTCCATTGCAATGAATATATGTTTTCAAATTTGAACTAAACCAGGTTATAACATTTTCATAAGTTCAATCAAATTTGCTGAAATCGGAATCAAAACGATAATTCCAGCTGAAAAAAAAACGCAAAAAAAGTCTGAAATTTCATCTGCGCACTTGTACTTTCATATTTCCAGGTGAAAACTGTTTGATATAAAAACTCCCGGATTAAAATCATGTATATATTATAAAGTGTGAAAGTGTGGTTTCAGACATCAATGTCCTTCCTTCCCTTCATTTTTCCTCTCATTTTTTCGCGCATTCATTTGGTAATAAAATATGTATACATACATACATATTCTGACACTCTAACATATACTTTTCATGTCTTTTTTCTGTTTGTGTTTTTTGCGATGTTCTTTTTGTTTAGCTCCGTATGTCACTAACAAGTTTTGGAAGCTTTCAAATAATTACATTTTTGTCTGAGCTTGTGCCACCCAATGAGCAGGAAAAAGGCAGAAAAAAGAGCACATATTAGATATTCAAGAGACAGATTCATTTTAAAAAAGAAGGAAAAAAAGAAAAAGGTCGAATTTCGACCAAGCCAAGGATTTTTCAATTTTGACAAAGTGGTTTTATTCTTCGTTTTATTTATTGCTGCTCTTTTTTGATGTGAGCTCTCTAGTTTTTATATCTATGCACTTTTTCTCATTTCATTTCAACAAAATGTTTGCGCGGCGACGGCTATAAAGTGAATTGTTCACCACCAAAAATGTAATTAGTTAGCTGAATTTGGGTTTCGCCGGCGACAGCGGAAAAATTCTTTATTCTTTTTTTTTCGAATGATGATGATGCTTATAATGTGGGCGGTTCGAGTAATGACACGAAACATTTATGAATTTTTGAATTGACAAATAGAATATGATATCAAGGTTATTTCACCTGTCATTCACTCAAACCTCATTTTTTTAAATGTTTGTTGTTGGGAAAAAAGAGCATTTTCCAAATTTCTGTGAAAACTTATAACATCTGTTGAGAAAAATAAACAGATTGAAAATTCATTTTTTATGAAAAAGAACAATCTGGGATAAGCTGACATTTTTATTAAAACTAGTTATATTTTTTCGAGAAAATTTCAAGATTTTTTAAAAATACAGAATTTCTTTTATTTATCAATCTGTTCTTTTTTTGAAAAACTCATAAACTATAAATATACCGTCATTTTGTGGAGAAAAAAAATCCAGCTATTTTTTATGCGAAATTTTGAAAACCAACAATAAAATCATCAAGAGTTTCGTAAACTTTTAAACATTTTCTTTTTTTTCACTAGTTTTCAAAAAATTTTCCCAATTTTTAAATTAATTTCTGATTTTTAATTTTTCTCATAATCAAGAAAAAAAGTTCTTTATCGAAACAATTGTTTTTCATTTCTTCTTTGAAATTTGATTGATATGTTGGTCGAAAATTGAAATTTTAGTATCAATTTTTCTGGTTAGCTAGTTTTTCCAGCCGTCTATTTTTTTCAAAAAAAAAATCAAAAGTTTCTAGCTATTTTTCCCAAAACATCAAAAGAGACCTAATTTGTTATTTTTTCTTGGAAATTAAAATTTTCCTGAAGCCCAGACATAGTTTATGTCTTCTGCTTGCCTAAAAAAACCGTCTAGTTTTAGACTTTCAAAAGATCAAATTGTAAAAACATTTTGAACCTTGAACATGTTCCGAACATGTTTAGAATTTCTAATATGAATGAAATGAAAAAAAACGAGGAAGAAAAATGAGAAGCGAAAAATGAGCGCGGCGGCACAATTTGTAGAGAGTGGTCTTGAAATTGATATGCAATTGCCTCATTCGTCGTTTATGTGAGCCAGGCTTTTTCAAGATATATTTCATTTTCATTTTTTATTTATTTTTATTTATATCTCATTCATTCATTTATTCTTCAGGCAGACCTTTTTCTTCTTCTTCTTCTTCCTTTTTCCATCCATCGTCCCATTTTCATTCTTCTTTGTGTTTCGGTTTTACGAACCGCCTCCACGTACTCTTCTTTTTCATCTTCTTTTGGTCTTCTTCCCTTATTTTTTTCCGTCTTTTTTCCTTTGTGCAGCTCACTTGTTTTTGTTTTTTTCTCCTTAACGAAATTGAATTTTCATTATTATTTTATTATTTTTTATTCATAAAACTGATAATTAAAAAAATGTTAGAGTACACACATAATTATCACTTTTCAAATATATTTTTTCTGTTTTTTTTTGAAAAAAATTTGATCTTGAGAACAGTAGTATTTATTTGTAACAAAAAGGGAAAAAATAACAAAAAAAATTTTTTTGATTGTATTTTCTTATCATTTATGTATCATCTCGTTTTTTCACACATTGTTCATTTTTCAACAGTTGAAAATCATTTTTTTCATAAAAGATCTGAATAACTGAGGGGTTTCTTCATAAATTTTTTCATATAGAGAACAAATTTGATGTATATGTGCATAATCCATGTTTTTTTCACGGCGTGTTATAATTTATTCACTTGGCACCCTCTATTTTTGGCCAGGGGTTTTTTGTTGTTTTTTTATATTTTTTCCGCCGTGCTGAAAAAAACAACAACATATATTGGAAAAGAAGTAGAAAACTGCGCATTTTTTTCAGCTGTTCCTTTGACACTCATATTTTTTAGTTATTTTTTCTGTCAGTTTTTAGGCTTATTTTTTGTTATAATCTGGCGTTATGCATTTTTTAGTTTTTTATTTGATAATAGGTCAAACAAGTATTGTTTTTTTCTGACTGTACTTTTTCATAAGAGATCTCTAAAATTTTAATTTTTTATGGAAAAATCGATTTTCAGAAAGAATGATTGATGTTTTCTAGAACATTCTTTTTTGAAAATTGATTTCTCAAGAATCACATTCTGAAGTTTCCCGAAAAAAATCAAAATTAAATTACGTTTTCTCTGCGAAAAATAATTTTCATTAAGTTTTTTTGAAAAAAAATGTCTGAAAATCAAGAGAAACCAGATTTTTTTTCTGAAAATAGAATAAATTATTTCAAAAAATTTAAATGTCTTCTTTGAAAAATTTGTCAACAAAAAATGTGCATTGATAATTTCAGCCTATTCAAAAATATAACTAAATGTTCGAATTTTTCGTCTTGAAATTTTCAAATTTTTTTGAATACTATGAATTATTTTCCAACCATCTCTAGCTTCCTGTCCAAACTTTCGCGTTCCATTTCAAAAAAAAATGCTCAACAAAAAAAATTCCTAGGTTCAAGTAAAAAATAGATTGGTTTGAATGTGTATTCCGGCAACTTGAACAGCGCAAAAAAACTTAAATTGAAAACTTGAATTTGCAAAGTGCGTCTTTAAAATGTAGGCAATCTACTTGCAAAGTTCAAGATCTTCTTTTTTTGTATGTATCTAGAATTCTGAAACTTTATTCAAAATTCAATAGATTTTTGCTCTATGCTCACTGAAAATAACTTGATTTGAACCAATCGAAAAACATCTCAATTAGTGGAGCAAAATTAATGGCTCGGATTTTTTCAAAAAAAAAAATATAATTGCGTTTTTCAAAAGAGCAACGTTTTGCTAAAATAACAATACCGTTTTATGTGTAACATTACAGTTAAAAAAGCTTTCTGCAAAACAATAAATCATTGACTGTTTATAATAAAATTGTCACAATTCTTTTGTTATTTTTATTTTATTTTAGTTGATTTCCCAAAAAATTCAATTCATTTATTTTTTCCTCAAAAAAACGCAAATTTTCTCATTCTTCCTTCTATTCTATTCTCTGTAAAACTCTAATTGTCATCGTCGAAAGATAATTGTGAGAAAAAGAAACTCACTTGAACCACTCTTCCTTTCTCCGTTTTTCCTTTTCTCGGAAAAAATTTCTCATTTTTCATTTTTGAAACTCGGAATTTTTCAAGGAAAAGTAAGAAAAATAAGGTTGGTGATTTTTAGGAGTTTGAAAAATATTCCTTTTTGAAGTTTTTGGAATTTTTTTTTTGGAAATGAATATTTGCAATATTCATAAAAATGAATGAACGAAAATTTCCTAATTTGTTTCGTGTCCGAATATTTTTTTTAAGAGATATTCTGTGATTTTCACATTTCCACAAACTTCGAACCTTGTGCCAAATATTTTTCCGAACGCGCTTCTTGATAAATCCCAAAAGACATCTGATGTATGTGATTTTTTTGTTGCCCTAAGCCATAAATTAATCCAAACGTTCACATGTTTGTATATCTACATATGTGTAAGTATGTGTGTGTGTGTGTCATTTTGCATGTACATATATAAAAAATTGTGTGAAAAATGTATATCTATCTATCCATCCATACATATGACATATTGAAAAAAAACTTTTTTTTACGGAAGAAAAAATTATTATTGATTTGAGATTCTTGTTATTGTTTGACTAATCTGCACTTATCCACTTTTATTAATCTTCGAAGCTTATCAACACTGAATTCACACATTTTGTATAGTTTTACATGATTTTTCTTTTTTTTTGTTGAAAGTTTGCTTTTGATTTTTCGTAAATCACTTATTAATTTTTAAAATAATTTTCAACAAAAATCTGGATTTATCATAACTCTGAAACTCTGGAGATGACTTTAAATTTATTTACTTTTTCAATCAATAATTTCTGATGAACAGAGTATTCAATTTCTCTTCGACCATTTTTTGAGACTTTTTCTTTTAAATTTCGAACATCTCGCTCAATGTCAGAAACTCCAATAAGATTACCTCTAGTATGAGAAACCTTTCCTCTAGTATAAGAAAACTCTCTCAAATTTTATCACTCTTATGTTGCGATCAAAAATCATAATGATCCTTTTTTGAACACGTTTTTTTCTAGATTTATTGTTTTCATCTAATCTCTCTACACTTTTTCAATATTGTTCTCTCGAATTTTTTTCTTATCTTCATTTCTATTTTCACCATTATCAAAATCAAAAATCAATTCCAGAATATGGGTAGTAAACAAGAGGAATGGCCAGGTCCGTCAACAAGTCAGCCGGGTCCTTCAAATTCACATATTGTTATTAATCCACTAGCGGGTCAATATGGTGAAATTGCTGAAATACCACCATTTCGAGGCAAAAAGGCAAAGCCGAAAAAACCGGTACCCGAACCGATCGATCCGGAAACGGCACGTCTTCGATTACTAGCCGAAAAACGACGATGTGTAGCAATATCGAAAGCGTATAATCTTTTCACTGATGAAGAAATTCAACAATTACCACCTGAAATTGTACCAAGAAGTATTTATTTTGGTGCAATTGATGATGATATTGAGACGGGTACAAATCAAATAGAAAATGAAATAGAACATGAAATTGAGGATGAACAACAACCAATTATGGAAATTGTTCGACCAAATAGGGGACGAATTCGACAAGTTGTTCATGATCGATGGATTCGGTTTAGAAATGTGAGTAAGATTTATTTTTAAAATATTGAAAACTTTTGAGAAATAGTCTTTCATTTCACTTTCAGGCTATAGTTTGCGGAAAAAAACGGAGTTCAATTGTAAAATTAAAAGTGACACACATTTTTTTCGAATTTTTCCAAATAATTTTTTGAAATAATTTTTTAGAGAAATATTTTTTTAAAAGTTATGATGTGGGTTGTGGGGTGAACCTTTTTATCGATTGATGTAATAAAATACGAGTACGATTTTCTTCAAAAAAAGTATCAAATTATTCCCGTAACCTGTACAAATCTTGAACAAACCCTATTACTTTCGGGAACATTTCTTATTTTTAAATAAAAATTTTTGGAACTATAAAACTATTTAAAACTAATAAAACTATTTTTAAAAAAACAACGAGAATTCCTACATCTAAATCTTTAGAATCCTTGAAGCATTTTCCATGACGTCAAAAATTGTTGCTATCAACACTTTTCGGATATATGTTTTCAATTCTCTGAAATAAAAACATGTAAACATTTTTTTCATTCGCAGAAAGCTTCTTTTTTCAATTCTAGAATCTTTGATAACTTTCAATTTTTATGAATTTGAAAAATCTAAAAATTCATTCATGACATCATATTTTCAACAAACCAAGCTCAAAATATTCATTAAAGAGATTATTCTCATCACATCACACTTTTACCGGATTTGGCGATTCAAATTTTTTGTGAAAAAAAAGAACCAAGTTTCGAATATAATTATTATCTTTCAAAAACTATACACAGTTTTTTGATACGTGAATTATTTCAAAATAACAGAAGAGTATGTGCTGAACTTTCAGACCTACCACAATTTTCCTCAATCATTTTATGTCAAACTCTTATCTGTACAGTTTTTCGTTGATATATAGGCTTCTCGGAAAATTTTTAATCATTGTAAACAAATGTTTTCTGTGAATATTTTAATTTTCAAATTAGTTTATTGCATTCATTCTTTTTATTTGAAAGAAAAATTTGAATGAATCAAGGAATTTCAAATAGATTTTTTTATGAAAAAAGAATCTTGCACATAATTAGTGGCTTGCATTTCATTGCATATAATACATTTCATATTCCAGCTTCATTTTTTTGAATAAATTTTGCTATGCAATATTTTTTTTCAAAACTTTCTAGATTACCATAAAATTTCTTTATTGAACCCAGTTTTTCACATAAAATCAATACAAAAGTTTTTTATGACATTTGAAGAGAAAAACAAATTTGGTTGTTGTCTCGAAATGTTTTTTGCATTACGAAAACTTTCAAAGCCTCCAATATTTTTAATTATCAAGAATCCGCCCCAAAAATATTTTTTGTTATTTATTCGTTTTCCAAGAAAGATACAAAATTGAAGCTTATAGGATACATTTCTCTCATTTTCAGAAGTTTTTTTGGCATTTTCATTATGAGCGTTTTTTTTTCGAATAATTATAATACACACATCACCCTGACAACTCTTCTTTATTTTTCGTAATGTTCTCACAGGGTAACCCTATAAGCTTTGATTTGAGATTTTCAATTTCATAGATTTTGAGGCTGAACACGATATTGTTATTCAAATTTGCTCGCAGATTCTTCTGAACTCTAGGCTATAACTCTTGTCTTCGGAGCTTCACAACTTGCCTCACGAATTCATTCTTAGATTTTTTTTTTGAAAAAAAGGAAAAAGAAAAAAATTCTCAAAATCTATTCAAAAAAACATAAAATTTTCCCTTGCCAATAATTTCAAAAATCAATGGCAAACAAAAATATAATGTGATGTGTCTGAAAAAATCACATTAACGAAAAATGATTTATTTTGATGCAAAACTAATATTTCAACTTCATCTCCCGTTTGCTCCTCTGTCTTCATTTTCTTCTTTATTTTCTTCAATAAAATAAAGTTGTGAGCTCGGCCAGCCACAAACCACCCACAGATGTTTTCCCTCCCCCAAAAAATGCGTTTTTTTGCGTCCTGCAACAAAATGAAGAGAAAAAGAAGAGGAACGAAATTAAATCCAATAGCTGCAGACATTTTTCGTGCGTGTCTCAAAATAGGAAAAGATCCATTAAGTGCAGCTTTTTGTTGCTGAAATTCATCATTTTTGTCGTGTTATTTAGTTAGTTCTCTCTTTTTTTTGCGTTGTTTTCTCTAGAGAGTTTCTTTTACACGAAAATCTGTGAACACTACCCAGCAGATGTCTATTTATTGATCAGTCGCCAACGAAATTTGTCACCCTTTTCCTGCCCCTTTCAATACATATAAGAAAAAAAAAGAAAATTGAACTTATTAGAACTACGTTTCATTTTTTTTTATTTTTGCAAAAAAAAATAAATTTTTTCAGTTTTTCCGACGCATCCGACAAGTAATAATGTCAAATTTCTTCGACTCTTACGCACCAACCGCTCATCATGGAATGATGGGAACTACTGAAGAAGAATCATTGGCGATTGAGCATCGAAGCAGAACTGTGATTCCAGAAGAGGAGAAGATGCATGTGCATATGCTTTATATTCGACAAATGGAAGGTTTGTAAAAGTTTTTGATTTTTTAGTAGAAGTTCAGAGATAGTTTTTGAGATTTAGCCCCACTGATGTCATTTTGAGCGCTTTATGTTCAGAATTCTTAGGGTTCGTGAACTAAACATTTTCTTAACAATATAAAGTTAGCATCTGAACAAGATGATCTTTCTCCTTCAGAAAAATGCAAGTTTTAAGATAAGATTCACGATTTGCCCGTTTTGTTTTCTTGCTTTCCAAAACATAAATATTATTTTTAGAATGAACAAATATTTGGACTTCAGGGAAATTATTTTTGCTGAAATTGTTTTTATAGTACCGTAGACAAAGTGCGGTAACTACAAATTATACAATTTTCCAAACAAAAAAGATTGAAGAATGAATTGTGTGCTAAACTTTGGAAATTGTATTTGCTGAAAATTTTGCAAGATAAAATGTTGTTAAGCCACCTCATTTAATTTCAAATCAGTTTTTAATTATGCAGTTGTTTTTTGAAAAATTCCATAATTTCAAATATGAGTTTTTTGTGGTGTTTGGTTGTTACCACAAAAATACTCATGACAAAACTATGAATCAGTACTCGTGATTTTTTTTTTGGTTTTTTTGTTTCACGGGAAAAAAAACATTCATTGTCTTATTTTCACAAATTGAACAATGGAAGAAAATTTCTATGAAAACATGAGAAAATCCGATTTCACAATTATGAAAAAAATTAAGGATTAAAAAAATTTGAAACTCATTATTTAGAAGGTTACATTCAACCGATTTCTAAAATCTGAATGTGTTATTTTCATAAATAACGGAAAACATCGATACCTACTGTTTTTCATTACTAACTTTTATTTTTTTACGATTTCAATTATAATGTGAAAAGCTTCAATTTTCAAAATTTGGATTTGAATTCTCTCTATTTTAGTTATTTTGAAATTCAGTATCTTGTAGTTACAGTAATACAAATCACTTTAGTAAAAAAAAATAATTTCCCTCGAGTCCTATTATTCTTCACCAAAATAACCTGTTTTCTCCAAAATATGCAAACAAGTGCTCTTACCCTTCTAAACAAAATTTTTGAGAATCGTTATCTGAAAACCTATATTTTCAGCTAACCAAAGACCGACACCATATGTCGAGCCAACCTATGGAGATCGTAAAACAAAAGTGTCGCAAGAGTACATTGACTTTGTCATGTACAAAGGTGATTATTCATTTTCATTTTCTTCTTGCAAGCAGGGAAAACAAAAGCAATAAATAAATAACACTTCTTCAGATTTGCAACCTTTGGTCGAGTTGAAAAAATGGAAAACCGAAGAGAATTGCTTGAAAACCAATGTGACAGAGGCTCGAAATGCGTTGAATAAAGTGAGCAAAGTTCCAAAGAAAATTGATGAGGAAGAAGAAGAAACTGAAGATCCAAAAGCTTCTGATCCATTGCTAGTCCCTGACAATGAGAGACAGGTATTTTTAAGATAATTATTGAATGAACTCCCAAGTTTATTTTTGCAGGGTACTTCAAAAGACGCTTAATTGAATAATCAACATATCTTTTTTTCATAATTTATAAAATGTGTACCAAATTCGTGTTTAAATGACAATTTTTCCGGTCCCCCTTCATTCCACACATCTTTAATCTTTTTTTTTTCAAAAATTCCCTTTTTTGTGATTCTCTATTTTTTCCCGATGATGATGAAAGTTGTTTAATAATAAATAAATTGAAGAAATAGAGAAATATCTTTTTGTATTTTTTTTCGGCGACTGCAAATGGGCACAGCGTTTGATTGATTATCGAGAATTTGATGAATAGGTGTGAAACAGCGAGGAGGACATTCTCAAATTTGGAATTTGGTGTCTTGATTGATCGAGTTGGTTATGGTTTATTGCTCTTTTGATTTTTGATCTTTGAAATTTTGTGAGAAAATTGCAAATCAACAACAGTTGCTGCTTTTCATGAGAAAGATGAGAAATTATGCATATATCTTCTTGCACTCTATTCTGTTGGATGAACCAATAGTTCAAACAATAAATAGCCAAAAGATCTGAAAAAAATGAACTCCAGACGATTTCGACAAAACTTTTTGTTTTTGTGTTCTCAGTGTCTAGATAACTACGGTACCAAGTATTCTCACAGCCTTTGGATCAACACATTTTTAATGCAGTGAAAATAATTCTTTTTTTTCTATCAAAGAGACGGTAACGCAGATAGTTCTATATCAAAAATCACAATCAAAATGATCTTTATTGTTAGAGATTTTGAAAAAATAAGGATTATATATGATTTCTAAATGTTGCGTCAGAAAGTGTTAGGATATTTTATTAAACAATTTTTGACACTTTAGATTTTTATAAACATTATGCAATAATTTATTTTTAGAAAAGTTCAGAATTCAATATTTTTGTAGATCATAAATTTATGTATTAGGAGTGATGATACAAATAATTTTGAGAGAAATTTATTAAACAATTTTGGAAAATTTTTGATCAAAAAAATAAGGGCAAACTAAAAAATTAAAAACTGTTTTAAATTTTTTCAATAAGATGAATGAAATGAACAATGCAGTTGAAAAAGTCATAAAAACAAATGAATGTATTGTTAAGGATTTGAAATTTGTTGATAACTTTAATTATACTGTGATGAGTCTTGCTTTTTTTCAATATCCAGAACCCTAATACTTTTTTTCTCATAATTAACTTGTTCCGAGCGAAAAGGAAGAATAAATTGTGATTTGAAAAAAGAACGAACAAAAACTAAAGTGTTCTTGATACGTCCAAAATATCTTTATGGCTTGTCAAAAAAAAACTCCTGCAATCAAAACGATAAAATATGAAGAAAAAAAAGATATATAATAATTACAGTATCAATCTCATGACACCGTTGTATTTCTCCAAAAATCACATAGTTTCATTTTCAACAATAGAACAAACCAACAAAAATAAAAAAGTCAAGTTTCATCTTCGCCGGCTCATTCACTGTTCGAAAATTACACATTTTTTGTTTGACTGACCTGATGCTCATCTCTTTTTCTTTTATATTTTATTTTATTTTATTTCATTTTATTCAATATTGCATCACATTTCGAGTTTTTCCTAACTAAACTATCTGGTCAAAAAATGATGATTTGATATGATTTTCTTTTTTTCCACCCCTGATAACATTTTTTTTTTGAAAAAAAAAGAGTAAGAAAAACTCTATTTGTCCAACATGTGTCATGTTTTTTTATAAGATTATTCTTTCTCTTTACTCAATTTTTTTGTGAGTTTTCATTAGGTTGTAAGGTTGTGAACAGGCTTCTGGTGAATAAATCATGTGGGACCTAATCTCTCATGGTTAATACATTTGGGGCTCTGATTCTGATATTCCAAAAACTACCAACTTTTCCCGATTTGAGGTCTTAATGGAAGAAACCTGTAATGAATCGGGATTCGCAATTACATCAAAACAGGCATGTTCTACTATTCAGTCGGTTGTAAATCACTAACATTTCAAAACAACATTCACACCAGATAAAAGTACAGTTTTTGAAATTTAATACCTCCCTCAAAGTTTGCTCGGCAAAATTAAACAAAACAGTTTATTTGAGTCACGGATTGTTCAATTTTCATGCATCCTATTTTCCACATTGTTTTGTTTGCCCATTTTTTTCATATGAAGCAACAAAATTTTTTCGAAAAAAAATGAAAAAAAAACAGTTGACTTTTCCCGCCCATTTTTTCACAGATGTCGAAAAATGTCCTTTCCACACCACACTCATTCACCGGTAGAATAAGGACGAATGTGTTTTTTCTTATTCTTTTTTCTGTTCTTTTTCTTTGTCTAAACTGAACTCGCATAATATTTCACGGTGTCTGGGAAAAGAAATGAGTCATTAGCTTTTTGTACCTTTTTTTGTTCGTTGGAAAAAACGAAAGTGTAACATTTTTCACCATTCATAAATAAATAAATGAATAAATGAGAGCTATAAATTTTGAGAGGTCAATAAATAAATCAAATGCACTTTTTTTTCAAATTTTTCTTTGGATTTTTATACAAAAAAAAATGTACAAGAACATTGAATGAGAGACATAAAATTATCACCTTTTTTTGCAATTTTCAATGATAAAAACCCGTAAGCCTATTGTAATCTTGTTCTTTCGCTTATTATTTTTCTCGATGTTGCAAAATGATATATTTTTCATCATTTTCTGGATTTTTGACAAAATATTTTGTTTTTGCAGAAAAACTTTGGGCAACAATGGCAAAGTCAAATGGAAAGACCGATGCTAAACAACAAGTGAAACAAGATCCGGAGACTGTGGAGAAAGAGTTGGAAGAAGTTGGAATCGTCAGGGCACCGGATGGTAAATTTTTTTGAAGAAAAAATTATAAATATTGTTAAAAATTTGGTAGCAAAAATTGATGATTGGTATGTTCTGATTATTAGAAACAATCGGAATTGATAACCAAAAAATGTGTTTGACTGATTTTTTTGTGGAATAGGGAATCAAAAGTTCAAAAAAAAAGTATTATAAATATGAAAATCGTAAACCAAAAAAAACTCAAAAACAGCAAAAGACTTTTTAATCCTGTAAAAAATATGTGAGAGAATTTTGAAGACAATTCTAAATTTTTTGAATTTTTCATAGTTTTTTCTCACATTCAGGATCAGCTTTTTAATTTTTTTCGAGATTTCAAAACTGAAATTTTCAAATTTCAGTTTCAAGAAATATTTAATGGGACAGTTTGTTCAAAATTTTTCCTCTCAAAAAAGTACTTTTTATTTATCTACATTCACTCGAATGAACAATTTATTATTAATTATATTTCCTAGTTCTATATAGAAATATATATTTATAGAAAATCGAATTTAGAGAAGAATCTCATGGCAAATGACTTTCAAGAACTTCATTTCAATATTTGATAATAAAACAAGAAGTATTACATTTCTCTAGACATTATACAAAATTAACTAACTATTATAACAACTTTCAAGTAAATGGGAGAACCCGAAACAATTCTAAATTTATAGGTGGATATGGTTGGATTATCGTGATCTCCTCTTTCCTTCTCAACATGATTGTTGATGGTGTAATTTTCACTGTCGGTAAAATCTTGATTCCCGCTTGGACCAAATCATTCAACGTGTCAAGCACATCAGCTTCGCTCACTATGTCAATTCTCTCTGGTTTTTATTTCTTTGTCGGTAAGTTGAAAAAAAACATTCAATAAAATAATCACAGAATATGTGTATGAAAAATGAAATTGTTCTCAGGACCTTTTGCTTCGGCACTTTGCAATGTTTTTGGTTGTCGAGCTGTCGCAATCGCTGGTTCGATCATTGCCGCTTTTGGATTTTTGATCTCTGTTCACGCGCCAAATATCTATGTTATGTATATCAGTTTTGGACTCATTGGAGGTGCTGGTTTTGGAATGATGTATCTTCCAGCTATTGTCATTATTTCACAATATTTTGCAACAAAAAGATCTCTTGCTACTGGAATCGCTGTTTGTGGATCCGGAATTGGAACTACTGTTTTTGCATTGTTGAACGATGTAGTTTTCTATCACGTTAATGAAGAGTGGAGCAAGTTTTTGCTTTATACATCGGCTGTCACTATATCTGGATTGTTTGCCGCATTGCTTTTAAGACCTTTGAGAGCTTCTCAATCACAAATTGAGAAGGTTGCCCAAATTGTTGAAGAATATGAGGTACAAAAGGAAAAATCACCCGATTCTCCAGTTTTGAGCTTGAGTGCTCATAAGTACAATACACCATTTTTGTCATCTTTGGAATTGCATACTGCAGGAAAACAAAATAATGTGAGTTTGTGGGGATATTTCTCAACTTGAAATTATTGTGATCCAAAAATTGACTAAAAGAAAAAAAAATATGGTTTCTGTGTATTTTAGAAGTAATAGAATATCAAAAATTTGTGAAAAACGATGTATACACAGTTAAAAACAGAAAAAAATAATAACTTGACAACCGAGGCAGGTGAGAAGAGAAAACGCGCTCTATGGATAATTTTTATACAACATTGTCTCAATATACCTTCATTTTTTTTCCAAATTTTTATTTATTAAATTCTGACACACAAAATCAACATCCCGAAAATTTTCAGAACATCAATGGATCAGTCAAAAGCATTATTGACGCCGTTGCAAAAGACGTCGAAGAACTCAATAGACCTCTCTCACGAATGGATATTTTCTACAGCGGTTCAACAACTAATTTGCACGTTAGAAGTAGAGCCAATACAAGTGAGAATACTTTTTATTTCTGAAAATAAATTCGACAATACTTTTCAGTGAATCGCGAAGAAGTTGTCGAAAACTTGAAACATGCTCGTGATTTGGCTAAAGACAATGTTCAACAAGTTTACTTGAGTACAATGAACTTACAAGAGGCTGCTGATGGACATATCGCAATCACAGAAAAGAAATCGGTCAAGGATGATATTCTACAAGCTCTTCGAGCCTTGTTGGATAGAACTCTTCTTGCTTCTCCATCATTTTTAACTTTGGCATTTTCTGGAACATTGACACTTTCATGCTTCTATGTGCCTTTCATTTATTTGGGAAATCAAATGGATAAAGTGAGTTATTTGTTAATTTTTGAAAAAAAAACGATAAAATTTTTAGATCGAGGGCCTTACTGCAATGGAAAAATCACTCCCGCTTTCAATTATTGGAGTTCTCAACATTTTAGCTCGTATTGCTTGTGGTTATATCGCTGATAGACCTCAAGTCTCAGCTCTTCTTGTTAACAATATTGCTTTGTTTTTGGCTGGAATTGCTACTTTGACTGTACCTTTTTATACTGAATATTGGCATTTTATTGCGTTTACTATTCCATTTTCCGTTGGAGTTGGTAAGTTTTAGAAAGTTTTTGAGAATTCACAAATGTAATTTCAAACGTTGATTTTGATAATATCTGGTTGAATTTCGCAGTTTGAAACAGTTATAAAGTTAGCTAAAGTAATTCAATTCTTTCAAAGCCTTTCCACAGAAATTTTCACTTTTTCATAAATCAATCTGTTAATTTGAAAAAAAAATTTCAAGGAAAACTCATCTATAAAACCACTTTCCAGCCTGTTTCGCCGCTCTCCGTTCCGTCATTTGCCTCGAACTCGTCGGCCTCGAAAAATTGAGCAACGCTTTCGGAATTCTCCTCACCTTCATGGGAATTGGCGCAACTGTTGGATCACCAATCGCCGCCGCTCTTAAAGACTACACTGGAAACTTTGACACCTCTTTTTACATTATGGGTGGTCTTATGGCACTTTCGGGTTTAATCTGCTTCCCACTACCACAAATTCGTCAATGGGAACAAAATCGGTGAGTTTGTTTCTATTTCAACATTTAATGAAGAAAAAATAATTTAACATAGAAATAAAAATGAAAACGAAAAAAATTAAGGTCTCAAAAAACCGACGCAAAATCCGATGTAGAACTTCAAGGTCTTACCGACAATGCCTAATTATGTTCCATTTTTCTTTTTTTTTTTTTTTTTGTCTTTTTTCTTCATTGTATCATAATATTTCCCGTTGTTGTTTTTTTCCGTGATCCTTATTTTTCAAATTATTGCATACGGTTTGATAAAGAACCTTTCTAGTTTTAGTTTTTCAATTACATTTTAAAAATAAAATTTTTAATAAGAAACCTTGACAATCATTATTATTATTATTATACAGAAAAATTCCCATACACTCTCTTCATATGGTTTTTTATTCATTTCCCCTTTCATTTTTTTGCTATTGAAAATCTAATTGTTGCCACATTTTCCAACATATGTATTATTTTTCTCTCGTTTTCGACGTTCTCTGTTTATTTTATGATATATGTATGTATGTATTTATTTTTGTTAGTAGTTAGTTGCCTATTTTTATTGAAGCGTGTGATAATTTGATTATCAATTGAGAAATACTATCCTACTACTATTAGCCTTTATTCGTTCTCTTCTCATCCTGAAAAATTCCAATTAATTTCCGGCAGAACACGTCATTTTATGACACCATTTTGAACATAAGTCGTATAAGTACGTAAAACCCCTTTTTTATGATTAGGTGACTTTTTTCTTTGTTTTAAAACACAAAATTGTTATGTTTTGTTCAAAAAATCTATTTTTTGAAAAAAATTAGTCATAAGATTCTTTTCCAAATTGTTTAGGCTACAATTTTTAATGTGATATCATTGTATTTCTTTTGAAAAATATCTTCGGAAAAATTCTCATTTCTAACATTAAGAAAGCATATAGGATAAAATGTAGCTTCTCTGAAAACCCAGACAAAATATAAAATCACAAGGCGCACCCATTTTTCTGTTCAAAATGATTTTCAAAAAACCTTTGAACATTATTTTTTATGTTTATTTTTTGGGATAGTTTATATGTTGATCTTTGGAGTCAGTTCGAGATATTTTTAAGATATTTTTTAAATATGTCGTCGATAAGCTAAAGATACAATTTATTTTTTTTATTTTTGATTAGAGACAACCCCAATGTGTCTCAAATCCCATCATTTCATGATTTAACACTCAATATTATTCTGTCATCTTGTCAACAAGATATTCTCCGAACACATACACAAAAATTTACACAAAAAATCAAAATGTAGTGTATTCTAGTGTGTGTGGTCGATTATCTATCCGCCAGAAGACAAATGTGCAAATTCTCGCCATCAAACAGTTGTTGGTGCTCTCCAGGAAAATGTTTTGCGTTCTTTTTGCTATTCTGCTCATTTCTTTGACCTTTGTCTCATTTTTTGCTGATATTTTTTGTTTTTTTTGTGTTGGGAAGAAAAGTCAACTTGAATGACAATCGTGTCCGTTTTGACGACGATCATCTTCAATTTCACACTTGACTGATTTTTGGCTTGATGGATAGCAAATTATACATATATATCGTCTTTTCTTCAGGTTTCTTCTCACCTGTTATTTGTTTTTTGAGTTTGAAAAAATGTTACCTGACACTTGATTTTTTTTTACCAAAAAAAAAAAACTGAAATTCAAGGAATTCATTCTCTGGACACCTGTTTAGTTTCACCTTTGACCAAACACAAAAAATGTTGTGTGTGTTTTCTTATCATTATTTTTTGCATCCTATCACAGACAATAATCTTGTGGACACACCAAAACCTTTTATTTTGCTGAATTCTTTTGTTCCCAGAGAGTTATAAATGTATCAAATTTCTTTCATTTTATTTTACACTGCATGTTGATCTGATTGCATTTGAAATTTTTGAATTTCGAATAAAATACAATTGATTTCTGATTTTCGAGAAGATAAGATAATTTTTCAATTTGTTTCCAAATTTACTCTGGAAGTTGGAATGTCTTTTTTATTTTTCCTCAATCGAGTTGCATTTTGAGACTTGTTTTAACAAGTCTCAAAGATTAAAATCATTGTTTTCTTGACAAAGGAATTGAGCAAGGTTCCTGAGATTTCCAATAACTTCATTTTGAATGTACTAAAATATTTTTGTTAAACATCTGTTTAACACGTGTAATTTGTAAAAAAAATGGTACATCTGGGCATGTTTTTAACACGTGTACCTCCTTTCTAAAATGCAGGTGGTCCAATTTTGGAATTTGGTTCACCACATTTCAAAAAGTGCATACATCTGTGATTCTTTTTTTTGTAAGAGAAATGCAGGTGGTCCAATTTTTCCCTAATATTGAAAACATTGGGCCCATCTGTGTTGAACACGTGTTGAACACATCTCTATATAAATCCAGGTCTGCCATTTTTTCCCATATATTTTTCAATTTTCACCATCACCATCGTAAATGAAATAAATATCTTGTGGATTTTATAGCGGAATATATTATTCTAGTTTTAATTTATTCTCTTTTCATGGGATAATTTTATTCAAATTGGTTTCCTGATCAAATATAAATTGTAATTTTTCGAGAAAATTTTGAAAGGAATTTTTTTTTTCAAAAAAAAAATCGATGACTGGCTACAACATTCAGTACAATCTTTTCCATAATAATTTCACCTGCATTTCCTTTTCCCAATATTTTTCATAATACTAACTAAATATATCAAATTACATGGAGAATTTTAACTAACAAAAAATGTCAAAAAATTCTCGTTTACATATCCTTTTTCCATTCATTCATTCATCCATATAAATATATATTTTTCGCCTCATTGCATTGGCTCTTTTTTTCTCACCTCACCTCATTTTCATTTTCATTTCACTTGGCAGTTCGCCAAAACAACAAAAACCACACCCAAAATAAAATAGCCAGAGTTCATTTTTGTTTATTTTACCTCTCGTTTTTTTTTCTCGCACCTTTCTTGTTGCCCTTGGGTTTTGTTTCCTATTTTCGTTTAGGTCAATATTTATTTTACGCCTCTTTTTCTTGGAAAAATTATCGATTTTATCTCATTTTTTCTCAAATAATTTTTGAAGCATCAAATATCCCCCAATTCATTTTTATTTACATTTCATGTCTCAAAAAGCTGTCAAAAATTCATTGTTCTTTTGGAATTGAAAATTGAACATTCCCCTCAAAAAAAAAGTTTGAACTTTTTTTCGTTTTTTTTCAAAATGAAAATAGAAATAGAAATCCTATAGTAGATTTAGATTATATCATTTTTTTGAACTAGTGAAAAAATTTCGCAACATATGACTAAAAATGCAAACATTTGTCGTTTTTTTTTTGGAAATTAGTTTTTTTCCAAAATTTTTCACTATGACAACATGGAAAAAATGTTTTTTTTGTAGAAATATTAGAGCACGAAAATTGGTTTAGGTGAATTTTTCTGTAGATAATTTCGTAAGAAAATTTCCTGTCATCACATGTTCAAAAGATGTCTGTTTTTAGTTATTTACTGAATTTTTTCTTGAAAAACTACCTAACTAAAATACTGTTTCTGAGTATCTTTCATTGTAACTACAAAGTTTTGAGGTTACAGTTGAATTGCACTGTTAACACTTTCGGAGTTACTGTATTTTTTAATTCATCAAATTTTGAAGTTTTCTAGGATCTGAACTCAAATGTTTCTATCTCAAACAAAAATCCACTCATTTTTCTCAACTCGTTGATATTTTTCTGATTATTTTTTGAAAATCAAAACTAATCCTTATATTTCTCAATATTTTTCGAGCTTAATAATCAGGTTATAGTAATTTTACTTTTACAATCTGCTGTCACGTTTTTGTATAAATATTGTACCTGAAAAACTACATAGCATATTTACACAAAATATTAGTTGCTCAAGATCACCTCGAATACTAAAAATATTGTAAATAATGAACTTTGTATTTTATTTCTAGGTTATTCGATTTTTTTTTTTCAGATTTCAACTTTTTTTTTTTTGAAAAAAAAAATCTTCTGTCACTATTTGAACTTTCTACTTTCTAATATACCCATCAATATTGTTTGACTTTTGCAAATAACTTTTTGTTATAGTAGCAAAAAGTATTTAGTTAGTTTATTTTATTATACACATAATTTGTTCCTTCCTCTTCCTCATTTCTATTGTTCGGTTTCTAGGTCAAAAGATACATATACATTATGTTGTTGTTTTTTCTCTTCTTTGTGCATTTTTTGCCCATTTTTCAAACGGAAAACCACAAACACTCGCCTTTTGTGATTGATATCCTCTTTTTTTCAGTCAGTTTTCCATAGATTTTATTGCTATCTATGCGTATCGATTTTTTCGCGTTTATATTATTAAATTATGTTTTTTTTGTGGAATGCTGGCTCCATTTCTATATAAATATTTTTACAGATTCCATTATGATGATGGAAAATAATATTGATTTTAATATGAAACAACGACTAGAAGACTTGCAAGTTCAATTAGCATTATCGCAGGATAAGGTAGCTCGATTTTTTATATTCAAATATCCAATCAAAAAATATTTTAGCTGCAAGTCCGAGAAAATGTGATTGCACAGCTGGAAGAGGAGATTCAAGGAAAGAAAATATTGATTTTCGAACAGAATCATTTGATAAGTATTTTGGAAAGTGAAGCTGCATCACAACAGCAACATATGCAGGCTATCAAATGTGATAATAATAACAAATATGATACGGTAGGTTGATTTTCATTAATGGGAAACATGGAAAATATGAAAGTATATTTCAAATGTGTTTTTCAGAAAATTTAAAAATATTTCAATTATTATATTTTTATTTCCATTCCGTTTAAAAAATTGTTTTTTTCATTCATGATACTGGTTTACGTTAAAAAATACATAAATTTTTTGAAAATTGACAAAAAAATTTCGACCACGGCAGGACTCGAACCTGCAATCCCCAGATTCGAAGTCTGGTGCCTTATCCATTAGGCCACGCGGCCACATTCTTTTCCATACAAAATGTTCGTCACTAGAGCGATGAAAAAATATACAAAAGGAATATTTTGTGGAATACAATACATAGATAGAATTTTTCATGATAAAATTGATTTTCCAGTTCAGTATTCTTGTTCGTTGGCTCTGAGTTTCCATAACTTAACTTTTCCAACGATCAAAAAAGTTATTTCTGAACTCAAATTTGGTCTTCAAATTTTTCTCGGTTAAACAATTTTGAGGTGTTTTACTCGTGATTTTCCGGTTCAAATAGTTTTATCCCAATTTGCTTTTTTGATCTCCGGAAATTTCAATTTTTCAAAAAAAAAAATTCGAACAGGGGCCTTTCGGGGCTGTTTAAAGTAAAAAATAATTCTGTTTTCAGGAATCCCTCGCCAGTGAGAGTGAAATCACAGTAATCGAACGAGAAATCGTTGCATCAAGCAGTTCCACATCACCATGCTCTTCTGAAAAATCAATGCCAACAAGTAGCAGCGACATTTTCCGAACTGGAGAATGCATAAAGAATTGTAGATGCCAACATAAATTCGAACAGGTTAGTGGAGCTTTTCTGAAGTTTTGAATCTTTACAGACAAATGAACCTTTTTTAATTTGGTCTAAATTGGATCAGTTTCTTAAATTATTTGTAAAAAAATAAAATTACAGTTTCCATGTTGGCGTCCGTTAGTAAGTTGAAACATGCAAACCCTTAGCTAATCCTGAAACTGATAAACTCCGCTTCAAAAAACCATTTTCCAAAATCACCATGTTTTCAATCTGAAAAATACATTTATTCCAGGCGATGGTTGAGCGAGAACGACTGGAGCTGCAAAATGAACAATTATTGAAACAATGGGAGGAAGCTCTTGAATATGTGTCAAGTGTAAGAATTTCTTTTAGAAAATTTGATCTCAGAAGTATGATTTTGAAGTAAATATCAAAAAAAAACTTTCAGGTCCAAAGGCAACTTCAAGAAGAAATTACTCGAAATACAACTCTGAAACATCAAATGAATGAAAGAGAACGAAATGATATTGTTGAGATTCCGAGAAATGTGATGAACCTCATTGCTTTCATTGTTGTGATTATTGGATTTGTCCTTTACCGTTTGTAATTGTTCGATTTTTTTTTCATTTTTTCATTCTCTCATTTTTTGTTGATTGGTTAACTTTACATGTACACAAGGTTCTAGGGTGGGTAGGAAGCAGGTCATCATTTTTTTTTTTGGAAAATCATAAAAATTAAAAAAAATATATATTTAGGCATTTTTCGAATTTCGAAAAATCTTTAATTCAAGATTTCATCAATGTTTTGAATGTTAATTTTCAATGATGATAACAAACTTTCGGAAATATCGTAGTATTCAACTTAACCATGCTTCCAACTGACCCTGAATTCACCCTCTGACAAATTTCCTACGAGTTTATCTTCGGTATTATTTCCCTGTATTTTTTTTCTGATGATGATTATTTTTTCTCAATAATTTGTTAATTAGTCAAGTTTCAATTAGTCAGGATTTTCTTTCTTCTTTTCTTACAAATAAATATGAAATTGTAACATAAATAAAGACTATAGGTCAAAAACGACAAATGTTTTTGATTTTCCGTGCAAACTGACATATGTTTTTTAATAATAGAACAAGGTTCTCTTGGAATATTTCTGCTTTTTTTCTGTGTATCTTGAAAAAAACCAATATTTGGTTTGGAGCAAAAAAACGTCCGAAAATTCACACTTGTTTTGAGTAGTTTGAAACAAAATTGACATTTTTATGAGCACCAATTCTTCTTTTGATCCAAAACACATGTTTTGTTCTAAATACATATATTTTTACAGCTTTCTCATAGAAATGAAAGAAGAAAGAATCGTTGAAAAATAACAAATCTTTTTCTCTCATTCGGGTCCCAAAAAACTATAAATCGTCAGTCTGTCGCGTTTTTTTCATTCATTTATTTATTTTTTTATTGCTTCATTCACACAAAAAAAATGTGTAGTACATTTGTGTGTTTTGAAGCTTTTAGAGATTTGTTGCGAATTTTTTAGGGTTTTTTTTCGAGGAAAAATGAGAAGTATTTTTTGAGAGAAAAAAGGAAGAGAAGAGGGTTTTGAATAATTCAGAGCAGGTCTCGAAACCTTTTTTGTTTTTTGATTTTTGGATATTTTTTGAAGAACGAATGATCTTTGAGATCAGAGAAAAACACTGTGAATTGTTTTCTTGAAAGCCTAATAGATCCTATTTTTTGAAATTAGTTTTGAAATATTTTTTGACATACTCTGAATTTAAAAAAACCTATTAATTTGAAAATTACGATATAATTGAATTGTTTTGTCATAATATACGATTCAAAATTTAGATGTTTTTGTTGAATATATTTTTACTGAAAATTTGCTTCCAAGAAATTTTTTATAATTCCAGAAAAATGCATTTTCTCAAAATTCTGTTTCAAACCACGTGTTTTTTTTTTGATTTTTGAATTTTTAGTTCCAAATTCCTCATATCAATCATATTTCCTTCTCGTGTGTTTTTTGAAGTTTCTGAATTCAAAAAAAATAATTTTTGAAAACAATCCAGAATTTTTTGGGTTCCATTTTTCAAAATCAAAGTCAAAAACCAGAGAACAAACAATTTATCTCTCAAGCTTTTCAGAAAAAAATTTCGAAGAACATATCAAAAATATTTCCGATTAATTTTGTTTACTTTTTCCAATTTTGGACGCATCTGTCTATCTTTTTTTTCAATTTGATATCTGGAAAAACTTCACGCATAAATACGTTTTTTTTTCGAAAAAAAAATAAAAGTAAAAAAAAAAACATCTGGCATTTTTTGATCGATTCAAAGAATAGTGCATGGATAGAAGGTTCATAAATCTTTCGAGTAAATTTATGCCTTTCTTGATATATGTTCTAGATTTTTCAGCTGAGCCTTTCTGAAAAAAGCGGAAACAACATGTTCTAACAACAAAGAATGCTTGCTTGCCCTTTTGACAATGTATTCATATCCAAAACGAGAGCATTTTTTCTTGAACTGAACTCAATTTTCGTTCTTGCACACACTCGTCAATTTTCCTTTTTTCTTTCCGCGTTTTTTCCAACTCTGGAAAAAAAGTTTTCCATGCACTTGAAAATATAGATAATGTCATTTGCACGAAAAAATCGCTATTCAATTTTTCTCTTGCTTTTTTGTCAGAAACAACAAAAACATCTCTTGGGAACCTTTTTTCCTTGTTTGTTTGTTGCCAAATTGATTTGCAAAAAAAACAATATTTTTTATTTCATTTTTTCTTTTCCTTACATAGAAAAACGAAGGAAATAAGGCTAATTTTTTAGAAAAAGTATAAAAATAGGATGGAGTTTTGCTATTTTTCTAGTCAAAAAGTGCATTTATCTTAAACCGTCGTTTATTTTGTGCAAAAAAACTTCCAGACCATCTTTCTTCTTTTTTTTCTTTTCTTCATCTTCCAAAAAAAAATCCAATTCGTTTTTTTAAATAGGTACCAACCCAGACCCCTCCCATCCTCTTCCTTATTCACTTTTTCTAGTTTCTGTGCGCTTTTTTCCATACATACATACATTCATTTTTTTCGCTGTCGGACAACTTCTGAACAATACGAATTGAATTGAAAATCGCAATTTTTGTTGGAAAAGTGTGACACAAAGTATAAAGGTTAGTTGATTAAGTGACTGGGGGAAGGGTGTCTATTTTTCATATTTTTTTTTGATTTCTTGGCATCGGGAATATCGCGAATGAAGATTTCCATCGGAAATATTCATTTTATAATGATTTTCCGGTTAGGAAATGAACACTTTTTAGGGGATTGAAAATTCACTGATATGCGCTTTGGCGCAAAAAATCTGTTAGTTTAGGATACTGATATGACTTCAATGTCAATTTTGATTTATTCGTATCTCACAGCTTCCCTTGTCAGATTCGTGCGATGAGGATTTTCAAAAATAAAAACATGAAACTCTGAATTGCCTTCTTTGAATAGAATTAAATATAGCATTTTTTGACCCAATTTCAAAAACTAACAGTTAAAAAAAGATTCAAAATTCGAATTGTAGAGTCATGTTCAGAACATCACGAAAATCCGAACATATTTCGCGAAAAAGTCTTCCCTCACCAGAAAAAATGTTCAAGTTCAAAATGTTAAGAATATAAAGTGTTTTTTTTTTTCAAAAAGTATCAGATTTTTTGCCTCAAACCCTGATCCCATTGAGAATTGTTCTCAAATATTGTTTGTCTCTGTTCTGGTCTTGTCTCAATATTCAATATATACACGCATATCCATGTTTTTTCCCAAGCACATCTTCTTCTTCTTTTTTCTGTGCTCGAATCTCATTTTTCACTTGATGTTTGAACAAAGGGCAAAAAAGGCAACAACTCGAGTTTTTTCCTTCTATTGCTTTTCTATTTTCTCCACACATACAACTCAACTCACAAAAATTGGTCACTCTACCATGACTTGTCTCTTTTTTTTGTTGCCAATTTTTCTAGTCTAGAATAGAAAGACATTCCTATTTTCTTCACAATAAAAAAAAAGAAAAAATGGCAACATTTTTTTTTGTCTTGTGCGCTCTAATTGAATGTCAATCTTGTGGGTGGGTGGGTCCGCAGATTTTCTTTTTTGATTACATATACATACATGTTTTTGTTGTTTTTTCTGCTTTCTTTTTCTTTTTAATGAAATTCTTTTTTCTTCTCTCTTACTACTACTAAATTATGCCGAAATATGAGGCTCTTCTGTTTTTTTTGCTTTTCCTCAATTTTTGTCTGCAGGCGTGGGTGTATTCGATTAACTCTAACTCTAACTTTTTTTATTATATGTTTTCTAGTTAATTAAAACCCTTTTTAGTGTGAAAAGTTTATTTGCCATGCCTTTCCTCAAATGCCACCCTCTTCTCATCTGTCACCCCGTTATTTTCAATTCATTTTCGATGAATTCTGAGTTAGCCCAATCTTTTTGCTCCAAAAAATGGGAAAAACTAGGTTTGTGATTATTGAAGGAGGACGAGTGCCATTGAAAAATCGCACGCAATTAGTCATTTTTCAACAGATTTGAGATAAGTTGGGTTGGGTTTGAGAAATACTATTTTTCTATTTACTAGAAGCTACTGTTTGTTTGATTTGTCATTTTCGTTGATCAGATTTTGGTGATATCATATGACCACTTTTTGATTTTTAGAGAGCTTTTGGTTTTGTAAAACAATTATCTGATTTCATTTTCTGATGTTTCTCAAATGAATTATACCTGATTTGAGATTTCGATTCAAAATTTGAAAAAAAAATGATTTCAAAAACAAGATATTCAATTGTTTTTCAACATCGCTTGAATATTTTCAATGTTGTGCCAAAATGTTCATGAACCAATTTTTCTATAACTTAATTGTAAGCTGTAATCAGATTTCAAATTTTCATTATGCATTTGAGGCTCAAAGATTCCAGATGTAATTTCTGATGTTCTAGTATGATTTTTTTTTTTCAAATTTACAGTGTGCTACCGGTTCAAATTTTTAAAGATAGCTTCTGGGTATCTCTAAATCTCTCACATTTTTTTTGAGTTTTTTAGTCCCACTTTACGATATTTTTTTTGGAAATTACTCGAATTTCAATTACTTCAAAAGTATTTATTTTCTAAAAACAATATTTTTGATCTACGATCAAGTTAGTTTATTTGCTCATATTTTTTATTCATATTTATTGTTTTCGATCGCCAAAAATGTCTGGATTCTCATAAAAACCCAAACCAAATTTTCTCTCGTTTTCTTTTCAATCGGTTTCTTTTTTTCCTTCTGAACAACAGGCCGTTAAGATTTTTGCGTTTGAATAATTCAAACGCATCAAAGCAAGCAAACAGAAGCACAAGAATAATATAGATGTGGGGAACGAACGGGGCAAAAAAAACGAAACCAAAGACTATATACATATATAGGCGAGCAGTCTTCTGGAAAATGAAAACGAACGGCTCAATTTTCCATAATCTTTTTTCTTCTTTTTTTCCCTTTTAAGACGGCAACACAATGTTGTTTTTTTCTTCTGCTGATTCATCTGAAAATTTAATGAAAATAGAGGTCAGATGACCTTTAATTGTTCATTTATTCAATTTAAAGCCACCTTAATTCTTAAAAAACAAACAACACTTTTGTGAAAAAATGGCCCGAGTGAGGTAGGTATCAATTTTCATACACTAAAATCTCCTCTGATATGAACTTTGTGTTCTTTTTTCGTATGTGCGAAAAATTGCTATATTATTGAAAATCTGGAAAAATGTGTTGCAGTGAATGTCAGTCAATGCCCTGCGTGCCTAAGCCACAACAAAACACACGGAATGCGTCGTTCAATCCGTCGAACGCACAGTATGCTTGTTGTTTTCAACAACTTCATGCAAATGTGAGTTTTTTTTGAGGAGGTTTGGGAAAATCAAATTTGAAATATTTTTAAGAGTTCTGTATTTGACTTTAAAATTTTTTAAAACTTCCAAAACTCCTTATATTTCAGAGCATCAATAGTTTTACACAAAATTTTGAAAGTTTTTTTTTCAAACCGATTCTCTAGATCAAATGTTTTGATAGTGTATTTTTTGTTTATTTTTTGGACTAGTTCACAATCTTCACCTCCGTTATTTCTTTTTTCATTACCATAGTTCCTAAAAAAAATTGAGATCTTTGTTCATTCTCCAAAATTGTGAAACCCTCATAAATTTCTCTATGACATAAATTTTATTAACTAATACATACATACATGTAATTTATTATATCTACATATATGTTCTTTCCATTAATAAGAACTTTTCTTGATGTATTAAAAATATATCTTGCAATATAAAAGAATATTAGATTGTTTTTTCTTACATTAGAAAAAAGGTCATTTTCAACGGAAAGAAAAGCGAAAAACAAAACAAAAAATAAAATTGAATGAAATAAAATAGAATAGAATAAAATAAATAAAATGGCAAAAAGTGAATCAAATTTGCAGACTGGTGCAACAATTATAGCCGTTTTACATATATTCCTATGTTTGACGATCTATCCAATACTTGTATATTACCTAACTTATCATCCGCAGAAAACATCCGAAACATCTATTAATGATACTACTCCTACAAATTCTTCAGATAATTTAAATACAGAAATGACTAAATTCGAATTATGGGCCGAATGTTTTTTAACCACATTATGCTTAATTACATCAATTATGTTGATTGTAGGATTACGATTAGAAAATCGACAAATACTCACAGGTTATATTCTTGCTCAGGTTAGCTTTATTGATTAATTAATTTATTAATAAATTAATTCAATATAATTCAGACGTTGCTCATTAGTTTATTATTCGTTTTATTTTTGGCTTTGATTATGGGAATCAAACATGGATTATTACACGATTCAAATGGCGATAAAAAAATATCACTACGTAAGTTCATCTTGACTAATTCTGGAAATTATTATTATTTCACTTTCCAAGATTTTCAGATGAAGAGCTATTGATAGTGCTAGAAATATTTGTGACATTGGCAATTGTGACAATAGAAGTGTGGTTTTTGACAGTGGTTCTGAAGACTTATCGATATATTTGCGATAAATATAATTTCACTGGCGGAAATCGTGAAGAAAATGTTTGACGGGCTTTTTACTTCATATATATATATATATACATTTTGAATATTGATTGCAAGAAGATTGGATTTTTTGAATAGTGTGATATTTATACATGTATGATAAAATGAAAATTGATTTGAAAAATATAACTATTTGATCTTTTTTTTCAAATAAGACTTACTCTGAAAGTGACCAGAGTTGGTGGATGACCCGATAATTTGTTCTTGTGGTGTGTTTAAAAATATTTGAAAACATTCAGATAAATCACAAAACTATCAAAAATATGTTTTCCAGGAAAATTTCGTTTTTGAAAATCGAGATATGTTCTTCTCATTTTTCTAAATTATGAATCTTCATATAGAATACAGCTAATAGGGTGATTTAGATCCAGATATTAGGTTTAGTCTTACCCACTTTGAAGTTGTCAACTTTTCATAAGTTCAAAAGGATTCTGAAATATTGGTAATCTAGATTATCCTGCAACTTTCTCAATAAAATCCAAAAAAAACACAACGTTTTGTACCATTTTTATACATGTAGAAGAAAAATGTAAAAGAATCATTACGTTGAATTTGATTATCATAGGAAAGGAGGCAACAAAATGAGTTATTTGCGCAAGAAAAATTTAGAAGAAAACACAGGGAACATGGAATTTTTTTTTTGATTTTAACAATTTTTCAACCAAAATCAATGAAAAGGGCAGGATATTTCGAATAAAAAATTTAAAAAAAAAGGAAAAATATATTAGTTTGATGGAACAGGTGGAAGTTGGGGTTGAGTGACTGACATACGACGCGGGCGATCAGCTTCTTCCATTGAGCTCGACAATGTTCTTTGACGTTCCATTCCAGGAATCGCGACACCCGAGAGAACACCACAACCTTTGCACAATAAAATCAACGAGCGAGCAAGTTTGTCTGGCTGAAAATGTTTCGATTAATTTTCAACTGGTCGCCTCTAAAAAACATACAGCTTCTTGCATGACATCCGATGCATTATCGACAACCAAAAGTGTTGTTTTTTTCTTATTCATACTTTTGTGAGTTGTGTACACAGTGTGCAAATGTGGAGTCTTTGATCCGGTGACGAGCAATGCATCAACTCTGAAAAATATATGTGATTGCCTCGGGCTGTTTTATGATGTATGTGGATAATGATGAAGAAGTTCATGGTGGTCTTTTTAGTTCAAGAGAAACGTTTTGAGGGATCAGGAAGTTTTAGATGAGGATAGATGTTTTTTAGTTAATTCTAATAAGATTTTTTTTGGAAAGAAAGATTCATTAAAGTTTTTTTTAAATAAAATCTGTGAAGCTTCTATAAATTTCAAAATCCCAAAAACCTACTGCTCAAGTTTTGTTCCGATAGTCGATGACAAATCAGTTCTCTTTGTGAATGCAAGCAAATATTTCGACAAATTTTTGGCATTCAATGTCCCTTTAAGCTCTTCGATATACTCTTGACGAGATTTCCCTTCCTAAAAAAATCATAATTTTTTTATCATTCTCAATTTTATGATAAATCTACAGGTTGACATCTAAAACTACAAAAATACATATATATAAGTAAATATGTACTATACATAGTAGTAAATCACATCAAATCACACAAGCAATGTGTTTACCGCCGCTCAAAACATAAAACCTGCGTATTCAAACTCACATCAGCCTGTAAACGTAAAGTTAGTATTTTTTTTGTTGAAAAATATGTTAGAGAAGCTGTGTTTTTATTTACGACACTGAAGTTTGATGTTAAATTTTTGCATAAATTTCTTACCCCTCCAAATTTGTGAGCCAAGAGATAGTCCCAAGCTCCATCCGACATGATCGAGTTTTCCAAACGCATGTTCATGACCTTAAAAATGATAGATGAATATTGATAAGTTTTTGTTTGTTCCGAAAATTCTGATAAAATCATTGAAATACCATCGATTTCAAAAATAAATCTATTGGACACACGAGAATTTTCAGAGGTCATGCTGTACATTTTTTCATGAAAAGTTTAGGTTTCATTGATTTCCAGCGAATTCGATGAGATTTTTCAAAAATAATTTCTACAATGCAAAACAGTTTTGGGATACTTTCTCTCCAGATTATCAAAAAATACAGAGTTGGAAAACTATTCAACAATGACCACCCGATTAGTTATAACAATTCCAATTCCCTCTTTCAAAATGTTCTCATGATAAACTCATTTGTCCCACAAAAATATTTGTGACGTAAAATGTTCTCAAGATTCAAAAAATCGACCCGACGCAAAATTTGATCTCTCAAAATTTATCACAACACATGTTTCATCAATTTGATATTTTGCAAATTGGATTTCTCAATCATCTTTTTTGTTTCAATTTTCCAATTGAAATCAATGATGAAACCGACCTTTTCTTTGCAATATTCAATTATTCCAGCTGTTGTGGATGTGCAATGAACAAGAACGATGCCCATAATTCGGTTTGGTTGTCCCATCTGCAAATATAATTAACCAACCATCAAATAGACAGACGAAAATAAAAATAAATGAAAGAACATGCGATGAATGAACTTACTGCAAATCTGCAAATAATGTTGGCACCCACTCCTTCGCCAAAGGCGATTGCAGATTTAACATCGAATTTGTCAAGAACATATGTCAAATCTTCCCCGATCTGATCGAGTGATGGGAATCTGAAACGATAATTGTTTGAGATATGAAGAGTAAAATTTGATTAGAATTATTCAAATTTTCATATAAATATTTTTTTGCAACGCGAAAAACTCAATTATTCAAATAAAGTTTTGCAAAATTTGAGCTTCAAAGAAAATCACGGTGTATTTTTTCAAATACATTTGTTAACCGAAAACCCTGTAACTTTAATTTAAAATTGCAATAAAATTCTTAAAAGTTTAAAATATAAAATACATGAAACGTTTTTCCTCTATCAATGAGTCGGAAAATTTGTCCGTTAAAAATCTTTATTCAAATTTTTACAGGCTCAAAAATTCAAATTTGGGAGTTAGGAAGGAACTATTCATTTGTTTGGAACTTGGAGAGAAATTGTCATCTTCAAAATTTCATGTTTGGAAAATCGGAATTTATTTCACGCAGATCTTGCAAAACTTTTCATGATCCATGTTTATTATGAGTGTTTCAAAAATTAAATTTGATCTCGAGAAATATAACCTCAATACAACCTCAACTACAAAAAATCAGCCCCTAACTATAAACGATATAAGCCAAAAGTTAATTTCCTATTTTTCATCTCTGAAAATGTTATTGGTTCGGTTTTTAGCCTTCTCCACTCCGATATTCTATTTTTTCTAGAAAATATGACTTCCTGTCGTGTAAATAAATAAATAACAACTTTCTCAATCCCATTTACTCCGAAAACGTGATTTTTGAACTGCTCAACTTGTTTCTTCAAATATTGACAAAGAGTTCACATGTTTTTCTATCCCTAAACATTTCGAAAAAAGTTTTGAAAAAAACACGCAAGCATTTTTTCTTTTTTCATCCACTCGAGAAGGTTATTTCATTCTTTTTTTCCAAGAAGAAGTGAAAAACGGAATAAAGAGACTCGTGAGAAAAGAAAAAATAAAATTTGAATAAAATACATTTTTAGTTGAATAGGAAGAAAAAAAACGTACTCTCCGATGTAATCAGCAGAATTGTCTTCTTGACCAGGAACACAAACGTGCAAGAAAATTGCCTTTTCTTTGACAGCAGCCATGCTTGGATGATTGACAAATCGCACGAAACTCTTATCTGAAAAAGTCACATTATTTGAGGCCAAACAAGCCTAGGTTCTGATTGGATCATAGTTTTGATCTACAGGAATTGTTACGATTTACTGTATCCCACAAATCCCAAATTTGATCTCCTAAAAATCATTATTTTCTTTTTCTAAAAAATATTCTCATAGTTCCTGGTGCTCGCTGAGCAAAGCGAAACCACTTTAATATTAACTAAATATCCTTTTTTCCGCGCAGCTGGAATTTTTCTCACAACTGCGATTTTTATTTTTATACTTTTTTGCAAAAATACCCCTGATAACAACGTCTATCATGAGAATTCCAAAAGCAAAGAATTTTCTCAGACAAAAACAATTGAAACAATAGGAGATACTGTAGTATGTATGACAAGAATTGTTTTTAGATAAAAAAAAGGAAAAACAAAAGGGCATGAAAAATGTGATTTGGACTTTTCGAGGGTACTGTAGATTTGGACAATTTCACTGAAATCGTAAAAATAAAGTTAAGACTTTTGGAATATGAGTTACAGTAGATCAAGATGTATAAGACATCAAGGCGTTTACTGTTTTTGGAAAGTATATAAAATTCAATGTTTTATCTATAATGCTATCACAGCCCTTCCTGGATTCTCAAACCATCTGAATAATTTTTAAATGAAAAACAACTCACGATTGGTTCCAATATCATGAACGGTCAAAATGATAGTTTTTCCAGCACGTTCCTCGATGTTTCCTTGCACATAAACATGAAGCACACCAGAGTTTGGCGCTTGCACCACAACCATTTGAAGTTCATCCGCCATTTTTCCAAAATTTGGATTTGGTTTTCGATTTTACTAAAAATATATATATTGGAACATGTAAAAATAGCAGCCAAAAAATGAGAGAAAGATAGAGAGAAATTTTGGAAAGAAGGAATGGAATGAAATGGGCGGAGCGTTTGAGGAGTTTTTTTCGGCTTTTGCCCGCCTGACCAAAAAAAAACTAACTACACAATTTTTTGTGGTATGGAACATGGAGAAATCAACAAACAAGAATGGGGAATTAGTGAGAGAGAGGGAATTTTGGAGTCGAGAAAATTAGTTTAGTTCAGTTTTTTCAGCTGTTTTTCTTGTTTGTGTGTTAGGATCAAGAAATAGTCTAAAAATAAATTTGTTTTTGGGTTCATTTTGTTTGAAGCGGCTTAAAATGCTTGATTTATGGAAGTAATTTTGAGAAAAGACTTTGGTGGCTTAAAGTTCTTTTTGGAAGTGAAAAATAATTTTTTCGAAATGTCTATTGGGATTTTTCTAATTTCTGAAAAAAGTAAGAACAGAGAAAAACATCTAGAAAATGAATAAGAATAAAACACATTGCTTTTTAAGAATTGAATAGATTCCAAAGATTACTAAGTTCGAAAAACATAAACTTATCCAAAAACCAAAGCCAGAATAATTTGTAAAAATTTGGAATGAAAATATAGAAAAACGGAGCGAATCGTCTCATAAAATTATAGAAATGGTTTCCAATCGTCATTTATATGCAAAATTTTAGATCGATTTTTTGCTAGCAAACCCATAGACTTCATTGAATAATTCTTATTTTCACTATTAGATTTATCGGGGGAAAATTTTCATGAGAAATTTTTTCTAACACAAAAATAAAATATTTAATTTTTTGTCATGTCAAATAATAATGATTGCGAAATGAGAAAAAGAAAACTCTAGAAAATCCTATTTCAGAAAAAAATTAATGCCATTTAAAAAATCAGAATTATTGCGCAATTTCTAAAAATAAAACATTTCCTCGTGTTAGACAAAAAATGTATCATACCGGAATAAAAACATCCGATGAAATTTGAGATATGTTTTGATTTTCGATTTTCGGATATTTGTATTCGAAAGAATTTCGTATATACAAATTTTCAAATAAAAAATGCACTTTAAGTATTTTAATATATCTCCTCTATATTTATTATTTTGGAAATATTATTTCCAAAAAAATAAAAGAGAAAATGATAGACGTAACGTAAACAAAATATTTTGGAGGGAAAAGGCGAAAAATGCTGGTGCCAAAACGAGAAAAAAAGTAACTCGCGGAGCAACATACAACAACAACAGAAGAAGAAAGAAAATAGAAAATCAAGAGAAAAAGATGGCAAAAAATATATAAGAAAAGATGGGGTGTGACGGACGGACGAAGAAGACGAGGGAGTTGTAGTAGAAGAGAAGAGTGAGTTGTTTGGGCCTCTTTTTTCGAGGCTCTTCTCCTTTTCTTCTTTGAGCCAACTAGTGCTCCTCTGGTGCTTTTTGGAAAAAAAAGAGAGAAAAGAAACCACTTTTCTCGTTTTGCAAATTTGTCATATTAATTATTCCCAAAAATTTTTATTTCATAGATCAATTCAAAGGTGGAAATTTAAATTTAAAATTCAATTTGAAAAAATGATTCAATCGCTAGAAATGCGGCGAACAACATGAAGACCGTTTCGAAGGAATGGAGTGCCAAGAGAATCGTCTGGAAAATGAATAAAAAATTGAATTTTTTGTCGCGAATATCACATGAGCCCTCCTTCTCCGGAAAACAAATTTTCTACTACATAGGAAAAACATGTTTTTTGGAAGCCTCGTGACATTGTTTTTACTAAACCTGGTATTAGAATTTGGATTTTTTGGTGTTGACAATTTTAAAATGTGTGGGATGTTGGTTACATAAATTATGAGAAATAATGTTCTAGAACTTCGCAATTTTGAACATTTATTTTTGGAATGTGTGGGATAATTGGAGGTGTTTGAGTCAGACGTATTTTCCGGTGAAAAATGAGGGGTTTGACGAACATTTCTGATTGAGATTTGTGTATTGGAATAAGGAAAAATATAACATGTCTCGCTCTAGAAGTTCCTTATTGAAAAATTATCTGAACTCTCAAAATTTTTGCATTTTTCTAAATGTGTGAGGTCAAACACCACATAAGCTTTATCATTTTTGTTTATGCTCTTTTATCTATGCAAGATACATATGTTTTCTTGTGATTCCACATGTTCAAACTTCACAAAATAAAGAAAAAACGCCAAATCTAGAAAAAATGTTCCTCTTTTTGAGAATTTCGAAATTGTCCAAAATTGCATCATTTTTCGCAGAATTCATCAATAATTTTATGAGAAAATGGGGACCAATTTTTTTGCATAATTGATGCAATAATTTTTTTCTGATGTGATGTCCGATTTAAGAAACTAAAAATTGATTTTTGAAAAAAGGTGTCCAAAAAATATTCACCCTGTGTTGAGTTCAAAAACATTCAAAATCGGGACCGATGTCTGTGGTTCGATTCAAAACCGCTTTCTGAATGCGAATAGTTGTTTAGTTCGAGAAAATTAGGAAACTGCTAATTTAGTAAATCTCATTGTTTAATGTCTGAACTGGAAAAGAAAAAATATTTTCTCAAAAATCTGGAAGTGAAAATTTCAATATGAACCCCATTTTTTTCAAAAAAATTAACTCACTCATCAACGAGAAGTCAAAGTTCAATGTCAACACATTTTCGCCATTTCTCAATTTGATTATCTGATTGAATTGTCCATGAGCATCGGTTGTTGTCAATGTTGCATTGAATTGGCTCTCCGAATCATCTAAAATATTTTTTAGTAAATATTTAAAGATTTCTTAAAATTCTCACCTCCTTCTTTCAAAGTCACATCCTTGACAGTCAATTCACCATTATCAGCGCCTTCAAAAACATAAGCCGATGAAATTGGAGCCTTGAAAGTGACCGTATATTCATGCTCTGTCTGGAAATTTGTTTTTGACAATCAAAGATCAGAAAAAAAGTTGCGTGGAATTTTTGATATATCTTTTTTATGTCAATGCATTTTCAAGAGCATCGAAGATCAACATTTAAAGAAATCTTATTTTTAGAACTAGTTATTATTCGTAAATATTGAGGTGCTCCAGATTCTTCAGAAACTCTTGGATAATGAAACAATTTCAGAAAAAAATAGTAGTTTAACGAAAATCAAACTTATCCCAGAAAAATCTCGAATGTTCTGTAGTTGGGCTCATTCCCTATTTTACATTTTTCGATGATTATTCTATTTATTTCTGTTAGTATAGCATTTTCAGCCACTTTTTACAGTAAAACATTTCATCTCAACCAAAACATGAGAAAAAATAAAACCCACCATCAAAATTCCGAGTTGAACATTGATTGTTGTTGAATCTTGCGATCCTTGCGCCACCACAATTTCACCGCTGTGACTCTCATCCTCTGCATTTTTAAAGTGCACGTGATTAGTCATGGTTTGTTCTGAAAAAATGCAAAATTTTTGTTTGAAAAAAAGAAAGAACAAAATTGAGACGTATTGTGTTCAAATTAAATATTCATATTTTTTCGTTCTTGAGAAACAAAATTATGAATAAAACTATTATTATGTATATTTTATAAGGAAAGAAATTGGGTCAAAATTGGTGATAAAAGGGTGTGTCATGTGGCGTTGACTAAACTAAAATGAAATAATACAAACAAGGTTGTTTTTCTTTTTTCTTTTCTTTCGGAAAGAGAAAAATTCAAAAAGAAAAGAAAAAACCAAGTGCAGTTTGTTGTTATTATTCAAAAAAAGACAAAAATAAGAAAAAAGAACGCGCGCGCGCGGGAAAAAACAAATGGTGTTGTTGAGTAGCAAAACTTTTTTGTTTCTATCTTATGCCAACACCACAAGGTTTGGGGTGGGAGAGAGTGTGGGAAGTGGAGAGAGCGGGAAAGAAAAAAGAAAGAAAATAGGGGTTTCTGGGAAAATTTTGGAAGGTAAGGGCTTCGGAAAAGGAAAAAGTGTTTTTGATTTATTGTCTGGATGAATTCGATTCTGTTCATAGAAATTATTGTTATTTGTTCGGTACGGGACAAAATTGTATCTAAAATTCGGTTCTCAGTTTTTCTTCTCGACTGAAACTGTTTTCTGAAAAAATCCGATTTTTTCAAATAAGATTCCAAAATAAATTTGTTACTGAAATTGTTGAAAAACTAGGTTTTCTAGAATTCAAATAAGTCGAAAACAGGTGTTTTTTGATTAAACTAGAAATTTTGTCACACTCCAGAGAATATATTTTTTGAGGATTTATAATTTAAAAAAAATCGTCACAAATCATATTTCACAGGAAAATTGCATTCAATATTTGATTAGTTAATTTTTCGAGGAATTCGTGAGAAAAATTTATTGAATGTGAGATAAATTTAACGAACACATTACTGTATTCCCTGAGGATACTTTTCAGAAAAACAAATATTTTCTATCTGCTAAATATAAGATTTTCAAAAAAAATAGATGACGTCTGGTAAATACAACAAAATCTGCAAAAATGTGCCCTTTCATTATTCAAAATCTGAGCTAATTATTAGGACTATTTTTGTCTAGCAAATATTTTTCGAAAAAAAAAGAGAAATTTTGGAGAATTGAGATACGAAAATTCTGCAGAAGATTAATCGTCATGTTTTGAAACATGGGAACTCAAAAATTTAAGCTTCCTATTTATTTTTCTCGCAAAATGTTCTTGAGACCAAAACAAGATGCTCTGGAAACCCTGAAATTAGAATTTCACTTCAAAATAAATCAGAGAAGAGTTGGTTTTTTGCTCAATGAAAAAAAAACTTGGGTCAAAATACTCATAAAATCACACTCTCTCTTTTTTCCTCAATTTTCTGTTGAGGAGAAACATATTTTTCTGATCTTTGGAATTAGATAAAAAGTTTCAAAAAATATGGGTAGATAAATTCAATAGGAAAAATTGCCAATGAAAAACTAAACTGAACATTTGACAGAAAAAAATGTCGAAAAACTACATATTCTATGACATATTGATAAAAAGTGTAAAGAAAAAAGTGTATTTGAGAAAAATCGGAAACTGCTGAATTTCCGATAAAGTGTTTTGAAAGCGGATTATTCGAAAAATATATGTATTCACTGGAAAAAAACTACTAGAACAAATTACTAATCCACTAAATTGCTTCGGCAAGAAAAAGTGCAAAATTATAGAAAATGTTTTTGGTTGATAGAATAGACAAATCTATCTATCTGTGTTTTTTTTTTTAGAAAAAAATTTGTTTTTGAAAAATTTATTATTATTTTAGATAAAGTCATGCAGGTGAACAAAATATAAAAATAAAATTCACATTTTATTAAAGTATTCACACACATGCATTTTCAATTTGCAAACTCGAAACGTTTTTTTAGTTCTAGCTTTAGCTTTAGCTTTAATCCATTTTTTGCTGAAAAAATTCTGACGTAAATAAAGATCAGACAAAATCGAATTTGAAAAAAAGAGAGAGAACGCAAAAGAAGTAATTAGAAAATGGAACACGATGAGTGCATAGAAACATTTGTTATTTCTCTGATAAAAATTGAAAAAAAAATATAGATAACCAACATGTGAAAAAAAAATAAAATTGTATGAATTTTTTTAATACATTTTTATTTTTTTTTGAGAAAAATGGGCGGTCCACTTTACGATTATGAATTTTTGAACTTGGAATAAAAAAGTTCGGAAAAAAACGAAACTGAAGAAAATTGGTCATATGTATATTGACAAAACTTCCTGGAACGAACGTTTGATTGAAAAAATTTGAAAGTACAGCAGCATCTAGAAAATGTCTGAATAAAATGAATTTGATACTCTGAATGCAAGCGTATATGAAGCCTTAAAGTTTTAGATTAGGAATTTCTGAAATTTTTGTATTAGTAAAAAAAACTTTGAACTTTAAAACTGAACTTAAAAAGATGTCGGTTAACTCGTGTGTTCTTTTTTATAACTTCATTTTTCAGACTACAAAAAACGTCTGTAGACTTTCAGAAAATGAAGTGAGCTACGGTAAGTAACACACAACTCTTCTCTACAAATGTTCCACTCTACGACTCCAATTTTCAAGAACAAAATAAGTCTAGAAGTTTTTTTTGAAATAGTACAGATCTACAGTAATTCGGCCAAAATACAATTGTTCTCAACGGGTTGTCTACTTTACAACTATAATTTTCCAGAACTGAAAACGTGTGAAGATTTTTGCAATTGTTCTTCACCGGCGGTCTACTATACGAATTAAATTTTCAGAAACCAAAACATGTCTGGAGACTTTTTATAATGTTATAAATCTACAGTAAACTCAATATTAACAATTTTTCAATTCTAAAAACCTCACATCAAAGATCAAAAAGAATGTTACCAGAAAAATGCAAATAGGTTTCAAATAAAATGAAATCGGGGCGATAACAATCTGAAAAGAGCATATCTGCAGAGTGAGCCGCGAAAAAAAAGAATAATGTGATGCCCTTTATCCCCATGAAACCCATATCCGCCTCTCGCAGAAAAAAACATATGAAAAAAATAAAAAAGGAAACATTTCGAGTCGCATAAAAAATTGAATTGTCGCAAAAAATGTGAAGATTTTCCCTCTTGTTATTTATTCATGATTCATGTCTATAGAAAAAACAAATTTCTCTCACCAAAAATTTTTATTAATAATTTCGGTTACATTTTAAAAATAAAAAATGAAAAAACACAAAAGGGGTCAAGGAAAAACATAGAAACAGAACAAAAATATTTCTCGTTGCTGGAAAAAAAAGTTGTTGAAAGTCGTCGTGTATTCTGTCCCTATGTGAAAAAACCTTGCAAAAAAAGTTTTTCGAGAAAAAAAGGTGCAAAAAGTCAAAAAAAAAATCATAATAAAAGTGGGATAACAATAAAAAGTGCGTCAACATGAAGAATCAAAAACTCACAGAATAAAAAAAGGAAAATAAATATAATTTTTTTGGGTTGATTTTGTTTTCAGAAAAATTGGGGGGATGCCAGAAGAGCAAAGGGCAGGGGGAAACAAATTATTAATGCCTATTTGCCTATTTTTTGCATTTTTCAAAATATTTTCTAATTTTTTTGGGGTTTATATGTATATTGATAATGATAATTATGAATGTTGAACATAAATAAATAAGGGAATAATGAATGATGTTGATATCGTGTTTTTTTTCGATTTTGAATTGTGTGAGATTTTTATTCATTTTTTTTGTTGGGGGATTTTAAATTTAAAAAAGATGTTCTGCGAAGACGATGATTCTAATTCCATTTCACCGCATTTTTCTTGGCCTTTCTAGCATCAGCAATCTGTTGCCGTTCCAATAATCGTTGTTCTTGAGAAATATTGGATCTCATGCCAAGTTGGCTTTCGACCATTCTCCGAGCCACTGATGCATTTGTCAGTTTTTTTCTGGAAAAAGTATATTTAGAGTGTGAAATCTAGAAAAAAAACATATAATTTTTCAAACCATGTCTCTTATAATATAAAATTGTGCTTTATAAATTTTCAAATGTTACTCACCTTCCCATAAACATTCGTTTCTCGTTTTCTCTTGCCGCATCTTGCACATTCTTCGGCGAATTAATCAACGCTCGAACACGTAACCAATCATGTCTCGGCATTGAGAGCATTGCTTTTGCTCTTGCCGGATTCTCAAAAGCAACCAACACAATTTTTCTTTCGATCCATTTCACATTCGAATCACCGTACCCAATATTTTCTAATGTTCTAACAACATCTTCTTGCATTTTATATTCTGGAATTCCATAGATCTCCAAAACATTTGGAAGATAATTCGGATCCCAATTAGATGTTGAGGGAGTTGATGCAGCATTCATCATTGCCGTCACTTTTTCTTTCTTTTTGCTTGTTTTTGCGACATCTTTGAGTAATTTTTCCATCTGAAATTATAACAATTTATTTTTGGAAACATCCAAATCAGGTAAAACTTACTCTTTCTGTGATATCATTATCATCTGCAGTCTCCCAATCATCTAAAACATCATCTTCTTTAATTGATTTCTCTTTTAATTGCTCCATCTTTCCTTCTAAAGAGCAGCGTGGGAATTTGATTTTCTTGGCTGATGGTGGATGTGTTGATTGTTGTGAAGAACTTCTAAATTGTTCTTCAGATGTTGTTGAGCTACACGGTTCTTCGTTTGAATATCCGGGACCAACAAAAAGTTTTTCAACAACGTTTACAGCTAATTCCTCACTCTTGTCGTCGATTTCAATATCTGATAGGATGTCTGGAATTTCTTCTTCGACTTTTGTTATATCTCTTGAGAATGATCGATCTCTAGATGTACTTTGTCTTTCGGGCGTCGAATGAAGCGATGAGCTCAAATCTAAAAATAAAATATTATTATTATCTAAAAGTGAAAAATTAATTTCCCTTTTAACTCACCGTAATCCGATGGAAAAAGTGGTTTAAATTTGTCAAACCCGCTGGTTGCGTCACAATAGTCTTTAATACTTATAGCCGACGGAACAAGTGGTCGTTTGAACGCGGAAGTCGAAGGAACTGCTGAAAAAATGAACAATGATAGAAAAAACTTATTGACATAATGTTTGAGCACTTACCGTACGGCGGTAAATTTGAAATCGGATATGAATCACGTCTTAATGTGGTGGCTGTTGTGTTGTAGATTTGTTGATGACTTGCTTCGCTTAGTTTGCGTTGAAGAAGAGCATCAGATTTGGGAGTGAGCACTGAAAGAATTATTGATTTAGGAAAGAGGCGGAGTTAAAAGGGAACGGGGAGCGGATTTTTTGGAGTCAGATTTCGCTCAAAATGGGGATTACTGTAAAGTTGGTTTACTGATTTTTGTCGATGCTTTTCAAATCTTCGAGGATTAATTTGAAAAATTGAAATATTCTGAAAGCATTCGTAACTAATTTAGACATTTTAGTAAGTTCTGAATTTCTAAAATCGTAATATTGCACTGAAAAATTTCATAATACTAACTTATCACCAAAATTTTTTGATAAAAACCAAAGTTCGGAAAAAAATCCATATTAGTCTTTTCTTTTTAACTCAAAAATAATCAAAAACAAATTCGAAAAAATTCTAGAGATTTCAAGAACTATAGAAACTCTCCTAATCTAGTCCACTGCGAAAAAAAATCATAACAAAAAATTGGCTAATCTTCAAACTCACAAGGTGTAAATCCGGTTGGATCAAGTGACGTTTGCAAAAACAACGGTGACGTCGCCGCAACTTTTATCGTATTATTTTTTTGTTGCTGTTGTTCTTTTTCTTTTTGTTGTTGCGCTGCCAAAGACGCAGACAATTTTTTGGCGTAAGCAGGCCTTAAAGATGGCGTCGGATTTCCACTACTGCTCTCCGAATATGTAGTGTCCTGAAATTGGAGATAAGATGAGAGTCAAAAGGTTTTCGAAAGATCTCGATGCTCTCGATTTTTTGATTAATATATCAATCTAGAAAAAACTTCAAATAATGAAGTTGTGGTCAGGAGATAAGATGAGAGTCAAAAGGTTTTCGAAAGATCTCGATGCTCTCGATTTTTTGACTAATTTATCAATCTAGAAAAAACTTCAAATAATGAAGTTGTGGTCAGGAGATAAGATGAGAGTCAAAAGGTTTTCGAAAGATCTCGATGCTCTCGATTTTTTGATTAATATATCAATCTAGAAAAAACTTCAAATAATGAAGTTGTGGTCAGGAGATAAGATGAGAGTCAAAAGGTTTTCGAAAGATCTCGATGCTCTCGATTTTTTGATTAATATATCAATCTAGAAAAAACTTCAAATAATGAAGTTGTGGTCAGGAGATAAGATGAGAGTCAAAAGGTTTTCGAAAGATCTCGATGCTCTCGATTTTTTGATTAATATATCAATCTAGAAAAAACTTCAAATAATGAAGTTGTGGTCAGGAGATAAGATGAGAGTCAAAAGGTTTTCGAAAGATCTCGATGCTCTCGATTTTTTGATTAATATATCAATCTAGAAAAAACTTCAAATAATGAAGTTGTGGTCAGGAGATAAGATGAGAGTCAAAAGGTTTTCGAAAGATCTCGATGCTCTCGATTTTTTGATTAATATATCAATCTAGAAAAAACTTCAAATAATGAAGTTGTGGTCAGGAGATAAGATGAGAGTCAAAAGGTTTTCGAAAGATCTCGATGCTCTCGATTTTTTGATTAATATATCAATCTAGAAAAACTTCAAATAATGAAGTTGTGGTCAGGAGATAAGATGAGAGTCAAAAGGTTTTCGAAAGATCTCGATGCTCTCGATTTTTTGACTAATTTATCAATCTAGAAAAACTTCAAATAATGAAGTTGTGGTCAGGAGATAAGATGAGAGTCAAAAGGTTTTCGAAAGATCTCGATGCTCTCGATTTTTTGACTAATTTATCAATCTAGAAAAAACTTCAAATAATGAAGTTGTGGTTAGGAGATAAGATGAGAGTCAAAAGGTTTTCGAAAGATCTCGATGCTCTCGATTTTTTGACTAATTTATCAATCTAGAAAAAACTTCAAATAATGAAGTTGTGGTCAGGAGATAAGATGAGAGTCAAAAGGTTTTCGAAAGATCTCGATGCTCTCGATTTTTTGATTAATATATCAATCTAGAAAAAACTTCAAATAATGAAGTTGTGGTCAGGAGATAAGATGAGAGTCAAAAGGTTTTCGAAAGATCTCGATGCTCTCGATTTTTTGACTAATTTATCAATCTAGAAAAAACTTCAAATAATGAAGTTGTGGTCAGGAGATAAGATGAGAGTCAAAAGGTTTTCGAAAGATCTCGATGCTCTCGATTTTTTGACTAATTTATCAATCTAGAAAAAACTTCAAATAATGAAGTTGTGGTTAGGAGATAAGATGAGAGTCAAAAGGTTTTCGAAAGATCTCGATGCTCTCGATTTTTTGATTAATATATCAATCTAGAAAAAACTTCAAATAATGAAGTTGTGGTTAGGAGATAAGATGAGAGTCAAAAGGTTTTCGAAAGATCTCGATGCTCTCGATTTTTTGACTAATTTATCAATCTAGAAAAAACTTCAAATAATGAAGTTGTGGTCAGGAGATAAGATGAGAGTCAAAAGGTTTTCGAAAGATCTCGATGCTCTCGATTTTTTTTTTCGGTATGCGACTGAAATTCGATATGCGACTGAAATTGAAAACTGTGAACTCTTGGATTCTTGTGACTACAAACAGTTAGTGGAAATAGTGAAGGAATGTGCAGAAAAAGCATCGAATCCAGTGAAAAAAGATGGAAAAGTAAGCATTGAAACTATAGAATTGCTGAAAAAACGAAAATTGCTGCTCCATTCAAGTTCAAGCACCAGCAATGAAAGAAGATCCATCTCAAAAGCAGCGCGAGAATCATTGAAAAAAGATATCGATCAATGGAAGTGTCAAATGATCCAACGAGTGGTTGAGAAAAGAAAAAGCATCAAAAAGATGTATCGCAGGATGGAAGATAGAAAAGAATTATTCGGAAAACTGAAGCTGGCGGATGGTTCTACAACAGCAAATCGATCAAAAATCAAGTCCGAAATTAAAGATCACTTCACACAGCAGTTCAAAAATCTTGGCCAAAGAACCCAAAAGACCAACGGAAAGCCAAGAAATCCATTCCCAATTTTGATTGAGGAAGTGAGCTCTGCAACAAGAAAATTGAAATCGGATTCCGCTATGGGGCTAGATAGAATTGGAGGTGATATGCTGAAACATGGAGGTGATAAATTGCAGAAAAATCTTGCCAGATGCTTCAACAAACTGAACGAAAACGGAAATTATCCACCAGAATGGAATGAAATTCGCATAAAATTGCTGGAAAAGAAGATAAACCCGGAAACCTTGAAAGATGTTCGCCCGATTTCCATTCTTTCAATCCCTGGAAAAGTGTTCACCAAAATAATGACAAAGCGAATGGCAAGAAATGCGGAAAGTTATCTGGATGAGACCCAAAATGGATTTAGGAGTGGAAGATCGTGCTCAGAAAATCTACAATCCATCACTTGCCTGTGGGAAAAATGCCATGAATACGATCTGCCGCTGGTTCTCACTTTTATCGATTATCGTGCGGCGTTTGATTCAATATACTGGAGTGCAGTACAAGAAGGAGTATTGGAATCAGGATTTGATTCACAATATATGGAAGCCATAAAAAGCTGCAACGAAATGGGCACAGGAGAGATCGAGATTTTCGGAGAAAAACTGAGAATACCAGTGGAAAGAGGAGTTAGACAAGGCGATTCTTCCTCGCCTGCGCTTTTCGCAATTGCGCTGCACAAACTCTTGAAAGAAGCCGATCCACTACCAGAAAATGACGATGAGGAGAATTTTGGAATACGGGTCGACGGCAAATACATTTCGAGACTATTATTTGCAGATGATCTCGTTCTAATCGACAAAAATCCAAAAGATGCCTCGAATCGATCCTCAAAAATTGCCAAAATCTGCGAAAAAGCTGGCTTGATCTTCAACACATCCAAATCAAAAGTTTTGAGAAATCAATGTGCCAACAATTCAAGTGTTCGAGTGAATGGTTCACCGCTCGAAGACGTGGATCAAATAAAATACCTCGGAAGAATATTCAGAAAAGATGGTGCATTGGATTCGGAAATCAACAACCGAATAAGAGCCGGATGGGCCGCTTATCATAACATCGCCACCGCAATTACCGAGCTTCCGAACAAAGAGAAAAACCACTTTTTGAGATCCAGTGTATTGAGTGCAATGACCTATGGTTCAGAAACTTGGAACACCAAAGTCGAAGATATCAAAAGAATCCAGAGAACAATCAATTACATATGGATTCAAGCAAATGCCGGAACACCACCAAATATTGAAAAGTTTATAATGAAAACAAAAATGCGCTGGGCAGGACACATTGCCAGATTGCCAACACAAAGATTATGCAGAATTATAACTTTATGGGAACCCCCAAATGGTGTGAAGAGAAGAAAGGAAAGACCGAAGAAGAGATGGGTCGACGACGTGCAAAATGAAGTGAAAGTGCATCAGCACAACATCAATATGCAAGGCCTCGGGGGAGGCGGAAGAAGAAGGATCGGGCTGATCTCCAGTAAAATGCCCTGGTCACGATTGGCTAGAAGCCGAAGTTCCTGGAAACATCTGGTCCACAGCTACTCGCTCGAATAATGGACTATCAAAGTATCAAAGTAAAGTATCAAATAATGAAGTTGTGGTTAGGAGATAAGAGACGTTATTTGTAATTTCTCGAAATACGAAGAACAAAAAAAAGTGATGATCTTCGATTCGGCTCTATTTTTGTTAAAATGATGCCCCACGCCCATAAAGTTGGAAAATTAAGTGAAATGGCGCAAAAAAATTTTTTGAGGTCGGGGGGATTTTTTTTGGATCAAAATTTGGAAAATCCGTAAAATGGTTCAAAATCCATAATTTTCGATGTTCAAAAAAGCATTCTGCTCGTAATTTCATGATCTTTCCAGTGGTAAAACGACCCATAATTCATTCTCTAATTTGAAAAAATTCTATGTTTAAAAATTGAAAAAATGTTGAATTTTCGGTTAAAATCATCATTTTCGACCTTAGGGAGTCAAAAGCGCACTTTTTAATTGCGTGCAATCGCTTCCTTTCGCAATTTTACCCCCGGGGACGTATGTTCAAAAAAATTAAACGCGGAACCTCGTCTTCATCCAGGTCGGTGAAAAGCACACACTACAACATTTGTAGGTGCATGACGTGAATAGTTCACTTGGAACGCTTGATATTGCTAATCTAAAGGTCACGGGTTCAATTCCCGGTGGCGGATCTTTTGAAAAATGTTTTTTTGAAAACCCATTCAGATCGACATAAATTTCATGTCCTAAACACAATAAACTGGAGGATAATTCAGTGCGTTTTATAATGATAGTTTCACCTTCCAAATTGATAATAACGACTGAACCACCAGTTATAAAAGAAGATTGCGGCAAAAATAGACACATAAGCACAAAATAAACTACGTGAACTCATTTTGATATAGAAATACCGGAATATTAAAACATATCTGACAGAAAAACTCAGAGAAAGTCTGGCTTGAACGGCGCGGTTCGCTAAACCGAAAAATCATCTAATCCGCGGCTGACACATGAACTTTAGCGAAACGCCCTCGAAATTATGTTCCGCTGTTAGCGAAACGTCCGCGCAATTCACTCTCGACAATTTTTTTCGAGTCGAAATTTAAAAATGCTTCAATACTACTGACAATTATCAGAAGTTAGTTCACATTTGTAGTTCCAACCCGGCCTCGATCCCAATCCTGTCGTTTTGTAGTCATCCCTCTTCCTTGCTGCGCTATCCTCGTTGTCGCGTACGCGATACAATTTATCCTTTTTATACCCTCCCTCTCGACTCCATCCGCGGATCCGCGAAAAATCCAAAAAACCAAATTTCCGAGTAAAAAAATTTCGCGGATCCGCGCGGAATGCGCGAAATTCGACTCTCTTTGGCTGAAGTTTCGCCGTTCGCAAAATTTTTTTCGCGGAATCCGCGCACTGATTTTTACCCTAAAAATGGGTAGAAATCGTCCGCGGACCGCGCCGTTCAAGCCAGACTTTCTCTGAGAATTACACATAATTTGGTATTTGATAGGTTCACGTTTTTCGTTGGTGAAACATGATTATTTTACTGGTGAATCTTAGAATCGTGAAAATTCAAATTTTTATGTCGGAAATTGAAGAAAATGAGATCTCCAGTTAAGATTCTTGCTTACATTCTTTGTTTCACCAACGAAAAACGTGAACCTATCAAATACCAAATTTTGTGTTATTTTTCTGTCAGATATGTTTTAATATTCCGGTATTTCTATATCAAAATGAGTTTACGTAGTTTATTTTGTGTTTATGTGTCTATTTTTGACGCAATCTGCTTTTATAACTGGTGGTTCAGTCATTATTATCAATTTGGAAGGTGAAGCTATCAATATAAAACACACTGAATTATCCTCCAGTTTATTGTGTTTAGGACATGAAATTTATGTCGATCTGAATGGGTTTTCGAAAAAAAAAACATTTTTCAAAAGATCCGCCACCGGGAATTGAACCCGTGACCTTTAGATTAGCAATATCAAGCGTTCCAAGTGAACTATTCACGTCATGCACCTACAAATGTTGTAGTGTGTGCTTTTCACCGACCTGGATGAAGACGAGGTTCCGCGTTTAATTTTTTTGAACATACGTCCCCGGGGGTAAAATTGCGAAAGGAAGCGATTGCACGCAATTAAAAAGTGCGCTTTTGACTCCCTAAGGTCGAAAATGATGATTTTAACCGAAAATTCAACATTTTTTCAATTTTTAAACATAGAATTTTTTCAAATTAGAGAATGAATTATGGGTCGTTTTACCACTGGAAAGATCATGAAATTACGAGCAGAATGCTTTTTTGAACATCGAAAATTATGGATTTTGAACCATTTTACGGATTTTCCAAATTTTGATCCAAAAAAAATCCCCCCGACCTCAAAAAATTTTTTTGCGCCATTTCACTTAATTTTCCAACTTTATGGGCGTGGGGCATCATTTTAACAAAAATAGAGCCGAATCGAAGATCATCACTTTTTTTTTGTTCTTCGTATTTCGAGAATTTTTGAGTTTTTACAAATAACGTCTCACCAGAAGGGCTCCGCCGGCTAACGCCGGCTCCTCCTTCTGGATTGTCCCGGCTTCGCGCGTAGTTTTCTTCAGGCTAACAGTTTTTTAACGGTTTGATTTTTGAAAACTGAAAAAAAAGGTGGAATGGTGATTCCTGGGACGTGCAAACTTGAACTGAATCCCTCGCCGTAGGTATCTATAAAAATAACTTGCAGGTATAGCTCATTCTTGAATCTGTAGCAGAAAATGTTTTCCTTGAAATCGTCTAAAAATAAGACAAAGTTGTCATTTGTGAAAAATTAAAAAATATTTCTATGAAGTTTCAAAATCATTGGTTAGGAATCATTGTTTCAAGTTTTCAATGTTTACTTCAAAAGTGGCCTATTAAAGATGATTCTCGCGCTGAGCAAACGTCGGTCCGCGCGGAACCCAACCAATGGGAAATTTGTTTTATTTTGCACTGTGTGTGCCCATTTATCCGACATACTGTGAGATTTTACACATCTAAATTGTGTTTTTGGCTGTAATTTTAGCTAATGAACAAAAATTAATGACTGGCTAAGCTTTTTAGAGAAAATTTTAAATGTCATGCTCAGCGCGAGAATCATCTTTAAGTTCCTCGGTCTTAGGTAACTGTAGATTCCAGATTTTCGAAATTCAAAACTCGAGCTCGAAAAAAAAATTCTTCGAAAACTGCTCTATTTTCTTGAAATCCTTTTTTCAGTTTCTCTATTTTTTTTGTTTAGAGCTGATATTTCTAAACAAAAACACAGCATCTCTGGAATCTATACAGAAATTTTATAGAAAAAATTCGGATCTGAACAGAAGTTTTAGGGGGAAAATATACGTTAGGAAAAAAAGGTGGTTTTAAATTATTTTTTTTTTGAAGCCTGAAATCCTATACAAAAGTTGCTCTCATAAATATGTAAGGTTGAGATTTTGGATGAAGCTTAGATTTTAGAAAAAGTAAGTAATTGAACATCTAATTTATAGTTTTCAAAACATATTTTTCCGTCACACCTTTGAGACCTGACACGATCTGAGGGGTGGGACTAAAAATCAATGGAATCAATGCAAAAATGAAAAATTTAGAGAAACATTATTGAAAATTTCGAAGTCTAGCGATTTGGGGCAGTGAATTACATACTGTGAAACCTCTGTTTTTCTGTACAATCCTCTTTTCCAGCTAAAATCCAAATTTTTTACCTCTCAAATACTAAACCACAAACTTTAGAGAAAAATCTCCAAAAATATATTCAGTGAGCTAAGAAAAGCAACAGCCAATAGTTGTCCGAAAGTAATCTAACATCTTATTTTCTCCGGTGTGGTTCTATGCCTTATTTTCTGAGTAAGCTTCTATGTTCCATCCGAAATTTTCAGAGCCGTGGAAGATAAAACCAAAATACAGTAAACTTCGACACCCGGAGCTTATTTTCATTGCAAAAATGATTGGTTTTCTCGGCCATATTGGTTCTCTTCCAAAGCTCACAAAATTCTCGGATTGACAATAATTGTTTGGTCTAAACTATATTGGGATTCCCAAACACATCAAAACTCACTATCAAACATTCACATCAAAGTATTTGTTTTTCTTCTCGTGAAAGAAATTATTCAATATCTGCAAGTTCGAAAAAATTAGGAATTTATCCACAATAATCTAACTCACTTTTTTCCTATTCATTTTTCAAACCGATTAGGAATGGAATAACAGCGAGAAATTATTAAAAATGTCCCGCTTTGAATGAAATAGAAAGATCAGATAAGGACGTGACCTAGCCATTTTTTCCGATTAAAAACGTGTTCATTCTTTTTTACATGAAAAAAGTTTTGAATTTTCACGTGAAAACTCGCGCACTGTTTGAAAAAAACTATATTAGCGCATCGATGTTATCGAAAGAATTTGGGATCGAATGGTGAAGGTCTCATCGAAAATGACCTTCTAAAAGTTGAGTTATCGCGATGGACAGACTTTATTCTCAAAAAATACATTGAGTTTTTCAAACTTTTTCCGCTCCGCGCACCCCTTGAAGAGTGGAATCAAAATGATTAGTTAGCCCACCAAGGTGCCAAAATTTGCAATTTTTTCATTTTTTGATCATAAATTTTCGTGATCGTTGAAGGTATGAAGGGGGCCTGGACAAACTATTCAGTTTCCAATTAGTATATAATAACCAGAAGGGCTCCGCCGGCTATCGCCGGCTCCTCCTTCTGGGTTTTTGGGGCTTCGCGCTCAGTATTCCTGTGATAAACAGTTCGTTTCTCTGAAGTCCTGTTAGGAATGGAACTAAACTTTTTAATTTTGAACAATTTGTTGAGAAACCGAAAAAATCAGCAATATGCAACATGATCACTTATCTCCTAATTTTTAACCCACATATCTAAGCTTTTAATCAAATCACGAACAGTGGTATTTGAGATACTTTTTCTGACCACACTAACGCCGATGCCCTAACCTTTCTCAAAAGGAGGAAAAATCACTCCAATGACAACCCCGAGCCTAACATTCTACATATAACTTTGATAATCCCTCTGAGTTCATTTGATAATATTTGAGAACCCCATAGAATTTCAGTTTTTCAAGATAGAGCAACAGCCGCTGAAAAAAAAACTATCCTTAAAAATTGCATAAGAATTCAAAAATATTTTTGTGTGTACTTTTGTGAAATTTGCGGTTTTTAGCACCTGCCTTTTTTGATAATTGAAAAACTTATTAAATTCCAATTTTTAAACAGACATTTTTTTCACACGGTAAAGTAGTGAAGATGAAGGGAAAGTGAAACTTTACTCAAATAGAAACTCATTTTGCAAGTTGTGGTCAGGAGATAAGATGAGAGTCAAAAGGTTTTCGAAAGATCTCGATGCTCTCGATTTTTTGATTAATATATCAATCTAGAAAAAACTTCAAATAATGAAGTTGTGGTTAGGAGATAAGAGGAAAATCAAAAGGTTTTCGAAAGATCTCGATGCTCTCGATTTTTTGATTAATATATCAATCTAGAAAAAACTTCAAATAATGAAGTTGTGGTTAGGAGATAAGAGGAAAATCAAAAGGTTTTCGAAAGATCTCGATGCTCTCGATTTTTTGATTAATATATCAATCTAGAAAAAACTTCAAATAATGAAGTTGTGGTTAGGAGATAAGAGGAAAATCAAAAGGTTTTCGAAAGATCTCGATGCTCTCGATTTTTTGATTAATATATCAATCTAGAAAAAACTTCAAATAATGAAGTTGTGGTCAGGAGATAAGAGGAAAGTCAAAAGGTTTTCGAAAGATCTCGATGCTCTCGATTTTTTGACTAATTTATCTTATGTAGTTCGCCTATCAGATTTTCATGAAAATAATATGTTCAGATCCCAAAATCCCGATATTTTCAAAGTTTGCCACGTCATAACTCATATTAGGAGTCGAGTCTTGCAATTTTAGACGACGGAATCGCGATGAGCGGGTCAAAAACTACTAGAAAATTTTTTTTTTCTTTTTGGTGCCAAAAATTCAAAATTTTCTGAATTTCCAGAAAAATTGAATGTTCAACCCGAAAATCATCATTTTTTTGACGAAATATTTTTCACTGTTTCAAAAATATTGTTAATGAAAAATGTTTTTTCTTCAAAAATTGATTAGGAAACTCCAAAACATGCTTCTAGATCAGAATTTGGTGCTGAAAATCATGAAATTTTGAAAATTCAAGATTTCCACGATTTTCATCACAAAATTCTGCTCTATAAACATATTTTTGACCTGATATTAATTTTTTGCGAATAAAAAAATTTTAATTTTTTGTTAAGCTCTGAGAGAAATCCCGAGGGACTTAGGCCTGGTTGAAACAGTCCGCTTGTACATAAATCTACCCAAGTATTGTCGCGTCGCGTGCGGCTGTGCGTCGCGGTTGGGAAACCGCGACGCACAGCCGCACGCGACTGACGAACTAATGTGTTTTGTTTTCGTTCGGCACCCACACTTTTCAACTTCGACAAAAATCATTCCTGATCAATTTTTCACGCTGAAAACGATGGGATTGCTCATTTTAACGGAAATTCTCAATTTGAGCACACAATTTCAGCCAGAAAACTTGAATTCTAGAAGTTTTTGAAAAACATTCAATTTCAGCTCAAAAATATGATTCTAGATCAGAATTGTGTTGAAAAAAAGCATTTTCATGATTTGATTTTCAGCTCGAAATTTAGATCTAGAAGTATTGATTTTTGGGGTCAGAGGGGGTTTGGATCGAGAAAATTTTGTCAGGTTAGAAAAACTGTGCCGCAAAAATGCAGAAAAATAGGCGGAGCCTAATTTCAGTTCATTCTCATACCCGAAATCAATAAATCATCTTCATCAAAATCCAGTCGAATCAAAAAATAAATCGCGGCAAAAATGGCAGATCTTCCAATCCCATTATTACAATGAAATACCATTGGAATATGTGATTCATTCTTTTTCATCAACCATCGATACAATTCCACAATCAATTTCGGATCATCAGGTGTTGTATTTTCAGCCCACGAAGTCACATGAATATGATTAACTCTTCGTGGCCTCGTATCAATCGATTTTCTATCATATAAATGGAGAATTTTCCAACTAACACCTTCCACCGGATCCTTTTCCTTTCTCACAAATTTCACCTCAAAATTCTCGTATTTCTCAACACCTCCTTCTTTAATTGGCAAATATCGTGCACATTGTTCCATAAATCCGCAAAACATCACAATATATTCAACTTTCTCTTGATAAATCATCGCCCAAAAATCTGGGATTGTATTTTTGAGCGGCGCCTGTGTCAAAATATTCTTTCCTCGATATTCTTTGCTAACACAAACCACCCAATTCGCATTGATATAATCAGTTTTATGATTTTCGAGAATCACTCGAGAAGAATCCCTACATTTTGGTGAAATGTAGCGATTTAAAGTCGGATTTGAGTCAAACGCATAAAATGTTGCGGAATTACTGGTTTCAACTGTTGATTTGATATAACCCGCAGATTTTCCTTTTGCACAATTCGAAAAATCGCTGAAATTCTTTTTCAACCAATCTATAAGTGTCTTATAAGTTTTTGATGGAATAGGGTTTGTTTTCTCATTTCGATAGATGTTAATTGGCACTTCTTTTTCTTTTTTTGACTCGATTTTCTCCGGGATTTGCACTGGTTTTGTTTTTTTCGAGCAATAAATCAGTCCAGATAATAATAATAAAAATAAGATTAGAAATATTTGTAACATTAGTCGATTTTGAATAAGAATAAGCTAGCAATAATTGGTTCGAAGTCAGATTTGGGCGAATTTTGTTTTTCTGGGTCACGCTTTATTTTTATAATTCACTGTTTCAAAAATTTTTTTATATAAAAAAATTTTTTTCTTCAAACATTGATAACTTCGAATATTCTTTAATAGATTTTGTGGTGCCAAAAATTCAAAATTTTCAGAAAAATTAAAAATTCACAATTTTTCACTGTTTCAAAAATTTTATATCAAAATTCTGCATTTTTAAAGTTTTTATTTCAGGTCAAAAATATTCTTCTAGATCAGAATTTTGTGCTGAAAATCGTGGAATTTGAATTTTTAAAAATTTTCAGCATTTTCATAATTTTCAGTACCAAATTCTGATCTTTTTGAGAAATATTTTTCACTGTTTCAAAATTTTTTTATAACAAAATGTTTTTCAAAAAAATTTTGAACATAAATTTTATGAAACAGTGAAAAATCTAGGCTTGAGAAATATTAATACAAATATTTTTCACTGTTTCAAAAATTTTATATAAAAAAATGTTTTTACTTCAAACATTGATAATTTTCTAAATGTTTTAATATATTTTTTTTGGTGCCAAAAATTCAAAATTTTCTAAATTTTCAGAAAAATTGAATGTTCAGCCAGAAAATCATCATTTTTTCAAGAAATATTTTTCACTGTTTCAAATTTTTTATAAAAAAATGTTTTTTCTTCAAAAATTGATACGTTGTCGGATTGGTTAATTTCATCTCGAAAACATGTTTCTAGATCAGAATTTGATGCTGAAAATCGTGGAATTCTTGAATTCTCGAAATTTTCATCGAAAAATTCTGGTCTAGAAGCATTTTTTGATCTGATATTATTTTTCAGAGGGATCAGTTTTGAAAGAATAAACATTTTTTTAAAAAAAAATTTTGAAACAGTGAAAAATCTAGACTTGAAAAAATTAATAAAAAAAATTAAAAACGAATATTTTTCACTGCTTCAAAAATTTTATATAAAAAAATGTTTTTTCTTCAAAAATTGATAATTTTCTAAATGTTTTAATATTTTTTTTTTTGGTGCCAAAAATTCAAAATTTTCTAAATTTCTAGAAAAATTGAATGTTCAGCTCAAAAATCATCATTTTTTCCCTAAAAATATTTTTCACTGTTTCAAAAATTTCAGATAAAATTTTGATTTTTATCAAAAATTGATATGTCTGTAGTATTCTACATAATAAAAAATCAATAATTTTTTGAATTTTCAAAGTTCCGCCACCAAAAAACGAAAATCAATAATTTCCCTGAAATTTTCAGCTCATGTCCCTCCTTCTCACCTACCGTAATCCGGAAGATGTTCTTAGGAAATTGTTGAGAACCGGAAGAATAATAATCGAGAAAAATTTGGGAATTTTTGGATTTCTGGTGGTGAATTTGTGAGTTCTGGGGTTAATTTTGGGTCAAAATTATCGATTTTTGGCTCAAAATTCATCAAAAATCTCGAATTTCTGGTCAAAATCCACCCAAAATTCACCAAATTTCCAGATCCTCTCAAATCGCTCGCTTCATCATTCAAACTTCCAGCAAATCCTCGAAAAAACATCCACTTCGTACACCGTATATCATAGAAATCGCGTCGGAACGAGATTCCGTGATTCCGCTGCCTTTCGAAAATCCGGCGGAGAATTTCGAGAATTCCGCGCGGAAAAAACGACGGATTTGTGGAATTTCGCATTTATTGGGAGACGAGGAGACTTATTGTTGTCAGGTTAGCGAGAAAAAGTGTGCGGCAAAATTGCAGAAAGGGGCGGAGCCTAATTTATGTGACCACTCGGGTTCGAGCCACACCCGAGGCAAACTTTTTTTTTTGAAAAAAACATTTTTTTTTATTAATTTTTCACGCTGAAAACGATGGGATTGCTCATTTTAACTGAAATTCTCATTTTCAGCACAAAATTTCAGCCTAGAAATTTGAATTCTAGAAATTTTTTGAAAACATTTAATTTCAGCTCAGAAAAACATTTAATTTCAGCTTGACTTCTAGATCAGAATTTTGTGCTGAAAATCGTGGAAATCTTGAATTTTCAGCATATTTATGATTTTGAGCTCGAAATGTTGATCTAGAAATATTGATTTTTGAGTCAGAAGGGGTCTGAATCGAGTCCTCATACCCCCTAACATTTTTTTTTTGAAAAAAACATTTTTCAAAAAAATTTTCACGCTGAAAACGGTGAAATTGCTCATTTTAACTGAAATTCTCATTTTCAGCACGAAATTTCAGCCTAGAACCTTGAATTCTAGAAATTTTTGAAAAAATTTAATTTCAGCTCAAAAATTGACTTCTAGATCAGAATTTTGTGCTGAAAATCGTGGAAATCTTGAATTTTCAGCATTTTTATGATTTTCAGCACAAAATTATGATCTAGAAATATTGATTTTTCGGCTCAGAAGGGGTCTGGATCGAGTCTTCATACCTCCTAACATTTTTTTTCGAATTTTTTTGAAAAATTCATTCCCAATCAATTTTTCACGCTGAAAACGATGGGATTGCTCATTTTAACTAAAATTCTTATTTTCAGCACAAAATTTCAGCCTAGAAACTTGAATTCTAGAAATTTATGGAAAAATTTAATTTCAGCTTTAAAAATATGCTTCTAGATCAGAATTTTGTGCTGAAAATCGTGGAAATCTTGAATTTTCAGCATTTTCATGAATTTCAGCACAAAATTATGATCTAATATTGATTTTTGAGTCAGAAGGGGTCTGGATCGAGTCCTCACACCTCCTAACATTTTTTTTTTTGAAAAAAAAATCATTCCTGATCAATTTTTCACGCTGAAAATGATGGGATTGCTCATTTTAACTAAAATTTTCGATTTCAGCACAAAATTTCAGCCTAGAAACTTGAATTCTAGAAATTTTTGAGAACATTTAATTTCAGCTCAAAAATTGACTTCTAGATCTGAATTTTGTGCTGAAAATCGTGGAAATCTTGAATTTCCAGCATTTTCATGAATTTCAGCACAAAATTATGATCTAAAAGTATTGATTTTTCGGGTCAGAAGAGGTCTGGATCGAGTCCTCATACCTCCTAACATTTTTTTTGAATTTTTTTGAAAAAAAACTTTTTCTGATCAATTTTTCACGCTGAAAACGATGGGATTGCTCATTTTAACTCAAATTTTCGATTTCAGCACAAAATTTCAGCCTAGAAACTTGAATTCTAGAAATTTTTGAGAACATTTAATTTCAGCTCAAAAATTGACTTCTAGATCTGAATTTTGTGCTGAAAATCGTGGAAATCTTGAATTTCCAGCATTTTCATGAATTTCAGCACAAAATTATGATCTAAAAGTATTGATTTTTCGGGTCAGAAGAGGTCTGGATCGAGTCCTCATACCTCCTAACATTTTTTTTGAATTTTTTTGAAAAAAAACTTTTTCTGATCAATTTTTCACGCTGAAAACGATGGGATTGCTCATTTTAACTCAAATTTTCGATTTCAGCACAAAATTTCAGCATAGAAACTTGAATTCTGGAAGTTTTTTGAAAATATTTAATTTCAGCTCAAAAAATGCTTCTAGATCAGAATTTTGTGCTGAAAATCGTGGAAATCGTGAATTTTCAGCATTTTTATGATTTTCAGCGCTGTTTCCGTCAATTTTCCCGCAAATGGAATCTGGAGCGACATTCTGGATTCTGTGAAGCCGAATTTCGTCTGAAATGTCCGAAATGCTCAAAAATCTACAAAAAATCCGCGTATTTGGCTAAACATTTGAGAAAATGCCCGGAAAAAGATGAAAATCCCGAAAATTCCAAGATTCTGGAGAGCTTTGCCGAAAAATCGACGGATTTACGCAAACTCAAAATTCCCTATGAAGTTGGAGCGGTTATTTAGGATTTGGTGAGTTTTTTGGCGGGAAAAATGACACGTGGCAACGTTTTTTGAAAATTTCATGGAATACTGAGAATTTTGAATATAAATGTGCCACGTGGCATTTTTTGGCGCCAAAAATTTGAATTTTAATTTGTACTGGTATTTTTGTGATAATTTATAAATAAATGCATTTTACTAGACTAGACTGTAGTTTTGAATTTTTTTTGAATTTTTTAGAGTTAGAGACGCAGAGGAGCTAGAATCAAAGATAACGAAGCAGAAAGAAATGCCATCCAAAATTTTGAGATTTCAATTTTTATATCAAATTTTTGAAACAGTAGATTTTTCGGAAAAATTACTATCGGTGCGAAAAAATAAGACAGTTGTGTTTGAATTCCCGCCACACAGCTGTGTTTTTTGTGCGACCGTACCCTTGTTCGCCGCAAGACTCACCTGAAATTAATTTTTGCGATTTTTAGAGTCTAGACAAGTTGTGGGGTTGAATCTGAATTTTTAAATAAAAATTTCAAAAATAATCTATGACGTATGAAAAAAAAAACATCTTCCGCTCCAAAAAATCCAAATTCCTAATCTCAAAAATGTTTTATTCTCAAATTTCTATGAAAAAATCAATAATTCTTCTGATATTTCTAGAATTCCACGTGGCAAAAAGCCAAAATTCAAATTTCCACCTAGATTCAGAAAATTTCGAGCAAGCCTCCAAATGTTTGGGCCTTTTTCTAGCAATTTTGTATTTGGGATGTTTATTGAGCTATTGTCTAGTCAAAACGTGAGTTTAGGCTTTTTCAGCAGGCCCAAAATTAGGCCTAGGTCTAAAATTCAAATTTTCAGGCGATGCATTCAACGAACTTGCTAATTTTTGAATTTTTTGAATAAATTTTCAGCCACGTGGATTATTTAGTATCAAAATGCTCCAAATTTCCCGCCATAAACGTACCTTGGCCAAAATCTGCTTTCCACCTGGCAAATTGACAACTCCGACCGAAATATCACCCTTATGGTTGTTGACGTGGACAGGGTGCCATTCCTTGTCGCCAAATTTGGCAGCTTCTGGGAATGGAATCCAACCATAGTCAAAGCCTGGAAAAATAAGAATCTAGGTGGCTAAGTAAACGCGGAGTGTCGTAGTTCATCTCAAAAGATGCTCCAGGTTTACAGGATCGAAGAAAACACGGCGTAAACGCGGAGTCTCGTTGCAAAATTGCTCACCTCGCATATTATCAGGCAAATGAACCAACAATTGAATGGAACCAACATTCTTCGCATATTCATTGTTAAACCACGAGAATGAGGCAGCAACCTTGCCATTATTATTCCAGACACGACCCATTACAGGTTCACCTTGCATGTACCAAAGGGCGACATATTGATCAGCTGGGACACCTGGAAAAATGGACATTGTTAGTGTAAACCGTAAGCCACCGCGTAGGTCTAATTATGTATCCCAGATCTATTTTTTGAGCTGCGGAGCTCAAAAATGGCTCGAAATCTCATTTTAGTGCTCCCGAAGCCAAAAAATCCACCAAAAATCAATATTATAGGATAGGAAGCTCAAAAACGCAGCCAAGATCTATTTTTTGAGCTGCGGAGCTCAAAAAATGGCTCGAAATCTCATTTAATGATAAATCTCTCATTTCTGATTCTTTAGCTCACTAGATCTAGTCCTTTTCACGAGAAAACAATCGAACAATCGTTTTCTCGAGAAAACAAAAAAACGAAAAAAAAAGAAAAAGAAAAAAAGAAGAGATGGAAGTGCGCTCCGTTGATAATAAACAATTTCCGAGGAATACGGTAAGCAGTGGTGTTTGCAGATTTTTTTTGAAGTTTGGGTTGTTTCGAGCGGGAATGCGGAAAACTCCGCTTTAGCTAATTAGGGACAAGTTATGCGTTCACTGCTTCTCCACTCAGAAAAATGTCCGCCACCATGCAACCGGCATGCGGTTTTTCGCACGAAAATTTCAGGGTTTGCACGGGTCTGAGGACATTTTCATATTTTTTTCTCCTCTCGAATATTTTTGAAAATTTTTTGAGCGACCTGCGAAATTTCTCATTTTTCAGCTTACAAATGTCTTCACCGTTTGCCGCACCCCAAACCATGTTCAACCCAACTAACCAAGCAACTGATGATCCTATTGTTTCCAGTCGATGTTGTTGCTGCACAAGAAAGGTTTGGTTTCTTGAGAAAAATATGTTCATTTGAATTTTCAAATTTTAGCAGTGTCCCTCAATTTTTGCTGCTCTCTTTGGAGCTATTTTGATTTTGGCAGCAATTGCAACAGTTCTAATCTTCACCTTTTCAACATCGAAACTCTCCTCATCTTGCAATGATCACAAAACAATTGGACGCCCAAAATTCCGGACGACGGAATCGGATTTTCCATTCCAGCAAAATTCCATTTCAACGCGTTTTTCAATCCCACCAAATGTTTCAACGTGTCCTGGATTTGGTTTTATATGCAACGACGTTGGAGAAATGATGAAGGTTATTCCAAAAGCGAAGCGTTGTGATGGGAAGTTTGATTGTTCAAATAAATCGGATGAGCAAATCTGCGATAATTGTCAAACCATCTTCCAATGCAATTCGAAACTGATTGGACAAGATGAATCGGGAGAGTTGAAGACACATTTCATTTGCTTGACAGCTTCTCAACTTTGCGACGGAGTTCAAGACTGTCCAGATGGTTCAGATGAAAAATTTTGGTGTAGTGAGTTATTATCTTTTAGAAAATATTTCATCTTCAAATTGTTGTTTGTTTTTAGAAGCAAATTGTTCCGCTGATGAATTCAAGTGTCCCGGACAAAATCTTTGTCTTCCAAAAAACGCAAAATGTGATGGAATTGCTGATTGTAATGATATGAGTGATGAAAAAGACTGCACCAGCTGTGAAGCCAGAGCACATGTGAGTTTTTTTTTGAAAACATTGACAAGGCGATATTCGGCAATCTCTGACTGAGGCCCCTCAATGGGGCCGTTTTCTGAGAAAATGGGGACACTTGTGTGGCAAATTCCCTCAATGGGGCCAGCAAGAAAAAAGTAAGAATTTCTCACTTTTTCCTCAATGGGGCATATATTTTTTGTGCATTTCCTGACTGGGGCCCATCTTTTCATTTTATACATCTCGTGACGTCATAGTAATGGTGAATTGAAATTTCATGAAAGTTTTCAAAACATTTGATATAAGAGGCCTTTAATTTCATCAGGCACATTTTATATAGTTTGTAGAAAAATACAGTATATTTATGTACAAGCAAAATTTATTTTCCAATTTTCGAAAACAACATAAAATAATATTACTTTTTGAAACAATGTAACAAAAAATTGAAAAACAAAAAATCATATTGAAAAAAATGTACATAATTCAACTCCTGGATCTTGTACATTTTTCCAAAAAAAAATGTACGAGAATAGAAAAATTGGGCAAAGGTGTACATTTCGAAAAAAATTAAAATAGAGCAATTTTTACGTGAACATTGTGATAATTTTTTTTATTCTTGCTGGCCCCATTGAGGGAATTTGCCACACAAGTGGCCCCATTCCGGCCCCATTTTCTAGGAAAATGGCACCATTGAGGGGCCCCATTCAGAGATTACCCAATATTCCCCCACCTCTTCACGAACTAATCGAATTTTTCAGAAGTGCGGTGAGGTTTGTGTACCAATGAGCGAAATTTGTGATGGAATTGCACAGTGCGACGATGGAAGCGATGAGAAAGGATGTGATTGTGATTCATGTTCCGGATCAGACAAAGCGCTTTGCGACGACGGAACTTGCATTCTTCGTTATCAAGTTTGCGACGGCAAACGCGATTGTTCCAATGGAATGGATGAGAAGGATTGCCCAGGAAGTTGCATGGTTAATGAATCAGCAATGAAGAAGCGAATAACTTGTTCCGATGGTATAGAATATACAGAAGAAGAAGCATGCTCTGGTGAATTTCAAAAATGTTACTCAAATTGTCCCGGAACCTGCGATGCTTTTCTTTGCCCCATTGATCTCAAATGTATCTCACGCAAATCGGTTTGCGATGGATATGCTGATTGTTCAGACGGTGCCGATGAAAGAAACTGTAGCTGCATCGATGTTGAGGAAACACAGCGTTTCAATTGTGATCGCAAATGCATTAATATTTCTCAAAAATGTGATGGTATAGTGGATTGTATCGATGTATCCGATGAATATAATTGCGAGAAATGCGCCGCTGGAACATTTTCATGTTCAACTGACAAAACATGTCTTCCACAGTCAACCAGATGCGACGGAGTTTTGAACTGCTCCGATGGGAGTGACGAGAAAGATTGCATATGTGATGGTAATTTTTTCTTTTCTTTGCTATTTTTTCTCATGAAAATAATATTTGCAGAGTGCGTCGGTGCTCATTCGACTACGTATATGTGTGATGGCTCACCAAGATGTTTTCTAATCGATGAAGTCTGTGCACCTAATTCAATATGCCCAAATGCCACTAATGCAGACGAAGCTTACTGTGACATTCAGATGAGCCGAATTAAAAGTCGTCAACCTTGGCGGATCCAATTATTTGATTTAAAAAACATGTGAATAACTCAAATTAAATAAATATTTATTGCATTCTTACTCGTATATTTTTTCTAATTAAAGGTGGACTGCGAGCTAAATACAAGTTTTCCTCATTCCCGGGTTCTTTCTACACTTTGAGAACATCCGTTTGTCGAAAAAATCAAGAAAAATAAGCATCGGAGAACAAAAGCGAACAGAAACATTTTTTTGCATTCTTGCAAGAGGGAGGCAAACGCGCTCTAGCGAACAGGCGGAACGTTTGAATTTTCTGCGTTTTTTTCTTCATTTTTTTCAAGGTTCACCCTTTTCAGTCAAATTCCGAGGAAATTTGTTCTAGAATATAGTGATCTACAGTAATCCATCGAAATTCGTCATTATAATTTTATTGATTGATGATTAACATTGCTGGAATGATTCTCAATACATTCATCGATGGAATCTCGGTTTCTATCATCGAAATTTGGAATTTTTCTAATTAATTTGTTCTAGAATATAGTGATCTACAGTAATCCATCGAAATTCGTCATCCAAACAAGCCTAGGCCCGAAAATTTGCGATTTTACCTGAAATTGCTCAAAATTTCAAATTTGTCACTCAAAAATTTGAATTCCCAATTTTCCCGCTCAAGGTTCGAGGTGTAAACGCGGAGTATCGTTTAAAATTCAAAAATTCCTAATTTTCCAATCAAAATTGATTAAAAATCGCATTTGTCATACATTTTGTTTCAAAAAATTTGAATTTCCAAATTTTCCCGCTAATATTTCGAGGTGTAAACGCGGAGTATCGTTTAATACTTGAAATTGAGGGTTTTGAGTCAAAATTGATCATAAATGCATTTTTCACAAATTTGTCATTCAAAAAATTTGAATTTCCAAATTTTCCCGCTGAAATTTGAAGGTGTAAACGCGGAGTATCGTTTAATTCTTGAAATTGAGGGTTTTGAGTCAAAATTGATCACTCAAAAATTTGAATTCCCAATTTTCCCGCTCAAGGTTCGAGGTGTAAACGCGGAGTATCGTTTAAAATTCAAAAATTCCTAATTTTCCAATCAAAATTGATTAAAAATCGCATTTGTCATACATTTTGTTTCAAAAAATTTGAATTTCCAAATTTTCCCGCTAATATTTCGAGGTGTAAACGCGGAGTATCGTTTAATACTTGAAATTGAGGGTTTTGAGTCAAAATTGATCATAAATGCATTTTTCACAAATTTGTCATTCAAAAAATTTGAATTTCCAAATTTTCCCGCTGAAATTTGAAGGTGTAAACGCGGAGTATCGTTTAATTCTTGAAATTGAGGGTTTTGAGTCAAAATTGATCAAAAATCGCATTTGTCATACACTTTGTTTCAAAAAAATTTGAATTTCCCAATTTTCCCGCTGAAATTTGAAGGTGTAAACCCGGAGTATCGTTTAAAATTTGAAAATTTCTAATTTTTCAGTCAAAATTGATCAAAAATCGATTTTTTTTGCAGATATTCAATTTTCGAGCAACAAGAAATTCGGCGAATCACACAATTCAAAAGGAGAAAATCACCGAGTTCCGATGAGATTCGAAATAGAAAAATGATGCAGAAAAAGCTGGAATCGCACTTTGATCTACCCGACAATACGATCAATATTCCCACAGAGGTACGGTAGTTTTTTGGCGCCAAAATTTGACGCAAAAATTATGATTTTTGGTGGATTTTGACCCAAAATGGCTCAAAATTAACCAAAGTACCTTAAAAAGTCTAAAAATGGCCCTAGAAGCCCAAATTTCTAATTGCAGGCCATCGAAAAGACACGCCGTGCTCGACTTTTGATAACTTCACCCGAATTTTTCGATCGTTTCGAGACCAAATCAATGGATTCCGGAAAATCGCAAGAAGAGTTCAGGGAGCCGTTTTTTGATGTGAAATTGACGAATTCGTGGCCGATTCCGATTGGATTTTCCAAAGAATATATGGAGTACTCATTTCTTCCCAACCAGCTCTGTTTTTTATTCGATATCAAATCCATCTCAATTTCGATCATTTCTTTGCTTCTAATCTTCTCGAACCTCTTCATACGCCATTGATATGTTAAAATTAAAATTAAAATTCGCATCTTCATTGTTCAGTCAACTGTCGATAAACATAATTCCATACCGAACGTCAGATCTGCTCCCTGTCCTCACAATTCCTTGCAAATTTCTTCCCAATTTTCTTCGTTTTCCTTCTTTCATAAAATCATCCCAATCCTTATCAAAAATATCAATTGAAATTCATCCAATTGTTGCTATAACCTGGCAAGTTCGTCGAAAATCCTCGAAATTCTTGTTTTCGTCAAAAATATATGAATTCCTGGAAAAAACCAACTAGAATTCATAGAAAAACTCAGTCTTACCTTCGAATATCATTTTCAAGCCAAATAACACCATTTTGGAGCTTGATTCAAATCAAACTCGTTGAGAAACCAACGAAAAACGTTTTGAAAAAAAAGAAAAACAAAAACAAAAAAATGGCCGAGTGTGTGCAGAGTGAGCCGCGAAAAAAAAGAATAATGTGATGCCCTTTATCCCCATGAAACCCATATCCGCCTCTCGCAGAAAAAAACATATGAAAAAAATAAAAAAAGGAAACATTTCGAGTCGCATAAAAAATTGAATTGTCGCAAAAAATGTGAAGATTTTCCCTCTTGTTATTTATTCATGATTCATGTCTATAGAAAAAACAAATTTCTCTCACCAAAAATTTTTATTTATAATTTCGGTTACATTTTAAAAATAAAAAATGAAAAAACACAAAAGGGGTCAAGGAAAAACATAGAAACAGAACAAAAATATTTCTCGTTGCTGGAAAAAAAGTTGTTGAAAGTCGTCGTGTATTCTGTCCCTATGTGAAAAAACCTTGCAAAAAAAGTTTTTCGAGAAAAAAAGGTGCAAAAAGTCAAAAAAAAAATCATAATAAAAGTGGGATAACAATAAAAAGTGCGTCAACATGAAGAATCAAAAACTCACAGAATAAAAAAAGGAAAATAAATATTATTTTTTTGGGTTGATTTTGTTTTCAGAAAAATTGGGGGGATGCCAGAAGAGCAAAGGGCAGGGGGAAACAAATTATTAATGCCTATTTGCCTATTTTTTGCATTTTTCAAAATATTTTCTAATTTTTTTGGGGTTTGTATGTATATTGATAATGATAATTATGAATGTTGAACATAAATAAATAATGGAATAATGAATGATGTTGATATCGTGTTTTTTTCGATTTTGAATTGTGTGAGATTTTTATTCATTTTTTTGTTGGGGGATTTTGAATTTCAAAAAGATGTTGTGCAAAGACGATGATTTCAATCCCATTTCACCGCATTTTTCTTGGCCTTTCTAGCATCAGCAATCTGTTGCCGTTCCAATAATCGTTGTTCTTGAGAAATATTGGATCTCATGCCAAGTTGGCTTTCGACCATTCTCCGAGCCACTGATGCATTTGTCAGTTTTTTTCTGGAAAAAAGTATATTTAGAGTGTGAAATATAGAAAAAAAAAACATATATTATTTTTAATCAGGTCTCTTATAATTCAAAATTGTGCTTTATAAATTTTCAAATGTTGCTCACCTTCCCATAAACATTCGTTTCTCGTTTTCTCTTGCCGCATCTTGCACATTCTTCGGCGAATTAATCAACGCTCGAACACGTAACCAATCATGTCTCGGCATTGAGAGCATTGCTTTTGCTCTTGCCGGATTCTCAAAAGCAACCAACACAATTTTTCTTTCGATCCATTTCACATTCGAATCACCGTACCCAATATTTTCTAATGTTCTAACAACATCTTCTTGCATTTTATATTCTGGAATTCCATAGATCTCCAAAAAATTTGGAAGATAATTCGGATCCCAATTAGATGTTGAAGGAGTTGATGCAGCATTCATCATTGCCGTCACTTTTTCTTTCTTTTTGCTTGTTTTTGCGACATCTTTGAGTAATTTTTCCATCTGAAATTATCACAATTTATTTTTGGAAACATCCAAATCAGGTAAACTTACTCTTTCTGTGATATCATTATCATCTGCAGTCTCCCAATCATCTAAAACATCATCTTCTTTAATTGATTTCTCTTTTAATTGTTCCATCTTTCCTTCCAAAGAGCAGCGTGGGAATTTGATTTTCTTGGCTGATGGTGGATGTGTTGATTGTTGTGAAGAGCTTCGGAATTGTTCTTCAGATGTTGTTGAGCTACACGGTTCCTCGTTTGAATATCCGGGACCAACAAAAAGTTTTTCAACAACGTTTACAGCTAATTCCTCACTCTTGTCGTCGATTTCAATATCTGATAGGATGTCTGGAATTTCTTCTTCGACTTTTGTTATATCTCTTGAAAATGATCGATCTCTAGATGTACTTTGTCTTTCGGGCGTCGAATGAAGCGATGAGCTCAAATCTAAAAATATATTATTATTATTATCTAAAAGTAAACAATTAATTTCCCTTTTAACATACCGTAATCCGATGGAAAAAGTGGTTTGAATTTGTCAAACCCGCTGGTTGCGTCACAATAGTCTTTAATACTTATAGCCGACGGAACAAGTGGTCGTTTGAACGCGGAAGTCGAAGGAACTGCTGAAAAAATGCACAATGATAGAAAAAAACTTATTGACATAATGTTTGAGCACTTACCGTATGGCGGTAAATTTGAAATCGGATATGAATCACGTCTTAATGTGGTGGCTGTTGTGTTGTAGATTTGTTGATGACTTGCTTCGCTTAATTTGCGTTGAAGAAGAGCGTCAGATTTTGGAGTGAGCACTGAAAGAATTATTGATTTAGGAAAGAGGCGGAGTTAAAAGGGAACGGGGAGCGGATTTTTTTGGAGTCAGATTTCGCTCAAAATGGGGATTACTGTAACGTTGATTTACTGATCTTCGAGGAATATTATGAAAAATTGAAATATTCTGAAAGCATTTGTAACTAATTTACAATTTGTTAGACATTTTTGTAGGTACGAATTCAAAAATTTTCTGAATTTCAAAAATCGAAACATTGCACTGAAAAATTTCACAATACTAACTTATCAACAAAATTTTTTGATAAAAACCGAAGTTCGGAAAAAAAATCCATATTAGTATTTTCTATTTAACTCAAAAAATAATCAAAAACAAATTCGAAAAAAATCTAGAGATTTCAAGAACTATAGAAACTCTCCTAATCTAGTCCACTGCGAAAAAAATCATAACAAAAAATTGGCTAATCTTCAAACTCACAAGGTGTAAATCCGGTTGGATCAAGTGACGTTTGCAAAAACAACGGTGACGTCGCCGCAACTTTTATCGTATTATTTTTTTGTTGCTGTTGTTCTTTTTCTTTTTGTTGTTGCTGTTGCGCTGCCAGGGACGCAGACAATTTTTTCGCGTAAGCAGGCCTTGAAGATGGCGTCGGATTTCCACTACTGCTCTCCGAATATGTAGTGTCCTGAAATTTTTTGAAATATAATGATGGGCAAAAAAAAGAACTTCTTTATAGTCTGTGTTTTTCTAGCGTATGTGTGTAGTGGGTTAGAGACGCAGATGTGCTAGCTATATGGGAGGTGAGGAGAATTGGGAGGGGGAGATAAGAAGGGGCTATTGATTTTTTGGGAATTAATTAATTGCTAACCTTTGATGATCGGAATTCTTCCGATGTTCCACTGTGCAAAAATATATCGAGTTCGTCAGCCAAATCATCACGCTCGGTTTGCTTCGAATTGTTGATTAGTTCGACCTGCAAAAATTTGAACTTTTTGTTGTTTTGAAATAACTGAAAAACAAGTTTTTATGAACTATGAGTGCATTTTCAGTATTCCCCCTATAGATATATATATATATATTTTGTTTTCCCCTTCGTTGTTGTTTTTTTCTATTTTTTCTTTTTCTTTCAAAAAAATTACTGAGTATGAGAGCACATCCAAGGACAACAACTCGGGAAAAATATGGCAAGCCTGTCGCAAGCTTGCTACGTATTTTGGTGTTGTCGCTAGCTTGCTACACAAAAACACGCTGTTTTTCGAGTTGCCAACTTATGTCGCAAGTCTTGCGACATTTTTGGATCCTTTTTTGATGTAGCAAGCCTTGCGATATGGAGAAAATTGCGTCAGTTTTCAGCCTCGCTTGGCACATTTACTGTAGCCAGAAAAATAATTTTGTTTTTTTTGTTTTGTTTTCCCTATTTTACACGATTTCGAAGTGAATAGTTTATTTTCAACGCATTTTTTTTGAGAGATTAACATTATGAGCCTAGTGGGAAACGTTTATAACGTTCTGAATCGCTGTTTTCCGTATGGTTATTATGTTTTCAATAAAAATATTTTAGGATCGGTTGGATGGTGAGTCAACAGACAAATTAGGCAATTTTGGAAGAAGGAAAATGGATCAACAGTGTGGGAAAGATACTGAGTGAGTTTATTTTTAATCAATCGAATTCCTTTTGCGAAAATGTTCTAAAAAGTTTCATTTGTAGGATCAGAACCGAATCATCAAGTTGGAGTGCGTTTCGATTGATCATGGCTACACAAATCGATAAAAATAGTATTTTTTGAGCAATGATTTGAGGTCAGTTAAATTGTAATAATTTCATGTTTTCAAAGAGGAGATAGACTACAATATTTTTCATATTTTAATAACGTACTCACATATTAAAAAAACATGTGACTCACATGATGTGAGTAGGTTTTAAAGGGGCTGGGACCAGGCTTGTGCGGAAAATGGAAATGCGTTTTCCGATTTTCCGACTTTTTGGGAAAATTTCGGAAAAAATACGAGTCGGAAAATTTTCCGGATGAAAATTTCGGAAAATTTTTCCGACAGATAATTTCGGAAAATGATTTTTTCCGAAAATAAAATTCGGAAAAATGACTTCGGAAAATTTTTCCGACCTGATGGATTCGGAAAAGCACAGTTTTCCGAAATTTTCCGAAAACCTATTTTCCACACAAGCCTGGCTGCGACGCAAAAAAAAACTGTATTTTATGAAAAAGAGCATGCTCAAATTAGAAGAATCTATGAACAATATATATAATTTCGAAAAACTATCCCAAGCCCAAATAGGCGCAGTCTGAAAGCCTGTGCCTTAACAATATTCAATCCATAACCTATGAAACATTGAAGCAATCCATAATATTATAATTGTATATATTATTTCAGAGTTCATATTCGACATCAAAGCAACATCTCAAGGACGCTACAATTGTAGAACACCGACAACAAGAAAACATACATTTTTATCGAATTTTTAAAGTATAACTTTGTAATCGTTTTGTCTTATATATTAAATGTTCAATAAATAGTCTCTTGGTATACTGTTCTCTACATTTTTTATTAGGAGGTCCAGCGATTTTTAATGACCTCGCGTATGCGTTCGCAAGACTTGCGACAAAGTAGCAAGGCCTTGCTACACGTATGTAGCAAGCTTGCTTCAGGCTTGCTACATAAAATGTCGCAAGCTGGCTAAAAATGGTAGCAAGCTTGCTAAAAATGGTAGCAACTCTTGCCATATTTTCCCCGAGAACAACAAAAAACAACAGCGGGTTGAACACAACATGGTACATACATAGGGGGAGGCCTGAGGCACACACACACAGCAAAAAAAGAACAACTGCCGAACGTCTCTCAATTTTGCACAATATTTCGTTTATGGTTTTGGTTTCTTCGTTTTTCTTCTTCTCTATGTGTGTTTTTTTTGCTAACAGAAAAAAATAACAACAAAAACATCAACGGAAATGTATAAATAACTAGCAAAAACTAATATGACATCATTAGAGCTTCATATGAAATCTCATTTTTCTTCGGGCTCACAGCTAAAGTGCACATAAAGGTTCAATGTGAGATTTATGTATACATTAAAAATGCATTAGTAAAAGGCCCTCTCTACAGTAATCCAAAGATAGCTTACCTCTAAATCTTCATCCGCGTAAGCTGTCGACGTTGTCGGTGCAAACGAGTGAATTGAGAATGTTGGCGATGCCAAATCTCGAGTTGGACTTGGTCCCAATGAAATAACATCCGGTGGAAGGTATTGTTGTGTGTCGAAAGGTGTCATCGCTTCTTCAAGCGATGAAGTTGAGGGATAACAATAATCCGAATCATCGAGAACTGTGTGATGCTGTTGTAATTGCTGCGGTTGTGGGAGAGGTTGATGATGCGGTGAAAATGTCGGCAAGAAATCTGGAATATTTTAGGGTTGTAAAAGGAAAGGTGATCTGAAATTCGGGGGAAAGGTGAAAAATTCAAGTAGATAAAAAACTGAATTTGGAAAATAAAATTTTTATAATTATCATCTAAACGTTTTATAAGATTTACTAACGGTCATTCGTAAGTAAATCGAAAAACTTGTAAATTTCCTGAAATCCTTTTCTGTAGCATTTTTCCGAACAAGCTTTAAATTTTGGAACTTCTCAACGAATCTTTCCCTTCATAAATGGTGTAAAAGTGACTGCTTCTAGTAATACGTCACCCCTTCACACCATTACATTTTTCTCAACGAGTATATAGAATACAGTGATTCATAGGTCACTAACTTCCCAAAAACGATGATTAGGCAACAAAAAGTATACACTTCGCGCACCTGGCCTTTTTTTTGTTTGGAAGATAGCGGGCATGTTTTGGGAGGTTCTTCTTCTCCCTCCTACAGTATACAACTAGCTAACTAACCTTGCGTTGGTTGAAACGAAGTGGTGATGATTGGCGAAATGTTGAGCGCTTGATACATTTCCTCGTCCGAATATGACACTCTTGGTTGATGCGATGGCATCAATGTGTTGTTTGTGTTCGGTATGATTGGCGCAACTGGTTGTGTTGTGGTGGTATTATTGTTAAAGGTTGGGTGTTGATTGTAAAAATCAGCACCCAACAACCCGTAATGATCAGTGTCGGAAAGTCGCATACCAGTGAAAAAGTGTGATTGTCGATTGCTACAACAGTCTTCTTCCATTCTGCAAAAAAATCAAAATGATATAAAATTGAAAAAAAAACATTGTTGTAAAGTATTATTTTTTTTCTTTGGTTGGTGAGTCACAAGTTTTAAGAAATGTCAATTTTAATTGGATTTTTTTAGAATCGATCACATTTTGAACTCGAAGGTTTTTGTGCATTGTAAATAATTAGCGAAGAACCCTGGGGATTTGAAATTTGTATATTTTGATCATAATTTGGTCAAGAATAATAATTTTTGTTGAGAAATATCAGGATCTTTCATTTATTTTGTGCATGACTAGATTTTGTACAGTTACCCATAATGAAAAAATCACTCACCCTGGAATCATTGATTGATGCGAGTCGAGATCGAATCCCATCATTTTGAAGCAATCGCACTTTCCTAGTGAACTGGTATACGGTTTCCTAACCTGTTGGGTTGAGGAGAAGAAGTTTCCTTCTTGCCTGTAAGAAAATACTGGTAAAATCAATAAATACAGTCAGTCAAACGAAAATGAAAAATAAATAATAAAAGAAAAACGGTTGAAACGACAAGAGAGATAGATAGAAGAGAGTGCTCTTTCAACTTGTGAGATCACATACACACAAAAAACGAGAGAAGCAAAAACGAAAAAGATAGAACTCGCACACACACAAATATACACACTGCTTGGGTGTAGAAATGGGCGGGATTTGGCAAAACGCCGACAGGCTTGGATACGAGAACGGAAAGAAGAAAAGTGTGGGGGGGGGAGCTCACAATAATAATAATATAATGATGAAGAAAATAATAATAATAATATAGGATAAAGAGAACACCACATTTATCTAATGTAAAATTTATGAAAAAATACATGTGTTTTTTAGGTGACATTTTTTTTGTTGTATAGAGAATTGTGGGGGGAAAATGAAAGAGAATTGAAAAACAACATCAATTCATTTATTTGGCTGAACTGGTTCGGAAGAGAGAGAAAAGCAAAGATTTACTTTTTTGTTGTTTTGTTTTTTGTGACAGAAAAGGATGGTTTTCCTTTCCTTTCTCAGAGGATGTTAAGGGCATGGACTTCTGAAAATCTGATAGTTGCACTTTGAGAACATTGCGAGCAAAGTTCAGCCAATTTTGTTTTCTTTTTTTATATAAAGTGCCTGGAATTTTCGATGATTCAGAATGTTGCGTTCTCCGAAAAAATTCGGACAATAGAAAAAACTGCCTGAAAAATATTTTTGTTGTAGTTTATGCTACAAAGATGAATTTTGAAACTAGAAAAATGAATTGTAAAAGTACAATTCATTTTGGGACTACAAAGATTTGCATATTTTGAATGTGAGAGGTCTAGAGAGAAAATAAAATTCTGACAAAGAGAATTGAAACACTCAGGAACTGTATAGGAACTTTAATATTAACAAGATAAAGGCTACACAATCGGATATTCCGAAAATAAAATAACAATTTGGAAATATTCAAAAAGTTGTCGGAACTCGGAATGTAAGAAATTTTGTTAATTTCAAAGGAAAATGAAACAATGTTTTAAAATCTGAAGAAATTGCACAATCGCAAGGTCGGAAAGGAACAAAAATAGTTTTTTTCCCGATATGTTAAAAAATTTCAACTAATACAGTTACAGTATGTCAAGAATTGGGAAAATCTGGAGAAAATTCCGAAAAACGATCATATTAATAAAATTTAGAAAATGATTGGACTTAGAATTAGAAGTTCAATTTTCAAGCAAACAATTCTTAAGCCAGGATTTCTGAAGATCATCCGAAAATGCTCTTTCAAAGTGCTAAATATTTGCAGACTAACCTTTTTGAGTTCATGGACATTCAGATCCTCAAGAAAAACATGCTAGTTTTGAAAAGGAAGAAAACATTCCATTGGTCATTTGAAACAGCTATTTTCTAGAAAAGGTAGCTCTAAAAAACTTCTCAAAGAATCAGTGAGTAACCAGAAATTCCTAATCTAGACCTCAAGAAGTTCCGGAAACCGTTTTCGAGAACTCCAAATCACAAAAACCGGAAAATCACTCCAAAAACTACAAAGAATGATCTCCTTTTAGAAAATCAGCAAAAGTATAGAATACAAATTGAAGATGACAAAAATTAAATATTGTAAATGAAAAAGGCGCGAAAAATAACATAATAAAAAACGAAAAAAAGAGATCATGAAAAACAAAGAGGGAAAAACGGGCAGAGAAACACACACACACACAAAAGTGACCAGTTGTGACGAAATACACAGACAAAATGAACCGCAACGCGTGCACGCTCCGCCTTCTAACTAGCCTTGTCCCTGTGGATGATGGCTTTTTTCTTCTCCCCCCACTCTTTTCTTCCCAAAAAATCTCCCGATCGCCACTTGAATAATGTGTCTATTTGATGTTAGTTAGTTAGTTTTTATTGACCCGAGAGTTTTTGGCGGGAAAAAACGGTTTTTATTTCTAGGAAATATATTGAAAAGGGACCTTTTAAGGAGTGCGGGGAGAGGTCACGTAAAGACCACACAACACAAAATCGCTTCCGATGAAAGTGCAAAAAAATGCACTTTCCTTGGACTTTTTGAACGGATCCGGAGAGAGCATTTGGCTCAATTTTCTATGGAGCAAAAAGAAGCATGGAGCACAAATGAATAAGGGAAATTTGGATTTTCTAGTTAATAATTATTATGACGAATTTGCGGGGGCATCAATGAAAAATCAGCTGTGTTTATATTTCGCAACATTTATGATGACGTTTTCACTTTGGAATGTATAGAGGTAAAAAAATAAATACAGGAATTGAAAAAAATGATGACAAAGTTCAGAGGAATACAAAAAACAATAGAATGGGGGAAAAATAAATGAAAGATAGAGAGGCAAAAAGATAAGTGAAAGCGAGATTTGATCAATTAGATTGGGGGGATGCGCGCCAAATTCCAAACATTTCTCTATTTTTCCGAAACCGTATATGATAGATTATGTAATTCTCTTTTCTCAATTCGCTTTTTTTTGACTGTTCACGTGAAGCAACAGATTTTGATCAATGAGAAAGAGATAAACTTGTTTCATAAATATGTGTATAATTAGGTGAGGCTGTTTGCAAAAACGACAAAAAAATGATGTGAAAGTTTGTTATCAGTTCAGTTGGTTGAAAGATTGAGAGAAAAGTGTGAGCATAAATTATAGCGAAAATGGCAACATTTTCTGTCAATTCGTGGAATTTTAATATGCATTGGAAAGTTATTGTTGAATGTATTGAACAAAAAAGTTTATAGCATTCCAGTTTTTTCTGTGTGTTTGACATTGAATTTTTGATCATGAATTTTTAGTTCGTAATCTCTTAAAGGTACAGTTTTTGGAGGAGAACTTAGGGAACTGGATTTTTTAGAGGAACTGAAACATTCATTTTACATCTCCAAGAATCAAGCTGAAATTCAACCCTCTTCTTTTGCGCTCTCAAAAATCAATTCAAAAATCCGAAAAAAGTTCACAAAACATTCCTACACCCACGTTCAAAGTACAAACAGATGAATAATTGATGATTTCCAGCAACACATTTTTATTCATTTCTATTTGTTTAGTCCGTTTTCAGTTCAGTTCAAAAAAGATTTTATTATCATTATTATTGTTATGCTAATAATTTGCAACAAATAAAAAACGAATAAAATAAATAAATAAACAGATTATCAATATTTGTTTATATATCAAGAAAAACGGAAGTTTCAAATTTCGTCAAACGTAATGTTTATGTTATATGTACAAAAATATTGGCAAAAAACATCTAGAGAGAAAAGAATGGGAAAGGGACACATTTTCGAAAAGTTTCGAAATATTTTCTTGCGAAAAAACACGTGTCTTCCACGTGTGAGTAATTTTGTATGTTTTTTTTAGAACAAATATTTTTATTTTTATTTTTGTTTTTTCAGCCCTCAAAATGACTGACAATAAAAATAAATGAATTTGTTTATTGTTCTTTTGGAAATAGCAAAGAACAAAATCTAAAAATCAACAAATTGTTGCCAAATAAAATCAATGTAGTGTACAAATATTGATAATCAGTGATAAGTCACTGCAAACTGATGCAATTTTTCATGGACAGTTTTAGGGGTTTCTTTTTTGAAATAACAATGAAAATTTGTTTTTGAAAAACATTTTTGTTATTTAGAAAAGAGGAAGGGAAAAGGGCTTCCCGACTAATTATAAGCTTATCAGATAGGTGTAATTAGTTTTGGATTAAACCGACCTCTGGCAGGTGTGTTGGCACCGAAAAATTCGATTAATAAGCACCTGCTCGCATGATTTAAGAACTCAAAAATTATTCGATGTTATGTATGTTCAAAGGGGGTTAAGTGAACATTTTTTGCAAGAAAAATGGTCGCGGAGGCGGTTTCATTTGAAGAAAAGAACAAAATGAAAACATTTTTCATCCATCTATAAATAATATAATAAAAAATGATCTTGTTCGGAAATGATTGATATTTTTTGTAATAAAAAATATATAGCGATTTGATTTGGAATTGATTGGAAATAAGTATCAAAATATTATTTGGGAAACATTCGGGAATCTTGGATTTTTATGTGTCTGCAAAAATTATGAGAGTTGGTTTTTCGAATTTTATGGATTACTGTAAATGCATTTTTTTTCGAATGAAATATTGTTTTAGAGATCAGGAATCGAGAGAATTTGAGAGACTGGGTGTGTTTTTTTAATGTTAAAAACTTGTGATTTTCATGCTGGCTTTTCCAGAAAAACTCCAGGTGAAACTGAAAATAGAAAATAATAAAGAAGTGTTTTTTCAAGTCAGAAATCAATTTTTTTTTAGATTTTGTTACTAGGAAACGTTTTAAAAAAAGCTTTTTTTTTCAAAAATGAAAATATCTGGAAAATACTTCTTGTGCAGAGAGTTTGAAATTGAAAATCTATAAATACATTTTATGAATCACCACATCCGTCAAAAACACAAACAATATTGATAAAAAATCAAACATCCGAAACAGCCGTGATATATTTCGAACAATCTTCGCTGTTCTTTGTAGTTCTGATGAACGGGCAAGTCTGCACAGAAATCAATTTTTCTTGTTAAAAAAAGAAAAAGAAAATGTTTGATCTTACCGCATCTGGACAAGTTAGAGGAATCGCAGGAGCTGAAATATTAACATTTTTTGTTTTCATTCCAACGGGTTCCAAAATATTATTCCATAAATGAGTGCTAACCATTGCATGACCATATTGAGAAAAATGAAAACAATCGGGTGCGAAAAATGTCTGATCAGGTTTTCCATCTTTCATCGGAGGGACTGTAGTTTGACTGAAAAATGGTTGAACAACCAAAGTAAAATCATCTTTTTCAAATCTTCCACTTGTTTGCAAATCCATCTCATATTTATTATAATCCAATGCAGCTTGTGCAATTTCAGCGTTTGTATAATTTTTGTTACTCTCACATGTGCACTCTTTTCTAAACAAAAAAGTATTATGATTGATTGACATGTTGCGTAATTAGCACATTTTTTAGTATACTTACGTGTGAAGAGAAGTGCAGAAAAAGTGACCAGTATCTGATCTTCTCAACATTTCTAGATGTAACATTCCTGTCAGGGATACAATTACACGAGGCACATTGTCGTAGATGATTTGAATAGCTTCACCAATGTGTTCACCACATTTTTGAGGGGAATAATCGGGACGACTACAGTATCTGCATAAATCGTTGCCGCCAATAAAAATATTGAGAAGTTTCCAATCGTTGTTCATGTCTACCACCTGAAAATTGTTATGAAATATCAGACTTTTTTAACTGTAACTCCTTCAAAGATTTTCTGGTAACCCCTTCACTATTTTTTAAAATAGTTGTTGTGTTTTGAGACTCCAAAATCCAAAATATGCTCCCTTAATCTCGGAAAAGTCGACTTCAAAAATCATGAAATCATATGTTTTTTGTTTGATTACTTTTTTGCGTCAAAACTTGACTGAAATCCACAAATCCTCAAAACATTCAAGTTGTTTTGATGAACCGCACCCAAAACATTATTCAGATACATAAGTTACCGTATTATGTTGATGAAGAAGTGACACGAGTTGTCTGGCTTGTCCTGGCATATCATCAGCATGTGCACCCGGCATTGCCACGTTCAATTTGGCAATTTCCCAAACATTTGGACTTCCAATTCCAGTTGAATAACCGAATAGATCAGAGTTGTATTTTTTCAAAATATCTGGAAAATTTTTTTGTTCTCAACCCTCTGAAAAATTCATGAACAGTGAAAGAAAGAAAGAATTTAATTGACCTTGGGTAATAAAACCGAGACATAATGCTGAAATTCAAAAAGTGCTGAAATCGGGGGAGTTCAGAAATTCAATTCAATATTTTTCATACAGTTTTTTTTCTTTCAAAACTATATATCACTTCTTGAATGCCGTTTTGAAACTTACTCGGAATTGTAACATGTTCTTCAAGCGATTTGTCCCCGCCGGCTTGAAAAGCCAGTCCTCTATATTGCAAAACTACGGCCAATGGATCTTCAGCCCCTGCTCCATTTGCGGCCTTAAGTTTTTTCGTCTATTTTTTTGCAATTTTTCAATCAGTTTTTACCGTTAGAGAATCTCCTAACGCCATCACAACTTTGATATCAGCTGGTCTTACAGAATTCACATTTGTTGGCACCTTTTTACTTTTCTTCATCAAATTTGCACCGCAATCATATCCTGATGCACCAATATCTGGCAAGGTACAGTAACCCAGCAGAGGTAAAATACAGAGAACTGGAAATTTCTTGATTTTTGAAAGAAGAGAAACATGTATCAAAATATGTTACCTATGAAAATTCGCATGGCGAAAAATATGTTGTTATTGAAGTTCGTGATATATTGAGAAAGAATGAATTTCGAGTTATTGGTCTTTTGAAAACACGTGGTGTGATAAGAAACATCAGTTTTATAGATAAAATCATAAAATGATCGAGTTCTTGGTGATATGATTTGCACAGTAAACAAGGAGATTTTTTTAGCGAAACAATTCGTGAGAATAGACTGGATTGAGGTGAATTTGGATTATTTAACCAACATCCATAAATTGTTGAAAATTCAACGCTGGAAGTATTCTAGATATTAAAACTTTTTGTAGTGATTCTTCGATGACAGATCTGAATAACGGCCATGTTACATTATTCTGCTATTTTTTCCAAAGTTTGATGTAACTTTGAGCCTAACAGAAAAAAAGAATCAATTTCAAATTATATATATACTTTTCAAAACCAATTTTGTAGGTGGTTCTGACTTTATTTTTTTTTCAGTAAATTCTCAATATTTTATCTCAATGTTTCCTTTTTCCTGATGTTAGAAAAAAAAAAACGATTTGGTGATATTTTTGAGACTCCAGACATCACAGGAAGAGCCCATTAACCATGCGAATGTGTCATAAAATTTTCCAATAACTGAACTTTTTGTGTTTCAAAAATCAATAAAGATCAAAAAATCGGAAAATTTTAAACTCAACATTTTTATTGAAATTTTTGAGCATCAAAAGGAAAAGTTAATTGCAAAAACCTTGAAAACAAGTCAAATTACGGAACAATTTTAGTTCTCGCATCAAAACTCTAATTTATTTATTTTCCTACACTTCTTAACTTTATGTTTTTCAGCGGCTCTCCGAACGCTGAACCCCTTGGAACACATTATTTTGCATACAAAATTTTGTTTACATTTTTTCCCAATAAAATTTTGTTACTTTACTAATGTTAGTTGAACTTCCTAATCGCGTTATGGGTGGCATTTTCAAAACAGAAAATATGTCGATGAATAATCCTCTCCCCCGCGAATCTCTGAAACTCTTCCTGCAAAAAAATGATGAAATAAATAAAAAACAAAATCGCAATATTTGAGCTCATATCGAAAAATTCTGTTTGATGACCAAAAACATTCCCTAAACCCCGGAGCAACAACCTACGCATCCAAGAGGTTCAAAATGAGATTTTGTTTTTCGTTTTCATTTTCTTTTTCGAGTGCAAAAACTTCTTGTTTGTTTCACCAAAAAAAACGTCATAAGGACCGATGAGCTGTGCTCTTGTTTTTTTTTGAACAAAAAACATACACCGATCACTTTGTTTTGAAATTCCATTTTTACGTTTTTTCCAAGCTGAAAAACAATTGTGCAAAAAATAAGGAAGGAAAATAAAAATGCATTAATTTTTCCCTACTTTTTCACTTGTAATATAATAAGTTGTGTGGCCCTTTTCATGATATCATTTTTGACGTGTTCCCTATGCTTTTCTTTTATTTTTGATCTACATAGTCATTCCTAATTTATTTGAAGTACAACTTATGTTGGACTCATTCCGGAAATTATACATTTCGATGAATACCAATGACTATCTTTTTTATTCTTGAGTTGTTTTTTGTCATGAATATTAATCCTGGACTTTTTTCTGCAGGAACTATTTATTGTTTTTACTTTTTTTGGTTGCTTTTGGGGTCTTGGGCTTTTTTTGAAAAATTGCGGAGGAGTTTGACATGTCTGCTTCTCACGGTGTTTTTGTATAAAAAAGGATGAGAGGAGACGTTTCAACAGTTTTTGATATTTCAAAATACATTGGTGAGTTTGAATTGGACGATTACTGTAAGTATGCTTTTTTTCATGGTTTCTGGGGTTAGTTCGATTGGGGACACTTAAAATAGTAAATAAATGTTTGGGTGTGAACTTCGAGAGAATTACACACATATGAATCATGTCCTAACTATTTAGCTAATCTGGGCTCGTAGAAAAAAAAAACAAATAACATTTACATTTCGTAAAGATACGCTTTTAATTATTTAAAAATCCATGAAAAATATTCAAAAGATCAAAATCAAAGTTATTCATTCAGATTACTGTAGTTGTTTTTTGTTTAAACATTTCTGAATCAAAAATCTTCAGACTTGTAGAAAACAAAGATGACTTTTTGACTTTTTTTGTTTTCAATAAATCTCTAACGATATTTGAGTCTATATTTGAGCCAAATGCACTCCCCCACTCACTTTTTTTCCCACTCAAAAATTTCAAAACATTTTGCCGAAAATAGTTTTTCAAAAATGTGACTGGATATTTTTTCAATCCAGATTACTCTGATTTTTTTCTTGAAAGTTCTAGTTCTAGTTTGATTACTTCTCTAACTAGAACAAGTTTTTTATGAAAAAAAAAACATTTTCAAGGACCCTTATAGAATTTTTTCTGTGGAAAGAAAAGTTTCTGAACACATTTGTAGTTCAAAAAATTGAGGATTAACCAGACTTGGCTAAAACACATAAAGTAATTGAATTCGATATTCTTCAAAGATCCATTTTCATTCCATTACATCATCAAGTAATTGAACCACACATACTTCAACTAACTCTCCACCTACTTTTTCACGTTCCTTATAAGTATTCAATTTCCGCCCACTTTTCCTTATATTGTTTTGTTCTAGAATCATGTATTTTTCCCCATTTCTTCACAATAGACTAGTACATCTACATATTAATTTAATATGTATTTATCAGCTGTTTCTCTTTGCAAAACATTGTGGTGAAGTTTCTATTTTTGTACTGAAATTTATAAAAAATTCCAGAATTTGTTAGTTTAAAAATGTTACAGCTTCGTTTCATAGTTTAAAAAACATACCGGTATTTTTCTAGAAAAATGTCCTCTCAAAAAGTTGGAAATAAGTTCAATACTATTTTTCACCTGTTTGTTATCGAAAACATTCGATGATCAACGAGCATAAAAATGGTCGGTTTATGACACTTCTTTGATATTTTGTTCTTCATTTAATGCATTTTGGTTTATTTAGAGATATAGATGTAAACATCTTTTGGATCATATCATTCTTTGATTTTTGTCTGAAACTAAAGATTTCGTTGGGTCTGTATGTTAAAAACGTTCAAAATTTTGGATTATTTTGAGCTGTCGAAATTTCCACTTGAGCCATGAGCTTTGTTTGAGCTCAGAATATTTTTTTGAGAAATTCGGATTTCTACGTCAAATGTTGTAGTAAATATCAGATGGATATTAACAAAAAAAAAATTGACGAACAAAGTATTGAAACTTTGAAGGTTTATCAACATATTCATTTTTTGAGGGTACTCTAGACTTTCAGTCCTGCGAATTGATTTGGGTTTCAGTTGGTAACACATTTAGATGAATTACTGTTTCCAAGTCAATACTGGCACTGCCTTTTTCTCCTATTTCTGATTTGCTTTTTAAAAATCATAGTAATCATAAATACTTTTGCACTACACTATCAGCAAAAAAACATGATTTTCTTCCGTAAAAACTTGAGTATATTTTTCTTCAGCAACCAAGATTTTTTACTTCAATTTAAGAAAAATGCGAAATCAAACGCCTCCCCAATTTCAGTTATTAAAAAATGACTCGTATTTTTCGAAACTGTTTAATTTTTAGAAACATAGCAATGCTGGGAAACATCAGCCCCGCCCAGAATTTGTTCATTATATATTTCTCTGAATTATTTCTGTCAAGCTATTTTTGAACTGACTACTGTAAAATATGTGAAAAAGTTTGTATGACTTGATACTTAATTTGAGTTTGAGTAATTCCAATTTTTGCTGCACAATTTCTAAAGCTGGAAAACTGTTGTAGGATTTCATTCCAGCGATTGCCTGTTTTTGATCTGAAAATCTGATCTACTTCAAAAAGTACATTCAACTCTTACGGAAATTACGCCTTCTTTTTTTTTAGATTTTTTGGTTAATTTAGACAGTCCAAAAATAAACCAGTATTAATTGCAAAAGTCCATGGGAAAATCAGGGCGGCTCAAAAATTTGTCATTTCATATTTCTCTGAATTCTTTCAGTCAGGCAATTTTGAAACTATATTATTCTCACAATTTGAAATAATTTAGGTGTCTTTTTTCTCACAGTCAGAGATAAAAGTTTAAGAAAACGTTGATCTAGTTTTTCTACCTGAATATATTTAGTAAACCAACATAAATTCTTACATGTTAGATTACCAAAGTAAGTTCAAACTCAAAAAACATGTACTTGCAAATTTCTTACTCATTAATCAGAAAAGCCTAAAAAACTACGCACGCAAATTGAATTTTTTGAGAAAATAATCATAGAAAAACCCACAAATCATATTTAGGAACACAAAAAAAACTTGTTTAGTCTGTTTCGGAAAAAGATCAAGATGATCAGCTGATTGGTGAAAAATGTTCCAGTAACACTTTCTTTTTTATTTTTGGAAAATATTCGAATTCCGCCTTTTTCTAGAAAAAATTCCTTTTCAGAGTTCGCACGATTTTCGCCTATACATGTTTATATCTATTAATTATTAACTGACGTGTTTAGAAACGTGACAAAAACAAAAATTAATTAATTTGAGACATTTTCTCTTTTTGCAGTTTTTACACAGAAACTGAAAATATTTTATTCTCTTGGTCTTTTTTGCAACAACAACAGAAAATGTTATGAACTTTCTATTTTTAGTTTCTTTCTCTCTTGCTCTTACTGTAGTTTTTTCTTTCTTCCTCTTTTTTATTTTCATTCATATATTTATTTTTAAAACTGTGATAAAACTGTTATATTTGTGCACGTCATTGTAGCCCCAAAAACTAGTTAGTTAGTTAATTTGAAGTTTTTTGGTATAGTTGTTTACTTAACAAGGAACTTTTTTCGAAATCAAAAAAAAATTATATAGTCGGGCTCAAAGCTCAAAATGTGTGAGTGAGAATGGATTAAAAATTTGGTATGTTTTTGCATATTCGGCGAAGCTAATGATCATTGAACTCAATTTACTAGATGATACTGGATATGAAAGAAAATGTTTTTCGAAAAATTTCCGGCTTCAGACAATATGACATAGCAATGGTTTTACTAGCCTAAAAAACTGGGTTCAATGAGTCATTTGAGCTGTGAAAACAGTGCTGTTTTGATTATCTCAAAACGTACCGCTAAGTAGCAATGAAAAAATTTCTTTAGCGTCATAACTATTTTTTTTCGTAATGTTTCGAAATAGTGCCTACAACCTCCCCACTATTGCAAACATTCCACATCTTCTCACAGTTTTTTCTTATTATTTTCACTCATGTTCTCTGAAAGATCAGTCTGGTCCTATCAACCTTAACGTCATTAAAATTCCAATTATTTCTTTTGAAAAATAATTAGCTTATCATTCTCAAAAATGATAACTTCGTGAGTCACGCTAGAAAATTTTTTCTCTATTGAACACATGCGCTAAACTGGAATTTGGTTTTATTTGCTCAATCAGTATACAATATAATCAAAATCACCGGTTCTCTAAGAAATGCACACACAAATATAATAGGTTGACTCCCACTTATGCCGTGTTCCTCTTTTTTCCTCATTTCATTCGATGATTCAAGTTCCCACGTGGGTGTTCTTCGGAGTTCTACGTACGCAAATTGTATACTTCCAGCTGAATTTTTTGTGTTGCTGAGGGCCTAACCTCAGGTGTTTTAAATGTTGTCATAGTTTCGAAATGTTTTTGTTTTTATTGGTTTTCGAGCTAATCAAATTATTTCATATAGATAGATTGGATTTGTTTTTTTTTTTGGAATATTATGACCATCCTACATGTTTTTCTTTTTTTTATATTTCGAAAAAAATCCTAATCTCATCTAGGGAAATAAGTTTTTTTTTCCGATTCATATCATATCAAAAAAATTTACTATACATAGTATACTGTTCGTGATGATCATTGTGATGTCATATAATGTTTTGACATATATCTGAACAAACATCTTACGTAATTATCTTTTTTGGGTTTCATATTAACGTAGAAAGTGAATGTCTCCCTGAATGTTTTTTTCTGATCTAGATTTAGTTGAACAGGTGAATTCTTTTTATCCCCTTACGTTTGTCTTTTTGAACTGAAAAATACACTTGGTTAAAAAACACACACACATACACATTGTTTTGAGATTACAACAATTTGTGTACTTTAGGTGTGCTCAATGAGTCAGTCAACATATGTTGAGTTCAGAAATAATTCCTCTCCTTATTCAGAAGTGCATTTTCTATTTATCAAAAAAATGATCTTTTTATTTTTAGCAACTTGGGTTCAATTGATACTGTAGGGAGATAAGTGATTTTTGAATTGTTTTCGTTTTTTTTTTTCAATTTTTGTTCTCTTTTTGTAGAAAACATCCGTTTGACACAATATCTAGATTATCTAGGAAAACAATATATTTTGGACATAAGACAGCAAATTTTGATGTGGATTGTAAAAGAGATCAGAATTTTTAAACAAACATCTAGTTTTGTTCTGTTTTGAGAAAATTTTTATGATGGCTTTCTGGAAAATAATATAGTGATATACTCCCAGGAGTTTTCGCAGCTTCCAATTTTACTAAACACCCACTAAAAAATCACATGCATCTATATTTCATTATTAGTTATTCAGAATCAAATTAATTTACGATGGTTACATCGAATGAGTAAGAATTGAGTGCGTCACACTTTTTTTCTGGTAAAAATTTAATCCCAATACACGGAAGACGCAAATGGACCCTCATTTGACTATCAAATTTTAGGCAAGTAAATCTAATTAGTCTATGCTTTAAAATCACACGATTTCGCTCATTTTCATTCGGGTTCATCTCATTTGCCCTAATGTATATATACATTTTGAGATATTTTTAGCCTGAATTTTATTTTCTTTCTTTGAAAGTCGAAAAATAATCATTTTCTTTTCTTGGTTAATTATTAGGTGAACAGAACACGGACACCAATAATCGCTTTCCATTTTTCTTCTCTTTCTTCTTGGAGTACTTTCCTTCCCACTTTCTCGGAAAATATGACGAGAAATTGATACGGACCATTAAGTGCTTCAAAAATTTGTATATATAGAAATATGATATAGCATTTTTCGAAATGTTTCTTCTAGACGAAAATTTTCCCCCTCATTTTCTTTGAATTAATAGAGAAATTTGCGTCAGCAGAAAAAAAAACTCATTACTGTCGTGAAACAAAAACTCATCGAAGCGTGGAATTAGTGAGAAAACTAGCTGGATATTTTACTATAGTTTCAATTTTTCTGGAGTTCTCCTGTAGTAAACGTGGGTGGTCTATTTGCCAAGTTAGTCATTTTTGTTAATAATATGAAATAAGGTGTTTAAAAGGAGAAGGTATAGGTATTATGGTAGCGTCCCATTGTCTGTTTTTTCTTTTTGATTTTTTCGTTGATAATTGATAACGCATAATCATTATTTCTGAGGTCAATGTTTTCCCCATGTTTTCCTGGTTTTCTAATTCTAGTTAACGAAAAGTTGAGAACCCCGGGGTTTTCTCTTTTCAGGCGATTTCAATTTTCCCACAACCTACCCGCCCTCGCATTTTCTGTTTCTTTCATTTTTTCGTGTGAAGACCGAGAAAAAATCATATCAGATTGCCAAAAGAGTCTCCACCCTTCATTTTTTCTTTGTTCTACGTCATCCTCCCATTTTCTATATATGGTGAATGAAAATTACAGTTTCAAATTCAAATATGAGGGTACTCATTGTGTTGCTTATTGCGATTTTTGCTCTCGTTCAATCGTTCAACTATGATCAACTTGTTTATGAAGCACTTCTTGAGTGAGTTTTTTATTCCTCTTTTCTTATTTTGAGAGGAGAGGGGGTTCATTTCAAAGAATTATCAAATAGGGAGGTCGCTGATAATTTTCTGGTCTTTTTTTTTTGACAAAACGTGATTTTTTCAGTGACTTGGAGAGAGAAGCTGTGCACAGAGATTTAGCGAATCGTGTCCTGCATAAAAGACAAATGGATTTATCAGACCGTGTTCGTCGTGCATCTGAGAAGAAGTCATATCCAAGAAATTGCTATTTTTCGCCAATTCAATGTCTTTTGACAAGAAACTAGATCAAAATTCGACTTGAAATTCAAGAAAGAAATAGCTGAATATGTCATAATTGTGATTATACATTTAATTCACTCTTCGTTGATCTCATTTCCACATTTTCCCTTTATTTTCTCTCCACCGCGTCTCCCAAGATGACTGAATTTATATATTTTTGTTTTTTGCGGGTTCCCCCTGATAATTTTCTTCCAAAACAAAAAACAAACCACTTTATCTGCACATATACAGTACCCTTCTATCCTTTCTTTTTCTTGCCCCCCCCCCTTTAACTTTCCCATCTTTCCCCTTTACCTTTCCCAAATGGTTAGATTCGTGTAGTTGGTTTTTTAGACCTTGATTTTTTGGGGAAACAATGCACTTATTATTATTTTAATAATATAAAATATCATAAAATAATGTGTTGACGTGAGAATGATATGCACACACAGCAAAATTGAAATGAGAAAGTCACAATTTCAATAAATTATTTTTGTGTTAACTTTTTTTACAATATATTTTATTTAAAAATAAACGATGAGTCAGTTAGTCTGAAAAAACAAGTTTTTTTCCTTTTTCAATTCAAAACTTGGATGTCTCAAAAAGTTCAATTTTTGTTCAGAATCAGAATTAAGAAAACAATCTCCAGGGATTATAAAAAATTGTTTGCCAGTCGGAAAATAATATTTTTCCAGATTCAGTATCAATAAAAAAAACAAAAAAAAACAATCCATCTTTGTGTCACCGGAAAGTACAGTAATCAATTGATTTGCAAAAGTGCAGAATGCATTTTTCTGATCTGACAACATTGGAATGTACAGTAGCACTTTCAAAGTGCAAGATCACTGGGTACTGTATTGCTAAAAAAAATAAGTTTTTTTCTATTGGGAGGAAAAAACAATCAAGATAACCATGTTTCGTTGATATGAAAAGCGTTTTTCTCTGGTATACTTTCGAAAATCAAAAAATCGCTCGTTTTTCGAATAGAAAAAACGATGATGTTACAATAAATAAACAATGAAGTAATTTGCTTTGTTAACAGTTTTCCTGACAATATTTTACAATTGTAATAACAATTCTTTTGTTCTATTCTCTTCTCTTCATTTATTTTTTTTTGACCAAAACTGATAAAGTCAACCCAACTCAACAGTCAACACGTTTTGGGGGTTTTCCGTTTTTTATTCTGCGCCCAGAAAAATAATAGTTATATTATTATCATCTTTTTATTCCAGGTTAAGATCAAATTTCTTTCAATGAAAGTTGTTTAAAAATCTGATGAAAACGGGAAACTGGGTAAGAAGAAAAAATAGAGTCTAGTATACGGTAGAAAGTGAAATTTTTCAGGGTATTTAATGTTTGGTTCCGTGTAAACAAAAAGTAATCGTTTGATGATTTTATTAGATAAAACCAATTTGTATTCCTTTTTTCTTTCCCAAAAAAGGGAATAATTTGGTTTTCAACAATAATGTGAAGAGTTCCTTTTTTGCAAAGAATCTCGGATTTCAATCGAATGTGTTGTGTCACGCAAGATTTCTGGAAAACAAAATGAAATTCTCTATTTTTTACTGAAAATGAAACCAAAGAAAAGTTTTTTCTTCCTCATCGAAAAAAGTGTAGTTTGGTATCAATAACTTGTGACTGAAGGTCATTTTGAACTATTTCTGAAAATAACAAGAATCGTGACAATTGAAACATTTTGATGTCATGTTCGTAAATATTTTTCCAAGTGAAATGTGATTGAGAGACGCTTTTTTCGTGGACTTTGGTATTTCATGTGAAAAACAGACAAGATGTTTTTTTTTGCATCGTTTGGAGAGACAATTTTTCTGATAAGTGAAAAGAGATTTTTGTGGACTGAAAGTTCGTGAAAACAGACATACAAGAAAACTATTACTTTGATCTTTAAAATATATACTAAAAAAAGAAATGTTCCGGATGTCCGGTCCAATGTAATTTTACCTTAAGTACTTAAATAAATAACAAAATGTTCCCATATAATTCAAAATACAATTCACTTCTGTGAAAAATGGTTCACATTTTTTGGGTGGTCTGTCATCGTTTTCCATCTGCTTTAAATGCTGTCCCCAATCGTCGCCATTATTCCAAGGTCCGTTTGCCTTGCGTGTTTGAACTATCATCTATTTTTCAGACTTTAATGAGTTCAAGGATATAAACATATTTTGACTGAAAAAACACCAAGAAATGATGAAAAACTTTAATAAAATACAAAGTTATCAATCTTCAAAAAATATGTTCAGCAGTTTTCCAGTACCATCAAAGATTTTCTTGAAAACTTTTGCAAATTAATGTTAATATTCAAAGACTTCACAAGTAGACCTTTCAGAAAAACATCTCAAGTTCAGTTTTCCACGTTTTCGAGCTGAAACGGAGTTATACGCTTTCTAAAAGTTTTTGTTACAATTTTAGCGCATCAAAATGTAATTCATTTTGCTCTTTCCGCAGCTAAAAATTCATTTATTTGCATTGAAATGCTCATGAAACATTTTGAAGGGAAAACCTTATGGCTGGTTTAGAATTTTCCCCCATAAATGGTTGTTAAAAAAATTTTGCTTTGAGAAAATATGGACAGTTTTTCTTCGGTATTTTTCTCAAATAAAAAAAATTTTGATTGATTTTTCTGATTTGAAATTGTTTTTTCAGGTATTATATTCAGCAAAACTTTGATTTTCCAGTTTGTGACGTATTTCAAGGCAAACATTAAATCGATAGATAAAATCTCATCAAGTTCCACATATTCTCAATGTAGTCCAAACATTTTTTGGACAAAAAATGAAAAAGAAATTCCAAAAAAATTATCAGAAAAGTTCGTTTGACTTTAACGCTGGAATTTTTTTCATTTCTATCATCAAATTTGCAAAATAATCCTCTCTACATCTTAATTTTTTATTCACTGTTTCTAGCTTGAAAAAAAAACCACAAAAATGCTTTTTGTTATCTAGATGATCTTCTGACCCCTTTCCGCGTTTTTTTCCTGACCAGGTCTTTGTACTCTGCGTCTCTGAATGAATTATTTTTTTCTTGTCCTTTCCTAAACTTTTTTCTTATTTTTTTTATTTATGTATGTTGTTTCTAATGTTTTCTAGTTCATTTTTTATCGAAAATCACTGATTCATCCGATTTTTGAACCAAACCTTGATTTTTTCACTGATAACATGATCATTGTTCAAATTCTGCGGATAGATTCTTGTCTTTTGAATCAATATTGTTTTCTTTTACTTTTTTTCATTCTCATTCTCCAATTTTGTTGTATCAAATTGGTTTCATCTCTTCTTTATTTTTTGTTATTTTTAGATTTTTTTCTGCTAACAGACAAAAGATTTTTGATGTCTTTTTCAGATGTCCGGCAGTGTGACTGAAAAATTGAAAGAGGGTGGAAGACAAATAACAGCTGGTGGTTCAGCTGGTAGGTTATTCTTGATTAACAAAAGTAGAAGATTAATAGTCAAATTTGGATAAATTTAGGATTGGTGGAAGTATGTTTGATGTATCCATTGGATGTGGTAAAGACACGTTTGCAATTGGGTAATCATGATAAGGGTATGGTGGATTGCTTTGTGAAGACTTATAAAGTTGAAGGAATTGGTGGATTTTACAAGGTAAATTATTTGATTTGAAAAATATTTGGGAATATATCTTCTGAAAAATTCCAAGCCTTTTTCAAAAACTTGAAAACATTTTGATCATTTCAAAAGCTTACAATTAGGTATGATATTTTTGAGCTCTGATATTTCAAAGATTTGTAGTTGAGTCATATGATTCTTGATTTCACCTATTTTTCTGGAGATTCATGAAAATTTCAATTTCAATTTGATTTGAAAACTATCAAAGAATATGTGAAGAATGCAAATTATGAAAATAGGTAATATTAAAAAATCAACAGTAAAGGCTTGAAACTGAACCATTCTTCAAAAATAATAACCACTCAAAAACCAACAAGTTTATCAGGGAATTCTGCCACCGATTCTCGCTGAAACACCCAAACGCGCAACAAAATTCTTCACGTTTGAACAATACAAAACAATGTTCACACATTCCGATATTCCAATGCCACTAACAATGTCATTCGCTGGATTATTTTCCGGACTTACAGAAGCTTTTGTGATTTGTCCATTTGAAACAGTGAAAGTTAGACTGCAAGCAGACCGAAAATCTACAGCGGGACAGGTAGTTTTTATAAAATATTATTTGTTAAAAAAATAATAAATCATTTTTCTAGCAGCGAAGCACGGCATCAATGGCTCGTGAAATTTACAGAACTGAAGGTTTTGGAACTTCAGGACTTTATCGAGGACTTGGGGCTACTCTAGGAAGACATGGAGCTTGGAATATGGTATATTTCGGATTATATCATAGTTGTAAAGAGATTATTCCAGATGCCAAGGTATGTTTTTATATGAATTGAAATTGAAAAAAGCATCTTTTGCTTTACAGCAAAACCCCACTGCCAATCTATTGGGACGAATTGGTCTAGGTTTCACCGCAGGATCTCTTGCGTCAATTTTCAATATTCCATTTGACGTAGCAAAAAGTCGTATTCAAGGTCCACAGCCAGATCCATTGATTAGAAAATATAATGGAACTTTCCAATCGATTGCACTGGTTTATAAAGAAGAAGGGTGAGAAAAATATTTATTTCGGTTAGAATCCAATATTGGGATTGTTTCCAGATTTGCTGCATTATACAAAGGACTTCTGCCAAAAGTTATGCGACTCGGACCCGGTGGAGCAGTTATGCTTATTGTGTACGATGAGGTTTATGCATTTTTAAAAAAGACTACTTAAATTTTATTAATGTATTTCTGATGAATATGTTTGTTTAGAATAGTAGATTTAAAAATAAAACAAAAAAGATTCCATAAATCAAGCTTGAAAAAATTGAAAAACAAACATTTATAAACACAATAATGTTTTCATTTCAAAAAGCATTTCCAGATATTTATCCGAAAAGTTCAAATCTCGTTGCAAAATCTGAAAAAAATTTTTCACGCGAAAACAAAAGCATCACAACTAGAACAATCTATTTTTGATCAATGATTTAAAAAATACATGTGGAATGGATAATTATGAAATCGGCAAGAAAAGTACAAAAAACAAAACAAAACACAACACAAAATATTGTCATGGCAGTTAGAATAAAAATGAAAAAAGGGAAGGGGGAGTTACAAATCAATTTCTTTGGTTGTTCAAAAAGTGGTATATTTTGAAAATTAATTAGATTTTAAGTTGAGTATCATTGAGGTTGAACGTGATTATTTGGATGATTTATTTGCCGCAGTGATCTCTTTAAAAAATCAGATTGTTTTATTGTCATACAAATTTCACAGTACAACTTACGCTTTGAAGGAGAGAAGCATTCTGCGAATTTCATCAACTTGAAGTCTTCCAGTACTTCTTCCAAATCTTTCAATAAACATAGCTTGGAATAGGGCATATTCGTCGGGAGTGATATTTAAAACTGCTGCAATTGAATTGGCAACTATTCCCATTATGGTGTCGAAATTCCATTGATATCTGGATTCGCGCTCTTCGACGGGGATAATTGGAAAATTTTCGAGGCGCAAGACAGCTGAAAATATTTTTATTGTTCAACAGTTTTTTTTTAAATTTCAATAAAACTCACAAGATGATTTTTTGCCTCTCGAAGGTCTTACACGTTTTTTTTGCGCAACTCTTGGCACATAAAATTGTTGCTCTGGTGGCGGTGGAGGTGAAGGGTTTGGTGGCAGTTGGAAGACTGGCATCTCTTGTTGTTGTACTGGGCCTTCTTGGAAAACTTGCTGTTGATATTCAACTCGCAAGTATCTAGATTCAATTTGAGCTGCTTGGTGACATGACATGCTTGGGCCTGCACTCATATTGTTATACAATGGAGGTTGATTATAGTAGTTTGGCGAGTTAGTTGGCACATTTGGAACATATGATGAACCTGGTTGGTTGGATTGATCCATTGGAGAATTTGAAGAGCTTGGGGTATCCGAATGATCCAGTGGAGTGTATGATGAGCTTGGTTGATTTGAATTGTCATTTGAAGCATATGAAGTGCTCGGTTGATTAAATTGATCTATTGAAGCATTTGAAGTGCTGGGTTGATTTATTTCGTCATAATAATCAGGCTCTAAAATATCATCAGGCATCGGGTTCAAGTCGACATATCTTGGATCAACTATTTGAACAGGTGCTGGTGTTGGTGCTAGACCGGGCGCCTGCTCTTGCTCCACCTCGTCTTCCGGATCCATTTCAAGAAAATTTTCATCAAACTCTTGTTCCATCACACCATAGTTTCTCACATTTTGCAATTCACGATAAGTGCCCGAGGTATCGACTTGATATGAGTAATTTGATTGTGGCTGGGGAGCGAGTTGATGTTCTTGGTAAACTGGTTCTGGATCGTATTCCATTCTTGGAGTTTCAATTGGCTCCCATCCTGGCGGGTTTCGCTTCCTTTCTTTATTTTCATCTGTTTCTTTTGTTTGTTCAGGAACTTGTTGAGGGTTTCCAACATTTTCATCACGTGTAGGAACTTGTACAGTTGAGATCTGTGATTGTTCTATGATCTGATCATGAAGCGGATTCTGCACAACTGATATTGGAAAGGTTTCAACGATTCCACGTTGAAGAGAACTTTGCACAACTGAGATCTGAGATTGTTCTATGACCTGATCTTGAAGTGGGTTCTGCACAACTATTTTTTGTGGGTTTTCCACGATAGCTTCATGTGAAGGGCTCTTCACAACAGATACTGTTATTGGAATTGCCTCGGAAGTCATTGTTTCAGTAACAACTTCAGATTGCTCACCCTGTTGTGGTTGAGGAGCTGGCTCAGGCATTGGAGGTGGAGCTTCAATGGGAGTTGGATCTTCTGGCTCATCAAGCTCATTTAGAAACCCCGGTGGAGTAGTAACATTAGCATTTGGCTCTTCTTCAATAAATCGTGATGTAGGGCTGTCTTGATCGTGCGGTTGATGACTAACAACGTCTGGTTGATTTTGGACAAGTTGAGGATCAAGAGTTTGATGAGGTTCTTGTCGATTTTGCTGGGGAACTGCAACTTCTCTAGTAGGCGCATCTATACGCAACAGGAAATCTGAAGGATTAATAATTGAGAAAACAATTTTCAATTAAAATTAATGAACTCACTCTCTCTGTTTGGTTGCTGATGTCTTGGATCATTTTCCTGAAGATATTCGCTCAATTGAAGTTGTCTAGCTTGTTCCTCATCAATTCTTCGCATTGCTGCAATACGATTTTCTTCCAGATTTTGCTCATAATAAATGTTGTTGTTATCAGTCCCGTTTTCATGATCTTCAGCGATCCGACGCCGCAAAGAATTGATACTCAAATTCATATGTTCTGGCACTTCAGCTGATGGATTCAATAAATCTTGAACATTTGTAGGAAGGAGGCCGGCTTCTATAAAATGATGTTTTGCGGGGGCAGATGAGCTTTGTATAATAAAAGGGGATGAATGACCCCAGCTAATGGATAAAACTACTTTAAAAGTAATGACCAAATTTGGGACGACACCAACCTTCTAAATCATTAACTGCTAGCAGCAAATTTCGCAATGTTTGATTATTTTCCCCTTGCGCCGGATTATTCTCCTCTGGTCCGTAATACGGTGGAGGAGGTGTACGTTCACGTCGACCGTCGCGTTTTGCAAGAACACGCCCGAAATCTACTGGCTGTTGAGTCGGCCGAGGAGACTCAACCACTTGCGATATTGATGAACCTAAAAAATGCTCTTCAATTTTTTCACAACTAATTAGTAGCTTGCATGCATAAAGGAGTGAAAAAAGGAAAAGAGAAATATAACGAGTAATATATATGTTATTTATATACACTTTATTGATTTTGACCATCTGCCAGTTGCCTTTAAAGAAGCACAAATAAGAAAAGGGCAAAATGTATAATCCTTATATGTACAAATGAAGTTTTTTTTTCTTTTTTCAGCAAGAAAGTGGAATATATTAAAAGTTCATTCACTCTTCAAGATTAATAAGATCCCCTTTTCCACACAGATGTATACATACATACATACATACTAATCGAGTAAACGAGCCGCACGGAAACTAGGCAGCTGGAAACTCCATAGTAACCAAAAATTATATGTTCTCTTTCCGTGCCACATTCAATATTCATGTTTACCTCACATACTGGAATTTTGTGTGCAAAAAAAAATTCAAACCAAAGAAGGGAAGAAAGAAGCGAGAGTGAGTGAGAAATTTTTCATTTAATTTCAAAAGGGGTGAGCAAGAAAAAAAAAAGAGTGATTTCAGTTGGCTGCCAGGCGCGCGCTCTGCCGCCGTTCGTCAGTGAACTGAGCTCAAATGAGCGCTCGTGTGCTCGCCTTGTTCACTCACATTTATTCATTCATTCATATATAGGCTTGTGCACTCTTCACAACAACATAGGAAAGGAGAAGCGAGAAACAACAATAACAACGGAAAAGTAGGAAAAACTTCATCGATTTGAAGACAATTGGCGCCTTTTCAAAAATAAAAGAGCACGAAATGAAAAAAAAAAACATAGGGAAAATGAAATGTGTTAGCCAAAGCAAAAGTTTGTTGGAGAAAGCGTGCGTCGTGTTGGGGTTAGTTTTTCAGAGATCTTACCTGTTGGTACTTCTTGATCTGTCAACTCTTCTTCTTCTTCATCATCATCATCATCATCACAGATTTGATCTTGAATACCAATAATCTCTTCATGATCATCTGCCAATGAGCTGACTTCTACATCAACACTGCGAGAACGCGAGCGGCACGATCTTCTGACGTATTTAGCACGTTTCATAGGCACTGTAGGTTTGGAAGATGGAGATGGATGATCTTGATCTTCATCATCAGAATCGGAGTTAGAATCAGAATCATCATCGGTGTCTGAATCAACAACTTCAACCTTTCTCTTCCGTCCTCGCTTCTTTGGTGCAGGTTTTGCTTCAGGTTCTGGCTTTTGTTTTGTTTTTGGCTCCGTTGATTTTTTGTTCTTCTTCGACAAGACACTCTTTTTTGCTTTTGGTGCCGCCTTCTTCACTGTGGGTGGTGGCTGTCGAGTAGATCTTTTCATTTTTCCCGGACTATAACTATCATCATTATCAGTTAGTTCCTCCTCATCTTTCTCTTCTGGATAAATATACATCTTCCTCATTCGCTTCAACCCATTCTTCAACCATCCAGGATACCCGATTGTGGCAGTTTTTGGATCCAGTACAAAGTTTTCTGTAGGACGTTGCTCGTGGCATTGGCAAATGGTGAACTCATGCATCATCTTTTTCATTTGGGTTCGACCAGGTTGATTTAACACAAGATCGCAGTTGCTGAAAGAAAATTCACTTTCCAAGTGTTTTTTAAATAACAAGGTACCTGCAATAGCTCAAATCTGTTTCCAATTCGAGTTTTTCAAAAATCGCGCTCAAAACTTCATCACATTTTGCACCAATCTTCCACGAAACTTTATCATCAATCATTGTGCTTTGTGTATTAATAAGTATTTTTGTGACGTGTTCAGGCAATAAATTTGTATAACTTTTGAGCACCACCCCACTTGTCCCCATTATCAGCACTATTTCAGAATCATTAACATAATCCACAGCACTTTGCCAATTGTGTGGCCAAATTGCTCTACTTTTCTCGCCAGCGTGAACAATCGTATCATCAAGATATGTTCTGCAGTCGAGACACTTTCGCGTGGTTTCATGTTGCCTAGAAAAAAACGATTTTAGGTTATACACATCTATAATTAAAGTGTGTCTGTGTGTTTGTATTTAAAAAACTAACTTATAATTACTGTCAAACGACACATCATACGGTCGAATATATTGCCGATCACACCATTTGCAAGACTCAATATACATGTTTCCGTGAACTTCTGATAGATATTTTTGTGGAATACCACTTCGTAAATGCAACCCGTCGCAATTTTGAGAAATCAAATGGCTAACATAGCCAAGTCGAATGAATTCTTTGAGTATCATATGTGATTTTGTAGGTGGAATCGCCCGCATATCCATGTTTCTATCAACAAACTCAATATCCTTTGTGTACAACCCATTAACACCTCGGTAATCGGGAATTGATGCGGCCTAAAAAATAAAAAATCATCCTGTTTCCCCAAAAAAGAAGAAAACACTTACAGTTGAAATACCAGCTCCTGTGATGACAACAATTTTCTTCCGTTCTTTGAAAAATTGTACCAGTTTATTGATTTTCTCTGCTTTTTCTTCATTGCTATCAAGAATCTGAAAAAACATTCATTGTCCCTTTAATCTGAAAAAAAAACAAAAAATACCTCTGGAGGGGGGTTCCGTAACTCATTATCCATCCGATCATCCGACGACTCACGTCGGTGTTTAGTTTTTGACGTCATCTGAAAAAACTATATTTAGAAAATTTTTTAGGAGCAAGCGCGAAATGAGAATTAAAGAAAATGTAATGTGCGAGTAACAAAGCCGGCCAAAAAATGAGGAGAAAAAAAAATCTATACTGCAATGTTTGCTGAAGAGACGCAGAGAAAGATGAAAGGGACGCGCGGCGAGACCCATTTCTCTCCACTTTTTCCTCTCTATTATTTATTTATTCTATGATTGTCTGCGTCTCTTCAACAAGAAAATGCTTATTGATTCATACGAAACGTATTAGTTTTGTGTTGTTTTGATCATAACAATTCAGAATCAGAAACATTTTGAAATTCACACTTGAGTGAATTTCAAAATAACTTCAGAGATTTGTTGATAACATTAGAATTTATGAAATTTTGCTATTGCTATTTTCGGTGACCCCGCCCACCAGCTGTACATTGATTGGTTGAAAGGAAGTGTCTTCTGTTGTCTCTCTTTTTAATCTACACTATTTCGCCGGATTGCTCATGTAAGTGAACGATTGAAAGAATAAGATGATTTAGGGTTGACTGTGATTTGGATTTTTGCAGGAATAAATCAAAAACGCATAATGGACCAGCGAAATCGCTACCACCGCCAACTTTTCGATTTATGCCTCTTGATGCGAAAGATGTTAGTTTTTTTTTAAACCTACCGTAATCTAAAATTTCATTCAAAATTAACTCAAAATTATACAAAACAGAGTTCATGCTAATAGAAGAGAGACTTTTCTATTTTTAAATATTTTTTGTCAATATGTGCCGTTGAGTTAGCTTTTGACCTACTGATAATGAAACTTCAATTGAAAACTACCCAGATAAACTCTTATCGTAAGGTTTGAATTGTAAATAGTAAAAAATTTTCAGAAATAAAAAAAGGTTACAATATATGAAAAAGTATTTTAAAAATTTGGTTGAGAAACTGTTTTCGAGCAGAGTTCTGTGTTTGAGCCAAACACTTCAAGTTAAAGATGATTCCCACAGTTCAAAAAATTGTTTAAAAAAATTTCAGACAGCGTTCGCTGATAAATCAAATATTTTTCGAAAAAAAACATTGTAAAGAACATTCGATTTTTTATCTAGAAATGATATCTAAGACAAACAGCCTACACAAATTATTTTGAAAAAAAAATGATTTAAAAAAATAAGAAATCGCCAAAAGTAGGAATAGAATAACAGATGTTGTTTGAATCACCCAAATTTGCGCTCATAAAACTAACAGAAATGTGTCAGCACTTCGAATGTTTGCGTCTTTTTTGTTTAATATACCTATGAACTGAAAAAAAGAGAATGAAAAGAAAATAGGTTCTGTGAAAACATCAGGTGTTTTTTGGTCATAATTACGGAGTGAAATTTTTAAACGAAAATTATAGGTTTGATAATTGTAATATGATATCATAGAAAAGAAAGAGCTAAAAATAAATTTCACACTTTGTTTAGAAAAAAAGCTCACAAACGTGGATAGAAAATATTTTGATGCACAAAAAGAGCAGTGATTTATGCCAATTGTTCTATTGGCACCAAAAATTTTGGCGCGAAAAAATTTTGCACCTGACATAATTTATGAACGGGTTGATTTATAACTTTGAATTTCACGAGAAAGAGGTTTTGGTCTGATTGGGCTATTCAAGTTCACTTTTTTATACATAGACATTGTTTTCTATATTTTATATTAGTTCATTAGTACCTATTCAATAAGAAATTATTGGTAAAAAACTAATTGCTAGTACGTATGGAGAAAACAAAAAAGATATGCCAGAAGAAAACTTTGCTCAAAATTTTTCAAAAGATATTATTTTCAATATGGGAGAAATGCAATGAAAATGTGGTTGAAACTACATTTTGAACATTTTTTTTTAAATAAGAGTTATTTTTCGAAGGATTTCACAAATAAAAAAACACAATTTCAATTAAAAATAAAATAAGAAAGTCCTTATGAAAAACAAAAAAAACCTGAGACAATCCAAAACAACAAAGTAAATACATAGTTTAATTGAGAAATTGAAATTAACTTGGAGAACATGAAATTGGGCTTGAAAGCAAATTTTAAAAATCTAATAAATCAAGATAATTCCAGAATCAGATTTTTTTTCAATTTATTAATTAATTTTACAACACTTCTCGTGCTATACTCTAGTCTTATCGACAGAAATTTACATGTTCATTCATTCGAGATTAGCACTTCTATTTTTCTTCTATAAAAAATAGTATTAGTTGCCTAGGCATCCTTTTTAATCCTACTTCTGCTCTTTTTTCCCTTCATTTCTGTGCTGATATGGATATTAGAAGTGAACTAACTATTATTTTACCTTCTATTGCCGAAATTTTGAATTTGAATACTGAGGTTCAATGCTTGGATTGAATAATCAAAAATATTTACAATTTTCAGCTTCCACCAGCTTCATCTGCTCCAAAACCAGATAGATTAAGCAATTTTGGCTCAAAAAACATAAATGTAGGTTTCTCAATCAAACTGTGAAAATTGGCCATTTTCCAAAATTAAATTTTAGGGAACTTACTGGAACTATGACAAGGAACATGGAAAACTGATAGATAGCTTGAGAAGCACCCCAAATAATGGAACACTTTTAAAGGTAAATCGAGAGAGAAATTTCGATTAGATGAATGTGATTTTTTCAGCAACATCCATCAACATCAACAACTCCGCCAAAACCACTAAGTCACACTGAGAAAAAACGCGCATCTTTTGAAGCAAATCGAACTCAAGGATCAGAATCTGTACAGCCTAAAAAATCTCGAAGTCTTCCACAACAAACATCGACAGAGTATCAACCATTGCCACCCACTCCAAATAGTGAACCAGAACAGAATGTGAACACAAAATGGGTAGGTCTCAATTTTCGGTGTGCTTATTGTGGGAAAGGCTCCCTTGAAACCCCATCGAAGATATTCGAAATCGCAATTTTCAGACGGCATTCGGATGTACGGTTGGTGGGGAGAAAATAGAGATTCCCAGCGATTGTCAAGTGTTTCGGATGGTGCACCCAGGTGCTGATGGAATTAGTAGAGAATTTGTCATCCCTATGCCGCAAGGATCTAGTATAGCTGATGTTTTGGTATGTTTTTAATTTTTTTATGAAACATTTATGAGGACAGGAAATTGGTATAATTTTTCAACAACAAAAAAAACGCATGAAACCCACTTATTTTTTTTTCGGAAAAAATTGATTTATTTTTCGAAATTGTATTTTTGTAGGATACAATTTGTTGGTTTTTATATTAGACAAGTGCATTTTTATATTTTCGTGAGAATAATAATTCTTTCATAAATTTCCTATTAATTTCCAGAAATTTCAGTAAAATTGATCATAGGATTTTGATGTATTTCAGCGATTTTTTCAGATGGCCCTTCCGGACAATTTTTTGAGTTATTTCAATCATCCAATCGACTCAACCACCTCAGGTATTTTTTAAAACTTTTTCAATATTTTTTTCGAAAATGCATTTCAATAATTATTGTAGCCCGAGAAAGTATGCGTGTAGTAGAACCTGAGCCGGAGCCCGAACCACAACCACAATCGCAACATCCATCAATGTGGATTGAGCAAGAATGTGCCCAGATTTCAAATAACGATAATGACGTAAGCCAGTTATTTTAAAGAAAAAGAAAAAAATGATTTTTTTCAGACAGAGCAACCAATAATTGTTAATCCAAAACAGTATTATCGAATTATGAAACGACGAAGGACTAGGCAAATGTTGGAAGAAGCTGGTCGATTACCAAAAGCCAGAGCGGTAAGAAAATTTGCAATTGATCATATTTTTACGTTTATACTTTTTTCAGAAGTATCTTCATGAATCGCGTCATCAACACGCAATGTCAAGAGCTCGCGGAGAAGATGGACGTTTTGATAGTCATAGTATGTTTGTGAGAATTTTGAATAAAAATTAACGATTTTTTTCAGAGAAAAAACCCGAAACCTGCGGAACCTGAGAAAGATAGTGCAAATGAAAACGAACCGGATACATCAACCAAGCCTTCAACTAGCTATGTTCCTATTCAGTGAGTCCTAAACAAATTTTTTTATTTAAACCAGGCTAATTGTATTTTTTCCAGACCTGCTCCAAAATTCAAAAACCTCAAAAAAATTCCAAGTGATAATTATTCTTGCATGATCCCGAATGAACAAAAAACTGTGATTGAAACAAGTTCAGCTGATGGACAATCCTCTACATTGACAGTTCTTTAATGCCTCGATTGTTTTCTCAATTATGTATTTATTCATTTTTTTCAATTTTAAAATCCCAATTTTGTAGTCAATATCCAAACAACTAGTTAAATTTTTTGTGATGGTTTTTTCTTTGCCCGATGTTTTTCCAATTGTCAGATTTTTGAAAGTATTTTTCACAATATCAATATTCCCAAATCAATCAAAATAATTCCAAATTGAATAATTATATCTAATAAAAATGTTTTGTGCTAATCAAAGATTCTCGCATTGATCAAAATGAATTTTTGTTTATAATTTACTGTTTTTTTTTGAATAAATTATTGGAACCAGAATATCAGTTTCGAAGTTTTGTTGGTGATTTCAGAAAGTTATTTTTTTAAAATGAAAATTTGAATTCTCTCTGACATAAATTTCGAATTAAGTTAAGCTTGTTAAAATTACAAATTTAACAATTCAAATATTTTTTTAATGAACGGTTTGCTCGAAATGAAATGTTCAAAATATAGAAACTGGGAGATGATTGAAAAAAAGACAAAATAATACATAACTTTTATTTACACAATCTAATCATGGTAAGACTTTTTCAATTTTCTCTGTGTGATTTCTCGATGTTCTAATTATTTAACAAATTTTCTATTTCACAAGGAAACTTTTTCAACTTCATGATAAAATGAAAACAACAAGAATGCTTAGCTGAATAGTTTTTTGGAAAAAGGCTGCAGTATCATATTCAACAATTCATCACAAATTTTCTCGCACTACTATGAACACAGTTTTGTATTTTCAAAAACGTATTTCTCATCCAATCTAGCTCAAACTCAATACCAGGCTCATGAACTCAACCACATAAAACATAACTAGAACGACAATATCCTCATCTCCTCCAACATCGAACATCAATCAAAATTTCTCCCAATCCAATCATTTTTTATCCACATTGCTCCTCAAATTATCCCCTTTTTTGCCATCCAATTCATTTTCCTCATCTATTCTTAAACTATTTGCCATTTGTTTTTCTCTATTACATCTCAAATTGTTCAACACTTTACACGATCCATCGAGAAAAAGATTTATATCCGCAATGCCGCCCGTGTGAGTGTGTATGAGATGAAAAGAAACGGGCAAGCAAGCAGCTTCTAATTTGTGCTCACTTTTTTGTGCTCATTTTTTCAACTCACAATCAACATGAATGTTTTCTCCGATGATGATATTACAACATTATCTAGATATCTCTGATCCTGCCTGATTCTCAATTTTTTTCAACTAAACAACAACAACCTTGCCTCCTACTCTTTTCTTTCCCGCCTACCCAATGCTGTTGTTATGTTTTTTATTCTCTTCTATTTTCTTCTTCTTCTCGAGAAGAGAAAGAAGAAACAAGAAGCAGCTTTACAAGTTACAACATCTATTTCTGATCCCAATGGCAGACCACGCCCATCACGTTTTTTTTCTGTTCGTGTTTCTGATTTGAGAAAAATTCTGAAACCGAAACCGCATGTTTTACTCTCACTCTTCTATGTTTTCAATTTATATACATTCTGAAAAAAACTTTATTGGGATTTTTTTGATAGGGTATTTGTTTCCCTAGACTTTTATCTTCATTTTCCGTTTAAAAGTCGTTCTCTTTTACTCACATTATAACTTTTTATCTAATTTCAGCTCAATCATGTCTGACGAAGAAGAGATTCTGTAAGATTGTTTATTTCAGGTGGTAAATTTATTTTATGAAAATTTTCAATTTTTCAGTTCCGGTGAGGAAGAGGAGGAAGTAGAAGAATCCTTAGCCGAGGATGTTGAGGAAAAGTGAGTTACTATTACTCAATCCATAAATTGTCGGTATTTTTGTAGCGCGGAAGAGGAAACCGCTGAAGCCACCGAGGAAGCCCCAGAAGAGGCTGAAGAGGAGGCTCCAGTTGAGGAGAAGCCAAAACCACGTCCACCAGTGCAAGAAGAAAAACCACCAGCAGAAATGACTGAGGCTGAAGCCGCTATGCTTGCCGCCAAGAAACGTCACGAGGAAGAAGAAGCCGCCAAACTTCTCGATTATGAGCAACGCCGTGTTCTTGAGAAAGAACGTATGGAGGAAGAACTCCGTGAGCTCAAGGAGAAGCAAGAGAAACGTCGTGCTGAACGTGAAGAAGATGAACGTCAATTCGCTGAGCGTAGACGTCAAGATGAAGAGCGTCGTCGCAAAGACGAAGAAGACCGCAAGGCTAAGGCTGATGCTGAAAAGGCTCGCAAGAATGAGGAAAAAACTCGTCGTCAACAAATGATGGCTGGATCATTCGCCGGAGCCGCTGTTGGAGCTCCAGGAGGTAAGAACTTCACTGTCACCAAGGGAGATCAAGCTGCTCAATTCGGAAACTTGGCTCAAGGAGCTAAGGCTGAAGGAGTCTCTAAAGAACAACAAGAAGAAGCAAAGAAAGCATTCTTGGCCGCTATTTGCCGCGCTCAAGATGTTTCTGGACTTATGCCAAATGACTTGAAAGAAAAGATCAAGGGATTGCACGCACGTATTGTGAAATTGGAAGGAGAGAAATATGATTTGGAGAAGAGACGTGAACGTCAAGATTATGATGTAAGTTTTCAGTGTTTTCTTTTTGCTCTTTCAAATTTCTCATGCAACTTTGATTTCAGCTCAAAGAACTCAATGAACGTCAACGTCAAGTTGCTCGTAACAAGGCTCTCAAAAAGGGACTTGACCCAGAGGAAGCTGCCTCATCTGTTCATCCACCAAAGATCACCACCGCCTCTAAATTCGATCGTCAAATTGACAGAAGATCATACGGAGATCGTCGTGTTCTTTTCGAAAATCCATTCGTTAAACCAACACCAAACTTGGCTCGTGGAACAGCTAGACCACCAGCAGAATGGGGACGCAAAGAAAATGAAGAGTTGGAGCAAATCAGGTGAGATCTTGGAGTTTACTCCAAATTTCATTAAAAAACAAATTTTTAAATGAAATTCGTTATAGAAAGAACCTTGAACCACCAAAGTATGTTGAACAAGTTAAAGCTGAAGGAGACGCTGCTCGCCCACCAATTGCACCAATTCCATTGGCATTGCCAGAAAAAGAATTCGCCGATGCTCCACCACCAGCACCAGCTGGAAATCCAAATGAGGGAGCTGAAGTTATTATTCCAGACAGTGAAGCTGGAGCTGAACCAGTTGCTGCCTAAAAACACACTTGATATTGCTTTATGTATTTTTAGTCATCACAACGCTTTTACCCAACACAACACACATACTTTCTGTTTTACATAAACATTTTTTCTTTCACTCATATAGTTATTTCTAAAAGGTTTTGTGATATGATCTGAAATACTTTTATGACTTCCAGCAAGAAATATGGTTTTAATTTTTTTTTGCAAAAAATATTGACAGGAACTGATAACGTTTTTTTGGCATTTCAATGACATTTTCAAAATTTTTTGATGGAACTTTTTTATTACAACTCTGTCGTTAAACTTTTTTATAGGTTTCACAGTTCAGAGTTGAAAATTCTGAAAAATTGAGTCCTGGAGGTCAGAGAGCTTGCAATTGTTTTAAATTAAAATTTTCGAATTCGTAAACACCATTTTAGTGATCAAACTTTAGGTTATGAAATGTTTTGAAGATAAATAAGCTGAAAAAATTGTGAAAATATTATGAAAATTAAAAGTTATCTAGTAATCACAAACTAGCACTGTAAAATTAAATCTTCTCAAAATCAAAATGAATACAATTTCTTCTTATCTAAACTAGACAAAAATCTAATATTTTTGAACAGGCTTTAATTTTAGAAATATAGTTATTTTACTGTTAATTCAAAAAAATATTACAGAAATGTTTTTAAAAAAAACTTTGAAAAAAATGACTTTGATAAAATTCAAAACCGTGAATCATAACTTTATCAGTCACAAACTACAAGGTACAACTTTTTGACAAAACATTTTCAAAGAAACTTGGTTAAAAGTTCTGTGTACTAAAGGTTTACTAACAGAAACAATAGTTTGTAAACGTCTCACAATTATATAAAATATTATTTTGAGTTCTCAATTTTCAAACCAGTTAACTCATAGTTTTATAAACCAGATACATACAAAAAAACAGACTTCTGCACCCAATTATTTACCAAATTGAATCAAAAGTACAAAGTTTGTCATTTCTTCCTATTTTTGTCAAAACGTCTAAGCGGATGAGTAATCAAAATGTTGTTGATCTATTCGAGTAAAGTAAACATATGGTGAAATAGAAAACGATCCCACGAGTTTGGTTCTCTTATCGACCATTTTATCGTTTTCCGCCCTATTCACTTTCGCTCCTTTATAAGCCGTCAAGTTTGTTCAAATGTTAAGTTTTCCCTGAGAACTCAAAAATTCATATTTTGCTTTTCTAATAAAAATGTCTCACAATTATGGAAATGCTGGATATAACGGGCCAGATCAACATCATAGCGGACCCCCACCACACATTGGAGAAGGAGTTCAACGCCATGTTGAAGTCGGAGGAATCGGACATCCACCACAACACCCAGGACAACACCCAGGGCAACACCCAGGGCAATACCCAGGGCAACAACACCAAAATTGTAGTGGACATGACCACGGGGGTCACTCACACCAACATCCAACACAAAATGGGGGGCACTCACACCAACATCCTACACAACTCGGGGGGCACCAATGTTCTGGTGAACACGGACACCACTAAATCTATTTTTTTGATTTGTATTATATCCTTGTATCTTTTGATGTTTTTTGTTTCATAAACAATCTTTGGCTTTTTTGAATTTATAAATGAATGAATGTGTGATAAAAATTGACACAGCTGGCATTTTTTGCCGAAATTTATTGGGGAAATGTAATTGGTGATAGATTGAGGAACTATCAAATTTCAAAAATTATTCTTTTCAGCGCAGAAAATAACTATGGAATTTTCAAAAAAGAACAATAAATATTTTTTTTTTCTATATTTTTCATAACGGTGAACGTTGAAGATGCAGTTCGAAGTCGATTGCAGACGATTTGAAAGCAAAGAACAAAAAGAATATGGTTTTCAAATTGTTTGCTTAAATTCGGTCAAATTTTAATCGGTGTCAACAATAGATTTGCGGGAAAATGTGGTCACACACGTTCAAGTCAAGGAAAATGATGCAAGGCGCCTTTAATGAAAACCCAAAATGGTGCATCCAGCAAAACGGCTTCACCAAATCAAAAATTGATTAGATATTTGAAATATACGTATCCGAATCTAGGTGAATAACTATAAGCCGCTTTACCAAACACCCCAGGAGAAAAAGTCACCATCACTTCGAGATATCGCTTGTGAAAAATGTCATATTCCAGAGAGAGTTAGACAAAAGTGTTTGTAAAGTTTTTTTTACAGATTTTTCATTTTACAGTAGAAAAATACTTATTGCGCGGCTTGAATGTGTGTTTGATTAATAAAACTGTTGAAAATTCAGCATTGTTCAGAGGTGACATAGTCCAAATTATATCTTCTGAAACTCTCAAATTAATTGATATAGCAATAAACAAAGTTTCTAGAAAGAACTCATACATATATTAATTATAGTAAAAGGTGGTGTCAAAATATGTTCACTAACGATAATTGCGTGTTTGCACCGGATTTACTTCGATTCGGATAAAATATCGAAAAATGAGTTTTGGAAAACTCGGAAATTACGAAATTCTTCAAAAATAATTTTTTTCGAATCCAATTTCCACGAAACAATTATTTTTGTGAAGGCAAAAAATTCTCTATTGACAAAAAAATTTGGTGGAATTTCGAACGCATAAAAGTGTTTCTTTCAAAAAAAAACACATAAAACTAAATCAATATGAGGAAATTTTTTCAGTGAAAAACTAAATGACTCATTTTGATACATGAGGTGAGTAATACAAATAAATCGTTAGAAAAACCAAAAAAAAAACGATCCCATGAGTTTGACTCTTATCACATTCTTCTCGCCGCCTTTTTTCTGCCTATGACGTTTTTTTATGAAAATTTTTTGTTTATAAGCTTTCCAATTTCACGATTTTCTCACATTTTTTTAAAATTTCCAATTTCTAATTCCTTAATTTTTATTTTTAAAATAATCAAATTTCAGAAAGAAAAACATGTCGCACTACGGAGGAGGTCACGGAGGATACGGATACGGAGCTCCACCGCACGGAGGACCATACGGAGGACCACATCACGATTCACATAACGGAGGACACCACGGGCCCCCACCACACCACGATTCTCACCACGGAGGTGGCCACATTCCGGTTCACGGAGGGCATAACGGTGGGCACTACGTAGCGCATAACGGTGGGCACTACGTAGAGCATAACGGAGGACATCACGGAGGACCACCACACCACGATAGTCACTTCGGAGGGCACCACGGAGGGCATCACGGAGGGCACCACTAACTTCTACTTGTGATAACAATATGTAAATGATTTTCAATTTGAATAAAATTTTGCGTTCGATTCTTGTTTTTTTGACATATGGTTTCCCACATCGAATTTGTTTTTTTCTATTCGAAAAAAAGTTTGAACATAAAACGAGAAACAGATTGCTCAAAAAATCAAACTACAGAGCGAAAAATGTCATTGAAAAATGCCTTTAGGCTTTTTTTACCCGGGAAAGGCTGATAAAATGAATGATAAAAGGTTTAATGGTTGGTTGAGATCTTTATTTTTTGAACTGAACAAATAATACAATCATGTTATTTTATGGAAAGTTTTATGGATTTTATTTTAAAAAAATGCTTCATGAAAATTGTCATGCGTTTTAGTAGATAACTGGGAAAACTTTCTTCTAGATCTTTGTAATTCAGGTAAAACAATAATTCAAAAAAAAAAGAAAAAATGTCAAAAATTAGAAAAGAAAAGTTTTCTGAACTGATATTATTTGTCGGTAAACGTTTTTTAATTTTTTTTTAATTTGAATGACTTATTTGAAGATATCAATACATGAAATTTCGAAATCTCAAATAAAACCAAACATCTATTCAATTTTTCATACCATGTTTTAATTTTTCTCGAGCAAAGATATTCACTGAATTCACGACACGTTGGCGCAGATCTGGGCTAACGTGTTGCAACAAGCGAGCTAAATTTGCAACCGCTGCGAGTCTGTTAATGAGATCCGACCGTTTTCTCAAATTTCGGAAATCGTTAGCGACACTTTTTCGAGTCGCAAATTAGCCGAGTATATTTTATCATTCATTTCATACAAGGTAACACAATAAGTTCATATTAACAATGATCCCGATTATGATTATGGTGCCGGAATGGATTTAAGTGGTGCAATAATCCGTGATGATGGTGAGGTTCTTCTCGAATAATAACTGTTGTTGGCGGGGCGGCCGGAGCCATAATTGGATAAGGTGCAACCATAGGTGGCGGCCTTGGCATCATAACTGGCTGTGCGCCATAACCAATTGGCATTTGTTGTGGAATTGGAGGCATTGGAGGTGGAGGTGGAGGTGGATAAGAATTGTTATATGGATTGTAGTTGTAAGCCATTTCTAGAAAAATGATTTTTTTTTTCAATGTGATCTAAGAAAAAATTGCGAAAACGGAGCGAAGAAATGAAAAAGGACTGATAAAATGAAAAATAAAAGGCTTGTCTGGTTTTATAGGCACTTTTATTTCTTACTAAAGGCGTCATATTGATAGGCCTTTTTATATGAATTGAGTTATTTTTTGAGTTGAACTTTTGGTTATTTCCCGGATGATTATGACATGTTTCAGGGTTAAAGAATGTAAATATTTGATTTAGTTTCAAAAAAATGAGCATTGCTGAAATTGTATAAAAAACAATCATTTTTTCGATTAAGCGTTGTAATATCATTTTTTCGGGAGGTTAATATTTGGAAAAATTTTTTTACTTATGTACATTACATTTTTTTAAATTAACTAATTAGTTTTTCATTCTCGAACGTTCTTGTATAACTGAACATTTTCAGAAATGTTCCACTAATACAATACAACATTTTCTCCAGATATTTCGAATTGATCCATCCTGTTTCATTCTCTGAGTCACATGTCTGTTGGTCAAGATCTATGTATTTCTTTCATTACTCATTCAATTCTCTATTTGTTTTGAAAAACCGCATCGTTAACTGACGTCACTATATGTCTATTTTTATGTGCACAAATTCCCGAAAAAAGTGCGAAACCATATTTATCAGTTGTTTTTTTTATTCCGCTAATAAAAAATTCACAATGGCCTACAATTACAATCAATATGAATAATTTCTATCTACATTCCACAATGAGAAATGAAAAATAGTAATATATTAAAAATCTCAAAATTTTTTTTATTGTTCGGTTTTAGATCCCCAAGTTAGAAAACGAGTTATTTGTCAATTATTTTTTCTCGATGACAAATCCAAAGAGATAATAACTCATCAGATCCCTTGATAAATCACATGTAATGATTCACAAACGTCAATCGACTTGCTATCAATGTCCACTTTGCAATGTTATTTTGAGAATAACAAGAAGCGAAAATAATCTGGATAATCCTTTTTCTTTTTAATTCAAAAAAGCATTTTTGACTGGTCGAGATGTATTCATTTCATAAGAAAACATCATCACTTCCACATTTTATTAAATGACTCATTTGCTACTTCACTGAAAATGTGATAAAGATTTAATTTATTAACACAACGACAAAGATGTTGATACAACAAACTGTGATATAAAAAGTAGAAATTTAGGTAATTTTCAAGTGGAACTTTTCTGTTTTAAATGGCTTATAACTACAATCCTTATAAAAAACACGCTCCAATACACTCAACCATATCCATAACCAGCTGGATATCAAGGACAGCCAACAATAATTCGTGGAACTGATATGGCAATTGTTGTAGAAGAAGAAGATTCCCATTACCACGGAATTACGACCGTCATAATCATAATTTGCACTATTATGAGCATAACTCCCACAATCAAGCAAATAATTCAAAAGAACATCACAATCACTATGAACACAATTGCAAATTTCCTCATGTTTATGTGTATATAAATAAAATGTTTTTTTTCTTATAACTCAAATCGAATCCGAAAATTCAATGAAATCTCTGACTGACGTCACATGGGAGTTTAAAAATAGAATTTTCCTAACTGTAACAAAACGTCTTTTCAATTTGAATAAAACTACACTTCTTGATTTTTATGTGAAGGTAAATATTAACTTATTTCTTTGAAAAACACAACCTCCAATTATCTACTCTCTAGAGCTTATTTTTCATTCTTGATTTAGTTACACATTTGAATTTTCTCAACTTATTATCAGAATTTTAACTCATAAAAGTGGGAGGAGCCACAATATCACATTAACATTAAACTTCCATTTCTATTTTTAAATAATTTTTTATGATGGATAAAGAGTTGGAAAATCTTGTTGTGGATGATCTCACAATATCTACATTAGCTGATGATAGACAATGTGCAGTATGTAAACAAAAACCAGCGGTCGGATCGCATTATGGTGTGAGTTAGAATTTATATACATATATACTTCCTAATTACCAAATAATTCAGGTGTATTGTTGTCATGGATGCAAATCTTTTTTTCGTAGATCCACTATTGACAAAAGAGAATATCCACCCTGTCCTCAAAATGAAACTTGTTATGCAGATGAAAACATTACTACAGTTATCAAAAAGTGTAAATTTTGTAGATTAAAAACATGTTTTGATGTTGGAATGAAGCCAAAATTAGCTGCAAAACAAAAACGTTCTGCCCGTGGCAATATTAACCAGAAAACTATAACAAATCTTGATATTCAAGTGACGGTTAGTTTATATTTCAGTCAAATAATTTTAACGTGATTTTTTTTTCAGATCCGAAGCCCTTACTTAACTTCCCAAATGCTACTAGGAAATTTAGCACACGTTCATAACAAAATCGAAAAGTTGAAAATATCAACGTATAATCCAATTGTATTTCCGGTTTTCAAAGAAATGATTGAGGCTCCGAGCAAACTACACTTGGCTGATAAATTGGGGGTTAGTAATTTTTATCCTTGTATTTTAAAATGTAGACGTTTTGAAAACAAACATTTCAATTTTTAGATGATGATGGGATGGCCCCTTTCTCAATCAGAGTTCATTGAAAAGCAATCAGAACTGTTGAAAATGAAAACTCGACTCGAATCTGAGAATGATTATCCAGATTTTACCAAGTTTGAAAACATCAATATGTGAGTTACAAAATGCCAGGATTACATTGATCAAACTACAAACAACGTTTCTGTGCATTACTAAAAAATAATGTTTATTTTCAGAAAGGACTGGTTTCCATTTGATTTATTGCTGATTGTTGAAAACGCAAAAACATTTGATTTTTTCAATAAACTAGACTGTGAAGATAAATTAGTATTGATTCGTGGAACATCAATAATGGCTCTTGTACTAACATCAACATATTATTCATATAACTTGAAAAAAGAAGTTATCGTGAAACCAGATGGTATATTTATTGGTGGAACAAATAAGTGAGAATATATAGGATAGTTTATTAACAAATGTTTTTTTGTTTTTCAGAAATCTAGTGATAAACTCACTGATTGGGTCGAATGTGTAAGTTCTAATAATTTGAAATATTTGTCAATAATCTAAATTATTTAGAAAAATTACTGAATTTATAAGAAAATGGAGAGATGGGCAACGAATATTATCCATGATGATTAGAGACAAATTAACTATCAGTGAATTTTTGTTATTGCGCGCTATGATTGTTTGTAATCCAGGTACTATTGAAACTTGCAATGAAAACAAACATGTTTTTCCAGCTCTAAATCTGTCGACCAGTGCCGCAAAAATATTACAAATTGAGCGTGAAAAAATGTCACAAGCACTTTTTAATCATTGCCTCACGGAACATGGAAAAAACGGATCAATTAGATTCACAATTTTATTAAACTACATTATAGTTTTGTCTGAGCATGTTTACGATTTTACAGATTTTCTTAGACTCATTCAAATTAGTTCACCTGGAAGAACACCAGATTCTAGAAAACGATTGTTAAACGAGTTTTTCTCTCTGGAATTAAACTAATTCAGGTAAAAAAAATTATTCTCATCAAATCAAACATTTTTTTATCTTAAAAAACACTATTTATCAATAAGAAACATACGATTGAACGTTATTCTAATTGTAAAATATCATACTTTTTACATCTATTTTTTCTTGTATATTATTTTTTTCGAAACAAGTTCAAATAAAAGGTGGTGTATTTATATTCAAATTCATATTCAAATTCAGAAGAAAAAACAATTTTCTGTCTTGCTTTGAGTCAAAAAATGTCGAATTCTTTTAAAAAAGCTGCCTTATGGAAGAAGAAATGGATTAATTTGATTTACCACTACGATAATCTACATAACAGCCTTGTCAAAATTTGTACGATTTTACAAATTTCTCTAGACACACCCAATATACCATCTAGCAAAACAACTGAATCTGGGAGACTTGAAATTTTCTCACGATGTCCTAATTTGTTATCAATTCTAATGAAGAGCCACTATTCTCATTATTGTTAATATGAATGTCTATGGATATTTGATAAATTTTTCCACGAAGTTGCACTTTCTAATCTAATCTTCTTTTTATCTCAAAAATGTAATGCGATTGATATTTGTCACTCGGATGTTTGAAAATAAATCATCGATTAAAGATTTCAAAAATCATATTTATTTATTACTTGTGAATATTAAAATCTAGCTGTCTCGAAAATAGGAGGAGAGATAAAATCTTATCTTGATAACACTTTTTCTGTTTTCTTTTTCGAAATTTGTGTTATGGCGCTAAACATTATTGAATCGAATGAGTTCGAAGAGTTACCGAATGTTTCGATGAATAATTCTAGACAATGTGCAGTATGCAAAAAACCGGCAGGAGGGATTCATTATAATGTGAGTTCGGACTTTGTATTTTATATATTTGTTTATTAGTGAAAAAATATTTAGGTGCACTGTTGTCATGGGTGCAAAGCTTTTTTTCGTCGAGCCATCACTAACAAACTGGAATTCCAACAATGTATTTGGAATGAGACGTGTTATGCAGATGATAAAATCGATGAAGAGAGCAAAAAATGTAAATTTTGTAGAATACAAAAGTGTTTTAATGTTGGAATGATACCGCAATTCACTACAAAACGAAAATATCTAATTGACGAAATTTCTGGTCAAAAACCATATAATATTATGAAACATTTTGAAACTCAAGTGAGGGTTAGTTTTATTTTACACAATAGCGTATGTTTGGTTGTTATTTCAGATCAGAAATCCTTACTCAATAATCCAAATTCTCGTTGGAAACTTAGAACACATTTATAACAAACAAGAGATGCTGAAATCTTCAACATATAATCCGATTATACTTCCGGATTTTAAAGAATTGATCGAGGCTCCGAGTAAGCTACACTTAGCTGATAAATTAAGAGTTAGTGGTTGAGGGTTTGTTAAATTGAAAAAGAAAGTTGATTTTCAGATGATGATGGGATGGCCATTAACACAATCCGAATACTTTGAGAAGCATTCAGCCTTGATAAATATGCAAATTCAAATTGAATCTGATAACAAACTAAATTATCCCGTTTTCACCGAGTTCGAGAATATCAATGTGTAAGTGCTGAAATATTATAAGCATTGTATTCATTGAGAGAAATAATGTACTTTATATAAATTTTCAGTAAAGATTGGTTTCCATTTGAATTGATGATGACCCTTGAACACGCTAAATCATTTGATTTCTTTAATCAACTAGACATTGAGGATAAATTAGTGTTGATTCGTGGAAAATCAATGATAATTCATTTGTTAACCTCAGCTTATAATTCATATAAATTGAAAAAAGAAGTCATCGTGAAACCAGATGGTATATTTGTTGGTGGAACAGATAAGTGAGAATCTATTGAAAAAAATTTGTTTGAAATTGTTATTGTATATTTTTTACAGGCATATGGTGATAAATTCGTTGCTTTCTGCAAATATGTAAGTTTTGCTTTTCCTTTTTCCAGAAAAAAATACTCATTTTGATTTTTCAGAAAAGCAGTTGAAATGAACAGAAAATGGAAAGCTGGACAAAGAATAATAGCTATTATGATAAGAGACAAATTAACTTTAACTGAATTTCTGTTATTAAGGGAAGTGATCTTTTGCGATCCAGGTAGTTTTTATGAAAACTTTCGGTAATTAAAACATGTCATCGATATTTCCAGCTCTCAATTTGTCATTCAAAGCTGCTAAAATGGTACAAAAAGAGCGTGAAAAAGTATCACAAGCACTTTTCAATCATTGCCTTATTGAACATGGAAAAAATGGACCGATTCGATTCACAGTTTTGATAAATTACATCACAGTTTTGTCGGAGTATTTTTACGATTTCACAGACTTTGTTAGACAAACCCAACTTTTTTCACCTGGAAGAACACCAGAATCTAAAAAATTATTAGTCAATCAATTTCTTTCTTTGGATCTGAAGTGATTTCAGTTTTTGTTATACATTTTGATCATTGGATTCGATTTTATACTTTTTTTCTCAATATGTACGTGAATAAATAATACATTTTTCTGAGAAGTTGTACTTTCTAATCATCTTTTTTCCCAAAGTTCAATAATTCCATGGTGACGTCGCGTGAAAGCTTTTAAGCCTAAAAACTTAGTATTTTTCGAGAATCGATAAACCTTCAGGTAAATATCAATTTTTTGAAAAATAATCGGCAGATTTTCATATATTTTTATGGAAAAATTAAACGCAGTTTTGTTCGCTTTCTAACACCGTCATAATCAATCATTTCAGAAAAATACTTTTACAAATTATAATTATAGAGTGCTGATTCTATACATCATTCCATTTTTACGCATTCTTACTCTCTACTCGAAATAGTACTATTAGAGAATTATTCTAGTAATTTCTGCAAAATTTGTTCAAAAAATCCAGCTGTCTAGAAAATAGGCGGAGCAAAGAAGATTTATCTTGATATTATAATTTTTAGTTTTTTATTCACAAATCGTGTTATGATGCTTGATAATTTTCAAATGAATGAATTTGACGATTTACCAAATTTTTCACTGGATAATTATAGACAATGTGCGGTATGTAAAAAGGCAGCCGGAGGAATTCATTATAATGTGAGTTATTATTTTTCTATAATTGTTCTGTTATTGATTGATTTAGGTATATTGTTGTCACGGATGCAAATCATTTTTCCGCCGTGCTATAACTGATAAACTAGAATTTCAACCATGTATTTGGAATGAGACGTGTTATGCAGATGATAAAATCGATGAAGAGAGCAAAAAATGTAAATTTTGTAGAATACAAAAATGTTTTATGGTTGGAATGACGCCACAATTTACTACGAAACGAAAATATTTGGATGATGAAAATACTGATCAAAAACCATATAATATTATGAAACATTTTGAAACTCAAGTTAGGGTTAGTTTAAATTTCGTGATATAATATATTCAATATTCATTTTTTAGATCAGAAACCCATACTCAATTGTCAAAATTCTTGTTACAAATTTAGCTCATGTTGATGAAAAAATTGAGAAGCTGAAAAAATCAACCTATAATCCAATTATATTTCCCAATTTCAAAGAAATGATTGAGGCTCCGAGCAAACTACACTTGGCTGATAAATTAGGGGTTTGTGAGATGGGAACTGCGAATGATGTTGTAAATTTGATTTCAGATGATGACGGGATGGCCTTTCACACAATCAGAATATCTGGAAAAACATTCAGCATTAATTGATATGAAAATAAAATTGGAGATTAATGACCAAGTAAATTATCCAAGTTTCACTGAGTTCGAAGGAATTAATATGTAAGTGCGCGTCTTCCATTATTTAGAAGTAGTAAATTATATTTTAATTTTTGAGAAGTTGGCACGTTGAAAATTCTAATAAGTTCTCGCAAGCTTTAATTTTAGCAATCCCTTTTTTCAGCAAAGATTGGTTTCCGTTTGAATTAATGTTGACTCTGGAACACGCAAAAACGTTTGACTTTTTCAACAGATTGGACATTAAGGATAAACTAGTACTTATTCGCGGCACATCTGTGATGGTTCAAACACTCTCTTCAACATATTTTTCATATAAGTCAAAATGGGAATATATTGTGAAACCCGATGGGGCATGCGTTGCAGGATCTTCCAAGTAATATTCATAGTTTTTTTTTTGAAGTTTTTCAAAATTCAATATTTTACAGACATTTAGTAATCAATTCATTGATTTCTTCTTATGAGTGAGTTCTCTATCTAATTTTTTTATAATTCAATTCATTCTTATTTCAGAAAAACCATGGACAATCAGAAAAAATGGAGAAATGGTCAACGAATATTGTCACTAATGATTAGAGATAAATTAACATTCAGTGAATTTTTGTTATTACGAGCTATAGTTCTTTGTAATCCAGGTACAATGATAATATTTTTCTCTCAAGCCTGAGAAATATTTTCCAGCTCTTGATCTATCAGTGGAAGCTCAGGATATTTTACAAAAAGAACGTGAAAAAATATCACAAGCACTCTTCAATCATTGTCTCATGGAACATGGAAAAAACGGGCCAGTTCGATTCACAGTTTTATTGAACTACATCACAATACTGTCAGATCACCTCGGTGACTTTCGTGATTTTCTAATAGTCAGTCAAATTATATCACCTGGCAAAACACCACAATCGAGGAAAAAACTCATAAACGATTTTCTTTCTATTGAAATGAGATAAGTTTGGATATTTTACTCCTGAAATTGTTCTGTTCTTTAATTTTTCTCTGATTTTGTGAACAAGAAAAGTGCAATTTTTAGGTTTATAAATTGAATTCACCTTTATTACGTTTTATAATAAAATTTGTTTTACTCATGTGTTTGTTTCGTTGGTTAACTAAGATTTTGAATTGATCTAATTTTTTCCTAAAATGTACATGAACACATCTTGTTTAATTACTGTTTTCTACGTTTAGATATCGATCAATGTAGACGAAAATCAAATTAAGGGATAGTTATAAATATTTTTTTCCCAGTTTGGTATGAGTTCTTGAGGTGTTCTAACAGTTATTTAGTCTGGTAATTCCCAAAGTTCAACTTGAAAAACTTACAAAAAAACTTACAAAAAAAATCATTGAAAAAATTTGTCACATGATTCGAATTTATTAATTTTTTTTCTGTGAGTTTTTCGAATTGAACTTCAGGAATTACAGGAAATGAGATCTAAGACTAAGAACTGTTGAAGCGTATCAAAACTCATATCCAACTGAGTAACTGTCTTCAAATAATCAATTATAAATTTCTTCTGGTCCAATTTAATTCCAATGCATAGAGTCTGATCGATCTCATTGAACTCCAAATCTTCTACTGTAAAAATAAAATGTGAATTTTAATATGAATAAAAGCCAAATCCGAGCTTATCATCAGTCATGAATAAAAATAAATTTTTCATTTTTAAAAACATCACGTTTTATTCAAATCCCTTTCATGAAAGATTATTTTAAAAAAAAAGTACCCGAACTATAGTCTTCAGTGAGCACATGAAATGTCAGATTCTAACATTTACTTGAAATTAGTGGTGATGTGGGGAGGTTTAAAAAGTATAAAATTATTCAATTACTAGAAAGTTCCATAATTGTATTCTCAAATATTAAGTCAGAACATATTTTAAAAAAACATGTCTCTGACAATTAAAATATACTTACATAAGTTCAAACACTCACTCTCACATGAAACAGAAAATCTATAATTATAAAGTGAAGACTTGATTTTATCTTGCGAAAATTAGCTATGCAGAATACTCTCACCTTGCTAGATTGTTCAATGTCAAATGTTCGACAACGCAATATTTCCCAGTTGATCAATACATACATTTATACCAAAAAAAATCTATTAATGAAAAGATGAAAGTTTAATGATTCTAATTGTCTATTTATCTGTATCTATTGGGGAAACCTTTTTTATGTCACATGTTATGCAAAACAAAAACAATTTTTTTTTCAAATATATAATTATTTTTACGCATTTCACCTGGGCTGATAAACCATTATATATATTTGAAATTATATATCGAAAAAATTCATTCGCATTTTTTGTAGTTTTCTGACTCACTTCAGCCAGATGCAATTTTTTTTTCAATTTTTTCCTAATCTTTTGAAGAAAAAAATCCTGTCACTTTTGATTTCTCATTGTTTTTTTTTGCATTTTCTCATTTTTTCAGTACTTTTTTTGCAGTCCAAAACTATGGGAAATTTTTCTGAGGTTTTTGAATCGGATATCGAAGAACATCAAGAAAAATGTTCAGTTTGTCAAAGGCCATCCAGAGGAAAACACTATAATGTAAGTTATACGTTATGTTTATTATTTTGATCGAGAATTTTCTAGGTTTCCTGTTGTCATGGTTGCAAGTCATTTTTTCGGCGAGCCATCACGGAAAAATTAAAATTCCCGAAATGTCAAAAAGAAGAAACTTGTTCATCAGACGCAACAAAATCAAATGAAATCATTAAATGTCGATTTTGTAGATATCAAAAATGTTTTAATGTTGGGATGATTCCCCAATTCTCAACAAAACGTAAAAAGTCTGCTGAACAACTAGATGAAAAACCTATGCATATTGTTCAACTAGAGGTAGATTTTTTCAACAAAATGTTTTTTCTAGAAATTAATGTTATTTTAAGAATAAAAATCCGTACTCAATCATGGCAACGTTAAAAAGAGATTTAGCCTATGTTGATGAAAAAATGGGAAAGTTGTATGTGTCAACTTATCACCCGGTAATTCTTCCGGATTTGAAAACACTTATTGAGGAAACTTCGAAATTTCACTTGGCTGATAGATTAGATGTGAGTTATTTTAATGAAATAATAATAATAACAAGGATCTCAACAAAAGTGTTTTTTATTTGTAATAAAAATCTCCTAAATAATGAATTTTTAAAATTATGTACTGTGCTACAACAATCAGTTTTTTATTTTTGCAAATAATCCCAGAAAAAAAGCAATGTTATTTTACTTCAGAAAATGCCAGGTTGGCCTCTTGAACAAGATGAATACCTCCAAAAACATCGCGCACTCATGATTCTCAAAATGAAAATGGAAAGCGGAGCTGAGCCATTTCCATCCAGCTCAACAGAATTCACCGACATCAATGTGTAAGTAAAGTTTACATATATATTTTTTAATTTTTCTACGTATATTTTAAAAATTTCAGAAAAGATTGGTTTCCATTTGATTTAATGATGACCATTGAGCATGCGAAAACTTTTCAATTTTTCAACGATTTGGATATTGCTGATAGAATGATATTGATTCGTGAAACATCTGTAATGGTAGTTATGATAACAGTCACGTATTTTTCATACAAAGCAAAAAAAGAATATGTATTGAAACCTGATGGAGCAGCAATTGTTGGCTCATCGAAACATCATGTAATTAATTCAATATTAGCATCTAGCATGTGAGTTTCGAATATTTTCAAATCAACAATTCACCTTCTTCTTATAGTCAGCAAAATGAAATGGAAAGAAAATGGCAACATGGTCGAAGACTAATGTCATTTCTTCTGCGAGATAAACCAACTTACGAGGAATTTCTATTTTTGAGAATGATTATTTTTTGTAACCCAGCTTCCGGATTGTCAGAAAAGGCTGCAAATATTATACAAAAGGAGCGTGATAAAATGGGAAAATCGCTGTTCAATTATTGTTTGATGGAATATGGAAAACATGGAACAATACGTTTTACGAATTTATTGAACTATGTTAATATATTTTTGGATCATCAACACGACTTTCGCAATTTTGTATTTCTGAGTCAACTATTTATGCCAGTCAAAATGCCGCAAACAAGAACACGTCTAGTCAACCAAATATTGTGTATTGATCTCGAATAATTTTCAACTTCAAATCGATCTCATTTTTCTGTTGAAAAAACTACATCCGATGATAAGTTTTATATTTATCACATACTCTCACGATTTATTTTATTTTTATAACACGAGAACCTTTTTTTTAACCGGCTGACCAATTGATGAAACCCTATGGAAATCGACAACAAAGTATTCTAACTTTCAAACAAATTGTTTCTGATTCCGCAAACTTGAAAAAATCAAAATATGTATGTACAATTATTGAAGTTTGAAGATTGAGCAAGTTTGTTTTGCCTCTTTGGTACATATTTCAACAAAGAATATAATGACCATGCTTACCCATTTGAATAAACACACATACAAAATTTAAGTATCAAATGTCAACCAACTTTTTTTTCCAGCTACACTGAGAATCATTGTATTTACAGTCAATACAAAACATAAACACATCTAAATAACATAGAAACAGGAAAATGAGCCGTAGAAAAAGAGAAGAAGACAAGAATAAAAGAGGTATCCCATTACCAGCCCCATAATAATAACGGCTTTTTTTGCGGGTTGGCTGAGATATTCTTGCTCTTCGCCTTCTTGTTGTTTTTCTATGGCTGCTCCCTTGTTTGTTTCGTCTCCCTCTTCTTCGTTTTCGTACCGTCCAACTTGTCTTAGCTCATGTCAAGCTATTTGGTTGTTTTATCGCGCTGGTCTCGTCACCCTCAAAAAATGACCATTTGCACACGGTTTTCTTTGTTTTTTCTTCTTGCTTTTTTTTCGAATTGGTTGGTCAATTAGTTTTAAAAGTTTTGTATTTCAAGAAAATTGGTGGTAGTCAAAATAAAAAACACTTTGAAATCATTGACCGAAAAATTGTAAATGGACATGAATATATGTTTTCAGACAAACAGGAAATGAAATTATGAAAATGTTTTTTTTTTTCTAATTTCAGGAAATCTTGTTGATTTCAGAATTCTTTCCATTTTTGAAATGTGTTTTGAAAACTAATGTCTCCTTAAAGAATAATTTCCAAAACATATATTTTTTTTCACAATGCCTCAGATTTTTGCAACCAATCAAGATTTTTTGAAATTTTCTTCAAATTTTTCTGCACTTTTTGAATACTGAAACAACGAATCAAAAATTTTTTAAAATTTTTCTTTGAAATTTATTTACGGGAAATTACGCTATTATAACATTCCGATTTTTTCAATTCTTCAAAACAGTTTTATCATTCTGTTTTATTCGAAATTTTTACGAACAAAGTTCCCAAAGAGATTTTTTTCGAGAAGTACGGGACAAGCTTCGAAATTTCTGGAAATTTACAAATATTCAAATCAATCATATTTTTCAAATGCAATACATCGTTTTTCGTAATTTTTTGCGCACATAAACTTGTTTGAAAGTATAGAGAAAGTTCTAGTCTCCAATATTCAGGGTGAACCAAATCTGGAATAATTCTTGAACACCTTCTAGATTTTCATTATGGAATTTTGATTCTAAAAACATATTTTTTCGCCCATGAATATTTTCGCTTGTTCTCTTACATTTTCAAAAAACATTTACAAATTTCCTTCCTGGAGTTTTTCGTTACATTTTGTTGTTGTTTTTTAAGCTCATTCCCATTGTTTACAAATAATTTTGTAAAATCTTTCCAGCGTTCAAAATTCTTTTTTTTTTGTTCCTCATATTTTCTTAAGCAAAAAAAAAAACAAAAAAAACAAACAATTGTCACTATTTTTCGTGAAAATATATACTTTTTAGCTTTCTTCACAAAAATATGAATAATTCACTGGCCCATTATTTTTATATGTAAAATAAAATGTGAAACCTATTCATCCCGAATAAAAACTTCCTTTTCTTTTTTTGCACTCATTTTTCATATTCATGGTAGGTAGATGAAAGAAATAAAGAAATGAAGGGCAAAAAATTAATAACCGTATTGTCTCTCGAAAAAGTTGAATATAATAATAAAATAATAAATAATTATTATTCTTCCGTATGTTAGTTAGTCGAAAGAAACAAACCTGAAATAAATAGGCAATATTTCACACGCAATTAATTGTTCAAAAATTGTTTCTTCTTCTTCTGCTTCTTTTAAATAATAATTTTCAAGTGTTTTGGACGCATATGTTTCAAAGATACTTTTATTAATTTTTGCCTAGCATGCTATACTGCTTTTTATAAGTTGAGTTATATGTTATATATATATATATAAAAATTTGTAAGAAGATTGGGCATTTTTATGAGTTGTGGGAGGATATCATATTTTTATGGGTTTCTGATTTTTTCGAGAGAAAGAGTTATGTGGTTTTGTGGGTTTCCAGTTGAAGATTACTGTAGTTTAGTATTTTACACTGAATTTGTTTCACTGAATTTTTATGTGAAGTACTGTAAACTTGAGAGCAGAAGATCAACTTTTGAAATTACTATTGTCCCGTAATTTTTTTTAGGAATTTACTGAAACTTTTCAAAACAAACATAATTTTTAATTTTTTTTGAATTTAAGAGTCATTATTTGTAAGAAGGGAAATTTCTAGAATACGCTCTGCACAGAAAATTTCATGGTCTTCAAATGGGGCCAAACTTTTTTGAGTTAGTTATATGGCCGACATGAAAGATTGAGCAATATTACTTCGAAAAAAAATTCGCCATCTGGGTGGCGGGGGTCAAAAAGGGGGTGCATAACTTATGTTAAAACTGTATGGATATGTAACTCAGCTTAAACTCCATATTTTTTGACGATCAAAAAAGCGTTTTGCTCGTCTTTTTGCGCTCTTGCTCCGTGTAAAAAACCCCAATAACGTAGATCAATTTTTAGAAAAGTTGCAAAAAGTTGGGTCTCAAAAATGGTCATTTTCACCATTTCAGCCTCAAAAGCGCGACGAACTTTGTCATTTAAACGATTCTACGAGGTTTTTTACCCCTAGGCGCAAAATATGAGAAAAATTAATGGTAGCCCTCGGGGTCGTCCAGGGCTCAGACCAACAAAAAATCACAAATTTTTTGTGTTGATTTTAGTGAAATTTTTGAATATTCTGAGAAATCAGCATTTTTTGGTCAGAATGACAGTGTTTTGAGATTTTTCAACAAAAAAGAGCATATTTGACATTGAATTCGACACTAATATCGCAATTTTATTGATTAATAAAATCATCCTGATCATTCCAGTATGACCATCTCATAATAATTGAAATGATTCAAATTTGCTTATATTATTGTTGAATTGTGTCGAAAACACCACGGAAAGAGTTTTCAACACCATTTCATAACATTTCAACTTAACTTTTATATTTTTGCTCGATGTGGACATGACTGGAATTCCGAAGTTTGTCCTGATCTTTGATTTTGGTCATCTAAGACATCAAAATCAACTGTTATTCGTTTTTTATTTTTTTTAAACTTATTTCGAATAATATGACACTCATTCCAACAGTTGCGGATAATAAAGTTAGTCCACCTTTGGATGTTTCCCACAGTTTACTGAAGTTTTAGCAAGACCATCGGAATCCATCCAGATTTACGAGTTTTGACTTTCTATGGAAATATATTTTTCAATATTTATTTTCATGCGCTCAGATGAACATATTCAACGCTTTTTCTCAAATTTCAGTTCATTTGAACAATTTTTCTTAAATTGATACATTACTGGATTTCCGATGTTTGTCTTGATCTCTGATTCTAGACCATCAAGGACATCACGATTTTATTTGTAATGTCAGATTGCTTTTAAGACGAGTTAAAATGAATGAGAAATCAAAAAAATTATTCAAATTGACATTGGGAACATATCTGTACGGTATAAGAAGTAACATCTTATTTAAACGAGTCCCCTGATATAAGATCAGTGAGGAGATCCTCTTTCAGATCATTGTGGACTAACTTTTTTTTCTGCAACTGTTGGAATGAGTGTCATATTATTCGAAATTAGTTAAAAAAATAATAAAAAACAAATAACAGTTGATTTTGATGTCTTAGATGACCAAAATCAAAGATCAGGACAAACATCGGAATTCCAGTCATGTCCACATCGAGAAAAAATATAAAAGTTGAGTTGAAATGTTATGAAATAGTGTTGAAAAACTCTTTCCGTGGTGTTTTCGACACAATTCAACAATAATATAAGCAAATTTGAATCATTTTAATTATTATGAGATGGTCATACTGGAATGATCAGGATGATTTTATTAATCAATAAAATTGCGATATTAGTGTCGAATTCAATGTCAAATATGCTCTTTTTTGTTGAAAAATCTCAAAACACTGTCATTCTGACCAAAAAATGCTGATTTCTCAGAATATTCAAAAATTTCACTAAAATCAACACAAAAAATTTGTGATTTTTTGTTGGTCTGAGCCCTGGACGACCCCGAGGGCTACCATTAATTTTTCTCATATTTTGCGCCTAGGGGTAAAAAACCTCGTAGAATCGTTTAAATGACAAAGTTCGTCGCGCTTTTGAGGCTGAAATGGTGAAAATGACCATTTTTGAGACCCTACTTTTGCAACTTTTCTAAAAATTGAACTACGTTATTGGGGGTTTTTACACGGAGCAAGAGCGCAAAAAGACGAGCAAAACGCTTTTTTGATCGTCAAAAAATATGGAGTTTAAGCTGAGTTACATATCCATACAGTTTTAACATAAGTTATGCACCCCCCTTTTTGACCCCCCGCCACCCAGATGGCGAATTTTTTTTCGAAGTAATATTGCTCAATCTTTCATGTCGGCCATATAACTAACTCAAAAAAAAAGTTTGGCCCCATTTGAAGACCATGAAATTTTTTCTGTGCAGGCCATTTTCCTTTTTTACAAAAAACGACTCTTAATTATTATTATTACTATGTTTTCCGTAAATTTTGAACAATTCGGGATATAATAGTAATTTCCTGATATTTGAAACATAATCTCCAGAAAAAAATTATGAGAATAATTTATTTTCGACAGATAGAGATTTTTCAAATTTTCTATATCAGAAACTAAATCATCCGAGAAAAAATTCAAATTCTGAACTATGTAGAAATCCCAAAAATTCCGAAAATCCATAAACTCATTTCCCACCATCATATATGTTTTTGAAGTGTTCCAATATTGCCAACCAATTCCTTCTTCCGTTTTCCACCCAATTTCTGTTTTCCCACACTTTTTTTTACGTTTTTGTGATTTCTAATTCCCAATTTTCATTCAATCTGCCAACTTTTTTCTTATAGTTTCATACATATTTCATATATGTATATAGAGTTTTTCTATGTATTTCCCTCCTTCTTTTTGTTGTTCAAACCGAATATGGTAAAAAGGTGGAGGGAGTGCGCAAAAGTGGGCGGAGTCTAGATAGCGGTCTCTTATGCCTTTTCTCAAAGCCCTCCTTATGTATTTTTATTTGTTAGTGTTAGTTTATATCTTAATATACATATATAGTCATTTTTTCATGTTATTGTAAAAATTACCAGATTACGCAACCTAGTTTAGTTCCCTCAAGTGGCGCGAAATTGGCCGCAATTTTTGTGTTATGCCATTTATCCACCTAAAAAGGATGGGATAAATCGGTATTTACCCTTTTTTTTTGTAATATCAGATTTCGTTTGCGCTTTTTTCCAAGAATGACAGAAAAAATGCTTTATGTAAGCTGGTCATTAGGGAGAAAATCTGGTCCTGTCCTCGCCTACTCGATCGTTGAGCACTCTGATTTTTTGGTGTTTCGTAAATAAATTCCGATTGCTGTTTCAAGATGCAAGAAACAAAGCAAATAATCACTTTTTTTCATTTTACAGGAATGAAAATGCATATACGATTACTGATTTTCATCGCAATATTTTATGGCGCAACTTTGGGATGTTTGCTGAAAAATGGAATGAGTTCGGTGTACCTTTCAGCTTTTGAAGATTTGAAGCCAGGTTAGTGTTTTTGTTTTACTCGATTTCACTTTTATTTTGAACTTCAATCGGTTCTTCATAAACGAAAAAATAATTGGTTTTTCGGGAAAAACGGGCGTGCAAAAAGTTTAATTGGAATAAAAGGTTTTCGTGAAAAAAAGTTGAATAACATATGGAGGAAAATAGGAAGAAAAGGGATGGGGTGGGTGATTTTCTAATTTTCTAATTTCAAAAGTAGTGGGTTGAGAGGAGAGTGATTTTTGAAGGAGGAAATTTAAAAAGAGGTTTCAAAGAGAGGGTTGAAAGAGAGGGTTCTTTTAATGTATAACATTAGTATGTTACTGTATTAGTAGGGAGTTCTTTCAATTTCACCGGATTACTGTAATTTATATGGCTCATGAAGAACGTAAACGTTGTACCGATTTTTTGTTTATATCTGTTAAATCTGGACTATTGGTTTTTTTTCAAAAAAAAAAAGAAACATTCTCTCTCCCTGTCATTCTATAATAACTCCCTCTTTCTTCCAAATGTTTCTCCCAATCTCCAGAAACTATATTCACTATTACATAACAATAAACATAATAGACTTTGCTGCAAAAATAAGTCAATTTGACTCGTAGCTCAGGTCCTAATTTAATCTAATCGCTATAATAATAATCCTTTTCCCGACTCTCTTTGTTGTCTATATTTTGGCATCATAATTATTGTTAGGGTTCCCTCTCTCCCTATCCGACATCATTAGTGTTTTGTGTATGTATGTCGCACCCTCTTAAACAATAGAGTAACAAGATCAACGCAATGTTTAAGTTAGTTGAGCCAATTTGGAAATGAAATTGAAAGTTTCTCCTGTTATATTGCCATCAATTTCTCATTTTCCTTCTTTCTTGAAAATGAAAAGAAACAGATGTAAACATATAGATAAGAAAAGCTGGAAAAAAACTGGAAAAGCTGAATATGAATTAATTGGTTTTCATATTATTTTGTTTTTTTTCTTGCAGGAAATATTATCGGGACATTGCCGTTTGATGATGAAGATGAGGCGGAAAGTTCAAAGGAAAATAATAAGGTTGAGCTGACGGTTGTCAAAGGAAATGATGTTGTTGATATCAAACCGGGGACACATGATCTGGTGTTGAAGAAATCGCTTGACCGAGATGAGGTGGGTTTTCAATAAAATATTCAGGGATTTAGAAGGTTTTGAAAATTCGATTTGAGAATTGGGATCTTTTAAAAACAATCGAGTTTCTTATAAGATGTTTCAGAAGCTCCATCATTTCTCCAAAAAAATCCGGAAGCATACAATTTTTGCCGATTTTTCAATTTTACTAGCTTGAATACAGATCTCAAGTCATTTTTCAAAGATTTAAAAGTCTTATTATGATTATTTTTCAATTAGTTTCAAAACTCAAAGTCGAATAGATCTACATCATTTTCGTAAAACTCAAACTTCTTGATAAATATTTCAAAATCAAATTTATATTTCTCATCCACTTATCAAATCACGGCGTTCTTTTTCTTCTCTTCTTCTCCCATATTAAAAATAAATATATAAATAATCTCCAAATCAAAAAGTACCCAGCCTTGCGAGCATAAACAATGTTTTCTCAAGTGCCACTTGCTCTCCTTTCCTTTTTCATACATTCCAAACAAAAAGTCAAATCGAATCAGAAAAAATAATAATATGTATATTGATAGCCAACCAAATATGTCAAAAAAAGTGACAAACTGGTTCAGATTTATTTGCGTAAGGTTTTATTTTGATGTGTGATAATAGAAATAAAACAAACTTTTTGAAAATCAAATGGAATCGGACAACAATACGAGTTGAGTTGATGTTGACCTATTTGAGCTCATCTTTTAAGTGTTTTGCGTGTAAAACAAAAGAACTCGTTTCTCGATTCGAACAAATATGTACATACCAAAAACTTTTTGCTGAAGTTTTTTATTTTTATTTTTGCCTCAAAGGGGATGGTTCATTTGACTGTCTATATGTAAATGTCCCAAAAATTTTATGACGCGTTACTCAATGAGGCTACGCCGAAAAAGGACAATTTTTTTAAATGGAGTAGTACATCGAAGATAAAAATGTTGTAATAATACATTTATGAGAAATAAAAATTTCATTTCAGGGACTTGGAAAATTTGAAGCTGTTGTCGAGTGTCGATCCTCAAATTTGGAAGCCGAATTCAGTCAGGTAAAAAAAGTGTCTAATGTTTGCGAAAATTTGAAAATCTGACTTATCATTTCAAAAACCAAAAATCTATTCAACTTTGATCACCCAAGTAACTTCCTGTCAAGATCTCCCAGATATCAAAACCGGAACTAATTAATAAAAATATAATCATAAATCACTTCATAATTTCCATCAATCTTCATCAAATTATATCATTTCAGCTAAACATATCGGTTTTTGTTACGGTCAAAGACATTAACGACAATGCGCCAATTTTCGATTCACCCGAATATTTTGTCGACATCAAAGAAGAGTTACCGATTGGTAATTAGATTTTTGTTTGAAAAAGAAATGGAATTAAAAATAAAATATATAATTTAGGTACAATTGTTTTCACTGATTTCGAAGCCACGGATAATGATCAACCTGGACCCAATAGTTTTGTGCAATACTCAATAGTTGCTGGACAACATGCACACTTTTTTGATATTCCAGACCCGTTTAAACCTGTTATTACAATCAAAGATCGCATAAGTTTTGAGGAAATTCAAAAATTCACTGTTGAAATAGAAGCAAGAGATCAAGGAGAGCCAAGTCTTGCTTCAAAAGTTCCACTTCATGTGACAATTATTGACGTAAATGATTTATCACCGAAATTTGAACATCAATATTATACAGCGAAATCTCAAAAGGTATGTATATACTGTTTGTTTTTTTTCTAAACACATACAAGAAATTTTAGAATGGCTTGTTGATTTTCGAACCGGCGCAAATTGCAGCCATCGACGGCGATCATCTCAACGCTTCGTTGACTTTTTCACTATCTGGAGGTTTGTTTGGAAAATGGAAATTATGCAGATTTTTGTTGTTGCGTAGTCTGTATAGATTTTTGAAATTTGATTTTGGAAAAAGTATATTGATCGAGAATTTTGAAGGAAAACAGAGTTGATAGTTCTTCATTTTGAAAATATTTATAGAAGAGAAATTTTAAAAATAATCTGGGAAAGTTTTAAATACCACAATTGCAATACAAAAATGTTTTTCTAGAACTATCCGATCACTTCGTAATCAATGAAAACGGCGAAATCCACTCAAAAACCTCAAATCCACCACCACGAGCAACCTTCTTTGTCACGGTAAGAACTACTAATAGTCAAGTCAAGTAAAAAAAGTTGTCCTTGAATTTATTTGGCGCCAGTCAAAACAGTTTCTTTAATTGGCAACGAGTAAAAGAAAAAAGAAGAAAAAAGAATAGAAGAGGAAAAAGAAAGGGCAAAGAAAATCGAGAATCACACCTAAAAGGGAACGGGAACGGTTTTCATGTTCAATATAACAACAAAAAGCAATCATTTTGTGATTAATTGAAGTGTTTTTGGGGATTGGCATGTCAGCAAGGTTATTTAGAAGAAAAAATGAGAGAATAATAGATAATTTTTTATCTTGGTTAGCAGCAGGGGTTTAATGAAGAAATAGAGAAAAAAAGAAATTGGTCGCAGGGACTCGAACAAAATTGCACAATGACAGCGTACTCTTTTTATCAACTACATAAAAACTCAAAACAATAGGGGTTTCAATGGTTTTTGGAGGTTGGGACTTTTAACTTAAATATCCCTCTAATGGAATTTGCTCTATGATTACTCTGTACAAGTAATCTAGTTAAAGAACTTCACAAAACTAATTGTAAATTCCCTCAAAAATTAATATGCATTTTTCTCTCCAGGCGGCTGAGACTGATGACCCTGAAAAAAACTCAACTGCCATTATTTCAATCCGACTCCAACCATCACTAGCCTTCCAACACAACACATATTCAACCAGAATTGTGCCATCAACCCCAATTGGCTCAACAATTCTTACAGTTAAAGCGTTTTCTGAAAATGTGAGTTTTAGGTGTTTTTTTTTTCTGGAAATTTAAGAAAACATATTTACAGAATGCATCAATATTGTATTCATTGCTCGGTGATACAAATAGTGTATCAATTGATGAAGCGACCGGAAATGTTGTGCTTCGCAAAAAATTGGAAAAACCTGAAACACTTAATGTGACAGCTAGTGATGGTGAAAATGTAAGATTTTTTGAATATTAGAAAATTTCAAAAGTAATTTTATTCAGGTGGTCACAACGATTTTACATTTGTTTGTTAGTGAATCTGAAGAAAGTTGTAAAGGTCCACCAAAATTCGAGAAATTTGAGTATAAAATGTCTATTGGAAAATTAAATGTGTTGGGAGTTATAAATGCGACTTCAAGATCAGGAAATCGAGTTACATATATTTTGATGAATTTGAATAAGTAAGAAAAATAATTTAAATTTTCCTCTTAAAACATATTTTCAGTGAATTCGAAGTGGATAACAATGGAGTTGTGAAAATATTACCAAAAGCTAGACCACAATGTAAGACTTGTGAATTGATTGTTGTAGCAAAAGATGGAAATCAAGTTGCGATGACTAAAGTTATGATAGATAATCCAGCATTTGTTATTCAACCATCGGCAGCATTCACGATTTTGATTTTAATTATTTTATGTTTGATTTTTGCAATGTTGTCAATATTGGTTTGCCGAAGGTTTTGTGAAAAGTGAGTTTGTGGGAGATTATTAAAAAATTAAACGAGTGTTCAGCAAATCATAAAGTTCTTAAGAGTATCAAAACTCGATTCGAATGAAAAAAAAAAGAGTTCAAAAATTTCAAAATAATGAGCTATGTGTGGTTTTTTTAATCTCAACACACCACCTCGATCAAAAAACCAAATTAAATCCTCAAAAGTAAATATATTTTTTCAGATGGAAAAGAGGGACTCGGCGATCGAGCATCTGTTGGCTCAATGGAACCACCGATACAGGAATCTCAATAACCACAACGACGCCAACAACAACCACCAGGTATACATTTTTAAATGAAAATATCTCCAATTTTCCCCAAACCCCCAAAACAAGTTTTTTTTTAGTAGATATGTGGTGAACAGTGAAAAAGAACGATGTTACGATGCCAAATCACCTGGACCAAAACGATCACAGGGCGCACATTTGGTGCCAGTTACCGTAACTTCACATGATGGTGCAACTCCAACAGTCTACTTTTGAATATGGATACATATAATTTCTTGCTCTACCCAAAAATTAACAGGTGTCATTTTACTTTTTTCTTTCTTTGTTTGTAAATAGTTTTCCCAAATACCTTCGAACTTTCTTCGGTGAAAAACAAATGTTTTTTTTTATTTTGAAAACTTAACAGTGCTCATTCCATATTATATACTTTTTTCTATATTTATACTTACTTATATATTTGCATACTTTGTTTTTGCAGTGCAGACAGGGTAGATCTCAATAACTTTCAATTATAAAACTTTTTTATTCAACGTGGAATAAATAAACATGAAATTTAAAACAAAAAAAACTGAAATAAACAATGGAAATGACTTTCTAGCGAAATGTAAAAAAAGGAATGATAATTTTTAACATGGGGCAGGTTTTCAGATGAATAGAGGTTTTGAGTGAAAAAACAAGGTGAGAGTGATGCTTCGAGATTTGCATATTCTGTTGGAATAATATAAATTTTCAGATATTTGAATTATCAAATCAAGCTCAATTTAAACATTTTTGAGAAAAAATCAGACTTGTTTTGGAATAAAATGTAAACACTCTTCAGAAGTATATTGAAAAGTACAGTACCGTGCAATGAGATAAACAATTTAACGTAGAAGTGGAACGTTTTATTTTAAAATCGACAATAATTTTTTTCTTGGAAAAAAATCACGATTAGCTGTTATGGATATTTGTAAACACCAAAGCTTGAAAAAAATAAATATATTTAGATTTATTACAAAATTAATTAAAAATGAACAGCACATAAAAAACATGTGTCAAAAAATATGTTCTAAACTGTATTAACTTCCAAATTACCTTGAGCTCGATCAAATCACAATTTTTTTTGCTTTCAATCATATTTTTCTTTCAAAGTTGTTCAATGGAGATCAAATCCGGAGACAGTCTTGCTAATGAAGGTGTTCGATATTCATCCATTACTGAGCTCGATTCTATCACAATTGTCCTTGTTCCAGTTTTTCTCTCCTCCGATGCTTGATCGGAGGCTGTTCGTCACGTTATGATATGGAGCATTACCAATACTAATGAAGGTGTTTGATATTTATCCATTAGCGAGCTCGATTCTATCACAATTGTCCTTTTTCCCAGCATTTTTCTCCTCCGATGCTTGATCGGAGGCTGTTCGTCACGTTATGATACGGAGCATTACCAATACTAATGAAGGTGTTTGATATTTATCCATTAGCGAGCTCGATTCTATCACAATTGTCCTTTTTCCCAGCATTTTTCTCCTCCGATGCTTGATCGGAGGCTGTTCGTCACGTTATGATACGGAGCATTACCAATACTAATGAAGGTGTTTGATATTTATCCATTAGCGAGCTCGATTCTATCACAATTGTCCTTGTTCCAGTTTTTCTCTCCTCCGATGCTTGATCGGAGGCTGTTCGTCACGTTATGATACGGAGCATTACCAATACTAATGAAGGTGTTTGATATTTATCCATTAGCGAGCTCGATTCTATCACAATTGTCCTTGTTCCAGTTTTTCTCTCCTCCGATGCTTAATCGGAGGCTGTTCGTCACGTTATGATATGGAACCCATACCATAGTTTTTGTTGTAACTGATATTGATTCATTATCAATATCAACTACAATGAATCACGTTGTGATATGGAGCGCTACCCATATCATAACATTCCCTCCATGCTTTACAGTCGGCTCAATCATATCACAATTTTGCACAGATGTTCAATAGGATTAAGGTCTGAACTCAGAATCAGTGTTGATGATTCGCGTATGTTATGTTCACCTATAATTCATAGATGAAGATAACATCACGTTATGATAAGGTGCAATACGTATACCATAAAATTTCCACCGTGCTTCACCGTGGGAAGTTGATATTTCTAATTGTATCTTCGTTTTTCTTGTAACTTTTCACAATTCCATCAGCTCATTCTCTTGTTCAGAACAGCTAACTTTGGGGCGTCAATTTTTTCGAAATCATTGGTTTTTTACGGATCGTCTTTCATAAAGTCCAGCATCCCGGTGACGACGTTAGTGTCATTTCTGAATTAGCCTCTCATCGGAGAACAATTCTCCATATGATTCAAGTCCAATCTCACATTTGATTGCTATGTGGATTATCGAGATAAGGTTGCATTGAATCGGAAGATTTGCTTTAAATATGCCTACTGTACGACTCCACTGAAATCACATATCTTCATTCTCGTCCATTTTCAGCCCTATTGCGTCGTCCCATTTTCCAAAACACAAATTCAAAATGAAACAAATGTAAAATAACAATATTAAAACAAATAAAATGGAAAAAAAACTCGGTTTTCAATTTTTGGTTATTGGTATATTTGTCGATGTTAAGACAAATTATAGCCGACAACATAAAATTGTACATCTCACTGCACGATACTGTATACATCAAATACTGAGAAAATCAACTGTTAGCTTGTGATAAGAAAACTAGAAAAATTTTAAAAGAAACAATTCAAAATTACAATTTTGAAGACAATTTTTTGAATTGAAATATAAACTAACATTTTCCAAAATTGAGACTTTTTGAAGACAATAATGAAGTCTAAATCTGAAGCTAAATTGAAAATCCCTTCCGATTAAGTTCCCCGAGATATATTTCTACATTTTTCATATAAATTCCAATTTCAGCAAACCACATCTCATTTTTCTAACAATTAAAAAAGTGTTGCCTCTCTCCTCCCCTTTTTCCCTCTACACTCAAAAATACCTCATTATACTGAAAACTCACCCTTGTTTCAAAAACATTTGGGAATCCATAATTATGCATTAACAATTTTTGACTATTTTTAACTAATTATCCGTGAGATTGGCACTGCTTGAATTATTATTAATGATTGATGATTTTTGATGAGTTAATACATATTCTTGCTCGTTTTGTCCCGAAGAAGACCTAAATTGCACATGTATTTTTGGGAAAAAAACAAATCTTTGAAAATGCAATTACCGTCGATGTAAATGTGATGATCCAGATGTACTTCTATAGTGTTCACTGGCACCGCCGCTGCTAATTCCACATAGCCTAAAATAGTCATTTCACAGATGATTAAAACCAGATGTCCTCTTATTTTTTTTCGTTTATTTCTCTTTCATTTGTCTCCAAATCACTCAGTCAATCAGATTTTACAAAAATATAATATATTGAAAAGGAAACGAGTAGTAGTTCTCCCCCCAAAGTTGTGAATATTCACATTATTCTTTTTTTTTCTTCCTATTAGTCTGCTCTCGCATATACTTTTCTAGTGTATTACTACTTCTTTTTTTTGAGGCACTGCTTTATTCTAACTGCTCGCTCATTTTGCTCGAAAGCTGAAAAGGCGAAAACATGGATTTGTCATTTGATGATCTATTCAAAGATGACGTGAATGGTGAGTTTTTAGAAGGGGGTCTTATTCTGAAAGCCAAAATTAAATTTTCTGAAAGGGGCATTTATTTTTGAAAAACATTGCAGAAGCTTTTTGCTCCCAACATAAGATAAGATAAGATAAACAAGATGTTTTCAGCTTATAACATCATTTTGTAAATTTCTTATTCTCAAAGTGTTTTTTTCGAGAAAAGTACAACTCAATTTCAGAATTATTTTTAGAAATCTCCGGATTTCTAATTAGACTAATTAGAATATGTTTTTATATTCACATTCAGATTTTTGTAGACTTGTTGATCATGTCGGAAACAGAAATGATGTTTTTAATTGGGATGAGTGTAAGATATCTGAGGGATCAAAAATAGATCTAATGAGACTTCAAATGCACAGATTTGGTAAAAGATAATTTTTAAAACAAAACCATAAATATTTAATATTTTTGAAAAACATTGATTCAGTTTTTTAGTGAAAGTCAGAAATATCGGAATACGTAAATTCAAGTGTATCAAATTTATCAGAAATGCGATCCATATTTATAAAAACTAGGTTCATAACTGGTAGATTTAAAATTCAGAACATCTAGAAGCTAGTTACGAAATTTAAGATTTATTACAAACGAATACACTTCGTAGAGGGTCTTGTACCATTTTTCAATTAATATTTAGGTTTCGGTTTCAAAGGCTAACTTAAATTTTCAGAAACAAACAGGGTTATACCCGAAACTCATAAAATGATTCAATTTCAAACGAAACTAACTTTAAGTTTGCTAAAATTTATTCTTCGTAGGTTTCCTTCAATTTTCTTACTTATTTCCTCCTTCCTCAATTCCTGATTTTTTCTCTCTGTCTCTCTTTGAACTCATAAACCAAAAAAACATTCTATCAATAACTATTAATTAAAAGTGCAACGATGCTTGCGCTAATCCTCATCATTTCTGTGCTCATTTTTTGTTTCTCTCTTTTTTTGTGATGTTGCCTGGCGACGCAAACAATTTATATGAGTGACTCGGATTTTTGTTATCATTCTCATTTTTAATTCTAGAGCTAGCTTATTTTTATTACTTGTTTGTTTCAATTATGGAAGAAGATGGTGAGTTTTCAGAGAGGTTACAAATATTATAAAAAACATTCACCCGCCAGGCACACCGATCCTTCCTTTTTTCTTTCTTTCTTGAATTTTTTGTCGAATTTCTTCCATTCGATTCATCGCTTCTTGATCGCTATTTTTCTCAATTATAATGGTCCCATATTTTTCTCGCTCTTGTTTGAGCTCACTTATAATTTGATCTCTTTCCAACTTCTCATCTTCAAGTCGTTTTATTCGAGCTTCAAAGCTGTCTGCAATTGTAGTCAGGGTTGATTTTCGACGTTCAGTTTCGTCATTGAGCGTTCTAAAAATGAATATCTCAATTTTCACTCTGATATCTTATCGATCTACCTTTTCAAATCAACCACGCATTTTTCAAGATAGGAAATTTTATCATCTTTGGTTTGAATATTTTTTCGCATCCTCATTATATCCTCTGTACTTCCGGGCGTTGATGTTCTCTGAAAGAAAAAAATGAGAAATTTGCAAAAAATTTAAATCAGAAGATTAAGCCTTCAAATTTTTTGAATCCATTAGCAAAGAAATTCTTAGATATACAGGTGCATTTTTCTGAATGTTTCAAGAAATCAATTTTTTGGAAATGTTTTTCTTTCGGAAATTGAACTAATTGGAACTAATTATAGTTCAGAATAGTGAACTTTCAGATTTTTCTGCAAAAATCTAATTTCCGACCAGAAGTTCAAACATTGCAGTCAAAAAACCGAAATTTTCAGAATGACAGCTGAATTTTTCTCAATTTTCAGGGAACAAATTTTTCTTTTCTAACTTGTATCTATGAAATTGAGCCAGATTGCAATGATAAATTGAAATATTTTATGACTGGAAAATCAGAATCAGCATATCAATTTCTGCTAGAGTTTGTGAGAGAAATTTCGATTCGTAAAAATGTTAAGCTTGAAGTTCTAATAGAATTTGCTTTCTTTAATAACTATGTATCACAAAGCAAAAGTTTTCTAGATTTTTTATGAAAGTCATCAAAAATTTCTCCAAAAATCTCTAACCAACCTTCAAACTGCCAGTCAACGTCGAATCTTTTTGCAACTGCATAAGCAATTGCGTTTTCTCCATTTCCCATTGCGCTCTTTCAGCTTCAATCATAAGTTCTCGTCTCTGTTGCTCTTCCCAAATTTCAGTCAACTGTTTTTTCAGCTCTTCTGATTGCAAAATCTGATTTGTCAACTCCTCACATTTCTGAAATACAGTTGTTTTGTTTTTTCATCGAAAAGTGAACCCTACCTCTTCTCTCTTGGCAAGCCTTTCTCTAGAATTGGTTAGAGCCTTTTCCAGCATTGTTATATGATTTCGAAGTTCTTCTAGCGTTTGATTCTGAGCTTCTATTTCCAACTTCTGCCGCTCTTTGCATGACAAAAAGTTCCTGACCTACAAAAAATATGAAGAATATATTTACAACTCCAAAAAAAACTCACGTTGCTGTATTTCATTCAACATCAAACTTGCAACCATACTTGGCTCGGTGCTCGATTTTTCCAACCGAATTTGCAACTCATCTCGTTCCAAAGTCAGTCTGAAAAAGTTTCTTTTGATATAAAAAATCCCGTTGAAAAACCCATGCGCAGTTACAAAACAAACAAATTTGAACGAAAAGGAACGGATGTGCAGATTGCGGCGCGTATTCTATGAACTTTTCCCCAAAATGTTTCTCTAAACTCAAAAAAACCAGCATTTGTTGGTTTCTCCTACAATTCACGCTGATTATTATCAAATCTACAAATAGAAACACCCGGAAAAAAAACAAAAAAAAAACAAAAAAGATGATGACAGCGCAGTGCGAAGGAGGTGTGCAGTGGAGCGCGTTTGCATTTTTGTTCAAATTTATTTGTTATTCCCTTTTTTTTTCTAGAAAAACTTACTTTTTCACAGTTTTCTCCAATTGAATAATTGCATTCAACTCTAAATTTTCTTGTTTTTTTCGTTCATTCGATAAAAATTCATATTCTTTTTCCAATCTGCCATAAGAAAATTCGATTTGTTGCAATTTTGATAAACTTCTTTTTATTGCCTCCAGCTCTTTTTTCAAGTGTATATTTTCATCGCGCAGAGATTGTATAAGTTTTTGGTTGCTCGAGACGTTCTAAATTCATATTTTTTAGAAATAAAAGTTAGATTCAGTCGTAGTTTGAAAACATACCCTATTATTATTGCTATTGCTCATATTAACAGGAACTTCTAAAACTTGGTCTCCTGACGCTGAAGACCTTCGAATATAAGCAGATGTGCTCATTGAACTGGAAGCCGCATCATGTTGAACTCTGAAAATAATATGTTTGTCATTTTGAAATGTTGATGTTGTTGATAAACATACAAGGATGTTCTTGAGCCACTTGCAATCAGGCATGGTTGAGAATGACTTATTGGTGAAGCTGAAATATTAGGTTCAAAACTTTCGCTTTAAAAAATAGGCTTGAAGTATTAGACCCCAAGTAAATAATTATACTCACGTCTTCCTTGCATATCGGGTTTTCGACTGTTTGATGGAGCTGGTCTTTGTTGTTGCATCTTCATCTCGTTCTGATATTTTTCTAACATTTGATGCAATTTTCGTTCGCCATCTTCTTTCACTGGCATTGGAACCATGCCTGGAATTTTTGAATTATAATTTGAACATTATAAATTCCGTAAGATTTTTGAGATTTGTTTCAGTTGTTTTTCTTATTCTTTCAGACCCAGATCACCTATTTTTGAGAAAACTTAGAAATTTGAAAAACCTGTTTTCTTTTGCTGTTTCACTGGCAGAAAAACGACAGTTCTCAATTTCAAAAACATTTTTTCTGTGATTCTTTGGATCAGTTTTTGAAGAATCCTGATTTTTATCTTCAAAAGCCATCTAAAATCTTTATTTTCAAAAGAAAAATTGTGGTTTTCAAAATTGAGTTCTTCTAAATGTCTAGTTCACTTGTAATAACGATTAAAAAGACAATTTAAGATCAGAATTTTCACTGTATAACATTTTTAATTCAAATTAATTCCGGAATTTTTCAACCAATCTTTTCAGCTGTCAATGATCTACTTCCACACATAAATAATTTTTTTCATTACTTAATTTTCAAATTTTTCCGAATCTATTTTTTTCATCCTAAAATGAGGAACTAATAGTGAAATTGATTATAACTAGAAATGTTTTATCTTGTAAGGTCATCTCAAGATTTTTGATCATCTAACTAACCAGCCGATTTCAAATTTGTGTTCATATGCGCTTCCTTTAATAGGGAATCCAATATTTTAGTTTCTCCTTGATACATTGGAGTTGGTTGAACCGCGTGTACCCGTCTTTGATCTGTTGAATCCATGGATCTTGGATCTATCACATCAATACGATTCATTTTACCCTGGAAATTATTGATTTTTTTGAGGATTGAGAATTGAAATGGACTCTTTTCAGGAAAAAAACATTGGGAAAAAATAAACACAAACTTGTTTTGTTAATTTTAAGGATAGGAAACAGAGATATTGATGAACATGAATGCTCATATGATAATTTTAAAAAAATCATATCAATACAATTTTTGAAAATTTTCCTATAACTTTCATGTAGTTTACTTTTCTGGTTAACAACAAAAACGTTGTAAAATAGTTTCTCGAAAAGAGCCAACAAATGTTGATAATACTTTTTTATAGTTTTAGAAAAGAACAGAACAAAACAGAATATAACAACTTGAATGAGTGGCAAAAACAGATAGAAAATGAAAGAAAAGTGTAACAGTTTAACCTCTTGTCTAATTGAAAATGTTCATTTGACCGGAAACAATCTCTAATAATTACCCCCAAAAATTAATTTTCGTGATTAATTCAAAGTGATTGTTGTTACCTTGCGAACATTTTTGTAGATGGCCACTTTCGTCTCACAATATTTTGTATTGGAAAAAAACATAAGGGGGCCAATGATACAAAATAAAATATAATGAAAAAAATTCTCGACATTTTTTCTTGATATTTTTTTTCAAAAAATGACGTCCTGATTTTTTTGTTGTGAAATTTTTTGATAACAAGATAAGACTGAAAGGTCAGAGGAAATTGGAGCAAAAATAAAATCGAAAAATTACTGAATGAAAAAATTTTGCGATATTTACAAAAATCGATTGATTGATACATAAGAAAAAAGAAAATAAGTTGTGAATAGAGAAAAAGACACAATTGTCATGTCTGCGTCTCCAAAATTTACCTCCCGTGATGTTCTCTTTGCCTTTTTTCTCATCTTTTTTGTTGTTCTTCTTCTCTTTTTTCTCCCGTCCTTCTCCCCGACACAAAATGTTTTGATTTGATTTTTTGTCGTGTGTGTTTCAAAATGAAAATGAATAATGACTTTTTTGAGACTGGAGAAATTCTCATATGACATTTTCAAAATTTTTTTGTTGATTTTTTATTGAGGGAAATTTCGAAACTTTTTTTAAATCTAGGGTCTAGAAACCTTAAGAAAAATTGGTCAATTTCGGAAGGGTTTCCAAATTTCATATCAATTGTTATGTTGAGTTTGGGTTTTCATTGAGTCTTTGATTTACTTTTTTTTTAATTTTTAATACTCCTAAACCCTGGACTTTGAATAATAAATCTCGGAAATTGGTTTCAAATAGGTTTTTCAAACACATTTTCTAATTAGCATATTTAATGAGTGGAATATTCAAATTAATAAAATATGAATTTTAAAATTACATGACACCAAATATTTTGAATAAAACATGTTTTGCAATAATAAAATATTTTGGTTTTCTGATTTTCACTAGGTTCAACTGAAAATAAACAATCTTTTTCTAATATTTAAAAAAAATTACATTTTGAATCTAGCAATTTTTAATTACTAGAAAGTTTTGAACCATAACATTTGTTTTCAGATTTTTGTAGATTTCAAATTTTTGACGCACCCTATCTAGTTCAAAAATAACTACATTTCTGTTTTTTTTTACAAATAACAAACTAAGATCTTATTATTTTGACATTGAGTTATTCAACTTTTGCAAAAATCTCAAAAAAATATTGCGATTGGTTTTTCAGTATTTTCAGAATTCAATAAAGTCACGTTTTTATTTCAAATTTTTTTATATTTCCCCGAAAAATATGTACCAAAACACCATTTTTTTTTGGAAAATGAAATACCTTGCGCACAAAGAAAAATTAATTCCATGTTTTCAAAAAAAATTTATTTCTCATCCTCGAATTTTTAATAACAGTGAAAACAAAGCTCGTTTTTCACACATTCATTTTTCAATTTAAAATTTTCAAAAGAATTCCCGATTCTTATAATTCGTCAATCAATTTTTACTTTCTCGTTTCACAATTTCATGTTTGCCCTTTTCCCATAACCATAATGATCGCACATTTCCTAAAATGTGCCAGAAAGTCTGCCTGTTCGCGAAAAAAAACCTGGCGTTTTTTTTTCGCCCCTTTCATTCATTCTTATCAGGACTTGAATATAATAATTGTATTTTTCACACAAAAAACTTTATTTCGAAGATAATTAAAAATAATTAGTGCCCTTATTAAAATAAATTGGCCTTGTTTCATTCAATTTTATTATATATTTTTCATCATATGTGTGTACTAATTTTTAATTTTTTGTAATAGTATATTTTTTCAAATTGTCAAAAACTAAACATTTTTAAAAATTATTTTCATTTCGTTATAATTCTGACTTTTAATAATAACAACATTAATAATGTTTGGATAGCCAATATTTTTTGACATGTTCCCCCCGCAGGTCAGGACTCTGTTTGTCTGTGCTCTCGCATATGCTACGCACAACCATCGATCTGCGGCGCATGTTAGAGACGTAGAGTTAGAAAGAGAGAGCGTCCTGTGTGCAGGGTTGTCTGGCCGCTCTCCACAATATCTCTTACTATTTTCGTGTCTTTTTGTGAGTGAGTGAAATAGTGAATGCTACTACTGCTGCTGCTGCTGCTTGGGGTGGATGACTAGCCTCGCGGTTTTTTGTGTTTCCCTATATTTTTGAGTGACAAAATTTTGTATTTTTCTCTGATTTCTGTGTTCGAAATCCAAACTTTTTTATTTCAAATAAAAAAATCAAATACTTTAAACATTTTTTTGCATCATTTATAATATTTCAGACGATCTCAACCTTAGGTCGCCGCAGCGCGAACCGTCACCAACGATGGAAAATCTTGAGAGAACCTTGAACAATATCACCATAGACGATGGTCCTTGGCGACAACACGATCAAACACAACCCGTTTGGGGAAATGGAGGTGTACAGCCGGGACGTGTTTGGGGACACGTTCCTGTACAGTTCCAAGCACGTAGCCCTTGGCAAGAACAACCGGAAATTGGTGAGTATTTTTAATAAAAGGATTGCTACTCTAGATTTCTCTCTACAATTTTTTTTATGAATCTTTGGAAAGTCGGGACTTCGATGTTTTTCAAAATACTTCATTGTCGGAATCTTCCAATTTGTGTTTTAGTCCAACCTATTTGATAATAAGAGCAACGATTTTTAATTTAGTCCTGTTAATTCAAGATAATTTTTTTATTTTTGGCGGAAAACCATATAAAAGTAGAAGCCCTAAAGCTATTATCAGGTCTCATTACAATAGTAAACTTGTTCCCATCTCTATTACAATTGAATTCAGAATATAATAAAACTTTTTCCAGTTCCTGAAGCAGGAATGAATGAAGCTCTTGGTCTATCTAGCGGAGCATCAAGCCAATGGGGAGGTCCAAGCGATTTTGACAAACAGATCTGGTCCGATCCATTGAATGAGCAACAAGCTTACCCACCACATGGAAGTGAGTTTAATCTACAATCTTTCTCTAGAAAAACTCTCTAACTTCATAATTGTTCAGTTTCTGGAGGTATGAATGGACTTGGAGGAGCACCTGAATGGTCAACTGGCGGATCACAACCACCAGTTTGGAGCGATGGAAGTATGAATAAAGAGTCGGATCAATTTTGGAAACAGCAACAACAATCACAAACACACTGGGGTGCCCCGCCGATGGGTGGCGGTTGGCCACCACGTGGTTTGAATCACCCAAACGGACCACCACCTCCGCAAACTCCAGGTTAGTTGGATTGGGTTTGAACTCTGACTCGGACTGGGTGTTGAAATAGTTCTGAAAAACTAGAGATATAATTCTGAACAGAGATAATTGAACTACATTTGTGGATTGTTTGAAATCAGCTTTTGGATGATTTGAAATCAACTAACTTGTAATAAAGTGCAAAAGATCAAAATGTACTTTACAGATTTCTCGGGCGGATGGTCAAACGGTTCCCGTCAAAAACAACAACCAATGAACATGTCGTGGAACAACGAGCAGAATCGCGGCGGTCCAATGGGTATGAACTCTCGCGGTGGACTCGGCGGTCGTCCTCAACAACAACCACCACACAATCAAGGCCGTTATCCAGGAGGTATGGCCGGAGTCGATGTGTCGGTTCCGCCACCAATGGATATGGGAGGACCGATGGGCGGTATGCGACAAATGGGTGGACCGATGGGAGGCGGCGGACAAATGTGGAACAAGTCGGCGGGAAATGCCGGAGGTCAAGGAGCGCAAAGCGGCGGACGCCATCAGTATCAGGTTGGTTTTCGTTTACTAAAAGGGGGAAATAAAATTGATATTCTTTTTTTTAGCAAAGAGGAGGAATGAATCACGGAAATCAAGGAGGCGGTGGGAACATGTGGAACGGAGGGAATCAAGGAGACAACTTTAACTATGCTTTCCCAAGTACCGATCCATCACCAGATGATTTCACATTGACAGTTTGGCATGATCCAAATGGAGAGTTGAAGAAGTGGCAACGCGATACTGGTGTTTCACTCTGGGGTGATCCGGAAGAACAAGGTAAACTTGAAACATTCAGTGAGAAAAGTGGCTTTTAGAAATATTCAACTTTTAGAAATATTAAGCTTCCCCTCGTAAAATTAATACCCCTTCCCTTCACCAGTTTGTCTGGCTTAATTTTATTGTCACTTCACTTGAAAAGAGTTTCATGAGAAGTCTAGTTTAGGAAATTGTTTTATTTCCTGCAAAGATCCAAAACCAAGCCAAACCTTCACACGAAGTTCATCCTCAATTTTCCAGACAACCGAAAAATTCGATACTGGACCGTTCCGGAAGGCGAAGAAGAAGATCTCGAAACCGCATTGGCTAGATGTCCAGTTCCACAGAAAAAAGTTGGAAAAATCGACGCGGATGGAACTCGTGTACCTTTCCCAGTTGCCAATCGACGTTTTGTAATCGTGACTGGCTGGGGAGATTTACCAGAAAATGATCCAAACAACCCACAAAAGAATGACGAAAACAGCCCATGGCCAGATCTTCCAACTGCCGAAAATCCATGGTATCAACCGAATCGAGCAAACGCTCAATTCAACAGCGATTTGACTGGATCCTGGGTTCAAGGTGGAACGATTTCATTAGATGAGCCACCATTGTCTGAGAGCTATACACAATTAGCACTCGCTGAAATGCTCAAATATGCTGTTGATCAAGGATATTTAGATATAAGTGTGACAATGTCGCAAAATTTGCCACCATCTATTTTGAAAAATGTTAATGCATTGCTCTTAAAAATTCCGGCTTTGGAAAGTGTGGAAAGTGAGCTCAAACAATTGGTTGATAGTGTGAGACCGGCTGGAGAAGAGGATAAGCAGAATCCACAAAGATTCATGAACGATGTTCAAAAGGTGAGTTGGTTTGGAAAGATGAAAGAGTTTGGAACAAGTTAGATATAATTTTGTTGACCAAAAAATAATCAAAATTCTTATAGGTTGAACATAATAGATTGATCATCAATGTAACTACGGCTAAAATTGAGGTTCAAGATTTATCGAAAAAAATTCAACGTGCTTTAATTGAAGCGGGTATAATCAATCCACAAGACAGGAACGTTGCCACAAAATCGGAAGACTATCATTATTCATTCCTCGAATGAGCACATAATATCTCGATTCAAATACAACAAACCCATTTATTTTCATTTTCTTATACCTCTCTACTCCTTCCCCAAAATATATACATTTTTGTATAATTAATTCATTTTCAAATCAACACGTGGTCATGTTCAAGTTCTCTTCAACTCGTCTCAACCAAGCCCCCCAAAAAACCGATTAAAATCTTTGTAATTTCTCTCAAAAACCCTCCTTTACTGAAAAATTGACGGGAAATCGATTCTTTTTGCTTTTGTTGTTCCAAAAATGTTTTTTCTTATTCATACATACTGTATTCCAAACGCCTTTCCCGGAGTTTATCTTATCGCTGGTCTATATTCAAACTGATCTTTTTCACACATATTTTACGCGCACCGCCACAAGCACACCTCTCTCTTTAAAAGTTTTTTGGTCTAAAAAATTTGAAATTCAGGGTGTGTTCTACGAGATTTCTAGGCTCCTTCATTCACCAATGACTCTTTTTTATTTTTTGGGCGTGCAGGGATCTAACATAATTAATCTTAATCAAGTAATTAATTAATTAACCACAAACAAACACACAAAAAATCCACGCGTATTTGATAATCTAGTGTATTATTAGTCACTGAAAACTTATTCAAACACTGAAAAAACTTGCATATTTTTGCCTTGATTTCCGGAAAAATAGTTCACGTGTTGTTTTTCTCTACGTCATTTCGATATTTGAACCTTTTTTCATGTGATGCCTTTCTTGATTTTGGTTTTTTCTTGTAAAATTCAACTTTTTTCGGTAGTCAACCAGGTTTTTCTAGAACGCCTTTCTTTTCCCTCTTTCCCTTTTCAACAAAAAAATTCTCTCTACTTTTTCACCTGTGCACTAAATTTTATGATTTTCGGGAACTCTTTTTGCTTTTGAATATTTGTTTTCTATCCGTACACCAATCTCAAAAATATTATCACCAATAACTAAGAAACAACAACTTTCAATTATCTACATGTATTTTTTCACAAAACAGCCCCCTAATTCTTATATTGATTTGATTTGAACCAAATAAATAATTGTAATGAAATTTTGTTATGATTTAGTTAACAGGAAAATTGCAGATTTCGAGGGTAGCTGTGGATTTCTCGGAAGAAATATGAAACAGTTGTTAAACATTTTGCAAATGAAGAATAATTTTGAGTTTGAGATCATTAGAGATTCTGACAGAAAATGTTTGAATTTTGTCAGCAAATCTATAAGATTTTCAGGTAGAGTTACAAATCCGACATTTTTGAGATTTGAATAAATTTTTTAATTAAATCTGAAAATTGAAATTCTTTGAGAGTCCTGTGTAATATGATTTTCATTTAGTACTCTAGAAGTAAATGCGTGACTGAAATTCGCAACATTACTCAACCCTAAAATAGTTCCCCACGTTCAACTGTGAACTCACTCAATAAAAGTGAGAGCAAAAAAAAATTCTGTAAGTTGAAAATTGAGAATATTTCCGTCTTCATTTTTTTCTAGAAATTAAATTTAAAACTACAGTTTTAAAACTTTTTCGTAGTATCAAAATCATTTCAATTCATCAGTAACTCCATCTTACTTTATCCCCTTACTCTCGCCTTCTCCCACCAAAATTGACCTCAAAGTCTGCTCATTCTATTTGAAAAACGTGCTGACTATCCTCTTGACAATGATTTTCAATTTTTTCTACTTGACCATGTTAACACACCCTAATTAGCGCCACAAAAAACTACAAAACAAACTAAAACCCTTTTTTATTCGTTCGCCTGATTATATGTTTACGAAGAAAAAAATGTCAAGTGCTCGGATTTTTAGGCGGCAAAAAAAGTTTGCGTTTTTTTTCTCACAAAATATATATGTATTGTTGCTTTAACAAGGAACTGTGTTTGTTTCGCGCTTGAACAAATAATAGTGTTGCAAATATGTTAATTATAGTGCGTATTTTTAGGGTTGTGCTGCGCAAGCACATGTTTGTAGCAAAACAAAACAAAAGACTGCGTTTTTTCTGCTAGCGCTGCCGACTTTTGCCTTTATGTCAGATCAAATCGAACGAAATGTGTCGCATTTTGGAAACGAAATACAATATAAACCCTATTGTTTTTCCGCTGTCCTTGTTGCTTTTGTTAATTTATTTTGTGTTCTGCTCGAAATTGCGTGGGAGAATTGGAAAAAAAATGGACCTTGCATTTTTTGCCAAGATATTTCAGGAGATAAAATGGATTTTCCCCAGAGACTTCGGAATCGTAGATCATTGGAATTGTTCAAAATTTTCTTCACGATAAATTTTTTTCAAAAAAAAACTGTGTTCAAAAAATTGCTCTGAAAATAACTTTTCTACTAAAAGCAAATGAAAAACAGAATTTTTTTTTATGAATTCAATATTTTGGAAAAATATCATTTCATTACAGTATTCATTCCAAAATATTATTATTTGAAAAATGTTCATCACAAAAAACATAGGTCAAACTGATAATGATCTACAGTATTTTTCCAGATCCATAGTGTTTTTACCATTGCAGTTACCCAACTTTTCTACAATATACATTACAATATCTCAGAAGTCATAGACAATCTTTTCTAACAGATATTCTACACTTATTTTTCAATCCCCGTAATTTTTAAAAATTTAATAAAAAATTTCATTTTCTTATTTATACAAGAGTGAATTATTTTTCTAAGTTTTAGACTGAATACAAAACAACCAAATGACAGAAATAATTAAAAACTTCTAACACTCATAAACCCAGAACTCCACATGCGAAAAAAAAATGGTTTTTCGTGTTTTGATTGCTTTTCAATTCCACCCACTCGTTTATTTTCAAAAAATGTCCTTTTCAATTTATATTTGCATATTGCACAATTCATCCAGAACCTTGATTGATGCTCTTTTTGAACAAGAAGAAAAAACATTTTTGAACTTTGATCGAATCAAAAATGAGAGAGTGTGAGAATAGTGTAAATAAAACCATCAAGAGAGGAAATATCAAACAGAACACAACAACAATTGAACACATTGTTCATGAATCCGGAATCGAAATTTGTTTTGTTTGATTAGGAGTTCAAATTTTTCAATTTCTGCCACTCGGCATCTTATAAGAGAAATACATTGTTTTGAAGAAAAAACATGCAAATATGAATTTGAGATTCAATTTTTTCCGCGCGTACAAAATAACCTGACCTGAGAAACACTCATATTTGTCCTCACATATTTTATTTCAGAAGACTCTATTCTTGTTTATCGTCCGGGTTGGGTTGACCGGCGATTGAAACACACATAATGCAAACAATAAAAAGTGGGTGGAGTTGAATGGCTCGCGCGCGGCGAGAAAAAGAGCACCGCGTTTTGGCAGATTTTTTGCGCTGACCATTATAAAAGACAGTTCATTTTGTGTACTTCACAGACACTTTTCGTTTCTTGTCGGCTTCACATAAATCATGAAATTTGCTCTTTTCTTGGGTTGCTTCGTTGCTTTTTCAATGGCACAATATGATGACATCTCTATTCTTGGAGAAGTTCTCGAAAGATCTACTGGCCAACCAGAAGGTTCTGGAGTAGAAGAGACCACAATTGAAGCTGTGAGTTCTACTGAAGTTCCTAGCACAACTACCACTGAAGAAGTAACTGAACCTCCAACAACAACTGAAGTCACTGAAACCACAACTGAAGTCACATCTACAGCAACTGAAGAATCCACAACTGAAGGTAACCTTTTTTTTTTAATTTGAAAAGCATATTTAACAAAAAATTCTTTCAGCCCCAACCACCACTGAGGCCGTGACCACAACCACAACAGAAATTTTACTGGTTCCTGAAACTTCAGCTCCAGAAGAAGATATTGATGAAGACAGTTTCTTGGGTTTCAAAAAACCAGATCTTGCCACAATCTATCGTCGATTGTTCCCATTCCAACATACACCACAAAGAGATTTCAAACTTTAAGAAAATTGCATTTTTTGCTTGATTTTGGGTCATTTCGGTATTCTGTATCAGATGGTTTGCTAATTTAATTTATTTACTAATTTATTTATTTATTTATTTGTTTTGATGTTTCAAAATGTGTGTTTTCCTTTCGAAAGGTGTCAGATCAGACGATCTCTCAAATAAATTATTTATTTATATAATTGTTCTATTATTGACTTTTGGATTGAAGATAGAGTTTGGTGATTGGTGATTGAAGATTGAATAATGGATATTGGGGAACATGTTTTAATCTACAGTAATAGGCTCAACCAATTGATGAACATTTTTTGTAGATCTGCGTTTTGATACACTTTTCATAGCTCAAATCATTCTGCATCGTGTTCATAAAATCTGAATTACAGTAAATAAAAACAGCGGTTCTACAATCTATTTCCAAAAATAAAAATCGCTTCATTCTCCAATCCATCAAAAATCATCAAAAATTTGTAGTTTGATTCTATGGAATTAATAAATGAAAGTTTTTCAAGGATTTGGATTTTCACAAAAAGAACAGGATTTCCCAAACTCCCTCTTTTAAAAAATGAAAACTTCCAGGTTTTTTCAAAATCTTATTTTTATTTTGAACAAAAATGTTTGATCTTTACCGGAATAATTTCGCATTCGCAATTAGCATTCTTGTTTCAATGAAACATCGATGAATAATAATTAAATATACAAAATCTACCCTCTTGAAAAAACTGCAACATTTAATTCAAATTGACTTTCTGTTTCATTATTTCCTTCATCCTTCGACCTCATCCTTTCACTTTGTATGAATTTATTCATCATTTTTCTCTTCCAAATCGGAATAAATCCACTTTTGAACCACACACGCATCAAGTTTTGTCGATTTAATGGAAAGTGAGATATATATTTTTTCATATGTGAATCTCAACACTTTCCATTTTTTCTTGTTGTAAAGTAAAACCATGAACACACAATTTTTTGTCATTTTTCCAACAAAAAATCGTTGCTGATCTGCCCGAAAGACAAAAAAAAAATAATAAAATAAAAACAAAAACAAATATTGGCGGAATCTTGATTTTTTCCGTATTTATTTTTTTTTCGAAAAAAAATAACGAAGAAGAACAAAAAAATCGTTCACTTTATCCGGCTTTTGCCATTATTTATTTGGTTTTTTGGTTGTCATTTTCAATTTCTAGAAAGCTAGCCAAATGAATAAATGGGAAAAACTTAATATAGTGAAAAGATGTGAAGAAACTTGTTTGCCATTTTCAGTTTGAACACATTAATGTATCAATTGGGCATCTCTACTTTTATTTATTTGGTTTGGTTTTGGTTAATTCATAAATATGGTTCTGATGGGAAAAACGTGTGAAAATGAAATTAAATTGGGTGTGATTTCAAATAAAATTGATGAGGAAGTTGAAAGTGGTTTGGTGATTGGTTCATGTTTTTTGTACTTGACATTTTGAATAAGAGCAGAAAATAAGAATGTCAAGAAGTTTATTTCAGGATGTGTTCATTTTGGTTTTTTTTATTGAACAGTTTTGCAGAGATTTTTTCCTATTTTAAATGTAAGTATTAACATGTTATTGATAAAAACTTTACCCAATTTTCGAAGCATTTTATTTTACGAAATTGTATTTTATTCAGATTATTTTTATAATGGCAATCTGGATTTCAAAAGTCTTTTTTAAATTTCTAGTTTAGATCTTCAACGAAAAATTGAACACAAGTCCTAAACTAATAAATTTTTTAAAAGAATTTTCGAGCCATACCCGTACTACCTTTCGATGTTTCTCAACCCATGTAATATCTGAAATGATTCACTTCTCATATAAAAAATTTCAGAATGATCCATCAAATCGAAATAAAAACACTGTAGTCTATAAATCACACCCGTGTTTTGATCTCCGATAAAAAATCATCTAGATAGAAATGAACAAAGAAAATAAATCATATCAATTTACGTGATCCAACAATTTGTTGTAACGTTTCGGGAAAGCATTGTTATTGTTGCATTTTGTGTTGCCATACATCATCTTAAAATTGAGGGATATTTTTTTGGTGTGTTTGAGACGGGAAAAAGAAGATGAAGACGAAGATGAAGAAAACGCGAATCGCAACGAAAAAAAAATATCGGGTTCAGGTTTGGCCGACGCGCGATGAAAAGCCAGATGAAGTCAGCAAGCTATAGTCCTTAATCGACGCGACGCGCGCGCGGAAAACGACAAAAATGAAAGAAGAGGAAGAGATAAAGAAGAAGAAGCTTCTCAAAAAAAGAGACAGAGAGATGGAAATGTTCCCGTCACAAATCGTCTTTTCTTTTTTCCTTTTTTCTTATATTCTTCATCTACATACTTATTGTCTTTTCAATCTCATCTCATCGGCCTACTTTTCGTTTTATTTTTTTTGGCGTTTCAAAAACTTTTTTCTTAAATTTTTTACCTCATAATTCTCCATACCTATTACACAATTTTCTGTGGAACCGTTACGGTCAAGGTGTTACTAATGTGATGTAAGGTAAAAACTTGTTGGAAAAATCATCATAAATATTTAATTGTAATTTACAATGATACCTCGAACAAAACAAAGCAAAAGCCTAAGCAAAAAAGTCTCTAATTAATCATTGTCTCAATTTTCTTTCATCTGTCTTCTCGAATAATTGTCTCGAAACCAAAATCTATCTACATACATACATAACCAGCCCGTTTCATTCTCATTCATTCATTTGATTCATTTTGTTGATCAGCCAGTCCTATTCATTCTAATTTTCTTATTATTATTTTTATTATTGTTATTATTATTTATATGTGAAAGAAAATGCTGCATCCATCTAATTATCCTTACGGTTTTTCCGATTTAGAAAATAACGTCTAGACTTTTCTTTGAAGATATCTTGAATTTTTGTGAGTTCTGCAACATTTCGGTGACGATAAAACTTTAAATTTTTCAACAGTTGCAAAAAAAAATCAAAAAGCTGAAAAATTACATACAGTTTTCGAGGTTTCAGTTTTTAAAAATGATTACAGGTTTAGAAATTTGAAACTGCAATTTGGAACTGTTGAAATCTTATAAATTAATTTCAGTTTCAAAGTTTCAAGAATCTGTCTGTATTTTACACATTTTTTGATTTTTTTCAAAATTGAAAGAAGAATACTTTTTTGAAAATTGAGAGAAGAATCTTATGCAGCTTCTGTGTTTTATCGTTTCAAAACTGCACTGAAATTCAGGTATGTTTATTTTTCTGAAAAACAGTTTTCAGAAAAAAATCAGATTGGTTTTTTTATCGAAAAAAAGTTAAGTTTCGTAGAAAAATATCTCAAAAACTTCAAGAATCTTCAGCTCATTTTTACAGTCTCCCATTATTTGTCAATTTTTTCAAGATGAACCGAAACTTCTAGAACTAATTTCTAACTCTAAATTGTTTCACTCATATAATCCAGACTTCTTTTTTTTGTTATCCAATTTTCCCATTCATATCGAAATGATAATTCAATGCCATTCTGGTTTTATCACTTTCACATTTTTGAATGGATATGAATTGCCATAGCCATACTCAAACTTCATCCCAGAAGAAACAGAAAAAAACCCAATATGACTAAACAAAAGGATTTTTGTACATAACTTGTTTATCAGAATTTTTTTTGTCTTGTTGTTTTTACAAATTGTTTTGATAAATTAGGTGAGTAAGAAAGAGAAACCTCATTGTTCGAGTGTTCGAATGATGTCATGCTTGATTTTTTTTTGATGGAAGAAGAATATTGGGAGAGAGAAAAATGAAGGTCACTTTTTTAATTAGGCGGAAAGTCAACAAGACTTTTACTTTTGTAGAAGGGAAAAGCTAGATAAAAAGCAACATGTTCCTTTTCTCCACTTTATTCGTTTATGTATGCATAGGCTAGAACATTTGTTTATCTTTTTTATTTATCAAGTTTGAATTGATAGATTTGGTCTGGCAAACAGGTATTTCTGAAATTTTTGTTGAATTTAAGATGAATCAAAAATGACAAATGATGATTTTCTGAAAAAAAAACTGGGTGGTCTAAAAATCTACAGATTCGCTGGGAGATCACAAAAGTATGTATTTGGGTATATATTTCTCTATGATCTAAGATTCAATTCACTATTTAGAGCAAACACTATAAGTGGTCTTAATTGAAAGTTTCTTGAATGAAGCACTGTTTTTTACTGAGTTTCCTGGTCAGAATAAGGAACACTAGATTTTAAGCTTTGATTTCCGAAGTGAGTTTTTCCAATTTTTTAGAAGAAATCCTGATGAATTTTTTTTTCAGGTAAAAAAATTTAACTCGTAAATTCTCAAAATCTAAAAAAACGAAAAAATTCAAACATTTTCTAAATCAGCGTGGCCCTGAAGAGTACTGAACTACTGAATAAATTAGACCTAAAATTTTTAATTCTAGCAAGAATCTTCGTAGTTCAATGAGATCACACATTTTCTGAAAACAATCTTCAACCTCAAACATTGGGCTACAACCAAAACTATCCTTTTTGTTCCCGATATTCAAACTTTGTTCCCATAAAAATTTGTTAAACCCCGATTTTTGATCGATTTTACAACCCGAAACAGTATATAAGTTGTTGGCTGATGCAAAAAACATCCAAACCCAAAAAAATTTCCAATCTTTAGTTATCAGGTTTTGATTCAATTTTGACCTTGATACAGTTATTAAACTTATTGATATTACACAGCTGAAGCTTTTTTATAATCTTCATAATTTTTCTTGAACCTGTTCAATGAAAAATGTTAGATTGAAAAAAAAATGAATTTTTTTTCACGGAAGTTCAAAGTTTTGTTATTTTTTAACGTCCTTGATTTCCATCAAAACTTTCACCAAATATATTTATTTATGTATCTTCAAATATAGATTCAACCTTCACGTTCTCTTTTTTTCACATCTTTTTCTAATGCCAACAGCTTCATATGTTGTATATGTATATTTTTTGCGTGTGTTACAAAAAACTTGATAAAAGATCTTTGAGATTTTTATACTGGCTTAAGTTTAAGAAACTATTTTTTCCTTTTCATTTTCTTCCTCTAAAGAAGCAAAAGCTGAAGAAAATGAGGAAAGAGAGAAAAACAACAAAAACACAAAATGTTTCATCTCACTTTCGTGCATATTGTATAGAATATCTATCCTACCTTCATTTTTTACAGTTGAGATCTAGTTCTACCTACCTACACGAGTTTTTTTTGTTTTTGTCGTTTTTTTTTGAGATTATACTTTTTGAATATTTTTGTCGGAGTTGGATAATTTTTAAAAGAAAATTCTATTGTTTCCTCGGTGATCTTTTTGAAAAATCTAAACTTTAAAAAATATTTCTTTTTTTAAATTGAATTTTCAAGATAAACATTAGTTTACTGAATTATAGCACTCTCGAGTATTCAGGGTTATTCTAGAAAATATTTTTCTGAAAAATGTTGTTTCATACTTTTCTCTTTCTGTAACCTGTGCAGTGCTCGACTTAAGTGAAGTTTAAAACATTTTTTTTTCAAATTCAATTATTTTTTTTTGTATTATCATAATTTTTAGTGATTCTGACAACTAATAAGCCCAAGAATCGAGAACCGACTATTCAGCTTACTGTAACCTAACTCACATGTCTATCAAATGATAGGTTTTGAGTGAATTTTGAATTACTGTAATACCTCACCCCAAATTTTTCCCCAGACTCCTCCAAATCTGAAAACTTGACCTTTAGTCTTACTATCATCTATACATCTCTGAATTTATCTATCACACAGCAATAATTGTTATTATTATGAATCTAAATATTATTTTGTTATGTTTTTGTTGGTTTGGTAAAACAGAACACATACAACTGGTTAGTATTGTTCCTCCCCAATAAGGACTGCTTCTCTTTCTGTGTGTGTGTTTTTTGTGTCTCATCTCATCTCTCTTCTTATTAGAATACTGTTTCTGTCGATTCATTATTATGTCATAGATTATGCAACTACACCTCCCTTCTTCTTCTTCTTCTTCCCCTCTTCAGCTTTGTTCTTTACTTTTCTTTTCGCTTCTTCATTTTTTTCTTCTTGGTATTTATTGTGAAACGAAACGAGATTGATTCATGTGGTTTTTGATTCTTTACATAAATTATATTTGATTTTTTGCAGATATCCTATGATTTGGGTGTTATTTGTGATACTTTGGTTGAGTAATGGGACCTATCAACAAAGTTTGGCAAGTGAGTAAATTTCAATTCAACAATAACATCTTTAAAGATTTCGAAAAAAAACACCATTAACAAGTTTTATTTTTAGATAGTTTATTTGCTGAAGAAGGAACTCAGCCAGGATTTGTGACAAAAATCAACCGAAAAGCCTTCAACATCGTTTCGGATCAATTGAAAGATCGAGTTATCAAATTCATGAAAACTGATGGATTGGAATTCAATATCTCAGCACCGCTCACAAATCAGGTATTTATTAGTAAAAGAAAAATAACAAATCTTTGTTTTTGCTTCAGGTCCGGTTCACATTGCGTTCATCTAGGATAATCTCTTTTTGACGAACTTCTTTTTGATTCAACAATGTCGATTGTTCCCCAAAAAGGAATATCGTGGACGGTGCGTTTGAATAAGGGGGAATTTGGAAGAAAATTGTGAAAAAAATATATGTAAAAGTAAAAATGAATAAAAAACAAACAAGTGCAAGATAAATTCAAGATATTCTAAATTTGAATCATTTTTCTGAAATTTTGAAACTTTGAAGTTTAACGAATATCTGCAAACAATCGTTCATTTCTCTAAATATTCATTAGATTCTCAAAATTTTCAAAATTATTTTTTGCCACGTACCAGTTTTATTCAGAAACTAAATTCTCGATTTCCAGGGAACCAACATCAACGTCACATTGTTGGCAAGTTTCAGTCTAATGACCACCCAAGGAGAAATCACTGGAAATGTGCCACTCTCTTTCGACAAAACCAACGTCGAACTTCTTTTGTGGACCGGTGTTAACAGTGATGGACATCTCAAAACTGATCTAATCACATGCAAAGTTGCCGCAAATAATTTACAACTCCAATTCAGCCAGGCCGACGCTGCTCTTTTAGCTAACTATATTCCACATATGCAAAACTTCATTCGTCAAACCGTGGAGCAGGTTTGTCAAAAATCGTGGTTTTATTCCAACAAAAATTGACTTTTTATAGGTCGTTTGCCCATCGTTCCATGCTGAATTAGTTCCAGTGTTGTCAAATAGAATTATGAATACTCCACTTTCAGCATCTCTATTCGAGCAATATTTCATTAATTATGCTCTTTTAGGTTAGTGAAATAAAAAAACAAAAAGAGTTGCCTACTGCTGGAATCGAACCAGCGTCGCCACGGCCACAACGTGGAGTACTAACCACTATACTAAGTAGGCCGAGAGAAACTGCCACACATATTGTTGAAATACCACGCATCTCTGACTCTTCCCGCTTTTTCTCAATTTCTTTACTCGTATAGAGAAAGATAGAGAGTAAAAAGAAAAAGAAAATGCATCACAGGGGCATGTTTTAGAGAAAAGGGTGAAATAGGAGAGCGCGGAGATAGAGAGAAAAATTTATGTTTTATTTTTTGCAGGACCAGTTGAATTTGCACAACAAGCAATTACATTGAAACACAGAGGAAACTCGTTTGGTATTTTGAGACAAGGTGAGCGATTTGGAAAAGGGACACTGTAAAGTTTTGTAATTTGTAGAAAAAATTAAGGAATATGTTTGACTTGAATTTATAAATGTTCATGAAAATTAGGAAAATTGTAGTTTTCGTTGTATGAAAAATACGTGATCGGGTTCTAGAGTACTGTAGATTTGTGTATGCTGAAACTGCTGCGAAAATTCTTTTCGAATATTTGGTTTTGTTTTAATGATCATAAGAAATAGGTTCAGTGAAGCACTGGCTCCTTTGATTCCAAAAAAATGTTCTCTCTTCAATCACTTTATTATTTCCAGGAAGAACCCGTCTCAATGATTTCCGTCTCCCATACCGTAGTCCTCCACTCAACGTCCCAACAACCGACTCTGGACATATGGTTGAATTCTATCTCTCCAACTACACCCTTTCATCTCTTCTTTTCTGGATGGATCAATACCGAAAATTCGACTATGAAATCAGTAGACAAGCAACAAACAATTCAGCATTGGTTGGATATTTGAAAACTGATTGTGGAACTGGAGATATTTGTGCAGGAACTCTTTTCCCAGGTAAGATCTTTTTAAAATGAGAATACATTTTAGAAGGCTAATGAATTATGTTTAGCTTTGGCAACACGATTCCCTGGTGGAGAAGTTGTTATCAAATCACATACCGTGTCATATCCACGAGTTGTATTGAGAAAAAATAACGTGACAATTTATATTGATAGTCGAGTTGATGCGTTTGTCCAACAAGCTGATCGTAGTCGACGATTTTTGACAGCCTCGATGAATGCTGAAGTCAAAATGGATAAGATTTCTTTCAAAGATTTTGTGCTTCATGGAGAATTGAGAATTGATAAATTCAAAATTCTTGATGTATGTAATCTTTCATTTTTTGTTTCAAAACCCAATAAGCAATTTTAGGTTGCTTCCCTGGTTGATGGAATTGATGAGGGATCTTTGGAATTTTTGGTGAATGCGTTGACCGAATTAATTTTGAATGAGGATATGGCTAGAAAATTGAAAGGGGGTATTCAACTTCCAATTATGTTTGATTATACACAACAATCTTCGCATATCAATTTTGAGGATGTGAGTTTGATTTTGAAGAAGGATGTGGGCAAAATTAAACAAGTGAAATTGATAATTGAACATGCGCTCACTGATTCAGTTAATTAGTAAAAACTAACTTTCTATGATCAGCAAGAATGAGCTTAATATTTCTGAATGACAGAATCCGAAGCTTACTATCTAAAACTTTTTTTTGCAAAAATCTCATTTTTTTTCGAATTTATCCAATTTTCCAGGATCAAATCCAAATCTTTGCCGACTACTGTGCAACTGACAAATGCGCCGCCACAGCTGACAACAAAGATACCGAAATCGATTACTACGATACCGTTCAGGGTTAACAGCAGAATATACCATCAATAGTTTCGAATAAGTTCTTGCACATTTACATAAATAGATATGTAGATCGAAAAAAAACACATGAAACACGGGTTCAAATTTTCTTTCTTCTCTAAATTGTGTCTTTTGTATGGAAAAAAATATATTTCAACATACATATTTTGAGTTAAAAACAAAAAACATCCTATTTATTTTTGAATCCATCAATCAAATCCAGTCTTTCTTTTTGATATTATAAATGCTCCCCAATTGTTTGTACATGATTTGTCTCCCTCTTTTTGTTGATAGTGTGTATTTTCATTTCATTTTTATTTTTATTATTATAATCATTTTATATTTTTTTATGTTAGAAAATAAACATTTTTCAATAAAAAAGCACCGATCAAAAAATCTCATCTCTAGAAGAAACAATCAAATAAATAGAAATAATGGGGGAAAAGGAATGAATGGGTTTGTTGTAATAGGATAGACAAATTATCGATTTTTTCAAATTGGATAAAAATTTCGATGACACTTTATAAAAAAAACAAAAATGACAATAAAAAACTAGAAGAAATTATGATTTTCGTGGAAAAATGAGAAGATTTAGAAAAATGATGGTGACCGTATGTATGCTTGACCCTTTTTCGATATGCTCCGATTGATTGTTTTGGTTGGAAATATTTTATAGCAAATCATGGTAAGCGAGACTTGTCTTCGAGTCGTCTTCTTCAAGAGTTAGACTTCTGAAAAAATGTTAGATTCGGAAATGAACATAAAACTGAAAATAAGCATGATAAGAGGGAAATAGATAGTCAACATGCAAAGGTTAGAAGTAAGAGAGGGAATAAGTGCACATTTAAATAGGTAATTAAAGATTATAGTGATCAATAATCAAAATACGATATTTACTAATATCTGAAGTAATTAATCTTGATATTTGAAATTCTTTGATCATTGAAAAAAATACTATTTTCTAACTGTTCTTTCTATAGTAAATTTATAACAAAATAGATCTCTGAATTAAAAAAAAACCTTGACATTCAATCCCTTACTTTAAAAATATATTCTGCTAAAATCTACCGTACTCAAAATCTCAATCTTTGAGCGAACGAACACGTCCTTCAAACTCAATCATAATTTTTTTTCAGACGACACTTGACGACCCCCCAAAATGAAAAATGAAGAATAGAAAAAATCAGATGAAATCAAATCAGAAGTGGCTTACAGACAACGTTTCTACCTTTTTTTTCTCGATATTTTTAGATGTGTGTTAGTATGATAATAAATATGAATATAATATGGAATGATACAAATTTGGTTGGACCACACACACTCACATTGTTTCAGCATCGGCCTGATCATCTTCCATCATAGCTTCATATTCTTCAATACAGTATCTATAAACAAGAACAATTATTGATTTTTTCTCAAACTGGAAATGTTTACCTATCCCATTCTGTTAGTTCTTGTCCACTATCATCCTCAATTCTTGGAGATTCGCTTCCTTCATTTGTTTCTTGCACAAAGAATTTACGCCAATTAACAAAAGTATTAATAAATCTTCCACGTAGTGGTGACTTTTTCAAATCTCTCAACTGGAAAGATGTCGCACCACCATTAATGTTCAACATATCGATTAATTGACAAGCAACATCTTGAAAAGCCATTGAATCAATACCTTCAGATGCCAATTTTTTCTCAATCTGTGAATGGAAGATTTCCATATCATAAAGGGTTACAATTCCATCGCCATCGAGATCAAGTATTCGGAACCAGTATTCGATACTAGAATAAAATTAATTTTATAATAAATTTCTTCTAAAACTTCAAAATTACCTTGTTGGGTGTGTTTTATCTTCTTCTGCCAACAAAAATTGTGTGAATTCTGGTAATCCAATTTCATCGAGAGGTTGTCCATTTGCTGGTGTCATGCAAACAGCTCCAGAGAAAATTCGATCAACAACTAGGGGAACTAAAGCTCCTCCAGCGTGTGAAGCCAAATCTTTTTTGCGGATTTTGAGATCATGGTCGGTGTCAATTTCCCAGAATTTACAGTAGACTACGTAGAAGTGTTCATAGCTGGAAATGGAATTGATTTTATTTTTAAATTTACTTTTTCATGATTTTTCGAAATCATATATATCTATTCTTTTATATTTACCTAAAGTATCGAAGTGATTTATTGATATCATCTTCAATTTGTAGATTTCGAATAGCTTGCAAAACTCCACCCCGCCTCAGTCGTTCAGTTGTCAAACGACCCGACCAAGAATGCGCATCATTCCAAAATATTCTAGTCATTACCTGAAAAAAACCCATAATTCATTTGTATTTTCACTTTTTTTTCTGTGTAAAAAACTTTTTATCGTTGATAGATCAAAAAGTTCAAGAGACTTACAACTTGGCAATATTTATCATGAAATTCAGTAGCTTCACGATAGAATACAAGACCAGGGTGAGTGTGAATCACATCCATTAACATATGATATAAATCATCAGGAACCAGGTAACTTCGTGAGCCAAAAGTTAGCGTATAAACGAATCTGGAAAAAAATAGGTTTTGAAAATTTATTTTAGAAATGTTAGCAAACCTGGAAGCTTCATCATGTGCAACCGATGTCATCGCTTTCCACCACGATGTGAAATCAATTTGTGTAGCTGGCCGATTTTCTTTATTTGTAATCGCAGTAAACACAGGCACTTTCCAATAAAGCGGCAAACCTGCGGCTTCACAAACTGCAGCCATATGTTCAATTTCGCATTTCTGCCCCGGGAAAGTCCGGAAAACGTCACAAACTCTCCGAAGGGCCGCGTCGTTTTGCAATTGGCTAACTGGTTTTCCCTGTGGAAAATAAAATGGCTCCTTGGGTGCCACTAATTTTGGTTGAGGTGGTTTCACAATTATTGGCGCTATTTTTGGTGTTGGACGATATTGCTCATCAATATAATTGTCGAATCTGTAAGGTGTTGTTTTAAGAGGGAAAAATAAGAAAAACAAACAAAAACTAACTCTAGATCAATATCGTGGTGTTTGTTGTTGTGTTGTAGAACTGGAATTTCTTTGGTGAAACTCACATCGTTTTGAGAAGCGGATTTCTGAAAAATAGAGGGTGAGGTGAATTTTTAATAGGATGTTATAATTCACGAATTTTGAAAATTCAAATGTTTTCATTTTTCCATATAGAATTTTCATAGAAAATTCCGTTGGTTTTTTTATTCAGATTCATCAAATTTTAAAAAAATCAAAGGGTAGATCAATATCAGTTTTTTTTTTCAAATTTATATTAAAACTAACATTAAGATTTTTAATTTCCGACCAACTAAATTTCAGTTTTTACAATCCAAAAACCTATAACAATTGAACGAACCTTTCCATAATTCCCATTAGTATCCAAAGTTCCATTCAAATTCAATCTAGGTGATGGAGCTGATGAAGTTCGTTTAACTGGTGACGTCACATGAAGTTCGGCCAACTGGGAGTTTCTGAAAACAATTGATTATTGATATCTTCTTGGACACCCACACGTTGTTTTTCTTTTTTTTTGAAATTTGTCATTTTTTTATAATTTGTTTGAAAGCGGAAATTGATAAATTTTTCAAGATTTTTCATTAATAATTTATAGGATTTTTCTGATTCTAATAATATTTTTTCTCACTCACTTGGAAGGTGAAACATCGGCTTGAATTTGTGTAGCAGAAGCTGCGGAGACATTCTGGAAAAAAGTTGTTTTTGGAAATTCTAGATTATTTTTGTTGAATTTATTGCCCCAAAAAATATGTTGTAATTGTTTTTTAATAAACTTACACTTCGATTACGCAACAATCGCCAGACTCGAAAATTTCGAGGAGCTGGAATTGCGTGCATTTTCGTTATAATTGGTCTCGGCGAATCACATTTCTCATCGAAAAGTGTTGAGAAATGTGAGGTAAGATATGAATTTGAAATCGACTGAATTTTTTGCTAGTTAGTTTGATTTTTCTCTCCTGAACAAAACAGCAGAAAAAAAAACAGATGAGAGGAGAATGAAAATAAGAATAAAACAGATAGAGAAGAGATAAAGAGAGGCAAAAAGACGACTTGGTTTTGATTTGACTTTACACAACACACTTTCAGTCAGTCAGTCAGGAAATCGAGGGAGGCAAAAGCAAAAACATATATACAATGAGAGGGGAACACTTGAAAAGATAAAACAAAAACATATCTGGTTTTTTTTCGAAAAAATGAAGAAATTTGAGCTTGAGCCTAACTTTTTACGAAATTCCAAAATTTTATTTATCAAATTTGTATCAGACAAAAAAGATACCTTTGAAGAGAAATAACAGAAACAGTTGTTTTTAATGAGCAAAAATCTGAAGGACTTGAGCTCATAGAATAAACTTTTTATGAGATTTGGTAATTTGTATGAAATTTGCAGGTTATAACTTGTGCAAAAATTATAATGAAGAACATTTCAGGATATTTGAAGATTTTTCTTTGATTATTTTGGAATTATTATTTTTTAATTAGCACGTTGAGAGGTACTTCGCTAATTTTTCAGAATCGACTTTCAACACCAATGTTTTCAGTTCGAGGTTGAAAAATGAATCTGATTCTCAAATTCTAGTTTTTTTTCTTTTTCTCAAAAAGGTTCGTTTTCTCAACTCCAACAACTACAAAAAATACACAAACTTACATCTCTTGGTGCTTTTCGTTGACTATCAAAAACTTTGCGAACAATACTTTCAATAAATCGGCGAAATCGTCGTTGCGACGAGTTTCGCGGATTCACCACAACAATTTGTTGTTGTTTAACGCGAGTGCGATTGGCGCGACGTGTCGCCAATAAGCTACACTCGCAAAGAACCGCATCAGACGGTCGCGTCGTCGTTGTCGTCGTCACTTCTTCGTCTTTCATTTTTTTTAGTTTCGATGAAAATGAAAGATTGAGTGATACCTATAGTTTTATAAATGTGATGTGATGAAAAAGAGCAACGAAATAGAGCAAAAATGAGCACAAAAAATGATGATTTTGTCACGGAAAACAATATTGACCTAATCGGATTGTACAGGTATTTGTATTTGTAGAAGCAATTCAATTACGTAGACAAGAAAATCAGAGTTTTTTTTCAAAATGATAAGAAAAAAGGTGCCAGGGTGGGCAAATATCAGAGGTGTGCCCTGAAGATTTTAGAAAAAAGTTTGAGAATTGATTTTTTTTTCAAAAAAAAATGATATAAACCCTGAGATTTTGTCTAGAAAACACAAGATAAACAATGTAAAACGATTTTTCTTGAACTATTTTTTGTGGTCTGATGATTGATTCGGAAAACTGTAAAACTTGTTCAATATGAAATAAAGCCTTGAAAAAAAATGAGAAGTTTTTTGGACCGGAAAATTCAGAGTATGAGTTCTGACAATTAATATTCTTCATTATAATGTAAGTTGACCGGAAATTTGAAAATTCAGAAAACGGGAAACTTCTAACAAAAATAATGACGTGGCAAAGCTTCAACGAAAAAGTTCGTTTTCAAGTCCACCTCAACTCTTTTTTTCTCTTTCTACAAAAAGCACTTTAAATCCAGAAAACCCTACTCACATGTGTTTTTTCTCACATTTTCCGAGTTATTAAAATTTTGAAGAGGTCTCCTTCCTTTTTTTACTTGGAACACTCAATTGAAAATTGCATTTGAAAAAAAAACAGAAATCTGAATCTGATTTGAGAAGAGAAGAGAAAGAAGGAAGTTATACCTGAATGAGTCAGAAATTCTCACACAATGAGTGAAGAAAACCATTTTTGTATACGTAGAAAAAAAGAAAAAAAAACTGTTTTACTATAAGGAAAAACGGGGAAAAATAAAGAAAAAGAGGAGGCCAAAAACACATCAAAAATCTCATTCTCAAGAATTGCCTAGTTACAAAGAAGGCACAGAGAATTTTGGAAAAAAATCATAAATTTATTTAATAGTAAGATGGGGTGAAACTGATAGCTTATCAGCAAAATAATGTATATTTCCTAGATTTTTTGAAACCGGATCATTGAATATTTTTGCATAAAACCACTCAAATTGTATTTATGTGGTAAATAAAAACATATAAATAAAAAAGGTTTTCCATTCATGAAATTCATAAAAATGGCCTTATTGATAACACGAAAAAAATAAATAATTGAAAAGCAAATAATAATCGTTTTCCGGGAGGAAACATTCTTTTTTTGCTGATTGTGCGCACACAAAATCATTAAGCAGAAAGAAAAAAGAAACAATATGTGAGTGGTGGAATGAAGAGCCGGTCTTTTTTCTTGGTATTTCTGTGTGTATGTGTACATTGTGTGTGCTCTCCATTCACTCGTCTCACTTATTCTAATCACTTTTTTTTGCGGGTATGCAAATGTTTCCAACCATCTTCTCTTCTCCAAAACATTTAGACAAATAAGAGAAATAAGAATATGTATTTATATATACCTGGGTTGTTTGGAAATGGTATTAATTTTGTTATTTTTGTTTGGGTAATGAAATTCTGGCTAGAATGAGGGACACTTGTGGTTTTTTATCTACCTAATGGTTTTATGCAAAATAAAACTTGAAAGTGAAAAATAAAAGGCTGTGTGGTTTTGATCTACTCAATAAATTTTATATACAATAAATTAATGATGTGCGTAGTGAATTTTGAAGTTCAGGATTAGAATCTATTAATTTTCAGGGAAAACAAAACTAACTACAGTCGGAAACTCTAGTCAACATTTGAAAATCCACACGATAAGAGAATTACCGTAGCTTATCATTTACAAATCTTGATAGTATCCAGTGTATTTCTGATGAATCAAAACACAACAAATTAGATGTAATGCCTCAAAATAGTGATTTCTGGATCGTATGACTACAATTCACAATTTTGCAGAATAAATCAAAATCCAAAATTTACAATCTAAATTCTCATCTACTAAAATACATAGCTTTATTTCAAAATTTCTGACAGTTATGAAATAAGAAAGTTCTGAAAAGGAAATAAATGGCAACAATTTGGAAAATGTTTCAAGAAAACAGAATATGAAAAACTTCAATTGATTTCATTGTTTTTTTCGAGAACGCTCGAAAAACATAACATTTTTCATCGAGCGCCGCCGGAGAAACAATTTTTCCGGCTTCTTCTCATTTTTCCTCCTTTTTCACAGAAAATATGATTAATTTTGTATAATTTTTCTGCAGTTGTATTTCAAGCATAGTTCCAGAGACACACTTTTTTACACTTTTTATCGTATGTGTCAAAAGATTAATGTGTTCGCAAAAAAGTACAAGCGATACATACATAAATAAATGATTAGTTATAGTAGAAAACACTATTTTTGTAATATATGAAAGAAAGAGAAAAGATGAAGAAAAATAGAAACCGTTGTTGAAAAAGAAAAAGGGAGCGATAACAGTATCATTTCAAAAAAATGTTTTTTTTTTTGAAAAAAACTAACTAGTTTAGACTTTTTACACATTACTTCCGGTCACCAACAAACATTGAGAAAAACACAAAAAAAACATGAAGAGCAACATTGAACTCTTACATTTGCAATCATATTATCTATGCATATAATGGGATTTTTTCGGGCTCGCCTTACTCGTTAGAGTATGTGAAATCGAAAAAAAGTGGCGAGAAAAACTAGTCAAAAATGTATACTTATTTTTTCTCATTTCAAGAAAATTTCTTGAGATAAAAGATTCTTTGAGGTTTTGTGAGAAGTGGATGAGGATAAATAGATGGATTTTGAAACATTTATGAGGTTCACATGGAGTGGGGAACCCTTTTTTAGAGCTTGTGAACTTTTTTTTGCAAGGATTAGGATTAGAGAGAATGCAGAGTTTTTGGACTGTGGTTTTTGGGAAACTATTTTATTTTGAAATACTAAAATGGAACAATTTCAACTGTTACAGTAATAGTAAAATTTCTTTAAAACAGACTATGAAACATCAAAAATATTTTTCAAAATATAATCATAGAAACGGAAATTTGAAAGAGTTTCACTTAATTGAGAAATAGTGATTCAGAATTTCACCAGAAATTTTTTTAATTGTTTGCCAAAGAAATTTTTTGTAAACAATTTTAGATTCCGAACCATGGTTTTAAATTTTTCACTTCTGAAGCTTACAGTCTTGAGAAGTAGAATAGACTTGTCTACAGTATTCTGAAGCACTGAATTCTTTTCATTTTTGAACTAAAACAACTTCAAACTAGTTTTCTCGCTCCAGTTTTCCAGAAAATTAATTTTCCCTAGACTTTTCTCAAATTGAATCTTTAAAAACCTCAAAAAACCCATATTATTTCACGTAGTCACTGTTTCTTTTCTCCAAAAACCTGAAAGAAACCTAAAATTTGGCCTTGTTGAAAACACAGAAAAAACCATTATCAAAGATTGAAATGAAAATGAAATCAAATCAAGGTCATCAAAGAAACATCGGAAAATCAGAGCATTTTTCGAATAATATTGAGACATAATATATAATCATATTCACAAAACATCCTGGAAGAAGAAGAAAAAACATAATTCGTCAAGAAAAAAGAAACATATACATAAATATAAATATAAATATATATTTATTATATAAACATGAAAGAGAATCTACCGCTAAACAGAACAAAATAAAAAGTGTTGGGAACGAACATTTTTGGTTCGAGTGATGATAAAATGACAATCTCAAGTACCGAACGCGGGATTTATTTGAATCTTGCTCTTTTTTCTTGCTCTTACTCTTACATACAAACATTCATACATAAATAGTGTGCAAACGAAACGAAGATCATCTTTTTTACTATATGATTTTTGGGAAAAAGATGAGATCAAATAAAAATGCTGTGGCTAAACCATCTGGTTGGAAAACTTGATGGACTTTGTGAGGGAAAAAAGTCCAACATGTTCTTCATTCAATCAAATGTATATACAATCGTCATAAAAACTCAATGCTGATGTTTTATTGCGGATTTCGGGTGCTTTTTGTTCTGCCTACTTTGAGAACATTAGGGATCATTAGGAAAGTGAAACAACCTCAAAAAATTAAAAATCCGAAATTATTATTTCTCAAATAAATGCATAGTTTTTCTTTGAAAGTACTGGAAAATGTAGAAATAGTAAAAAAAAATCAAACGTAATTTTCAAACGCATATTTTCTCAAACTGAAAAACCCTGTAATTAGAAAAACTATTTAAAAATCGAAAATTATCTCAAAAATAACCGAAATTTTCAGATTCAACAAAATTAGCGGTAAAAAATGTAACTAGAATTTTTCAATTTTTCAGAGATTGGAGGAAATTAGAGAAAATGCAAGAAAAAAAAAACTAACTCAAAAACTTTCTGGTAAAAATATGTTTTCCTACTACCTGCCACTAACATGCTGTCGGAAATCAAACAGAGAGATTTTTTCTGTGATTTGATCTGCCGAAAAAAAAATCCTCCAAGTTCATATCAGTTGTTTTTATTTGAATGTGCAAGCGTTCCGATTTTTATGAGGTCAAAAAAAGAAGATTCAATTCGAGAGGAAAATGGAATAGAGAAAAATTAGATATTTTGAAAATTCTTTGTGTTTTTTTTCCAGAAAAAAAGAAAATGGAAAAGGAAACAGTGTCAAATTACAGCCAAGTTTTCCTTTTGGTTTTTTTCGAAAATAATTTGGAAAAATAGAACTAACCTCAAAAAACGATAACATTTGTACATAGAAATATATATATAAATGAAAAAAGAACAGTCGATTCAACTAGTATAAAAACCTCTTTTTGATCAACAGATGTCAGAAAAAAAGTAAGAAAAAAACAGACCGATTTTTCAAGAAAAAAAAACAAAAAATAACAACACAGCACAATTAACCTCTTTACAATGTATATTTATGACTGATTTTTATCTTTTTTTGGACCCCAACTTTTTATGAAAAAAAGGAAGATTTGTGAAAATTTCCCAACAGCAAATTGTAGATGGGCGAAATTATCCAGAAAATTATAGGATCGCAATGATTAGATTTGTGAGCCAAATTATAGGGTTCTGAAGTTAGCGATCAGAGTACAATAACTGTGATCAGATTTTGGAACAACGTTTCAAACTCTGCAGCTCTATAACTTGGCTTACAAGTATATTATTTTTTGTTGCTGGAAAATTTTCACAATAGAAAAAGCTCCACCCCCCTCCCTGAAAAAAGGTCCCACACTCACATTTGATTTGAAGTCGAAAATCGAATGCGTTGATGAATCAAACTGTCGAATAGGATGTTGTGGATGTTGTTGTACAGTGTGCACTTGTATATGTCGAATTGGTGGCGACGGCTGTTGATAATGATTATTTGAAACCCCGAGGTCAACATGAATCACTGGTTTTGCTCGAAAAACTGCACTTCTTGGACTCATATTTCCATTTGTTTGAACTGTGGAGTTTGCAGAAATAACAGTTGTTGGAATTGCTTCTTGATATTTGATCGCTGATGCTAATTGAATTGTTGGGGTGCCTGGACGTTTTTCAAATTCAGTGATTCTTGATGCCACACTTCCGGTAGAAGGTACTGGGAAATTTGGGCCATTCCGATACATTGTGCGAGCAACTTGATAATTTGGAGACTGAATTCCAGCAAGATATAATTGCTCTTTAACATTATGTTTAGGTTTTGGATGAGGAAGTCCTGTTGGAATTTGATAAATTGAAGAACTATCACTATTTTCATCTGTTGGAGAAGGAGAATGCAATTTCCGATGAAGAATATGATTTTGTTTTTGTGGAAGAACTGGAGGTGGACTGAAAGCATGTTCACCGGTTGGAAATCTTGCACAACCACCAAGCCTTCTCCCAGTGTCAAAATTTGTCTGTTGTTTCACAGCGCGGCTCAATTCATTAACAGCATTATCCAAATCATGGAAATTGAGGAAAGAATTTGTTGGGAACGACGGATTCAATGGGCTCCGAATCCGTTCTTCAATTCGATTAGTCATCTCTGAATTCTCTCGCATTAGTTCGGCCTTGCGAGCAGCAATGGCTGAGCCACTACCAATTCTTTGAGGAGGATACCGCTTCTCTGAATCTATTGGTTCTTGAAGCATTTGTAAACGCTCAGCGGCTGTTAAACTTGAAGGGATTCGTTGAATTGTAGGAGATGATGGTCTAGAACTAATTGTTTGATTCCAGAAGTTGTCGAGTGCTCCAGATCTTCTTGGTTCTGGCGCTTCTGCAGCTCGGCGTTCAACTGCTCTTCCCAAAAGAGAAGCATTTACTTCATAATTGCTTGAAGATTTTGAAATTGGTTGTGTTGATCGACGCGGCAAAGTCATAGAACCGGATGTTGCATAGTTCATATCCTCTTGATTTGAATGATTATTCACATTCTGAAATCGATTCTGCAATTGTTCAAAAGATTTAGTCCATTCGGAAGTGCTCCGACTCATATTATCATCAAGTAATCGCGCGGCAAGCAATTCAAGCTGATCACTTTGCTGGCGTTGATTGTAAAAATCGAACGGGGAAGGTGCTGGAGCAGAAGAAGAAGATGATGAAAATTGAGAGATAGATGAGGAGAGCGCCTGTTGAGGACCACCAAGTGTATTTGTTGAGTTGTTGCGATTCGATGAATATTCGCGAGGTAATGTTGAGGTAACTGGGCCGTTTGAAGTGAACGTGGTTTGAATACGTTGATATTGATGTTGATTTGGGATGTTTTGATAAACTGCAGGTTCTTCAGATCTCACCGAATATTCAATAACTGGAAATGTTGTATTTGATTGCTGATAAGAATAGGTTTTTGTTGGTCTTTCGATACTGGTTTGCACGGAATTTTGAGCAGATGGATATCGAGATAATAAATCCAATAACGCTGATCCACTAGCTGGAGATCTTTCACGTAAATGTTCCGAAAAATTTTGAGCAGGTAGAGATAAATGATATTCTGAATGTGTCCAAGGAGTCGTCGATGCTGGACGTCTTTGCTGCGATGGGAAGTTGATTTCGGCAGATTTCAAAGGGACACCAGACCACTCTGAATTATCCTCTGAATATGTTCTAGGTTGCTGTTGAAATGCGGCTCGCCGATTATCGGCAGATTGTGAGCGAAAACGGGTTGTCGAGCCGGAATCGTCAAATGTTGTCGAACCACCGAATCTCAACGATTCTGATGGAAACTGGACAGACGACGAGCTTGGCTGATTGAATCTTTGAAAATAGTCGTCGTCGAGATGGTACATTTACCCCTCACTGGAAGATTTCAATAATTTTATATTTAACGAGAGATAATTTTTGCAAAATATGAAAAAAAAACGAGGAAAACCACACACTTGAATGTTGAATAAATAAAATAACTCAAGCAAAATAAATAAAAATTTTATAAAACATATGGGTGATTAGCAACAGATTTTGAAAATTTTCGAATTTTCTTTTTTTTTCCAAATGACAGAAAATAAATGAAAGAAAGAATGAGATAAATTCTGACTTTTGAGCAAATATTGTAAATAAAAATAAAAATAAAACACTAGAAATCTAAAGTGGATATTTTTTTTTAAAAATAAGCAAAAAAGTGGTGAAAAGTGGGGGCTCAAAAAAAGTACTCGCCATGAAGAAAATCGAAAAAAGAAGAAGAAGAAGAACATCAGGAAAATTATGCTCTTTGAGAGCAGTCGAGAAACACCGAAAAATAGCCAATAAATCGGAGAGAGCGAGAAGAACACTGGTATTGTTACAGCAAAAATTGAAGAAAGAAAGAAAGAAGAAGAAGTCAATCCGAATAGCCACTCCCCTCGTTTTTCCCTAACCCCTTTCCTACTCCCGCAGCTGTCATATCTCTGGACTTTTTCTACGTCTCAAATTTTTCCCCGCCCTTTTTTCCACCCGTGTAGTAGTAGTATATTTTTTCGAACCAATGGTCCGATAAAACGTGGTCAACTAATCATCATCTTTTTTTTACACATTGAGGGAGGCAATGAGAGATTTTGAATTTGATTAAATTAAAGTTGAGATATATTTTTGATAGATTAATTTTGACGAGAGATATGTTCGAAGTTTTTAGTCTATGATGAATTGTGAAATGTTGTCGATTTCACATATAGTGATAAATTTTTTGAAAAATAAAAACATTCCCCATAAAATTTAAAAAAAAACCAGTGGTAAAATTATCCAATTTCAGAAGTTTTTTTTGACAAAAACAAAACATATTGAATCAGATAAAAGAAGCAACTACAAACATTTTTTATGTGGTAGAGTTATTATTGAAAAGAGAAGAATCATAAACATCAAAGTATTTATCTAGAATTATTCAGAGCGAAAAATTTTGATTTTGAAATTATTTAGAAAATTTCGAAAAAAAATATATCTCAACAAAAAAATATTTAGAAAAAGTTTATTAAAGATTGAAAAATCTTATTGATCTATATTTTTAAATGATAAAATGAGTCATCGACAATTCATGGGTCACGGTTTTCTGGCATAGAAAACCAGTTCAATTTCTTATAATGTTAAAATTTTAGTTTTTTAAATCTGAATCAATATCTGACATAAAACTGAAAAAAACAAGTACAAAGATTTTCAGAAGCTTATAGGATTTTCTTTTTTTCACATTGCTGAAGTATTTTTTTCAGCTAGAAAAAAAACAAAACAAGACAAATTGAAACAGTCCCGAAAACGAAAAAAAAAAACAATTACTCATCTTTTAAAAGAAAATGTCAGATATTTTATTGTGTTCTAAAACGTCAGAATGTTGTTAGTCATATAAATGTCAAACAATTTTTTTTATTATTCTATTCGAGAGAAAAGAAGAAATAATGGAAAATCGCATTTTTTCGATAAAGTACAAAAAATGAAATAAAATCCGGAAGAATTGTTACAACAAAACATTAAAAAAAACTCTCGAATTAATCTTTTTTCTTGTCTTGCAGAACGAAAAAAAACACTTTTTTACTAAAATTCTTTTGTACTGTTCGGAAGTCGCGGAGACTTCCGAATTTTTTAATTAAAATTTCAAGGAAACATATGTCTTTTCTTTTGCAGAACACAAAGAAAAACATAAAAAAGAGTGACAAATAGTTTGATTTTCCAGAAAATACGTTCAAAAAGTTTAGTAGAAGTGGAAGGAAGTTAGAGAAAAAATGATTTGATAAGAAAATACCAGATTTCAAAAAATGTGTAGGTGATTAGAAGGTCAAGGCTATGAAGACTGCTGAAAAATTATGAAGACACAGTTTTTTTTGAATAAATTCGAAAATAGGAGAGAAATGAGAGAACAGGAAGAATTAAAAGTGAAACTGCGACTTTCTGTCACTATTCTTTTTTTGAATTACGACACAAAAAATTTGTTGATGCATGGCAATAATCCATGAAACAGAAACAGTTTGTTTTCTATTCTATTCAATTTCATTTTTTTTTTTCAAAAAGAAGAGAATTGAATGATAGTAATCAATCTCGTTGGTTTTATATGAGATTTTACAATATGAATGATTTTTTTTTCAAAAAATGCGAAATGGAGAACAAATGTAGTCTACATTTTCTGTTAACAAAGTTGAGAGATTTTCATGCTTCACGGGGTTTTCTAGAAACGTTGTGATGTATGTGATACATAATTTTGGGCTCAAAACTTATTCAGAAAAGCAATGACGTGAAAATTTTGATTTTTTGAAAAAAAATGCAAAATTGAAGTCAGAAAAAACTGGAAAGTTTTGTTTTCAGAGGAATTATATTGGAAAATAGAAAAGATTTTAAAGATTTCTGAAACAAGTAAGATTTTTGGTCAAGCTTTAGCAATAAAATTGCACTCAAAATTTATGACTATTTGAAATAGTTGGATCAAAATGTTCTATGCTCACATTCAGAAATTTGGAAAAATAACAAAAAACATTTCAAGATATCCAAATTTTGTAGTTATATGAAAAAATTCTTTAAAATTTTCTGAAAGCTCTAGAAAATTCTGGAACAAAATATTAGACCAAGTTCAAACCATACACTCTTTTGAAAAAAAGTCTATATTCTAAACAGACCACAGCTTTCACACATAATCGAAGAACAGCAATTACACAGATGTTGCTATGTATAAACGTTCAAGAGTTTATTTTATAAAATTCTTAAACAAATTTTCAAGACCACCCAGATTTTTTTTGGAAAAAGTTTGGCTACTGAATAATCCTAAAAATAAAGTCAAACCAAGCAAAAAACAACAACAATAAATAAACAAAAAGAAATAAAAGTGTGAAACAACACAAGTCGAAAAGAATACAAAACAAACACAAAACATGTGTACTTTAAAATCGACCAAAAAAGTCATCCCCCTCAATTTTTCCCATTTCATAAGTAATTTCCTTTCCTAATAGCTTTTCTTGATTCACTTTAATGTGTTTTTTTTGGAAAATATTTAATAAATGATGTAACTTTGTAAATAACTAACCAGAAGAACGTCAGAAGTCAGAATTTCTTTTCGAGCAATTGCTGGAATTGAGCTTATCCCACTTTGACCATTCAAAAATGCACGTGGTGATTCAAGCGATTTTCTACGATATCTGAAAATATTTCCGGGTTTTCATGAAATTTGTTTTTTTTTTCAACATGTGGTTTTCCGTTGAAAAATAATTGGCAGATGTGTGAAGCTTGAAAATATTTTTTATTCCTAGTAAACATGACCTTTTACTTCAAAAAATTGAGTCACACGATGAAAAATGATACTTTTTTGGTAGGCGAAAACGTACTCGGAATTCTTAGGAAAAAACTCACATTTTTAACTCATTTGGTCGATCTGATGGTAGATTTGCTGAATCACAACGAGGAGAACGAGGAAGGTCTGCAAAATTTGATTACAAGGATTTTTATCGATAATTTTAGAATTTTTTTTTCAAATTATGAAAGATTGGAGAATTAAAAAAATGAAAATATAAAATGGAAATCTTTATTTTTTTTAGTATAAAGAAATAACAATTCCAGGATGTATAATAGAAATTCAAAAAATATTTTTTTAAATTCTAGCTCACCAAAATGCTGTTTTCTCGGCGTCGAAATCAATGGAATATTCTCTTCATCTTTTGGTTCGTAAGATGGTCCAACACTCGACAAATCCAATTTCTCTAAATTCATGGTTTTATAGAATCCAGAACTAAGCTCATCATCTTCATCATCGCTTATTAAATAATTGTTGTCAGTCTGGAAGAACAAGATTAATCTTCACTCTCCTAAATCCCTTTAAAACATACAACAACATCTCGATCTGTATGTGAGAGGATTCGAACAAACTTCAGATCGTGGCAAAATTTTTCAATTGAATCTCGAGTTACCTGAAATAATTATTTGTTGAAACACGGCAATTTTTGAAGTGGAATTATTCACCTTCAATCGATTTTTGAAGCCTTTACGCGTCATTATGAAATATATATGAATAAGTTTCGAATTTTGAAAAAGGCAGCTGCAAAAAATATTACATGACAACGAGCATTTTTTTTCGAAACAAAAAATTTTGTGCAAAAAAGGACTAGTTGGCCAAAGAAAAAAGGCGAGCTGTAATTATAAATAACAGGCAAAGCAAAATATGTGAAAAATGAAGAAGAGAAAGAGGTGCGCAGTATATTTATAAGCTCTCTCCAGCCCCGCTTTCCATATGTGCCTACATACACCTTTTTATTTATTATTTTTTCTATTTTTTCTTTCCCATCTAGACATACCTGGCAGCGCGCGAAACGCCGTTCTCTGCACTCGTATTCAATTATGAAAATTGGACGGGGAGAAAATGAGGAGAGAAGGTGGAAATAACACATCTGTCAATTTTTTAGTGCACAAAATCTTGTAATTTTTGGATTATGAAGGGAGTAATTATTGAGCCGGAAAAATTGAGATTTTTTGAGAAAGTTGGTATTTTTAAAGCTTCTGGATTCACAGTAAAACACACTTGTTTTCTAGTACAAAAATCGGGATTACAGAAAAAAAGGAGATGGAACTAAATCCCCACAAAATTCAACGTGAGAATGAGATATTTGAAAAAAATTTTGAATTACAAGAAAATTTTTTTAAAAGACTAGAGCTTTGGGGAAATAATTTTTCAGAAATTTTTATTGGCTTTTCAACAATTAAAACTGTTTTTTTTTTGCTAGCTCATTGGATATTTTGAGAGGAGCGGGAGAAAATATAGAGGGAGTAGGTAAAAATAACACACCTGTCAATTCACGTTGAGATTGAATCTAGTAATTTTTGGATTAGGTAAGGTATAATTTTTGTGCAATCTACAAATTCCTCAAAAACCACGTACACGCCCAATTGATTAGATTTTGCCAATCCCATATTTGGTCAATGGAATTATTTTTTTTTTTAGTAGTAATAATAATAATGAAATTATTGGCTTCTTTGGAAAAATGAACGTTTTCTGAACTATTTTCATAGGAAAAAGAAAAAGAAATGAATCAAATTATAAATAGAGCCGTTTCGACTTTAACATAAAACAGCGAAGAGGTGATGCCTCTTTGTTTGATCTTAAATATAAAACCTAAACCTAACCTACGAGCGAAAAAGAATGAAAATAGGAAAAAAAATAATAAGGAAATTTTAGGGTGGTAAATGAAATAAGAAGAGAAAGAGGGGAGGTAATGTTAGAGCAGTAGAGTAGGTGAGAGAGTGTGGAAAATGTAGAGAGAATCAAAGAGAGGAAGGAAACGAATATTCAAACTATTTTATCTCACCCTTATAAAAAGCGAAATCACTGAAAATTTGGTGTCACATCAAGTGTTTCAATGTGTGCAAACAACGCTTCTTTTTTTTTTCAAAAAATCAAGGCGCGTTGCGAGACGACACTCCGCTTGCCCGCTGTTTAGCGTAACACGAGAATGTTTTCATTTTTCGTTTTTTTTTTCGCTGGGTTTTCAGGTTTCAGGGGAAAATCAGTGGATTTCAGTCAAAAATTGAGTTTTTAGATGTTCTACAAGGCTGGAATTATCGCTTACAACGGAAAATCCGAGGATTATTGAAGAAAGGTAGGGTTTTTTTTAGAGAAACACTGTTTCGATTGAAAATTTTGAGTTTATGTTAGATTTTGCTGTGAAAAAAACCTGGAAAATTGTTGTGAGACCCAGAAAGCCCCCAGAAAGCTATAAAAACAGAAATGGAGTTAGCAGAACTCAATGGTACATGAAAAATTCAAATTTTCTGATTTTCAGCTTGAAATATTGATGGACAATTGGATTTCAATGTCAATAATGTGGAAAACTTGGAGGATTTTGGATTTATCAAGGATTTTGATTTGGATTTTCGAATTTTCGATGATTTATGTGTAATTTGAGAAATAGAAGCGATTGGTGAGTTTTTTTGGGGAGGGATTTCGGAAAAATTGAAAAAAATTCTGTAAAATTTGAAAAATATATGAAAATTATGAAAAAAAATCTTTAAAAATTGAAAAATGTTAGGCTATCTCCACTAGACCCAAAATTTTGTTATTTTTGGAATCAAATCGGTACTTTTTATGAATGTTCACTTTGTGAAAATATTTGACGGTGTGTTGTTCTATAAATGATTATTGGAATTTTTTTTTTACAAATTGAGTAATTAGTTCCATAATTCTTCGGCCAATATTTTTTTTATTCTTCTAGAATTCAATAAAAGTTGTTTTTATTGAATTTCCAGTTAACAAGTTTTCGAGAACATTTCCAGGAATTCGGGTATTTGTTTCCGGAAAAACAACAACTTTTATTACACCATTCCTATTTACATACTTTTTTTTCGCAGAACACAGTAAACTTAAGAAGCAATTTCAAAAAGTACATTTTCAAGCTGGCCTTTCTGTTCATTTTTTTAAGTGAACCATATAATTATACACTCATGAGAAAATGTATGTTTTTTGTGCTAGGCTATAATTTATTCTAGAGCAAAAGTATGAAAATGAGTGATTTATACTTTATTTTTTCTGCGTGAATATTGGAAAAAACACACACATTTTTCCCAAGTGTTTTTTCTTCAAAAATTAATTTCTGATCTCTTTCCATTTGCATTCAGGAAATTGTGCATCCATGAATATTTTTATATTTTTCTGATAACACATCAAAAACAACAAACAAAAATATAATGGAGCTATTCATTTTATTTTCTCAACGCTGAGAAAATTGGAGATAAGCGGAGAAAACTAATTCAAGTAGGCTGAGAAAATACTAAAATAAAACAAAAAAATTGTATTTTCTTCGCATTTTCCTGTTTTCTTAACGTGTTAAGAAAATACATGAATAGCTCCATAATAAAAAATTCTTCATTCAATAAAATCATAATACATATAATAATAATATAGTTGCTCATTTCATTTCATCATATCATATCAATAATGGCAGTAAAAATAATGGGAACTAAATAATTATCGTTTAAAATTAATAAGAAGAGAAATTAACAATTGGTTTGTTAATTAATTAGCTAGTTGAGTTAATAAGGACAAAAACAATAATGACAATAATAATTGAGATAATAATGATCGGCGCAATAATGAAACATAAAACATTAAGGAAACAGTCACGCGGGTTACTGTAGTTAGACGGCGACCATCCGGACCATGTCAATTTCGAATTTGTAGTACGTTGAACAGTTCTGAATTTTTTTTTTGTTAAAATTAGTATTTTGTTAATAATAAAACCCCGTATAGTTTTTCTTAAAACATGTTGTTCATTAGTGATTTTTTGTTATCTCATTATATGCTATAATTAGTAAAATGATAATTAGGACACTCGCAATAAAAACAGGTATACAAGTTTTGATGAAAAATTTGATTTTCCAATGCTCACATTCGTTGCCATAGTAGGTTGTGCGGTTTTTTATTCGCTCATAAGTTCTTAAAAAGAATTTTATTAAAAAAAGCTTTTTTTCTAGAATGGGAACGTTTCATATGTGAAAATGATCATTTCAAAAACAGGGAATAATGAATCAAGCGAGGTTTGTTGATATAGACACTTGGATTTTTGAACTCGGAGAATATATTCAAACAAAGTAAATTGAGAAATATATGAAACATTTATATTTTAATTGAGAACTGTCCCAAACAACATAGAACATACTTTTCCCCACTTGCCGCCAAACTAACCTTCCCTTTCCTTCATTTCTTCCTCTCTGATTTCCATTCTGATTTTGATTTGAATTACGACCATTTTCATTGCGATTCGGATATTCAATGCGTCTTCCATAATCATCCAAATTTTCACGATACTTATTCTTATTAGGATATTCAACAGTTCTTTTCATGTGTCTTGTATTATATTCTTCTTCTAGCAATCCCTGCTCTGCATCTAGTAGACATTAAATAATTAGATTACTAATTATGATTTTCAAAAAATATCAAATATCTAGAAAACTTTCAAAATACCTCTATAATCTCCATAACCATAATCGTGATTTTGTCCTTGTTGACCATGAGATTCTCTTCTATCTGAATTTCCAGCTCCATTCTCATTTCGTCTTTTCAATTCTTCCTCATGTTTTCTTCTACGATCTTCTTCTTCTTTCTTCCGCCGTTTTCGCTCAATTTCTTCTTTTCGAGTTGTGGTTGTGGTGGTAGTTGTTTCTTCAGTCACACCATATGGTGCAGCGCCATGGTGTTCGTAAATTGGTTGGCCATAGGCGTCATATTGACCGTAGTGTTGAGATTGTTGTTGAGGAACGTTCTGGAACAATATAGTTGAGAAGTTTGAGTAAAATAGAAATAGTGAAACAAGCGAAGAAAGGTGTGATGGGAAAAAATTAACGGAAGGTTTTTGTATTGAGTGCAGTGTAGAAATAATGAAATAGTTTTCAGTTTCCTACAAACAATGTTCTATGGGGCGTCGAATGTTTCCAATCATTTCTAATACAAAAAGGTTGACAAAGCACTTTGGGAGAAGTGTAAAAAACCAAACAAAGGGAAAATAGCATACACGGATAATACATTCGGGACTTTTGCTTGCAAGATGCACTCTCACTTGAATAGGTGAACCACTCCCACGCATTGATTTTGGAATGATATAATGATTTGTGTTCTGCTGATCTTCTAAAATGCTTTGATTCTGATTATGTCTATTATGTTTTATTCAAAAAAAATACCTGGAACTTGATCATATTTTTGAGGATAATGTTGTTGACGACTATTTGTTCCATTTCGATTTTGGTGGTTTATTTGGGTGTATGTCTCATAAGTTCTATGATCTTCATACACTTCGCCGCCATTGATCTAAAACAATCACTCACAATCAATTTATTAAAAAAAAACAAAAAATAACTCACATGTCGTGTGATTGGTTGAGTTGTTTGTTTTGGTGGCAGTGGTGGATTACCAGGATATGCTCGATATTGTGGATTATCTTGCATATTAATATGAGTGTAATCTCCAGAAAGTCGATCTTTCCGTTGTCTTTCTGGTGATATTCTTCTCTCAATGTGGATTTGGCGACTACCTTCAGATTGGTGGCGGCTTCGACGGGCTTGATCTTGACGGCTGAAGCGTTGTTGATCATCTCTGAATGATTGGAAATTCGAAATATATTTTCTTTTTGAAAACTCAACTAACCTTGCGATATGAGTGCCTGGAGCAATTTGTTGATAATCATATTTATTTTCAGAATGTACTAATTCTGGGGCTCCTCCAGTCAAAGTGTGCAAACTTGTTCGACTATTTCTTGTTTCAATTACACCGTAACCTGTGACAACATCACTACCAGTGTAATAAGGATCATTAATATAAGTTTCACTTCTTGGTTCGGAGGATTTTGACCAGCGTCGTTTTTCGATGTGTGTTGGCACGTAGGCTGATGTTCGATGATCTTGACTGGTGTAAGATCTTTGATTGACGTCGTAGACGTAGCGGGTTCTGAAAAAAAGTAGAAATTTATAAAAGAGTTTTAGATTCTGAAAATATTTTTCAAACAGAAGACAAACATGATTTCAATTTTTTTGAAATGAAACGCAGAATAAAACAATTCTTTCAAATTTGTTAACTTACGAAATATCTCCCGTTGGTTTAACCGAGTTAGCCGATCTTCCTGAATACATTCTTCTCAATTCTTCAGATTGTGAATCAGTTGGACTACTATTTATAGTATTTTCAATAATTTGAATATTTTCACGACTTAATCGATGCGCGTCTCTAACAGCAATATTTCTTGTTGGTGAATTTGTTCGAATTGTTTGAACGTAAGGATCGTGGTTCATATACGCCACTGTTGAATATCTATCAGCTATATCATGAACCACTGGTGGAGGAGTGGATTCGTCGGCGTAGTGTCTTATGTCGTCTGAAAATATTCAAATTTTAAAAATTAATATTTTTTGTGCCAAAAATAAAAAGAGAAATCAGTTTAGAAAGTATGTAAATCAAATACACTCAAACCATAAAACTATATCAAAATGAATAAGAGGACAACAAAAATTTTGTTGATTATCATATTGACATTAGAAATACTATATTTGTTTTTTGATAACTCTCTCATTCTCAAATGCAAAAATTTTCCTCAATCAAAATAATGTGGAAAAAAAATGATAAATTATTGATTGTAAGGAAAAAATGTACATTTATTTGACTATTCCTAGAAATGAGTCATCTTGTGAATCATATCTACATGCCTATGCTGTTATTGTTTACCTGGAACACTATGTCTACGAGATTCAATATAACTTGCACGATTTGGATTTTGACGCATTTCAACGTGATGTTGATTTGCGTCATTTCGCAGACGTGAAGATTCTGTTATTTCGTAGTGCGATGTCCTGAAAACCATTTTTTATCAGTGCTATTTTGGGTTATGCAAAAGAGAAGAATTTTTGATTTTATCTGATAAGAAGGGAGCAACATTTTGGAGTATATAGTATTTTGAGGGAAAATCATTGATTTCTCAAATCAATAAAGTAGGGAAGTTAAGGTTGTATCAATTTTTCGTAACTTCAGTGAAGTCAGGAAAAATATCTATATTTTGAAAATAAGAAAAAAGCCAGGAAATTTGAAAAATAACAAAATTTGAAACAGTCTTTCAAGTTATCTTTTTTGAAGAATAATGAAAACAGTTCAATAATTATAAATACATTTTTACTCTAAAGAACTGTATAATTCTCTTTCAAAAAACCAATTAGTCAAGCATCGCATAATTAATAAAAGCACAATCACATTTCTTAACTGTTAACATTTCAATACAATTAAAAAAAAACCTAAAACCAACCTTTGCTGTCTCAATTGTTCATTCATGGCATTAGTCAATGCTTGTGTCGTAATCGTCGTATTTTTACTATTATTTGCCGTCTCGTAATGTTGTGGCTTCGGCGGTTTGGGTGGTGCGAAATTCGGCGGAGGTGGAGTCGAATTTTTTGTTTGTATTGGCTCAGGCGATAATGGTATACCTTCAGCATTTGTTTTTGATTTTGGAATTTGAATTGGTGGCGGAATTGGCGATGTTGGAATTGGTGGGGGCCGCGGTGGAATTGGTGTAAATTTTGGCTTGGGCGGTGGCACCGGTGGCAATTTTTTGTTGCTTGTGATTACTTCCACTATCGTTGATCTCAAATGTTAAATTGTTAGTAAAAAAAAGCGTGAAGTTTTTGAAAATTTCTAGAATTTCATTTTAAAAAAGTGGACAGAAAAAAACTTACTGCCCAGCAGAATACATGCTAGATCTCGAAGATTGTCCAGATTCATGACTTGCTCCATAAATAGCATCATCAATATAAGGCAATCCCGAAATAGTAACAGGTGTTGATTCCTGAAAAAAATGAGTTTTAGGACGAGAATAGAACGCTGTAGGAACCCGTGGTAACAATAATGATATCGATTAAGAAATTTTTCACAATCAATGTTTTTCAATATTTTTTGCACATTTTGAAACTTTAACTAGAAAAGTCAATGAATTCATTCAGGCTTGTAAATTGAACACGGAAAATCCGAAACTTCAGAACTTTTTCATATTAATTTAAAATATTTCATCTGGAAAACATTAGAATCAAAATCTAGTTTTACTCAATCCCGTGTCTTTTCTTATTAGAAAATCACCCCCTTCCCTCAAAAATACCTTCAATCCATCATAATAACTTTTGAACTGATTCACAGACATGTTCCAATACCTTCGTCGATGCTCGTCATTCAACCGATCCTCTAAAAAACCAAAAATTGCTTATCACCGCTTTTTCTGCCCGCCAAAAATTTCCAATATTTACAACTATACTCAAAAATAAAATAAAAAAATCAATCGATAAACACTAACCCATTGGTTTTTGAAATAAACAAGACGTGTGTATTGTGTATTTTGGACATTGCGACAAACCGAAACGCCGCAATAATGGTTCAAATGGTCTGGAACCATCGGATGCGGTGATAAAGACTACAATATTTTCACGAACATGATGTGGTAATTCGGTGAGAACTTTTTGCAACTCGTCTTCTTCTTTTGATGTTGTTCTATGAAGATCAGAAAATACTACTGCAATAGTGTCAATTCGCATCTTCCAATTTTCCAGAAGCCATCGATTTATCAATTCAGGAATATTATATGTTATTCTGGAATAATTTTTGAGAGTTTAAGAAAAAGTGGATAAAATTTTTTAGAATCCACTAATGATTTTCTGTACAAAATTAAAATTTGGAGTTAAAATCGATATTTTCTCAATATTTGGAGCTCGGGAGCTCACAATTCTTGAGTTTTAGTTTTACCGCTTTGAGATTTCCAAAGAACACTCACAGTTCATCCCCGCAACCTGGAGTATCTATTAATATCGGGCGGATTGGTAAAACAGTATTATTAAAAATATAACATTGTACAGGTCGATCTGGAGTTTGCGCATTAAATTTTTCATTTGCAATATGATGACGAAACCCTCGATTTGGATCGATTCCATAAAAATAATTACATAGAAAATCGATCAGTTCAGATTTTTCAGCTCCGGAAGGCCCAAGGAATAGAGTTACACGATTGTCACGCTTTTTTTCATCTGAAAAAAGGAGGCTTTTATCTTTTTTCTTTCCATAGAGTTTACCTTCCTTGGCCCCAACAAAAATCGTCCTAACATCTCGCATTTCCAATGCTTCGCCCACAAATTTTGATTCTGGACTAATCATATCTGCGAAAAGAGGGCTACCCGAAAGAGACCTGAAAAATAATATTTGTTCTACATCTTTTTTTGTAACATCGGCCATAAATAAGCCATATTTTATTTATTTATTTTAAAATAAATCATATGTTTGCAAGCATGCCATAACTTTGGTATATTTGACTAGGAATCACATATATATGTATGAATAAGAAAACATTTCTAAAAATCGATGCACTTTTTGTTGGGAACACTTGGTATTAATTGATAATCAGAAAAAAAAGGAGTTAATAGTTTTTACATATGATTCTTTTTTCTCAATAAAAAAGTGCGAAAGTTTATTTAACCTGATCATTTTAGACGCCACTGATTACTGATAATTCGATGTTGTTGATCTTGCTCTGAAAAATATTACATTCGAAAAAAATATATAAAAATATGGAAAACATAAAGTTTTACGATTTTTTGTTTGCAACAGTAGATGTGGATGTATTGTTCGAAGACGATGATTCAGAAATTAGTTGTTCATGTGAGGAATGGTTGGGAAAAAATGCTGTTTACTAGCGGAGAGTTTGACTAATTTGTATGTACTACTAGATGATTTGAATTCTTAATATACATATTTATTTTTGAAAAAAGAATATAAAAAAGAAAATGGAAAATTTATAATTGAGGAATATGTGACTCATATTCAAAAATGAAAACAAACGTACTATTTTTGAAAAAAAAAACATGATTTAAAATTGAGAATTGATACCTTGAATAAACTCGAATAAAACACAATACCTCTTTTGAGAATTTAATGACCGAATTTCAAAACCGGGTCATTAACATAGCTGAGAAAGGGATGCCGATATTCTTCAATATTCTACAAATCAGATGTGAAACATTATTTTTCAAATAATTATTTTTTGAGTTCCTTGACTATTAAATATATTTGATCAAGCTAACCTAGAACACCCCCAAATCCTGCGAGTTTGGAATTTTTAAATTTAAAAACCCTTTGAAACATACGTTTGGATTCTAAAGTTTTTGGCATTGATAAATCCCCAATTCTAATTTCGTGTTTTTATCAAAAATTTTCCAGTTCGCACCCAGTAGAAAAATTCCAATATTCGATCATAAACCAAAAAATCATGACAATTTCATTCCTTATCTAATCTGCCCTCAGCGAAACGAAACGACGTGACACATTTTTTTCGAAAGCAAACAAAAAGAGAGGGAAAAAACTCAATAATAATAAATTATGAAAGACATGGCAGTTATTAGAAAAAAAAAGAAAAATTGCGCGGAAAATCGTGATATGATAGTAGGACACATATATATCTTATTATTTAGTGTAAGTATACCAATCAAGGAGGCATGAAACAACTAAGAAACCCGTTTCTGAATGATTGAATGTCTTTATTAACAGGTTGGTTGAAAATTAAAATAGTCGTTATTTTTCGAATACTTTATTTACAAGAAAAATTTTTATATAAAAGTTGAAAAAAGTTAGCAGTGGTGATGATGATGGTGGTGCCCGTAGTGATGCCCATAATAAGGTTCCTCAATAACTACAACTGGAGGTGCCATAACTGGAGCCATCATTGGAGCAATTGGTGCGACTACCGGAACTGGCGCAACCATTGGTGCAATTGGTGCGACTGGCACAACTGGAGGAGCATATCCCATTGGATAACCAACTGGTTGAGGGTATGGGTAGGAATTGTTGTATGGATTATAATTATAGGCCATTTTTAGGTTTGACAAATAAGCAGAAGAAATCAACTGATAAATGTATGCAGGGTCACACTATTTTATACGACTTTTTTTAGGGGCGCCTAGAAAAAAGACGAGCATTTATTTACACACGTCATTGATTGATTGTGAAATGCAAAAGAGAATATTCGAAATGGTGATTCATTAGGGTATGATAGCAAATCGGAAGATTGAGTTGTATGAGTAATAAAGAGGAAGTAGGGATACAAATTTAAAGAATTATAGAGAAGGTTTTTAGAGTTATATTTTTGTTTCGATTATTTTTAAGAAATTTGATATGAAAAATATTCTAATCAAAACTGTAGCTAGGGCGATTTAGACAAATTAAAAATCTCATTCCTTCGTTCCAATCAAAAATTTGTCTATGAGCATTCAAATTGAACAAAAAAATTTGTGAATGAAACATTTGGAAAAAACCTTTGAAAAAGTGTTCTTTCTGAATTAATACTGTGGAATTATGTTTAAACTGGAATGTTAAAGTTCTGAAGTGAGATTTAATAATATGTGGTATTGTTTGTGATATGTATTTCGAAAGCGACATTCTTTTATTGACAAAATATCATTCTAATAATCCGTTTGTATGTAAGCCTAAGTCGATTTCAAAAAGTCCATTCCAACTTCCACAGTATATTGAAAAACATATCGCAATATTTCCAAACAATCTTTCTACAGTACCCATCCCAAAAAGTCATTAAATCTATTTCAAAATCACGCGCAATAAAATTGTATTTCACTGTTGTTTGCATTACACGATGAGTCACATTTTCAACTATAAAAATAGTCGCAACCTATTCATTCTTATCATTTTTCCATACTTCCTCCGATCATGTCCTACAACCCATATAACAATTCCGGCTATCCACATTATCCACCCCAACAACCAGGTTATCCAGTTGGATATGGTGCTCAACCACCGATGATGCCAGTCGCCCCAGTTGTTGCGCCAGTTGTTGCACCTGTACCTGTTATGGTACCACCTGTCCCATCTGTGGTTGTTGTTGAAGAACCTGATCATCATCATCATCACGGGATTCTACATCATATGAACCCATTCCACCATCATCATCATCATCATCATTGTTAAATGTTTATCGTTTAATTTCTCGTTGAGCATAAAAAATAAAAATTTTCTGAGGTCTTTTTGTTATCAAGGTTTAGAAGAAGAAAAAAGTGTTATCATTTAAGCCCATGTGATCAGTGTTATGTAATTCTTGTCTGAAGGTTTAGATGTAGGTATACTGGAAATATATGAAAAAAATGTATAGAGGTTGGTCAATAAATCACACCACTTGAAACTATCTTAGAAACAATTAATCAACTAAATTCGATTAACTTATTATCAAGTCCTGTAACTGAAACAAACAATATTTTTCATTGCAAAAAGAGTTTTGAAAATCGAAATCATTTTCAATACTCTAGAACTAAATTTACACACACCACGTTAATACATAAGTATTTCATAACAAGAAGATCTGAAACTGTGAGAATCGTTTATTCACATTCACAAAAATTATACATGTCAATGAGAAAATTTGTTAAAAAACCGGCAGAACTTATTCCAATAACGATGACTCTTTTGGTGAACCGGATTCTTCTCTCCAGTATTTGCAATTCTTGCCTTTTCCTCCTTGTTTTTGATTGCAATTTTTCTACGATTACGGTAGTAACTGACATCGACCGCTCGAAAGCGCATAGCTCCGCAAGGATACATTCTGACGCAAGTTCTAGAAGAAAATAAATCAGATAGCAAATGAGGCAACCTGAAACTGATAAACCCCTCTATTTTTATAGCCAGACTCTGTAATATTTTATCAAAATTGTTTTCATGAAAAAAACTGTATTTTTCCTGATAACTTCTTTTCTTTGTCCTTTTTGTTATTTGTTTGAAGACATTTCATTTTCAATTGGTTGGATAGAAAAGTAAGAAAAACATGTTCTCAAGTGAGAAAAAGTTCATTTCTCTCAAAATGTTTCCTTTTATTTGGAGCACAACACAAAGGTTTGATCAGTGATGTCATCCCGGAAAACATGTAAATTTCCGAATGTTTTCTAGAAGAAACGGCGCAATTTTCATATAACTAATATTTTTTAAAAACACGTATATCTTTTTTTGTTTATGTAGGTTGAAATTCGATATTCGACTCTCATGTTTCGCTATTTGGAAAATAAGAGTTTTTTATGTCTTTTGAACTTTTTCACACATTTGTTGTTACTGCAAATATTCATTCAACTATTTTACATTTTCAAAATTATTGATCAAAAAGGAAAAGCGAAGAATTGTAATGAATGAAGAAAATAATATAGAATTATACAAAAAATACACGTGAAAACGAGATTTTCTGGAAAAAAGAGATGACTACAAGGGCAAAATAAAAAGCAAATGAAAGTGATTAATTAGTGCTCTACAAAAAAGTTTCTTTGATACCACCCTCGATATTGGAAAATAGTGTGAAATGTTTAGGGCAGTTTGCAGAAGAAGTTGAACTAGTCATGGGATCTGGAGGACTTCTCGCCGTTAAAATCAAGTTCCCTTTTTCACAATCGACACAAGACACCGAGCGAATTGATGGTTTTGGGCTGTTTGTAACAGAATTAGCAAGCGATGTTGATATAACTGAAGTTTTCTTGGAATGGGTTACTGTAGAAGGAACTGATGAAGAAATTTTTGGGGTGGTTACACCATCGACTAGGGGAGATATTATTGTGGAGAATGATTTGGAAATATTTCTAGTTGATGTGGAGAGAAGAGGTTTTGATTCTTCTTCGGTTGTTGTGGTGGTTGCACTAGATGTGGTGTTTGTTTCTTCAGTCGTGGCGCGTGAAGTGTCTCGTTGGTGTGATTGATGAACACGTGGGGCGTAGGTTGGTAGTGAGGTCTGCAAAAAAGGGGCTTTTTGTGTGAACTCTCGAAAATTCAGAGATTATTTCCCGTCTGGATGTCAAAAATGCTTTTCAATAAATACATTTAAGAGGTTGTAATTATTAAACACCAAAGACTATCAACTTTCTTTTTTTGTCCTCAACTTATCGACTGAAAATTTGAAATTACTTTGGAGCGCCGTTAATTTATCTTCCAATCAAAACGTCAAATTTCAACTTACCTTTTTACTACTTTCCACGCTTTTATGTTCACTTCTCAAGGATCGTTTTCCCATAATTTGATCATGAGTTCTCAAAAGTTTGCCATTCTTCATCTCCTGTCCAGCAGCTACTCGGTCATGATTTGACCTGCAAAAAAAAAAACAAAATCCCTTTTTTTCCTTCCTTGAAAAAATGTTGCACACATTATATTACATCAATCCCCACGTTTTGACGAAATTTGATATCAACGCCACGGGATTTTCTTTTTCTTTTTTTGTTGCTCCGTTTCTTTTTTCCAAAAGGTGAGATTTTTTCGAACAGATGACATATCAATTAAATAATCGTTAAATATTATGAGCCCCTCTTTTATCTTGAAAAATTCAGAGTTTTTTTTATTTTTGAAAAAAATTGGTTTGTGCGAAATCTGGAGCTCGTTAAAAATAATAAGTTTGTTGTTTTTGTGCAAAAAATGTGTGGGAACATAATTATATGTATGTCTCCCAGTTTATTAGTGCAGAAAAACTTCTTTTTGCTTCTCGAAATATTCTCATATCTATTTCAAGAATCATAGTTGTTTTGCTGGATTTTTTTTTTGTTTTTTTTTCTTTCCCAATTTTTCTTGAATGGATGGAGAAAGAGAAAAAAGAAAAAACAATTGAATTTTTTGGTGGAGGAGAATGAGTGGGAGAATACCGGAAATTGTTGAGTTTCTATGCTAATTCAATAAACAAAAATTGGAAAATTTATGAGGGTCTGGAAAGTTTTGGGGCCCAGGATTTATGGAATAATAGAAGTCTGAGAAAAAAGTTATTTTCGAGGAGCAAGGTTTTGGGTTATTTCTGGAATCGGAAAAGTCACACTCGAAAACATACTGACGTGAGAATCAGAACTCAGACCTCAGAAAATTGAGGATTGTTTTTCAACTTTTTTTTTTCAATTTTGAAAAACAGTTTCTAATTTTCTTCCTATTTGTCCTATTCATTTTTTGTTCATCAGGAATATCTCAACGTACCAAGTATAAGTGTCTGGAACAATAGTGGTAGTATAGTTTCGGCTATACATGGCATGCGAGTCACGATACGGACTGAAACATTGACATCGCAAAATTCTTACAAACGCTTGTCTGAACCGTTTGTTGAAAACTGTGTAAATAATTGGATTGATTGTACTCGAAAAATAACCAAGCCAAAGAAACAACGATCCACACCATTTTGGTGATTCAATTCCACTAAATCCACGTATAAAATTTGCAATGAAAAACGGTGTCCAACAAATGAAAAAACACATAAAAACCACTGCTAAAACTCGTGTTGCTTTATGTTCATTCGCCAAATCTTGATTCGCTGCCTGGAAACAAAACATTTATTTTTAGTTTTTTTTGTTCCAACAAGAGAACCTTTTGAGCATTCATTCTAGTTTTTGTTGAAATATATGTTTTATGGTGAATCAACTCTGAACAAGAGTTATGACGTGACAGAGCTTGAAAATTTTGAAAAATTGCTCAACTTTTAAACGGAGTTCAAAGATTCTAAAAAGAAAAAGATGTTTCAGTCGAAAATGAGAAATTATTTGAAATTTCATGTATAAAGTTGATTCAACGAGTTTTTGGACGTCGTCAACGGGCTACTGTGATTCGTTAAGATTTGAAGTTTGTGGATATTTTTTGCTAGAGTTTTTTTCAGTAAAAATTCGAAGGTTCCTGTAAAATGACACTAATTTTTCTGATTATTTTTTCTTACCTTTATTTTACAAACCTGAAAAATAATGAAATTAAAACATAAAGCCCCCCTCCTAACCTGGAGCGAGTTTCTTCGCCCAACTTTTGATGCAATATTCGTTAGATAATTGGAGGTCCTTGAACGCCATCGGTTGATCGTTGATGCCTTTTCCAAAGTGCGATGACCATTCAAGCTTGGTCGACTTGTGCCAAGTCGATTGTTGCCGTCGTAGGATGAGTCGGTGTGATGTTTACGCTCGCAACTCCTACTTTTTCCATTGCTTTTACCGTTTGAATCGGTGCGAACATACCCGAGTTTTCTATGCGGCATCGTGCGACGCAATCCATTACCATTCAATTTGTCATTTGCCTTTTTGCTCAAAATCGATGCTTGCTTGTTGAGCAATTGAGTTGTACGAATATATGTGATTGCCATAATACAGAATGGAATGAGAAACGTTGTAGTGGAACCATATAACATATAAGCCTTATTTGTGATATTACACTCATTATCTTTTAGTATATTGGTTTCATCTTCCCACGCAAGTATCGCAATTGGACAAGATACAAGAAGAGTCACAATCCAAACTATCGCAATTTTCACAAAAATCAAAGTTTTTGATTTGTTGCGAGTGCGAAGTGGTTGTGAAATTCCCAAATATCTATCCAATGAGATTACTGACATGTGCACAATACTCGCAGAGCATAAAAACACATCACAGTAAACATACAGTAGGCACATGGAAACACTCCAAGTCCAAATTCCTGGAAAAATTATATTGTTAATTAATTAAATATTTATTTGAAGCAAGAAATGCCATCACTTTTAGCCTCATCATATTAATAATGTTCTTGGATCTTTTTTTTCTGTGAGATATCAAAAAGTCACTGACTATGTATTAATAAGAAATGGGTTTGGTTTGACTTCCCATTTTTGTTTTGGTGTACTTGAAAACAATTTTTTCAGGAATGGAAAAAATAATTACATTATTATTTTCAACTGTTTGTCCTGCTCAAAGATCTATGGAAATTTTTGAATTCAAAGTTCCTCTTCTCTTCAGTAGAAAAAACTGTCTAGATCATGAATATTCATGAAACTTTGTTGGAGGTCTGGAGATCATAAAAATTGAAAAAAAAAACGTTTCAGTCTATACTTTTCTCATGTTTTTTGAGTTTTGCTTTTTTAGCTGAGCTATTAACAAATTTCTTATGACATTAAATGGAAATTTGAGATGAGATGGGGGTGTTTTGTGTTCAAATTACGAGGTTTTCTGGTCAAAATCTTCGAATTTGTCTGGGAAAAATCAAATGATTTTTTTTTGGAAGAGATCAATTTTTAAGAAAGGCGATTGTACCATATAAAGTTAAAATAACAATTTTTAGCAACTAAAAAGTCCAACCAGAATTGTATTTTAAAAAACGGTTTTTTGATGAAAAAAATTTTTAATTTCAAAAAATCTGACAAATTTCGCTTTAAAATCTAGAAAAAGATATAGTTCTCAACCTATCCATACCCACAACCCAATCCCTCCTAAACTCACCATCCTTAACCTCAACAACAATTGTTAATGGCATAACAATGCAGCAAACAAGCAAATCAGCCAACGCCAATGAGAATAAGAAATAATTGGTCACATTATGCAATCGGCGATCAGTTGCAATCGCAACACATACCAAAAAATTACCAATCAATCCAATTAAACATAATACCGGTAAAATAAGAAGTGCAATACCATCAAACGAGAATTCTACACCATGTTTTGCTCCATGCGTTTGTGCAGTCGTAACCGTTGAATGTGTTGACGCAAGACTGACTTCCGGTGCATATGTTTCTGGGAGCACATATTTTATATAGTCAGGTGATGTTTCGAAAATGTTTATATTCTGATTTTGATTTTGCTGCTGCTGAATTGCCCGTTTTTGGAAATACGCAAAAGCGTGAAAAACTGTCTGCCGAAAAATCGTGAAGGCGGGTGGGTCAGAAAGAATAAGTGAAAAACTTGTGTCTCCATCTCTCTCTGCTATTTTTTCTCTTCATTTTTGAGAGCTCCGCCTATTTTTTTCTGGGCTCCACCCTTTATGAAATAAACTTTGTGAAGATTGAAAGACCAAATATAATTGCATGTTTTCAGCATTTTTTGTTGATCAACAACAACAAAAATATGATTTTATTCAATTTTTTCTATTCAAACAATTTTTTTTCGACTTCATGAATTTTTTTTCAAAAGTTTTTCCTTTTTTTCGAATCGAGTCATGTGAAAATTTCAGATTTTCAGGCTGAAAATGAGAGTTCAAAAAAAGCGGGGAGCACATATTTGAATATGCATATGTTTTAGGTATGTGCATAACTTTACACGTTTGCTCGCCTCCTCGTCTCATCGTATATCCATTTTCTTTGTCTTTTCAACAAAACAAGGAAGGATGTAAAATTTTGAAAAAAAAAACACAACCACATTTTTGAAAAGATTTTGAATTTTTGAAGAAACAAAAACAGAAAAAATGCAATTTTTTGGAGAACAAAAAATATGTGCTCACAATAATTATGCACTATTTGCATATGTATGTGCGTAAGCAGAAGAAAAGAATACATGATTCTGGAGAATATAAATTTCTTGCAAGAGAATATTTAGATTGAGTAGTTTAGATTAGAAAATGTTGATTTCAGGTTATGCTTAAAATCAAGAGATAGCTTTGGTGTGAAATTTATGAAGTAGATCTAAATTGTGCAGTTCAAAGTTGCCGTAATTTATCAATGTGACATTAAAAATTTTGAATTTGAAATCCAGATTTCCATTTTAAGACTACAATCTTAAGACGCGTTGATAAAAAAATTAATTATTGTTAATCTTCAATCTAATTTCAGTGAGTTTCCATAGTTCAAATTTTTTAGAAAAAAGAAACTTCATCAGTTCTCAGAATATGAAATAATTACAGCTTAACTAAGTGTCAAACTACAATAAGGTTTTGAACAAAATTTCTAAATCTGGATTTTTTTGGAAAGTGATAACTGAAATCTAAAACGCGAGATCTTCAGAGAATCACAAATTTCATGAGTCTCCCATTTTTCTACCAAATTTCAGAAAATAAGATCTTTTATTTTAACAAAACTCTGAACTCCTGACCAAACCAAGTTAACATTGCCAAACTTGTCATGGTTCTTGAGAGTTTCAACTAGCTTCCATCCTTGTATCCCATGTTTATCCCAGCCCAAAAACTTACGATTAGCACTGACATCATCCTCGCTAGCCTTGAAAAGACTCCAAAAACCCATTTATTCACTTGTTGTCATTCACAAGCTCAACCCAAAGTGAAAAATCTACAAAACAAAAATAATTGAAGTATGTAATAAGGTATTTCACAAAATGCGAACAAATATTTATCAGAGTAAAGTACAGAGATGAAAGAGAAGTGAAACAAAAATGAAGCAAAAGGGGGAGGGAACTGTGTGTTTCTTTCAAGTGCATATTTCATTCAACTCGTTTATTTAAGACCTCGACCCCTCACTTACTTGATTTATTTTCATTTCATTTTCATATTTTTCAGTGGGTTGGGTTGGGTTAGTTGAAAAAGCGCTTTTCACCAAAGATTTGTGATTCAAAGTTTTTTCCCGGAAATTGAAAAAAAATAGACTTGTCTTGTCTATATAAAATGATCACTTTTTGTTCAAAAATAGCTAGATAACAGATGAAAAAAAACAAAAAGTGACTAACAGCGAAAATTTGTGTGTTTTTACTGCATTTAATTACAATGAGGAGGGGAAAAAGTTGGATCAAAACAAAAACACGAAAAAAGTTGTAGTTTTTTCCATCTGCCATCTGATTTTCAGAATTCCCCTACTGATAGTGTTTTTTCAGAGATTTTTGAAAGAAACAGACTCAAGTGAAAAAAATAAACTTTCAAACTACTCACTCACTTACTTACTTAAAAGCAGGACCAAAACAAAGGCGAGTTCAAGTGTGCGCGAATATCACACATTTTTTTCGCACCCACCGCGATATATTTGCTTTTTAGACTTGCTCACCGAGAGCTCGCGGAGCAGCAACAAATACACACACACACACACACGATAATGAATGGAAAAATGTGAGAAAATGAGCGAAAGAACAAAAAGTGGATGGCTTTTGTTGGCCGGAAACTTTTTTTGTGGTGTTGGAAATGAATGAAATTAATCGGTGCTTAAATTAAAATTGGAAATTAAAATGGGTGGCTTTGTGAATCATTTCTGCTTTCAGTTTTCTTTTTTGCATTCTTTAATTTTGGATTTGATGTTTGTTTGGTTAGATTTTTTTTGAATTTCCTTTGCAGATGTTTTTGAGCCAAAATACTATCAGTAAACAACTAGGTGAAAAGTGTTCTCAATGGTCTCGAGCATCTTCTTGGAAGGTCTGTAGAACCTGGTTTTTGAGAAATTTGAGATTACTAATTCTAAATATGGGATGAATTTCGAAATAAATTTTTCAGAAAACTTGAAAAAAACGAAATTTCTGTCAACACGTTTTCAGCAAAAATCATGAAATTTTGGATTTTTTTGATGATTTTTGGTTAATTATAATTGCTGAAATTTTCAGATAATTTCAAAATTTTGCAGCCTACAGATTATGATTACAGATGCTGAAAAATTAAAGGCCAATATCAAGACCACCATCGTTATTTGAACTCATCAAAAAATGATGATTCAAAATCTGAAAAAAAAAATATTACAACAAAGTTCACGAGCTAAACTTTGTCATAAATAACAAAAAATACTTCTTGATCTCCTAACTGAATTTCATTAACATAAATTCAAACGAAACGAACAGCTTATAGTTCAAGCTGAAAATTTCGAGGAATTTTTGCATATTTATTATTATTCCTCATCCATTTATTTCTTTTTTTTTCTTTCATGGCGGGGCTTTTTTCAGAACAAAAAATGGATGAAATAAAACAAGCCATGTTTCAGATGAAAAATCGGCATAATTAATAATTTATATGAAAACTTTTACAGAAATGAAAAAAAGCTTTCTTCCAGAAGAAGACTTTGCTTTTAATAAAAAAACATTTTTCTGTCAAGCAAAGAATGTACTTCCAAGAAATTGGAAAAAACAGTTGGCAAAAAATCAAAGAAACATACTTTTAAGATAATTGAATAATGGATGGAAGAAAAGTGCTAAAATTGAATAAAATGAAAATTTCCTGGTTTTTTTTTTGTCAAAAATCAGTTTTTTTGGTAGATTCATACATAAAAAACAAGGCTGAATAAATAGAAATTGCTACAAAAAGAGATGGAATGGCAATGTTCTTTCAACAAAACTGGGCAAAAAAATACCTGTGAAAAATGAGGCATTTCAAAAAATGAGCTTATGAATTCAATAGCGCCTTGATTTTTCATATAGCGTATTAATCAAAATTTTCTTTTTTTTTGGAATTCTCTTTTTTAACACACGGAAGAAAAGGAACATCTGGATGATCAATTGCATAATAAATAAATAAATAGAGAACTTTTCCAGGGACAAAATGGGGATTTTGAACACCTGGATATACTTTTTTTGAAACAAAACTCACAATCAGCCAAGTTCAAGATTTTGATCAAATATTTGATGTAAGCTATGTTTATTTTATTTTGAGATTTCAAAAAAATACGCAATCTGTTTTTCTCTACCTTAATTACATATTCGTCTTGCAAAAAACCCGAAATTTGGAATTTTTGATCGCAAAAGTTGTTTTGGTCTGCTTCCGTCTAGATTTCTTATGAATCGCCGTAATTTTTGTTAGCAAAAAATTGAGAAAAATAAAATGATCAAAGAGATGAAAAATTTTTCAAATTAGAGGTGATAAATTGTCAAGTGATTGTGGCGAAAATCATAAATTTTATGTTTTTTTTTTTCAAGTTTTGCGGACGGATGACTAAAAAATTCCAAGAGATCAGTGAGCTTGTTTTTTCGAGTCACAAGGAAGTTAAGATATTTCGAGACATCATAGAAGTTTATGCAATCTTCGGCATAATTAAGGGTTAGGGTCTAAAATGGGAATACTGTAGCTCTTATGAAAAGTATCAAATTATTTCGGAAAAAAAACCTTCGAGGCCAAAAACTTGGAGCTCAGAAATACTCATTAAACTTTTTTGCGGAGAGGGTACAGTAGATTGATCAGAAAAAAATGTCTACGTCAAATAATAAGTTTCAGTGTTTACTAAAGCATATATTTACTCAACCACCCATTTTTTCATATTCCTAATTATTTTCCGACTACGGTAGGTAGATCAGAAACCACACTTTTGGAACAGAGAAAGTACGGTAGATAAAAGATAGAAGAGCATTTCAATAATTAATGAATACAGTTTTGCCTCCCAAGTTTTCAAATAGTCATTCCGTATTTTTGTGGGATCAGTACTTGTTTTTTACTAACAATTCTACCGTATTATTTCACTACTATTTCATAAAAAACGGGTAGAACACTTTTCATATACTCATTCAGGCCATCTTATTTCGCCCTGCATCATCAAATTTTTGAGACCTCATAAATCTACAGTATTCCTCCCTATTTTGAAGGGTAATGTGAAGTTTTGAGAGATTCATCCACCCACGGATTCAAATTTTCCCATTAGAAAACGAAACAAAAAACAAAAAAAAAGTTTAAAAAAAAGAACCACGTGGACTTTCAACAAACACATCCGGGTGACGAAAATCAAATCGCCACTTTGCTGTGTCAAAAATCGACGAAAAAAAGAGCAAAAACGGAGAAGACGAAGAAGTTTTTTAACGATATGTTGACAAAGAAAAAAATTTGCATTTTTCTTTTTCTGGACACAGAAAAGTAAAACTCTCTCACATAAATTTTAATATTGTTCGGCAAAAAAGTTTCAATTGGAACTAATCTTATTAAAAATAAATATGATAAGATTTTTTCCATTGAACTTGAGAATGAGAAAAATTAAATGAAAAAAGTGTATTATAAATTAAAAAGTGCATTGACAGCTGAGGAACTAAATTTTTTACAAATAAGAAAACTGAGGCGGAGCCAAGAAATGAAATGAGCTCAAAATATTGGGCGTGGCATAAAATTGGGAGGAGCTTATAAAAATCATAATGCTTTTTGTTGAATTACATTAATGAAGGGAGGTTTTTTATGGATGTATGTTGGCTAAAATAATGAGTTTTTACTTACTTACTCACTCACTCCATAAAGAAAAAAAAACATGAAAACACAAAAAGCTGAAAAAAAACATTACAGGAGAAAAACATCTGAACAAAAAAGAACAAGTAAAGAAAAAGCAGAATAAAAAACGAAAAAAAGCAAGGAGCATATCTTCTTGTTGAATTTCTAATAGTTTTCCTTTTGCCTAAATTTCCTGGAACAAAATCGCACTTTTTTTGAGCTAGCAAAAATATAAAAAAAAGTTCTCTCACACCCCAAGTTTTTCACACTGATCTAAAAATAATGATATATTTATTTTTAGCTGAAAATTTACTATTCTTAGCGAGATGACGCCCTCTAAAAATGCTCCAGCTCTTTTTTGGAAGTTGATAAAATATAAAGGTTGATTTATTTATTATGTGTGAAAGTTTTTTCTTTGCTGGTCAGGGATTTTTGATGAAAATTTTTGACTACAATTTTTGGACAAAAAAAGAAACCAACTAGTCGCTTGGAAATAACATCCTGACTTTTTTCAGGGAGAGCAACAAAAAAAACAACGTTTTCCAGGTTCAAATATATATAGAAAATAAGTTTTGGTTTTTAGTTATCTAGAGATCTAGTAATGTGGGAAAGATTGATGATGATTTAAAAAACATTCAGATTTCAGAGATCAAAAAATTTCCGAAAAAAAACTTTGGAGGGAGGATTTTGACATTTGTTTTTCAGAATTTTGAAAAAATTTTCATTCTTTGATTATTGAATTTCACAAAAGGCTTAAAAGTGTCAAAAATACAGAAAAATAATTTGTTTTGGAGGTAAACATACTGTGTTTGTTTCAAATTTGCAAGTTCTTTATTCAAAAACAAATCAAAAAATGGCAAATAAGCAAGACCAGGATCTACGTTTCTTCAGAAATGTTACGTTACGTAATAAAAAATTGTAATTCTCATAATAATTAAAACATGAAGCCGGTGTGACAAAAATCAAAAATTAACTGAATTATTATCACTTTTCTCAGAAGTTATTCCTAATTTTTGACATTTAATTTTCTTTTCATCATATTTTTCTAATCTATTAATTAAGAAAATTCATATTTCTTCATAAAAAAAACCAAAAATCATAGAAAAAATCATAAAGAAAGAGCTATTCTTTGCAAAAGCAAAAAAAAATTTGAAAGCCAAAACAAGCCAAAAAACTTATTACGATTTCTTTCTGAAATAAAGAAAAAGCTAAAAGAAACAGCTAAAAATAATAAAAAAGCCAAATTCCCATAAATCAAGATGAGAAGAATATGGTCAATAAGATCATAAATAAAAATCAAACATTTTACGAATTCTATTGTTTTTCTTCTATATTTTTCATTATTTTTCTCACTATTCATCCCATTATTATTTTTTTTTATTTTTCGTTGTTTTCAATTCAATAATTTTCAAAACGAAAACGATCATAAACCGTTGTGGGAAAACTGAGACTCAAAAAATTAGAAAAAGGGTATCAATTACCAAACTTTTTCATTATTCATCGTGGGTGTCTTATGCAGAAAAGTAAAACGATCTAAAAGTTCAATATGAATAAATATATATCCTTTTTTCAACCAAACTAATTGCTACTCCGCATTCTCAATTTTTTATTAGAAAGAAAGAAAGGAGAAACGGAAAAACTAATAAGAATTGTTGATGAAAAAATCTAGGGAACATATATTTTGCAAATCGTTTTGTTTCATAATCAAATCATTTTTCGGAATCTTTTGTTTATTTTTTTTTTTTTTGAAAATGTGTTTGCCACATTTTCAGCTTCTCATTAATTAGCCCTATTTTTTGCAAGAAATGGGCTTTTTCAAAAAAGGCTTCATTATTTTCCCGCCGTCTGAAAAACAATCTTCCTCTTTCTGATCTGGAAAAAACATGCATACAGTAAGGAAAATTGTTTTGAATGCCTCTTGGGACACATATTTCTTGCATCCTGTGCTTTGAAAAAGCTTAAGATGAATTGTTGTACTCGGATTTATTCTTGAAAAAAAGTAAGGAAAAATGTTGGAAATTCTGGAAATTTGAGAGAAAGATGTTTGTTCGAACAATTTTATGTTTTTGAATGAAAATATTTGGAGTTTCGAGATTGAAAAGACATTCGTGGAAAAACTTTAAATTCCGATAAGGTGTTAAAAAAATCATTACCAGAATCCCCAGATGCTAACCCATATTGAGGTAACAACATTTCTGACCATGGTGAAATATCATTTTTGACAAATCATAAAATGACATTGAAAGAGACTACAATTTAATCAAAGATTCGAAACATACAACTGTGGATCACGCTAATAAAACAGTTAATTCGGAAATTTGAATTTATAGCATCCACGGCGTTTCACAATATTGAATAGTTGCACGATTCTTTGGGCACCTACGACTTTATGATTTTTTCATGAAGAACATTTCATTTTGCAACACTATTTTTTCGATTATTCACGTGGTCCGATAATATTTCCTAGCCTATTATTCATATTTTGGATTTGCATGCATTTTGAACTATATCACGCAACGTTAAAATGCATACATAGTTCCTTGTTATTGTTATCTACTACATATTTGTATATTATTTTGTTTAAATCACGATTCCGTGCAATTCAGAGCTGAAAAAAATAGCATGATTCATTCGGAAAACCCATTTATTGGTAAAGGAGAAAGAGATCAATAAAAACATATAAAACGACCATTAAACCTATATTTGTCTCTGATTTTGTTTGTTGTTATTTTTTGAATCAAAATTGAATTCAATTTAAATATGACGTGGATTGAGTCCTGATTTAGTGCTCCAGTGTATTCGCGAGAAATAAGTGTCTGATGATTCACTTGTCGATCGTGTATCAGTTGGTGATTTGGTCGGAAAACATATCGAAAGATTTGAAACACAAAGAAATGATTGACGTAATTTTGCCGAAACCATCAGCATTGTCAAAACAAGAATTATTAAGAGCAGAGGAATCAGAGTAAGCTGAATAAAGTAATTACTTTCTTTGAAAATCAATTTTTAAAAACCTGAAACTCCGCATATGGTGCATAATCAATCAATTCTTCGAGAACTTTATTATTTACAATTGTTGATGGATCATATCCAGGTAGGAATAGAGTCATAATCTGAGAAAATGTTTAAATGAATCATTGATTAGTTCTCGGGGAAAAGCTTTATTAAAAAACTTACGATTTCTCCAGATATCACCATTATTGAGATTAGGATGATTATTGGGACCTGAAAACCGATTTGTATTTTCATATTTTGAGCTACTAGATTACTGATAATATTGTTTTACTTTTCCAATTCAACAGAGAATAACGTTTAAAATACAATAATTTCAACTTTTTTGTTTAAGTAGCGAAAGGTCGAAAGGTTGATACTAACAATTATTTTATAGTACCAGAAATGTTTTTTTAATATTAAAAGTAAAAATGGGACACCTCTTCTTTGATAGCTCGAAGGTCAAATTATAAAAAAATGTTGCCCTTGAACTTTAATTTTCATTTCCGCTACAAAAAAAGTAACCCACCATCAACTGCGTTGTCGAAATATTGCTCTGCAAATCATATCGAGCCAATACAACTTCCAAATGTCCACTTCCCATGACTCTCTATAATCTTTCATTTTCCATTCGTACTTTATTTGACCTTTTTTTTTCATATTTTCATTACTGTAACTTACCTTTCTAAATCGATTTATTGTTAGCAAAATGATAAATATTAAAATAGAAAGAATATTGGAAAATGTTTCGCATATTGAAAAATAGTGAAAAGCTTGAGAGTCGCGGATCTGAAAAAAAACATAATTAAAGGTGTTTTAGCATTTTAAAAATATTCAAAAAACGAACCTCTGGCGCTAAATATGGATATAATTGCTTCGGGACTTTCACATAAAATATTGGAACGATACAAAGTGTCAGCTAGAAAACAAAGAATGTTTGTACGAAAAAATCTATTTATATACAAATATATCACTTTTTCTTTGATAAGTGATCAACAATTACCTGGATGATAACAAGAACCAATCCTAAAATTGGTTTTTTTGTTGTAGTACTGTAGGTTCGATAAAATACCGTGGCTACCGTACGTTCAATACACAAAAAAATCGGAGAAATTGATAATAGTGTGGCGCCAATCAGTTGTATATTTCGAATACCTGGAGGTCAATCAATCAAATTAATTAAATTAATTTAAAATAAAATAAACAAACAAATGAAATATTGTGGATGAAATACTTGATAGTCACATTGCATTGTGTCAGGCATCACGTAGGATATAAAAAATTTGTATACTGAATCAATCAATATTCCTGAAAAAGAATATAATTGTTTTTTCTTGAATAATCAGATTTTAGGACTATATGACTCACCCAAATTACTTATAATTGCAGATATTGTCAACATTATGAGTAAAACTTTAGAGTTTGCATGAATTCCGGTGGATTTAAAAACCGCTGCTGATAACATTGAGACTCCCATTGTAGCTAAAGGAGCAGATAATAATCGAAATAAAATTGAATATTCAATGAATTGATTTGAAAATATGATCTCAGCTGTTCCACATAACTCACACCTTGTACAATTCATATATTTTTTATCCATTTTTTCTGAAATTTTCTCATAACAAATTGAATTTTTTTAACAAAAAAAAAATAGAAAAAATAGAAAAAAGTGTAACAAATTGACCAAGACAACACAAAACTGAAAAAATTGTCTTGATTGAAATGTGGTTTGGTAAAAATTTCGGAGGATGAAAATCGACACAGGCGAAAAAAAAACAAATTAATTGATAAAAAATCAAGTGAATCAATCAGATGAGAAAAATAGACTGGTTTTCCCCATCAGATGCAATTGATGTATAAGGAAGAATGTGAAAAAGCTGTTGAGGGATATCTATATCTATAATCCCTCTCTGTTTTTGGTAATTATCGAAATCTTTTTCATTGGGCGTTTTTTTGCATAGAACTAAAATAATATTATCATTATTTTTTGTATTAAAATAATTTTGATCGGATCTTTATTGAGACAAAGCTTGGTGTAATAATTATTGAAACACCGAAAACTAAATGAAAATGAAATGAAATGATTCAGATGTTGGTCAACAAATGTTTTTGATATCACTGGAAAGTGAAACTGTTTGGAACTTCTTAATGAACTGAAATTAGAAAAGTGATAAATCATATTATAGTATTTTCAAGACAAGAGAAACCAAACCCAAAACTGGAGAAATTCCTGAAATGGGCAGGAACTATGTTTTTTTGTTGATTAACATCAAAAATCGGATGATAGATAAAAACATCTGAATTCATCACAAAACACAATTTTTTCATTGGTTAGGAACAATTTGAATGAAATCTACTTATTGGAAAAAGTATGGATGTTAATTTTTTTCAAGCTTATGATCTTTCAAATTAGCCTAACTTTTTCTATTTCGCAATTCAACTTCAAACTCGTTGTCAAACATTTGATCAGAAAATGACCACTCAGAGGCTAAATAGCAGCTGAACGGCAGGGCAGCTCCAAAATTGCAGGCAGCGCCGCGGCGTGGACGCCGCAGCGCTGCCGATTTGAACAGCAGCAGTGGGCAACAATTGCCATGTGTGTGGCAGCAATGAGCAACAGTTGCCTTGTGTATGGCAGCTGAAGCCGATTGCTGCCGAAGAGGCCAGCTGCGAAGTGGCAGCGCTGCTTGGTCAGGAAATTTTCCAAAAATAAGCAGCGCTGCGGCGTCCACGGGGCTGCGCTGCCGATTAGTTGCTGAATTGAGCTGCGCTGCCGTTCAGCAGCGAAATTACTCCTGAGCAGTAATTGTTTGTAGTATGATCTTGTAATACGTTCCAAATAGAAGAATTGAAGAAAATCACCAGTTTTCGATGTTTTATTTTCAGGAAAAAAAATACTCTGAAAAAATAATTTATCAACAACACGTTGATTTCTAGTTTTTGGCAAATTTTGGATTTCCACACGTTTTGTGAAAACTTAACTTCGAATGTTTTTTTAGTGAATGGTTTTCATTTTCAATGCTGTGGATTTCAAGAGCAGTTATTTTTTTCTTTACAAGAAAACATTAAAATATCACGTTTCTTCTTCAGAATGGAATCCGATTTATCGGGTCCTATTCGGAAACCCACGTCGCTTCACCTCAAAGACTTTGCAATGTTCTTCTCTAATCTATAAAATCTCAAGAATCTTTCACAATCACATACATTTCAGAGATAAAAACAGCAATTTATTTGTTTTGACGCAACAATGCATCATCTTCTGATTTTCTCAAGAAACCAGTTAAACCAATATTTCTCATTTCAATCAATCAAATATCATCGCCAAAAATAACAAAAACAACATTTTATTTCATGCACATTTTTCATTTTCATCATAGGGGCTGTTAGCCCCCGGGCGTAACAGTCTTCTCATTTATTTCAGATTCACTTTTTCTGTGATTATTGTCAGAAACGTTGACTTACAATCAAATTTATAAAAATTTCAAGTTTTTTGATCGAAAAATGACTCGTGGCTAAATCAGGAAGGCTTCCTAATTTTGCCATGGATGAAGTCATCCATCAATATTTGAAAAAAAACTTATTTAATTATTTTTTAGAATAAAATGTACTCGTAAGAGGTAAATCACACAAATTACAATTGAATTCATTCGAAATTTCAAGTTTTTCGATCAAAAAATGACTCGTGGCGAAATCAGGAAGGCCAATATTTTTCAATGAAGCTCTAATCTCACCTGTTAGTTTTGCTCCTCCCCCCCCCAAGCCTCAAAATAAACTAACTTGACTGGCCCGTTCCGTGAAAAGTTGTTGATCTCTTTGAATTTCCTGTCCAAACGAAACATCTTCTTATTCGGAAGCCTGAAACTTCGACATTCTTTTTCTCAAAATGTTCGCCTATTCTTAAACTTACATCAGAAAATGACAATTGTGGATTTTATGGGACCGCTGCATTCTGTGACTGTTGTCTCTAAAAAAAATAAGAAATGTAAAAAATGTACCAAACCACCCCATTAATAACATTTTCAGGGCTGAATAAACCACTCAAAAACCAGAAAAAAAAAACAAAAAAAAAATGTCGTGCAAAAAAAATAAAAGAAAAACAACGATACTCCCCGTGCACGTTGTTTAGTTTATTTTGTTGTTTTTTTGCAGGGTAGATGAGAGAGTGTGGGAAATGGAGAGAGAGTTAGAGAAAGAGATATATATGTTTTTTATTTGAAAAGAAATTATTGATTGAACGTTTTTTTTCGAACTTAATTATTGTTCTGGTTTTTTTCAGAGCAGAAAATTTTATTAATGGGGTGATTTGGTACATTTTTTACATTTCTTATTTTTTTAGAGACAACAGTCACAGAATGCAGCGGTCCCATAAAATCCACATTTGTCATTTTCTGATGTAAGTTTAAGAATAGACAAAAATTTTGAGAAAAAGAATGTAGAAGTTTCAGGCTTCCGACGAAGAAGATGTTTCGTTTGGACAGGACATTCGAAGAGATCAACAACTTTTTACGGAACGGGCCAATCAAGTTAGTTTATTTTGAGGTTTGGGGGGGGAGGAACAAAACTAACAGGTGAGATTTGAGCTTCATTGAAAAATATTGGGTAAAGTTTTTTTTTAAATTAAAATTCATAATTACTAATGATATTAAACGAAAGTTGTTTGAAAATTACTATGTTTAAATGATTAGATGAAGCTCTGAATTACACTAGAAGCTATAGTATCAGCTTCCAGATTTCATTGCGAAACAAACTATGAAATATTTCATAGGTACATTAATTTTTTCATAGTTTTATCCACGCGATTTCCAGTTTTTTTTAAAATTAATTTTTTTCATTTATAATCTATGTCTCATTAAACTTCACAATTTGTATTCCCAGGCGTAATTTTTTAAAAAAAATCTTTTTTTCTCACGTCAGCTTAGCTGCGAAAAATTGGGTTTTTTTCAAAATTTAGAATTTTTGGGGATTTTGTTTTACCTAGGGGCACCGCCTCTAGTCACAACAAAAAAGGACATAGTTTCAGTTTCACGCGTTCAGTTAATTCAATAAGAAACCTTTTTGGCATTCTTTTTTTGCGAAGGGGCGAAACTGAAAAGTGGCAAATGTAAGCCCCGAAAAAAAGAGTATTTTATTTTCATTCATTGGGTGACGACCAGTACAATGCAATTAAGACTTACATTGGTCTTGTCTGGTTTAAAACATTGCCTTTGAGTGGTGTTGACGAGTAAAACAAAAAGTTTTTCTTTTTTTCACAAAGCTTTAGTCGACGACTGATTATTCTGTTCTGGAACAAAACATTATTCTTTTCTACATTTTCAATTTCTCATAATTAGTGTTCAAACTGGAGTATTTACCGAGATTTACACTTGAGCGCAATTTGATTGCTGCTCGACGACGCGAAGCTATGGTTTTTCAAGATTTACCTATTCAAGCATCACTGTCTAGTCATACGTTATTGCATTCAGATTTGAAGAAACGTGAGTGGGAAAGTATTTATATTACTGTAACTCCATGAATTTTGAATAAGTGAATACTGTGGGCTTCGGGTTGTTTTATCCAGTTACACTTGAATCTCAATGAAATTTCGAAAAATCGCTTTCTTAAAAAATGTATAGATTGAACTTTGAACGTCCCTTCTAATATATATAAATTAATAGATGTTTACACTTTCCAAAAGTTTTTTTCCTCTTCTCATTTTTCAACGAACAAAGAATGAAAAAAACATTTCAAAGCTTATAGTCATTATTTTTTATGATTATTTTGTCCAGGTGAGCCAAATGAACGAGCGACCAGAAATCTATGCAGTGTAAAAACTAACTAACTAAACTAAACTCTTGCATTTTATAGCTCATCAATTTCCCCTATTGGATTTAGGCGCTCACACAAAAAATGCATTTTCCAAGCATCAAAAAAAGTATGTTGTCCATCCACTGAAAATCTTTCTATCACGCAAACATTGTTTGAGTAGAAAAAAGACAACTCTTCATATTTTTCTTTTCTGTGTTCATGTCTGAAAAAAAAAACGAAACACACACAAAAAACTCATGTTTTTTTGAAGCCTGTTGTTTTTTATTATTATTGGTGTTGAAACAAACCTGCCTATTGTCTTATTTTTTCATCCTCTTGTCTTCTTTTCTGTTGGCTGAAAATTTTCCGACTACTATGCTTTTCTATATTTGGACAAAATACTCGAAATTAAGAAGTTGGTTTTTTCTTCTATAGAATTTTATTAGCTAACAAGGAAGTCCTCAATGTTTCTAATTTATTTTTGAAGTCAGGCTAGATTCACTGTTTTTCAACGTTTGAAAAAAAAGAATCGAAATTCAATATGGTACACCACTGAAACAGAACACATTTTGAAAACTAAAAATTGAGAATGAGAAATAACAAAAATTCATAAATTAAATGGTGTTTTTCTGTACTATTACGGTAATTGGGTTATCAATTAGGTAATTGAGTATTTAAGAAGGGCATTTTCTGTAAGTGTATTCAGTTTTTGAAAATGCACACCTATTTTGTTATGCGTAGACCAGGTAAGATTTCAAAATGAACACTGATTGAATGTTCAAGTAGTTCATGAAATTGGAAAGGGTTATGACGTGACGGAAATTAAACATGAAAATTTATTGGTTCAGAGATTAATTTGATTTTTTAAATTGTCATCTGATGTGAGGGCGTTTATCTGAAATATTCTTGCTTTCAAAAACGTTTTCTCAACCAAATCATTTCGAAAAGGGTATTCTTTCCGAATTTTATATAACATATCAATTGTCTGTTTTGTTTCGAAAAAAATTGCAAAAAAATCTAATTTATTCAGAAAATAAATTGAAATTCAGTTTCAATCTGGTTTTTTTTTTTGATATACATACAATTCAAGGTGTCAATCTTTTTTTCCAAATTTGGATATGTAGAAACCAAAGATTTTTTTTCAATCAAGTGTGAATTTTGTTGTTTTTTTATTTGGAAAGAGCAACAAGATCAACAACACACGTAGAAAAGACGAAATCCTGTGAATAGTGTGAGGTGGCTCGATTTACATTATATCGTGTGAAAATTTCAATATATCTATTTCTTCACTTTCTCCTCCCTTTCCACGCAAAAAACGGAACCAAATGTGTTTCAAAATATTTCCAAACTACTAAATTCAAATCACTCGCCATTTCCTGAAATTCGACTAAAAAAAGAAAAAAATGAGAAACCGACGAAGCGTGAACACCTCGGCTACCGTCATTCGACGCAATAAACAATTTGGTAACACATTTTTCATTTTTTTTTTCGGAGAAAGAACGGAAATCACCTTTTGATTTTATTTCACACTTGGATTGTTGCAACTGAGCAATGATCGTGTATTATGAGAAGGGTTTTTTATGGGCTATGTGAAGTATATCTTGGATAATTCCAAGATTTTTTTATTTGAGTGATTTTATAAAACTTTTGTTTAGGAAATAATGTTTTTCATTATTCATATCTTTCAAATCTTACTAGATCAATTCTGTAGTTTTTGTTCTTTTTAAATTTAATTTTGAATCAATTTTTTTTGGAAATTACTGTACAACAATTTAAAAAATTTATATCGGAAAAAATCATATCAATATGAAAAATAAAACTTTCAAGTTTTATAAAAATTAAGAAATTTGTTGGCTGATTTATCATAAATTGCAAAATAATTGTTTTCCCCAAAAAACCCTTACCCAATAATATTCGAAAAAAATTGGAATATTTTCTGCTGTAACATAATAACTTCTACACTTCAGTTGGTACCAAAAAGTTCAATAATGCATCATCTTCTTTCTTTACATTTTTCAAAAACCTTCTAATTCCTTCAACATTTTTCAAAGATCCAAAGTATAAAAGTCAAAAAAACACCCACTTTCTTTCCTCCTGTTCCCTTTTTTGTTTGAAACAATTAGTAACTTAATCCATTTTCATTCTGAAATAAAATTTTGCAAAATTTATTCCTATATCATCATGAAAAATCTTATGAAGAAAAAAGCGAGTTTAGGTAAGTTAAGATATTTTTGTATAGTGGCTGACTGGATTATTCATTTATTTATCAAAAAACAATTATATTTATCTTCATTTTTTGGATTTGTATGCAGAAGGAAAAGTTGAGATGAGAATAAAATTTAATTATTTTAATGGTTCAAACTTTTTTCCGGTTTTCTTGGACTTTTTTCTTGGGGGAAGTCATGCTAAAAAATCTGATTTTCTGCATTAATAGGTTTTCGGAACATTTATTTTTCTTTGAACTTCCGAAAAAAGTTAGATTTATTTGGATTTTGGAGATTTATTTGTGGTGCTTAACTTTATTTCTTACTTTTACATTTTTGTTTTGAATTAGAGGCTCAACGGTTTGAAAAATTCGAATATTTTTTAGTTTACATGTTGCAAAAATGAGAACATGTAGACCAATATTTCATTTCGAGATTATTTTTGTTGCCTCTCCCATTTTTTCAACTTTCCAGTTTCAAGTCAGAGTAAAAGTTAGAGCAAAAAGTATATTTCTCTACTTCGCCACATTTCTCAAAATAATTGTCTAGTTTCCATTTTTCTTGTTAAAAAATGTTTCTACCGCTGGAAAATGAAGAAGGTATTACTTATTTTATTTTGAAGGACTTCAATATGAAAAAAGTGTGACAAACAATTCAATTTCCTATTTTACACATTTTTCCGTTTTTTTTTATTTTGTACGAAGAAACGTGTGTGTTTTCATACAACGGAAATGTTGCACTTTTTTGAGAGATGTGTGTTTTTTGGTGGAATTTTTCTGGCTGACAGTTGAGAACACCAGAATTCATTGATGATTTTACAATTCTCGTATCTGAAAATTATCTAGTATTTTTCAAAACGTCGAACTAAAGACAATTTTTTGACAAAACAATTGTGGGCTCATTATTTTGAATTAATTTATAATAATTTCTGTGTAGAATTTAGAGAATTGAACATGTTTTAAAATTATAAGATAACATTTGTTTAAGTGTTCTATTGATAGTTCCAAAAAAAAAAACAAACTCGTGTATAAATTTTTCAATAATTTGTTTTTTATGCGGTTAATTCTGAACATCTAATCTTGAAATTACAATTACTGAATTTTGTTTGAAAGTTTGAATAAAAATAATAGTTTTTCCCGAAATTTTACGGGTATCCTATTTTAAACATTGAAATATTCTCTAACATTGTTCTTTCAGAAACTTTTCAATTTTCCAAAATGTTTCAAAATAAATTCTTTGCACCTTTCATTCAATTTTCTTTTTTCTTGCATTCTGTTCCATAGGTCAATTGTTATAATAACCCTTTCCAAAATAAAAAATTGCTCAAAAATGTAGTTTGCAAATGTTTTCTTCCGGGGATAATTCAAAGTAACAACTAACAAAAGTGCATCAATTTCAAGACAAACTTTCACACATTATTTTAAAGAAATCCACTTGAGTTAGCTTAACTATTTACAGAAACAAGAAATATTTTCACATGAACTTTTTTTGGAAAATAAAAAAAAACAAGATTATTTCCAGCGAAACGTGTCTGGATGAAACTTCGAAATGTTTTACGAATAGCATCGGCTCATTTGGCTCTTTATTGTTTTGTGATTCTCTATGTGCTCACTGGAGCATATATTTTTAACCACTTGGAAGGAGATAATGAATTGGATGTTCATCATAGACAACGTGAAAATTCTACAATATTCAGACAAACTTTAATTTCGAAAATTGCCAGGACAGAAAATGTAAGAAACAATTTCAGCCAACAATTCAATGAACACATTTTAGCATACTCAAATCGATGAATGTTTGCGAGAATTCCTCCGAAATTTATCAAATCTTCATGTTCCCATTGACAATTATTTGAAATTCACTGAAAGTAACAGTGAAGTTCAAAAACGTTGGACATTTCCAGCAAGTGTATTATTTTCATTCACAATTTTGACAACTATAGGTTTGTTAAAAGTCAGGGAAACATAGAGAAAAAACGAGAGTTTTCAGGCTACGGTAATGTCACACCAGCGACTGATGCTGGAAAAGTTTTCACAATGATTTACGGAGCTTTTGGAATTCCATTGTTTTTGATTACTATTGCGGATTTGGGAAGGTTCTCCAAGACAGGTATAATTAAAAAAAAGATTCTCGATGCAGAACCTGAATTTTTTCATGAAAGTGGATGATTTTTTCAAATTTTTTCAAATTTTGAATTTAATTTATTTAAATAATCTGGGAATTTCTATAAAAATTATTGAAGTATCCCAAAATGTTAACAATCTTCCAGCCATAATGTCTGCTGTGCAAAAAATGTACAAAAAGGAGATCAAGAAGCAAGGCGAGCAAAAATTCTTCCGCGAACTCGGAGAAGTTTTTCTCGTCGCACTTTTATTCGTTTTATTCATCGCTGTTGGTTCAGCAGTAATACCATTATGGGAGAATCAATTAACCTATTTTGATAGTGTTTATTTCTCATATATGAGTTTGACAACAATTGGATTAGGTGATATTGTGCCGCGTAGAATGGACTTTTTGTTGCCCACATTAATTTATATTACTATTGGTTTGTGGTTGACAACGGCACTAGTTGAACAATTGGCTGATGTTTTCCGATTGGTTCATTATGCTGGAAGACAAGTTACTAATGTTAAAGGGGTTCGTATTGCCAAAAGTTTGTTTTTCTGCAAAAAAGTAGTCATTTTTTCAGATTACTGTATGGCTTGGTGGTCGAAGATTATCTGTTGGTGGATTGATTAGCACAGTCTGCAGAAGAGTCGGAATGTCGGATAATTTAATCAGTGAGATTTTTGTTGGGAAATATTTCTGAAAAAAAAAACACTCTTTTCAATTTCAGACCAAATCAACTGGGACAAAACCATTGATCAAGCTTTGTCTGGAATTGCTCCTGCTACACTTCCAATCTTTCCGTGGCATTTCACAGATTTTCTTGAACATGATCCTCCATTGATTGACTTGAGTATTGATTTGGATCAGATGGATGTATGTGTAGGTTTTGCATGTTTTTTGAAAAATTTTCCCATTGGCTGCTTGAATTGGCTTGGATTGCAACCTTTTCCTGGTGATGCTGAAAAAATGATGATGAAGAAAATGAAGTGTTTGAGCATGGGTTTGCTATCGAGTTTTCATGTGTTAATGAATTGAAAACGTTTGGAAGTATTTGAAAAATATCGAATAAAAATCCCGAATTTGGAACGTGTTCAAATATCTTTAATAATAAAAAAAACATTTTTTGAAATTTTTCAAAACTATAATTTTGAAAGGAGATCGTTTCATTCAGGATTTTGGGTTTTAAAAATCTAAATAAAAACATCTGATAAAAATCTAACTCCATTGCCTGTTCAGAGTGTTTTCCAGCTTCATGTATGAAATTCTTTTTTCCCAAAACGCTTGATCTCCCCGATATCAAAAATGAAATATTCCAATTTCTACAAAAACCAAAATATTTCAGGGTTCTTTTTACTGCTCAAAACCATTATCCGCAAAACGTCGCCGTGATAGTCAAATGAGTGCTCCAACAATTTCCTGGATGCGTCCACAAGAAGAAGCTCGAATCTTGGAATCTGGAAATTTTGTTAACATTGATGCATCCTAATTATATCATCATTACTATTTTCATTCGAAAGAAAATGAGCAATTTTTGTAAAAAACATATATCTTCTAATTCGAATTTCATGTCGACTTTGAAAAAAACCCGGTTTTTCTATAAGAAAATTTTGTAATATTTTTTCCTGAAATTTTATTTCTAATCTTGAATTTATCAGTAATAAAATTCTGAACTTATTTTTGTTTGTATTTTTTTTGAAAAAAAAACTTTTTTTTTGAAAAAGCGGCTGTTCGTAATTTGATATTTTTTGAAAACATTGATTTTATCTAGGTAAAATCTAGATAAAAAGTAATTTTTTTTTATTATTTTAATACAAATTGAATATTTTGATGTTGGAAAAATTCTTCCTTGTTTTAAGCTCTCCTCTTTTCCTCATTACAATGTTTTTTTTCTGGAAAAACAACATAAAAAATCGAAATTGTTGCGAGTTGAGTTTGGTTTAATTGGAATCTCTCACGCGAGAACATTTTCTCTTTTTCTCCTTTTTCACCACTCGTTTGAAAAAAAAAGCGGGAAAACGAAAAGTTTTTTTTTTGAAAATTGAATTGAGTTTAGCGTTAAGTACTAGTAGCCGGAATTTAATTATAGACTACGAATTTTTTTCGTGTTAAAATAACATTTAGATTTTTTTGTTTGAAGAATTGAAGAGAAATGGATGTTGAACTTTATTTTTGTTCTGGGGAATGTAGTATTTGTATTTGTGAGTCATTTTTGTGTAGTTCAGGAGTTAGGGGGAACTTTTCGTGAACTCGGGTGGTTTTCAAGCACAACGATGTTTTTTGATTTTTGATTCCCACAAAAAATATATTATTTTCTAGACATCTGGCAGTCAAAACATTACGAAAAAATTAAAGATTATCGGATTTTTTTTGATCTTGAGACTGAATTATTCAAAGCTCGTGTTGTTTATATTTTCAAATTATTATTTCAAAACATATTTGATGTTCAATAAAATTTTTTTAGTAATAGTTGAAAAAATACTAGAGATATCAGTTAATCCAGCTAAACATTTTTTTCACAAAATGACATTTCGTTCAAAATTCAATTCTAAAAACCACAAAATCACAAAATGTCTGAAAACCTGAAACTGTTTTCTTTGACAATTTCGTAATAACAATTTTTCCAGAAACTTTTTTTTCAAATAACCTTGAACTTTTCAAGAACCATACATACATTTTCCAGAAAACCTGAAATTTATTTCTCATTTGTAGGTATTTTTCAAAATCAGTACAAAACTAAAAGTTTTTTATCACTCTCCTCCGAAATCAATTTTTCCCATACCTAGACATTTTTCAATCACAAAAAAACGCCAGACACTTCAAAAATTTTTCCACACCAATAAAAATAGCCAATTTTCGAACACACAAAAAAACCCCAGACAAAAAACGAACGCTGTTGAACTTTTCTCTTCATTTTCCGGAAATGATTTATTGCTGTCAATTTATTTCCTGACTCATCTCATTTTTTTCTTCCCATTTTTTCTGCGGAAAAAAATGAGCATAAAAAGCCAAAATTAACTGCTCCATCAATGTTTCCTGTTTTTTCTCTTTCAAAAAAACACAGGAAAAATAAAAATAGGAAGCATATTTTGATAAGTTAGCAGTGAATAGGTACGCACCACTTAAACATTAACAACAGACCCGACATGCACAAATATTTAGCTAACACATTCGTGCTCTATCGCCAAAACGTAGTTTTTTTCTCTATCTCTCACTAAATGTCCAATGTGTTTCATAGTTTTTTCTTATTTTTTTTTGGTGGTGCGTATGTTTTGTTTGTATATAGAGCAATGCAACTAAAAGAAAAGCGATTTTGTTTTTTTTTAGTGGTGTTCCTTTTAATCATAATCATGATAACTATTATATAATCATAATGAAAGCCAAAAACTTTTATCATTCTTTAGTTATTTTGAAAAAAGCTAAACAGCTGGAATTTTGCCAATAGCAGGTGATTTTTGTTTTTACGACGCGTTTTATGAACAAACTAAATTTTTCCGATTTTGTGAATTTATAACTACATATGTATGTGTGTCTTATCAGATCTAGGTTTTGTGTTTTTTGTGTGACCCTGAAAGTGCGAGAATGATTTTCATTTTCAAGGGAGATGAGATTGACTTTTTTCTGAAAAGAATCTTTCTGCCTTATTTTATGATGAATTATTGTTCTGATTTTTGGTCACTTTATTTTTTTGGAACATCCAGAATGATTTTGTTTTGATAAACACTTTGGAGAGCTAAAGTGTATCTAGAAGTCTCATTTTATTTTTTTTGATATGTATTAAATTTAGATTCCTCTTATTGCGAAACAATTTTGCATAATGTTATGCTTATCTATTCGATTTCAGTCACTGGGTTCTCCAAGAACACGAAAATGATTTTTAGACCACACACGTTTCTTGTGTTTTATCTAGAAATATTTGAATTCTCAGAACATTTTATCTAATGCGATAATTTCATAATCTCTTTCTAATTTGTGATCAGAAAAAAACATTTTTCAAATTGTTTTGTTGACCATGATGAGCTTAGACCACCCAAGATGTTTTTTTTTTCGAAGAATTGGTGTCAGAGAATATGAATGTCTGGTTTTGTCACAATATCTGTAATTTTCTCGAAAAATAATTATTTTTCATTTATATTTTGTCTGGAATTATTCAATTTTTCAAAGCATGCAATAAAATCATAATTTCTCACTAATTCATATTTCAAAACAATTTTACTATGAACAAAATCCTTCAAAATTCATAGCTAGTCTGTTCGTGGTGGTTTCAGATTACCCAGTTTTTTATTCGGGTATTTGAAGAGATTTGCAGAATCCACTGAAAAAAACCAATTTCCTGTTTGTCGCCGAATTCGGCCTATAAATGACTAGGAATTTACTAGAATGACTGCAATTTTTTTATATCATTGTGCTAAAAACCACCCCAAATGTGTAGGTTCGAAATTAACTTTTATGCAAATTCTGTTTCTTCTTTTTACAAAACCTTTTTCACTCGGTTATGAATAATAGGAATTTTAAAGTACATGGTTTTTTTTTTTGAAATTTTTCATTCTGTGAAAACTGCAAAACCAATAAATGTTTGTTATTTTTTGTTAAATATTAGTTTTTCATTAAAACTGCCCGTTTTCCAACCAAAATTTCCCAATGTTTCCGTAAAAAATGTCCGTACGTCATCTAATACGTTCTAGATTCCTTATCATCTCAGACCACACGGTTTCCGTTGTGTTTTTTTTTACCAGAAAAAAGGAAAGAAAAGGAAAGTGAAATTTTTCTGAACTGTTATTTCTTGCACTCCTTTTCACCTATCTGATATATAATATATCTAATTTTGATGTTCTGTTCTGTTTTTCCTTTGCTACGTCACGCGAAAAATTCTCTGTGTTTTTTTTTGAGAAAAAAACATCTAGAATATTCATCCAATGATCACTAACTATATAGTTTTAGTTTTAGTATTCGTTTTTCCGCAAAAAAATTGAGGGAGGTATTATATGAATGTACTTTTCGGTTTTTCAATTCTATTAAACTATCTCTTCCCTTTTTCACTGTTCACTTCAGTTTTTTTTCAAAAAGAAGGGGAAAAAACTAATTTTTGTTTAGGAGCCAGCCTCTCTCATTTATTTTTTGTGCGTTGTTCTATCTATACGAAGCTAATTAGAAAATTTCTTATTTTTTCTTTTGATTTTCTTTTCTACTTATTTTTAAAGGAACCTACATATCCATATTTATATCTTTATTCAACAAAAAAAGGTGATCGGTGACCCTTTAAAAAAGTTTAGATGCATCCAAGAAAATTTGTCAAGTTTTGTTCGTCTTTTGGGAATTTTTTGTGTTTTTTTTTGGAGAAGAACTCTGTTTTTTGACGAAAATCACTCCTATTTTTCTTTAATGTCTACTCATTCATAAATAAAAATATAGCTATATAGGTTCCTGCTTCTTCTTTTTCTTTTTCTCACCGTCATCCCATTTTTTGTCAATAAATAATGTTATTTTCGTTTAGGCCACTGGTAAGCTCTGAAACTGCAGGAAATTAAGCAAATTATTATTTTCTCATCGACCAAAAAAATCTGCATAATAACAATAATCTATGGAGGACTTCGACGACACACATCGAAAATCGTTAAAGGTTTGTCACATATTTTTTCTATCCATTTTTTTCCGGAAACTGGTTTTTGTCGGGGTGGAGGGTTAAAAATTACATGAAACCGAAGTTTATTCTATGTTTGATTGAAGTACAAAATGACTATTAAGTTACGAAAATTGATAGCAAATTTAAAGGTGAGAGAAAAAAAGCGTGGGTTTTTGTGGGTCAAATTACCAAACATAAAGAACTTTTAAATAATAAAATGGAGAGTTTTTTAGTTGGGAAACATTGAGAAATTAGGGTAACTTTTCTGGCATACCACGCTCAGGGTGAGGCATATGCACGGCGCCAATAAAAATTTAAGGAAATTCACCTCGCCAATTTAAGATTTTCTTGAAAAACAGCAAATTTTTGCTTGTTTTTCCGTTAAGAAAGTGGTATTTTTCAGTCGAAAAGGTTGTTTTCACCTCGCCAAAAAATTTAAAAACCCACACCGCCAACTTTCAAAGTTTAATTGCACGAAGCTGGGCGTGGTATGTTTTCTGGTATCATTGAAAAAAATGAAAATCAAAGTTTCGAATTAGTTTTGTGGCACTTGAATATTGTTTATGACGACCTCTCAAGTAGAAGCCTCAAAAATATTTGATTTTAATCCAACATTTGAAACATATCACTGTAAATTAGTACATATTTAAAAATAAATTGAACTAAGGGAATTTTCAATCATAAGCACACAATCACAAAATAACTTTTCTATGTGAAACATATCTGAAATTTTTCTGTTCCATGGATTTTCATTCTTTCAAAAGGTTATTTCCGGCAGGCATAAGTATTGTTCTTATTTTGTGTTGTTGTTTTATATCTGAATCTCTTTTCATTTTTTGATGCATGATGTTTTTTCTTAAATAGATTTTCCAACTCTGAGATCAATCAATAAACTAGAAAATTGAAATTCCAGAACTAGTTTTCTTTGATATTTTTTTCAAACACAAAAACAACAAAACAAATATTTTTGATTTGACATTCCAAAAATCGAGTTGAGTAAAAATTACACTCTAGTCTAAACAGATCCTGTAAAAAGATAAATCAAATTGAATTTGAAAATGTTCTTCTTCTTCTTTTTTTATTGTTCCAATTTTTTTCAAATGAACAAACAATTTTTTTTTGAAATAACCTTATTACTCATCAGATATTTTGAAATGACATGTTTCTGAAACTGATTGTGAAAAATTTTCTTTTCTCAAAAAATTTAGTTAAATTTTTTAATCGAATTAGTCCCTGCTGTCAAAAAACATCACCGAATCCCGAAAAATATTTTTTATTCCTCTTTTTTCGAGTCACTTTTCCCCCAAATCTTCAGAGTTCATTTGCATAATACATCTTTTTTTCCTACTAAACAGAAAAATTTATTTTTCACTATCCAAAATTTTACAAAAATAGAAAAAAAATTAATTGGAGCTTTGATCCATCCAAAAAACAAAAAAAAAATTTCTTCTTCATTCCATTTTTTCTCTACCCCATCTTCCTGTTAGCATTGAATTACAGCCCATTTTTCAGCATTTTTTTCTTTCAGAAAAGAAAAAAATATGTATATATGATCAAATATTGTCATTTTTTCACGGAAAAAAACAACAAGTTTGCAAAATTTAATCAACCAGTAAAAACAACTTTTTCTTTTCTTTTTCTTTCCGCATTTTTTTCTTATTTATTTTATTTTTCATACATATTTACGTACATACATGTATGGTTTGATGGTTGATAAAACATACTGCAAATTTTTGTTTATATACTTTTTGTTGACCACGTGTTAGTTAGGCTAAATATTTCTATTTCATTTTGTTTGTTTGTTCCTTTTCTCATTCTGAATGTGAGGAACAAAGGTGACTCAAAGTTTAAACAAAAACATCTGGAATTCGTTTTCATTCTTTTGCCCCCGAAAAATTGATATTCAAAAAATGTTTTATTGAATAGATTTTTCGTTTTCGCATGAATTGTCAACAATGATGGTTTTTTTTTGAAAAAAACATCAAATAGAAGTTCTCTACTTTACTTTACTCTGTGAGAAAAAAGGAGAAAAGAAACAAAAGTCCATTTTGCCTCATTTATTCATTATTTTTTTCTTTTCTTCATGATCAGCCACGACTTTTTCAATTTTCGTGTGTTTTCCTGTCCAAAAATACATATATTACTTTTCTAAAAATAAAAAAGGACATTTTTTGATCTTCCAAGGAAGTTGAAAAAATCGGATTAATTTCCATAAATTACATGTATACCACGCATTTTAGCTACATTTCTCTTCCCCATTTTATCAATTTTTGTGTTGATAAAAATATCAAATTCGTGCTCTTTTTTTTGTTATTTTTGTTACGTTTTTGAACAAAAATGTACGTTTTCTTCAAAAAACATATCCTATAGCAACAAATGTAGAACATATTTTATATTTTATTTTCACTTTATTCAACGGAGGATTTTTTTTTGAAACATCTGCTGGAAATCTGTCAACTAGTGTGTTTTCCGTCAAAATTAACTGCCGTTCTATCTGATTAGTTCTTTTTTAAGCTTGATTTTTATTGATTCAATTAAAATTTGAAACTTTTGAGACTGTTCATCTTGACTCGTTCATTTCGGTAAAAATGACTTAAAAACAATATTCTATGTGAAAAACAAATTCAATATCTGAAAATAAAATTAGAAATAAAGATCCTCTTGAGATTTTGTTGCCCTAGCACTCTTGTTCTTCTCTTTCTTCCTTTTTTCTTATGCTCATCAATTTCACATCAGCTCGACCGAATATGGTTGAACAACGAAAACATCGAAAAATAACTGTGTCTGGCGCCGAATCGGCCCCAAAAATTGAAGAAGAGCAACAGAATCGTCAAAGATCAAGACGAGCATCGCTCAGCGTTGTTTATCATCGATTATTGTCATTTTCGTCGTCTCCAAGTATCAAGGTATATGTTATTATTTTTTTTTTCTTTCATAGTTAGTAGTATTTTAATCCGATTTGCACTTATGATTCGTAAGCCTCGGAAAAAAATAATAAGTCTATTTTTGTTTATTAGTGATGATGGAGGTAGGTAGTGCTCAAAGATTAGGAGCATGGGAAAATTAAGTGTTTGGTTTTTGGTGTGAGTTTTAAAGAACATTGGTGGGGAGGTAATTAATGGTCTCTGAAATGTTTTTGATCTCTGAAATTCTTCAATATTCTCGTGTAATTATACAGTTGTGTATTTTTTTTTACATGTTTCTATTTTTTTCAAGTTTCACTAACTAGAGTATCAAGATGAGAACACCCTGAAAAACAATAATAAACTGAAAATAGAATAGAGACCCCGTGGGGTGTCTTTATTTTTGTCTGTTTAAAAAAAAAGTTCGAACATCGTGGGTGGCCTATCAATTTTGCGGGTGTTCTGAGGTCTTCAAAAAAATTATCAAGTCATATATTTTGAATTTTTGAAAATTGATGTTCAAAACAGTGTGGGTGTTCCAAGGAACTCGTTTAGTGAATCCTGAATATCAGAAAATTTTTTGGTTTTTAAGAAGACCAGGAAAAACTAACTCACACATATATTTGGATAAAAATAAAAAGTTTTTGAAACATATACGTTCAGAAAACTCTTAAACTCCAATCATTTTTTCAGCGTCAAAAGAAAGAATACAAAGATGAGAAGCGTCGCGTCAACGATGAGCTCGTCTCAGCTCTTAAAGATCCAACAGTCGTTGTTATGGCCGATACGCTGAAAATCCGTGGTGCACTCAAAAAATGGAATCGTTACTATTGCGTTCTAAAACCTGGTCTTCTCATTATCTACAAAAATAAAAAAGCAGATCGTGGTGATTGGGTTGGAACTGTTCTTTTGAATCATTGTGAGATTATTGAGAGACCATCAAAGAAAGATGGATTCTGTTTCAAACTTTTCCATGTGAGTTTTCAAAAAAAAATCGTTTTTTTTTTTTAGAATTTCAGATTAATTATTGATTTTTTCAGCCAATGGACATGAGTATTTGGGGAAATCGTGGACCATTGGGACAATCATTTGGAAGTTTCACATTAAACCCACTAAACACCTCATTTTTGATTTGCCGCGCTCCTAGCGATCAGGTGAGCAAACGAGCGAAGAAAAAAAAATGTTTTTTTTTTCAATTTGTGTTATGATGAATACGAATTATGACTAAACATTTTTCATTTTTTTTCCAATTTTTTTTCTGCAGGCCGGACGATGTTGGATGGATGCTCTTGAGCTTTCTTTCAAGTGTACTGGATTGCTGAAAAGAACCATGAATCAAGTAAGATTATTTTTGCAAAAGGGAATGGGATTTTTCTTGAATACAGAACTGAAAAAAGTAGAATAATGTTTGAAAAAAATCTGAAAATCTCTCCCAAGCCTCTTCCCTCTAGTTTCTGAACCAACTTTTGTTTTTCCAGCTCGGTGAAAAACACGATGAAAGTGGTATGGTGGAAGGTTCGAGAGATGAATCAAGACTTTCAAGAGACTCTGATGGAGATGATGGAAGTACAAAGTTTTCCGAAACTGATGCTGAGAAACATTTTCAAGGAATTGATGATATTGATCACGAAGATGGAGATGGTCAAAAATCAGAGAGCAGCGATACAATTCGAGAAAATGTTCAGGAAAGCGCGTGGATTTTAAGCCCTAAAGAAACGGTAAATTAATTTATTTCAAAAAACTGATTGTGAAGCAAATTGAAACATTTTGTTTTTGTAGTTTGGCACAGCCGCTTCACAAACAGAAGACGTGGCTGAAGAAAATAAATCACTGATTTGGACGTTGCTAAAACAAATTAGACCAGGAATGGATTTATCAAAAGTCGTCTTGCCGACATTTATATTGGAACCCAGATCTTTTTTGGAAAAATTGGCGGATTACTATTATCATGCTGATTTGATTACAGAGTTAGTTAATTTTTAGGAAACTTGGAAAATATGTTGTGATGTGTCAAAAATTAATTATTTTATTGTTAATTTTTTGTGAGAAAACCTATATAACCCTCAATGTTTCTTTTTTGCAGAGCTGTTGCTGAACCTGATCCATACCAAAGAATCGTAAAAATCACCAAATTCTTCCTTTCCGGATTCTACAAAAAACCAAAAGGTCTCAAAAAACCTTACAACCCAATTCTTGGTGAAACTTTCCGATGTAAATGGGAACATCCAGATGGATCAACCACATTTTACATTGCTGAACAAGTTTCACATCATCCACCAATTTCTTCATTATTTATCACCAATCGGAAGGCTGGTTTCAATATTAGTGGAACAATTCTTGCAAAATCAAAATATTATGGAAATAGTTTATCTGCGATATTAGTTGGAAAACTTCGCCTAACTTTGCTCAATTTGGGTGAAACTTATTTGGTGAATTTGCCATATGCAAACTGTAAAGGAATCATGATTGGAACCATGACTATGGAACTTGGTGGAGAAGTTAATATTGAATGTGAAAAGACGGGTTATGCAACAACTTTGGATTTTAAATTGAAACCATTTTTGGGTGGACAAATGAATCAAGTTGATGGGGTTATTAAGTATGGTAGAGAAACAATGGCAAGTATTGAAGGAGCTTGGGATGGTGTTGTGAAGATTAAAGGATCTGATGTGAGTTTATATATTCAATAAAACGAAGCTTTACTATTTTTCGCGAAACTTAAAACTAAAAAAAATAATCCGTATTTGTCAAGAAACATTTAATCCTTACAATTTTCAGGGTAAAAAATCGGAACTCTGGAATCCAACTCCTGATATCATCAAAACCCGCTTGCCAAGATATGAAATTTCGATGGAAGAACAAGGCGAATGGGAATCCGCAAAACTATGGAGCCAAGTCACTGAAGCCATTGCAAACGAGGATCAATACAAAGCCACTGAAGAAAAAACTGCACTTGAAAATGATCAAAGAGCCCGCGCAAAATCTGGAATTCCACATAAAACCAAATTTTTCAAACCAAAACCATATGATGATGATGAGTTCGAATATATTCATGCAGAGTCAGTTTTTCTTGTTTGTGTAAAAATAAAAAGTCAACAAATTTGAATTTCAGCTATCGCCCATGGGATAATAACAATGATATTCAACAAGTCGAGCATGATTATGTGGTGAAAACAATTTGTGCTCACCCGAGCGCAAAAGCTTGTACTAGCACAATAAGAACTAGTGATGTGAGTTGTTTTGACGTTTTGCTATGATTATTTTTGGTTGAATGCTTATTTTGAACATCAAAGCTCAGCTTGATTGGGAGATTTAGAAAAGCTGTCTGAAAATCAAGGGGATTCATTCATATTCAGAAAAAATTTTGATTAAAAGTTTAAAAATGAGGCACTTATTTGACTTCGATCACATTTCTGCAAAAATTAGAAACCCTTTCATTTCTAAACAAAAATAACCGTAGTGAGAGGTTTACTTACCGAAATTTCTATAAGTCTGAAAATTTAGAAACTTTATAATATTCGGTTAACCAAAATCACGAGAAAATTAGTGAAGTCTCAATTGAATTTTTCGAGCTGTGAAGTTCCAAAACTAAAAATGTAATATTCAGCTCGACTCTGAAAACAGTGACAGTGAAGAGGAACGCGTTATCCGCAAAAAGTCCGTCAAAAGTCTACACCAACAACAAGCCGCTCCATCAGACGTCGAAAAACTCCTCAAAGATTTATCGCAACAATTTGAAATTGCTATCAGAAATTTTGAAGCGCACAGCGAGAAAAACTCAACAAAATTAATTCACACTGTTCAATCAACTTTGCTTTTTGTATTTGTATTGCTTTCAGTTATCCAATCAATTTTTTTATTTATCTATGTTAGAAAATAATAATATTTTTGAATATTTATTTTTTATTTTTTAATCTTGTCTTCTCTCAACTGGTCTTCATTTAGTTTTTAACATATTAGTTGACTTTTTTTTATTTGGAAAACTGTGCCAAATCAATAAACCATTTTATTTTGTAAAATATCTAGATTTTAACATTTTCACAGTTTAATTAATCAATCAATTTCTCAATCGTAATTAGGAAGTGCGTAAATTTCATCAAAACCTCCAATTCTTCGTTTTTGTTGATGACGAGCCATTGACAATGCTCGGAACTAAACAAATTACAAATTTATGTGAGCTTTTTCTTTCAAAAATTCAAAATAACTTACCAGATCCATTGGTCTTCTGTCTTTATACAAACTGTAAACTGGATAATGTGCATTTACGGAGCCAGAAATGAAAACGAACAAGAACATTGTAATGAGAAGGAAATTCATGATTTTCTGAAATTTTTTATTTTGTTCAATCAAAAAAAAAAAGAATTAGACAGAAATAAGTAAAAATAAAAACATGAAGAAAACGTTCTCACTGAAATATGATACTTGCACCAAATTTGAATAGAATTGGTGATAGATTTTTGGAGGCGTGGATGAAAAATGAAACTTTTTGGTTTGACGTATTGTTTTTTCTTACTTATTTATGTATTTGAGAAAAAAGAAAGAAACTGAAAAAACTGAATACGAAAAAGGCGTGGCGAGTAAATTGGAAACGCTCATCAGAATACATAATTTTTTGTGTTGATTGTTTACGCAGCGGAAAATAATTCTTGTGACTATCTCATTGATGGGAAAACAGAAAATATAAAAAAATATCGTTGAATTTGAGAAAAGTTGGAGATTTTTTATGAATTTTCTGAATATCAGGTAGTAGTCTAGGTATTAATTATTGTAGAACACTTTTATTCTCGTAAAACTGAATTTCTGGAATATGCGGGGATTCGTGCATGGATAATCTAGATGAAGCTTTGTCAAAGTTTAATATTTGAAAAAATTCCTTTAAAAAGTGATAATAATAACTCTGAATCACAGAAAAAATTGGTCATTTGGAAATTTGCGAAAAATATGATGTTTGATGCACAATCAAATTCAGATTTTAAAATCCAAGATCTCTTGAAAGTTTGCAAAAAATATATCTCCGGAAGTCCGATGTGACCAATATTTTTCAAAAAAACACCAACGCGTCTACAATTTTTTTTATTTGACAAGTATTATCTTTTTTGACAAAAAACCACTGTAACACAAAACTTGTATGGAACCAAATAACAATTTTCTAGCTATTCATAAAATCTGTTGTTATTCTTGTACATAAACCTCATCTATTGAGCTGTCTTATCCAAGAATTCCGAGAATTCTCACGAAAAAATAAAAATAATACCCAAAAATATATTCTTTCTTCAGATTTACTGTAATTCGGATCAAAAAACACATATTTGTTTACAGATAAACGTTCTCACAAGAAAACCAATTTATATCATGTCACATCAGTTGTATATTTTTCTCAAGAAAAATTTGGAAATAACGTAAAGCAAAATAATTAGATTTCAAAGCACGATCTTCCAAAAAATATTCGAGTAAATGTTGATGGAACTGCGGCAAAGTTCTGGAAAAAATTAGAGCTTGAAAGTATTTAGGTAATCATCAAATCAACTGACATCTGGTGGAACTGCGTAGAATGCTCGATAATGACATGGTGGAGGAATATGGTCACCAAAAACTGAAAGTTTAATATGAGCAATGATTTATTTATATTCGAAAAAATGATTACCCATTCTCTCTGACAATCTACGATTTGATCGATCACGTCTTCTCATATCTGGTGCTGGAATATGTTGAGAAATCCAGCCATTTTCAATTTCACGTTGTTGAGTTTTGTCAACCGCAGTTTCTAAAGCAGTTCGACGGTTTCGTCGAGTCGCATTTACAACTTGTTGTGAAATATTTGGTGTTTCGCAATGTCTTTTGTTTACTGAACGCGATCTATTCGGTGACTTTTTCTCTGGGGTGGTCTCGGGCTTTTTTTCGTTGACGATTTGACGAATTGCAAGACAAGCATCGAGAAGTTGATAATTGATAACGGTTCCGAAGAATGCGTTTTTTCGTTTGCAAAGAGGACAGCTTCTGAAAAAAAATTTGATGTTTTTTGAGAAAAATGAAGAACTTTCCCATAAATGTTGATCCACCGAATTTTTTTTATATCTAACTTTTCGAATTTTTCAAAAAATGTCAAGAAAACATGTTTCACTTTTTGGAAAATGTCAACCTACAGTTGAATTTTGATAAAAACTTGAACTTTTTTTTAAGTATTTGTACTTTGTAATTCAGAATCAACATCAAAAACTGTCAACTCAATTTTTCTCACTCTTCTTCTTCTCTTTCCAGAGCTTTCAATTTTCTAGACTATCCTAGACAAAAACTAATCAAACGTGTTTTTTTCTCATGCTTCATCGGAAATTATTTTCCATTTATTAATTTTTTCTAATAATAACAACAATATTCCCTCACTTACACAATTCTGATTTGGCATTTCAAGCATAAAGAATGTCCACAAAATCCAATGCATGGTCGATGAGAACTGTCATCTGAATTTCAGAAAATCGTGGGAATTTCAAAATTGAAAATAACTTATTATTAAAATAGTTGACTTACCGTAGTCTTCCAAACAAGTAGCACATCTTGCAAAATCCATATTAGTTATCATGCTCTAAAAATTTCACAATATATTTTTTCAAAGATCTAGGTCACTATGGGCAACACAAAAAATGCTAAAGAAAAAATAGCAAAAAATAATCGTCATTCAAGCTAATCTCATCCAAGAAACCTAACAAAGTTGTTTGTGTGCTAAAATATTGGCAAAAATGGTCAAAAATAGAAATAATTGTCCACTTCACTACTAAAGTTTTGTTTTTTCCATATTTTTCAGCAGAAAATAAACAAAATATATAATCTGATATTTTATTCATAATGATCCACTCTTTGTTTTATTGAAAAAAGACTGAAAAGGAGCCAATAAAAGTAAAGCTAGATATTTATTTATTATTAACTGGCATAAAAAATACTGTTGACAATTAGATAAATTTGTTTGTCTCTTATCAAAAAAAAAACATCTTCAAAATATAAAAGGAAAAATAATTTACTCATGTTTTATGAGTTTTTTTTATGGAAGCAGACAGGAAATGCACTTTTCAATGAGAAAATTTTCGAAAAAGAGTTCAACTCGTTAGGAACCAAAAACGAGAAAAAAAAAATGAAAAATCACCCTTTTTCTTATGAATTTGTTATGTTTGAAAAAAATGGACTTGCCAATTTTTTGAGAGTTCAAGGAGTCTGAAACGAATAATAATTATGCAAAACATGGAAATTATCAATTAGTTTTCTTTGAATAATTCAGTGGAAGAAAAGGGCAAACTTGAGACCAGACTTTAAAAAAAATAGATCGCAGTTTGGCCCGGAAAATATTCTTGATTCAAACAATGAGTATCAGTAAATAAATTTCAGAAAATCGACATTGTTTTTTTGATATTGAATTGAACAACATCCGAAAATGACTGAAAATGACACTTCAAAAATACGGTTTTATTCTGTTTTTCAAAGGACATCACCAAGAAGCGGACAAGAAGCCAGCAAGTTTTTTTTCAAAGTTATTCACAATAAATAAAAAAATTGATTTTGAACTTCAAGATACTTGGAATTCTGTAATTTTTCATAAAAGTTATTTATTTTAGTGTAAAAAAATATTTTGATTTACTGATAAAAAATTTGGTTGTTGAAAATTTTTAATTCTGGAGAAATGATTCCAGTTCAATTTTTATTACAGAACTTCATAGTTTTTTGTTTGAATTTAGTTGAATCATAAATAGCCATATTTAATTTTATAGAGAAAATACTATTAAAAAACCAGGGGGTCGTATGCTATATTAAATTGCAATTTCACATATTCTTTTTTTCTACAAACTTTGAATAAATCCAAATTCCATCTATCTCAATATCTAACTCAACCCCTCTTTTTATACTCTAATTACGCTAAACATGTTTTTTTTGTCAATAAATTCTTTACTCATTGGCTTGTTGATTTCCCATCGGCAAATTAGGAAATATCTACTTTCTAGAAAGCGGTATTCTCTTTGATGGTCCTAGCGGCATGTGTCTTTGAGATGTGAATGTTTCAAAACTATTTTTAATGAAAATATCCATGTATGCCTAAAAAATGTCAGGAATCATAAATCAAAATAATCATTTTGAGACCAATAAACCAAAAAGAATTCCAGTTTTGTGCAATTTTTGTTTCAATGCTCCCTGAAAAACCGTATGTCTACAATTTTTTGCACACGCGTTTGCATGTTTCAACCAACCACAACCATAGTCACAATCAAACAATCTATCTATCTTGAGCAAAAAAAAAATTGCCAATCTATTTCAGGCCTTCAACTCTTTTCTCTTATTTTACGCGAGAGCATTTTTGTTGACTTTTTTCTTACGAACAACAAATAATAAGTTGGGGCATGTTTGTTGAGATGATCTCTACTTACTCTTTTAGACAAACGTTTACCCTCCCTCCCAAGTACCCACGCCCCATTTTCTAAATTTATATTTTGATTTTTTTTTGGTAAAAATGGGAGGGTTAAAAAATAACTGGTTATGAATTGGGGTATATAAGGGATGAGAATGAAGAAACTGCACATTGTGAAAAATGAGTCAGAGTTTTGTTTTTATTTTTGTTGCACTTGGTATGTTTGAAATTGGGTCTTGTGTGATATCAAAATAATGAGGATGTTGTGATAAAGAAAATGAACTTGAATAGATTTTTAATTGATCATTTTTTGGAGCTAAGTTAAATGAAGACTATAATTGATATGTAAGCTTATTTCTTTAAGAATCTTTCATCATTAAAATTTAATTTTTAAAAATGCTAAAAACCTAGAAATGGAATCACTGATCTACAATACTCCTTAATTCAAAAATTCATTATTTTTCAGTTGCCTCAGTTCTTGCTCAATCTAGCAGCAGTAGCGGGAACATCTATGGTTATAACTACGACAGTAACGCTTTAGCCAGCGGCCCATTTTTGGTACAAAATCCAAATTATCAATTTTTGAACGATCAATTAGCCAACGAATATGCTCAAAGTTATCAAGAAGAATTGCGGCAATACGATTCCAGTGTTGGTATTACTGGAAGTGGAACTAGTTCTGGATCAGGATCAGGATCAGTGTCAGGATCAGGATCTACCTCATATAATAATCAAATCCCAGTTAGCCAAACATATGTTCCAGTAAATGGTTATTACTACGGTCCAGTTATGACAAATGCTCAACAAAATACTCTCAATTATCAACAAATAACTCAGGTAAGTTATTTTTGAAATTAAAAAATACATCTATATAATTATTGAATCTACAGAAAAACCCATCAACATCTGCATCAAGTTCTACAAATATTTATGGATATAACACTGGTTCTTCTGGATCCAGTTCATCTAGCAGCACTTACAATAATCAACAAATGTATTCTGGTAAGAACATAAATGAGAACGGAAAAATAAGAAAATCTGAAGCCGTTTCTGAGAATTTTGCAGGGCTTCTTTTTAATTTTGAAGGGGTTATAGGAATTCGTTTTCGTTTCGATGATTTCGTCTCGGATTTTATATTTTTTTTTGTTGAAGAGTGAAATCATCATTTCAGAATAGGAAGGGGAAGATATTTTGAAATATTTCATTTTTTCATTGTAGTTTCGATGAAAAGGACCAATTTCTTTTATGAAAATAATTGTTTCTAGCTCCATCTACATCAACTGCTACCCCATACATTTATCCATTTGGTCAATATGCCTCGTCATCAGCTTCATCTACAAACCAAGTGTTGAGAGATTCTTCATCAACCTCTGGATCTTCTTCTTCATCAACTGGTTCAAACTCAGATGTTGGTAGAACCTACTCACTTTTCTACAATGATCAAACCGCTACACCCGCTTATCAATCACAATCTGATTTGAAAACCACAACACTCAGAGATCAAGCTCTTCCATCAAATGTTAATCTTCGTGGAACTGGGCCATTACCTGGACCAACTCTTGGAAGTTCAAATACATTAACCCAACAATTCAATGATGCTGGATCAAATGCTTATTATTATAGTGGAAATGCAAACTTGAACTCGAATTCAGGGTCAGCAAGAGTCAAAAAAGCATCCAGATTTTTTGATGTTGCTGGAAATCAAACTGAAATGTATTATCCGTATCGGTGAGCTTCTTCTCCCATACTGATATGCATCTCAATTTGACATTAATTTTCTGATTTGATAGTTTAGGTTAACTAATTTTGATTCATTTTTACAGAACAAGCACTAACTACAATACTGCTAATACCAATTCTGCAACTGGAACTGGATCTTCAAATTCTGGAAGTACTGGCACATTTTTTGATTCCGTAACTGCTGCCACAACTACAGCTCGTGAGTTTTTGAATTTTTTCCCAAGAGTTCATCATAATTCGTTAAAAAGCAATATTTTTTTTAGAAAAATGTCAATTGTCGGATCCATATTGGTGCGCTGATTACGTAAATGTTTACGTGAGCTCAAAACGTACTTATACTTCGGAATCTACCCAAACTATTTGCTCTGAACTTGTCGCATCTTTAGCTGAAAGTTATAATGGTTGTTGTACAGCTGTTAGATCTGCAGGATGCTCTATGTAAAATTCTATATTTTGGTTTTTTGTGATTATTTTTCTGTGAATATCTGGTGCTAGCTTTTATCAAAGACAATAAAATGTTTTTTTGAATTTTCTGAACCTTTTGTGGATGTTGAAAAACAATCTGGAATATTATTCCTACCGAAGTTTTTCACTGATAATCGTTCATTATTGTCAATATCTTCCAAAAAAGCCATTACCCCAAAAATACACATTCCTAACACCTCGATTCTCCTATTTTCCCCCAACACGTCTCATTTTTTCTCAACTTGACACCTTTTATTCGTGCACACCTGGTCTGTGCACCCCTCCGATTCGCATCCCATGAGCATAAATGGGCGTGGCCTATTAACTAGGTCAACCTGTATCTCCTTTTTTGTTGTTTTAGTTTGATTAAAAACAACTCAATAATAATAATTATGATGCGTTCTCAACGATCTAATAGAATGCAAAAAACTTCCAAAGTTTTTGAAGGTGAGTTTTTTTAACTGAATTTTGAAAAATATAAAATGAACTTGTTAATTTGTTGCAGATGATAGTGATGCTTTGCCAATGCTGACTGATGAAGAAGCTGAAAATCGATACTCTACTCAATATCGAAAAAGAATGGAAATGTTTGAATCAGCAAAAGAGGAAACTGTTATCACATCATCAAATATTCAAAATACAGTGCTCAGCCCAGTTCAAATGGATAACAAGTTTTTAGCTTGCAGCACACCAATCAGTGAAGATGTTCAAGGTTAGAAAATAATAAACTTTTTTGTTTTTTTTTCGAAAAAATAGTATGGATAACTTTTGCAGATCTCAGTATGTTCTCAAGAGTCAAAGCGCAACAAGCTAAAGAAAATATAATGCTTCGAGAAACACTTTTGGCCGCTCAGAAAGCGAAAAACGATTTTCTCAAAACTCCCCCAGCAATGAAGAAAATGCGTAATATGTGCAATAATAAAATGATTGATAATCAGATTGTTGTTAGCCAATGTGGTGTCAAAGATAAGAAGGAATATATTGTAAGTTTTGATGGAGATTTTTGATACATCATGTAGTATTTGTGAGAGAAATTTTGAAAACATAGTTAAAGGTTTTCCAAAATCAACAGCCACATTTCTGAGATTTTTTTGTACAGTTAAATTTAGATGAAAATTCAATTATATTTTTCCAAAAATTTTCCAACTCTTTGTTTTCAGGATACCGTTCCACAAGTTCATGACATCTCAATGAGCAATGAAATCTTCTCCCCATTAATGCGTCGAAAAATGAACCAAGCAAAATTCGATGAAAAACAAGCTGCCGACGCTAAAAAACGCACAAACTTTTGGGAAACATATTTGACATCGATCATTGTTGGATTCCTTGTTTTTTACATTTTCAACAATTATATTCCATTAGATATTTATTGGTTTATCGGTTCAATCAACATCATCTTTTTCACTATTCATTTTATCACTAATCGAACACTCCCTTTCATTTTTCTCACTGTTATTGTCTTTTGTTTCGGCTATTTAGGTTCACAAATGTCCTATTTTTTAGGTGAAGATCAATGATTTATTAATTGGTAATTATTAATTATTAATATTTACATTTATTAATTGTTGTCTGTTTTTTTTTGAGAAATACGTGTTAACAATCTCCAAACTCTACGACGTCCAAAGAATTCATCTCCTTATTTGCGATTTTCTGTAAAAAATTGTATTCATATATTTTAATTGAATAAAACATACTGATTTGAGATATCGTTGAAGTTTTTTATCCGGATTATCGAAAAATTCTTGTGGATCTCGAACTAGAAGAGCAACATCTTTGCAGTTTCCTTGACTGTTTGTGACAAGAATATGGTCGTAAGATGATCCTCCGCCCGATTTCAAAACGCAGACTGAAAAATATAGATCTCTTAGACATGCTTATGTAAATGTTGAACAAACTCTAGCTAAAAAATATTTCAATCTGAAAATATGCTAATAAACTGTTTAGCATCTTCATTCAAGTTTCCCTTTTTTGAAACATATACCCCCTACTTACATGGGAAACTGAAATTTTCTCCATCAAAATCAGTCATCTGAACTCGAACCGATTCGTGATCCATAGTCAATGCATTTCCACGAAGTCTCAACATTTTTCCAATACTTGATGTTTTGAATTGCCAAACTAATCTAGCATCTTGAGCAGCGACTGATTGTTTTCCAGCGTTGAAATCAAATCGAGAACATGTCAATTTCTCATTCTCCTTTTCAATCAAATCAGAAACTCGATTATTGATTTGTTCAGCAACTCCGGTTGAGGCCAAAGCAATTACCCATTTACCATTCATTTTATCAAAACTGATTTTTTCACAATCGCATTTTGATAAAAATTCATCATCACTGGAAAAATAATGAGATTACTGAAGTTTTTCCATTTTTTTAATTGACAAACCTTTCGTTTTGAACCGAAGTACTTGGTGGAACAACTTCTGATGCGGTTTGTTGAGTTGGTGAATATCTGATATGATGTCTGAGTGCGCTACTAATCTTGATCGGCTGTGGTGGAGGAACTGGTTGCATTTGTTGTTCAACAATGTTTTCGCGCTCTTCGGAAAGTTTTCTCTCGTGAGATGATGTGATTTCTGGAGCGATGGATTCAGTTGTGGTTGTGGTTGGGATTGGAGTAGTTCGAGTTTCGATAGTTGGCGGAGATGGTGGGGCAGCGCCAGCAAGATCGAATGGAGCAGCAGGTCTCTAGAAAAAAATTAGTTTGAGGATTGGTGGATTGGTGAAGTCTACATTTTCTGACTTCACAGTAAAATCAATACTCTATCCTAAATCCCAACAAACCTGTCCAGTTGGTCCGAAAGAACTATGCCAACTATTCAATTGATCTCTCAATTGTTGTTCCATTCTCATTTGTGCATCTTCCAACTCCTTCTCTTTTTTCCGAAGATCCTCTTCCATTCTTTTTTGCACTTCAATTCTTTTTCTTTGCTCAGTCAATTCAGTTGATAAAACTTGAAGCTGTTTGCGTTTTGTGAGAAGTTCTTTGGTTTGCAATGTTTGTTCATAGGTTTGCAAAATATTCTGGAGTCGTTTAACATCCTAAAATCAGTTTGATTTTCAAAATTATCTTTCAGGGAAAATTCTCACATCAACAGAGAGTCCGTATCCTCCTCTGGTTCGAAGATTTGTGACAACCTCATCGATTGCTGGGTCCAACGATTGAACAAATCCTGGTGGTCCAACTTCAATATCTAATGGCGAACTAGCAGCTGAAAAGTTCACTTTTATTATCTCAATAAGTCGATTCAAAAAATCTCACGGAATTTTTGTGGAGCTCTACGGAGCAATTTATTCACTTCAGCAACTCGACTTGGATCAATCATATTCATATCCAAACTGCTGTCAAGATCTCCTTGACGTGGTGGAGCAGCGAGAACTGGTGTTTCCTGACTCTTGAGACGGTTCAAAACAACCTCGGCAATTTTTTCAGAACTCAATGGTGTTGTGGTTGTCGGTGGACTTTTTGTGCTGTATCCGTGCTTTTCAAGGTCATGGCGACGGATGAATTCATCCATATTTTTTACTGGAACTCCGTCAACATAGAGGACGGATGGTGTTGTAGTAGCTGGTTTGCCACCACCAATGCTGAAAATGAAGAGACTTTTCATGTGGAAGAAGAACGAATTTGGTTTTGTTTCTACAATTTTCAAAATTTGCAGATCTTCAAAAATTCATACATTCTCAACTTACAACGCGCTAATAATATTTCCGAGTCCTGAATCTTTAGCTTCTGTACTAGTTGCTTTTCCAACAGTTTGATCAATAGAAGTAGTATTGATTCCAAGATCATTCAAAGGAACACCCATATTTTCAGCAACACCCATTGGATTCACTACGAGTTGACTCAATAAACCATCACCCAACATGCTTGAAATCATTTTTCTGGAAATTTTTGAGTTTTTGAGAATAATGTGAGTTAACAAATCGAGAGTTATGTTACTTTAATTCTTCGGGACTTCCCTCCATCTGGCCTTTAATAACATTTGGAATCTGAGGAAGAGTTTTAACCAATCTTTCCATAAGTGCTGGCTTTTCAGTGGCTTCTTCTCCTTCGGCGGCAATGCATGCGAGAAAAGCGGTAAACAGTATTGGTATCCGCATTTTTTTCTGAAAAAGTTTAAAAATCTATCACAATTTTTATATCTGACGATGATGACAAATGAAAAGGAAAACCGAGAACTAAATGAATGAAATGAAAATTAGGGAAAAGTTTCAAAATGAAAAAAAGAGAAAGCGATTTGTCCGACGGCGCAATTATTTAGGTTATCTTTTCCTCGAAACCTGGCTGGACACTGGGTCATCTTATCTTTTCGCTTTTTCATGATTTGACATTTTTCATTATGAAAATGGAATGTTTGAAATATTACGATTTCTGAAGAGAGAGATACAAAAAATGATTATTGGATAACTTTCAAAAGTTGTTTAGTGATTTGATCTTAAAGAAAATACATTACGAAAATTGGAATTTTTTGATTGAACATTTTTTCAGATATATTGTTGATTGGATCTCACCAAAATTAACCAGAGCTACAGATTCACAAAGGACACAGTAATTTTCAAATTTGGGCAATTTATCGTCGGTATCTTGCAGTTCACGACATTTCCAGTTTTCGAATTGTTTATAGAATATGATATATATTAAATGTGAAATCGAAAATATGAACCTGCACTGATTTCATTTCAGATACCCCCTATCACAAATTATTGATGTTTCTTTTTTCTCTTATATTATTTTTGATACACAAATATTGATTATTATCTATACACCATCTCTCTCTCTGACCACATTCACCGAAAAAACTCACAATAATCTCGCGCAGCAGAGGGACCATCAAAGAAATAACACTGAATCATAGGAGAAACAGACAGAAAACTATTTTTGTGTCCCTTTCGCTTCCCGTTTTTTCTAACATCAAATATATGCATACAAAAAATCGCCCAGTCCTCTTTTTCTTTTTTTCTTTCTGTCTCTCTGTTCTTTTTGGTGTGAGGTGTTTGGCGTTCTTCGATTGATGCAAACATTTTTTTTCAATTAGTATAGTTGTCTGACTTTTCAACGGATTCAGTTATAAATGGCACGCTATTGGCCTAGAAATCCAATTGCGCCAAATAACGACCCTTTGCTGGAATATCAAGTGGTTAGTTTTGCTGGGTTTTCATAGAAAGATTATTTTATGAACATTCCCTACTTGTGTTATTCTGAATGCTTTAAAAAGAAAAAAAAATGTCATTTTCCTTTATAAAATATTCAATACATCAAAATTTCTGTAATTATTCTAAAAACGAAAAAGTTCAGTTTAACAAATAACCTAGAATTATCTAATTTCAGCAAGTCCGATTACGTTGGAGAGATGCTGCAATTGGACTCATTCGACAATATCAAGAAACAGAGTTGTTTGCTAATCGTCATAAAAAACGAGTTATAGACGAACTTGAAACCATTTTCAATCGCGTCGTCGCTTTGAAAACAAACCGTGGTTTTTTGGTGAGTTTTTTTCTTATTTATTTTATTCTGAAACTGAAAATGAAACGTTGAAAATATACTGAACTTTGTTTGCAGGACATTTACAACTATGTTTTCCACACTTTGCAATGTATCATCAATCTTTTGGAAAACGAACGTGAGATCAAAAGAAAATTATTGGCAACTCCGCCTGCTGCATGAACAAATCTGTAATTCTAAAACACATATGTATAAGTTAACTCATTTCCAAATAATTTATTGTGATTCGAAAAATACAAAAAAAGTCAGTTGATTAATGTAAGTTGTTTTTCATGGTTGTTGCAATCCCGCTTCAACGAGAGTTTGATAAATGTCCTGCAATAATAAATTTTTATTTTTTTTATTGAAAATGATTAACAAATTTACCTCTTCCATAAGATAGAGACTGCAGATTCCAAAGTTCAATGTTTGAACTGAACCTTGTGGGATTGGATCATTGCTTCCTGGTTGCTGTAAATATTTTTGTTGTTGAAATGTTTGAAAACCATAAAGTTTTCCATACCAAAATATCTACGAGAATCAAGTAGAGCATTCGAAAACAATTGCGAAGTGTCGAAACAATATTGGCAAATTCGTAGCCTTGTAAATTGATGGGGACAGCCGAGCGTTGCTGGAATTTGAATATTTGAGCGGACTGCGGAAAAAAACATTTTATCGGATTGAAAAAATATTTTCAAAGATAAATTTGATTGTAATTTTAACGATTTTCAGAGCAATACTGAATTAATCGAGTGACCAGGATGTCTATAGAGTGAGAAAATCAACTCAACAGTTCGCTACACCAAAAATGTCATGTTTAATAATGAGCCAAGCGAAAATCGGAAAACTCACATTGAAACGGTGGCATAATTCCATAATGTAACTCATAACGAGTGTTTTTGCGTCTGGTGCAAGAGAGTCAATCACGTTGCAAACCTATAACAAATTTCCATTCATCAAAAAATCAACAAAAAATTCACACTCACCAAAATCTCTTCAGAATCCATTTCGATATCAAACAAATAGATGAATGGGTAAAACTGACAATATTGGACGGGTTTAAATGCGATGTGAGTTAAGCCGATAATAAGGTGGCTCTAAATTGAGCCAGGCAGGTAAAAACAAAGCAGCAATTAATTTGTTTTCAAATATGGATATTATATAGCAATAGTAAGAATAATCTTGAAGGGGGAAGAAATTGTATTTGGTAATAGTGTATAATCCGAACAATTTGACTACAACACAAGACTACGGTAGTTTATGAGTAATATGTTATTATTTTGAGAAAAATTTCAGCTAGAAATCATTTTTAAATCACTAGTTTGCGCTTCAAAGTTCGGTATAATTTGAACCTGCACCTGTCAAATAATAGACTATACTAATCATAGCCCCGACAATGTTGAGCCGATGGCGGAGTGCTCAAAGCAAATCGGCTTAGCAGCTCCTGAAGCACCGAGCAATTATATTAGAAGCCTGTCACCCAATAATTAAATGATAAGCCGCTTTTGGATGGATGAAATTGAAATCTTTTTGAATTTCAGAATGTGAGATAAGAAGGATTTCAGAGGATTTTTAGAAGAAGATACATACATCGAAACATAGAAGAGCATATGCTCATATGCAGTGAAAATCACTTGCATTGACATGTTGAAAAACATTTATGAAAATAATTATCGGAAATGAATTCTTGAAACTCCTCAAAAATTTGAAGAACAACAATATACACCTATTTCAAAAAAATTTCCATTTTCACCTCAAACACAATTAATATTTTTGAATATTTTTTCCAGAAGTGCTCAATCCGTGAAACTGATGACTGATTGCAAAAAAAAAACGCAATTTTGAGCAAATCTCTTCCGAAGTTGCACACAATACCAAGTGATTACTGCTTATTTTTTTGATTAAAATAGAAAGTCTAGTGTGATCCCAAACAATTCGACCTAGTAAACAGATGCCAAAACATAATTGCCACGTTTGATTCGCTCATTTGGTTGCAGTAGTAATAGCAAATATTTTCGATACATTTTATTAATTTGTGCTTTCGTTATTCAACTTTCAAGAAATTTTTTGTTTTTTTTTTTGAGATTTCATTCAAGTTTTATTGCAGTTTTCCAGTTCCAATGGCTTCTCCAAATAGAAAACGACAAAAATGTGTAAAATCCCTAACAGAAATATTCAAAGAATTTGAAGAAAAAGTGAACGAACACGAAAAACATTTCCCAGAGTTGAAGTTTTACAGTAATGATGCCAGAATTTTGAGTGCAACGTGTCCAACTGAATCGAGTTCCACGAATAGCGGGTTTGTTGTTTTCCAAATATTCTTAGTTTTTTAATCTAAATATTTTGCAGAATTGTTGATGACGATTGTGTTTCAAATGATTTTGGATACGTTATTGCAGTTAAAAAGGTAGCTTGTTGCATTTTTTTTAAAGAAATTGAAATGAGATTTTGCAGAATTCTGGCAGATTTGAATGCAATACGTGTACAAAAATAGAGAAATCATTTGAAGCAATCAAAGAGCATCACAAAAACGTGCATGTTGGGGTGAGTATTTTTTGAATTAAAATCGACATATGTCTCAACTTGAATTGTTTTCAGGAATACAAAACACAAACACAGCGGAAGCAAAGATCAGCCAAAATGTCCAGAAATAATGGTTTTCAAAAAATGGATTCGAGCCCTGAAAAATAATTTTTGTGTTAAAAACAGTTCAATCTAGCCCATACAACAAATTTTCCGAATACACTGTTCCGTTAAAAATATTCCCTTCTAAAGTGCAATAAATATAAAAGTGTTTATCGTTCAATCAAATCCCCCGTAAAACGTGTCACTTTTGCTCTTCCCGTCTTTCTTTTCTCCTCTCAATGTTCTATATTTCTTCATCGTTTTTGTGCCCATCATCCACCTCCTCGGTTTTCGTTTTCCAACTTTTTTTCAATCATCTTCTTCTTCTTCTTCTTTTTCTCGCCGCTACAAGAGAGCACATCTCTAATTTTTTATACAACCAAGCAACCAACTCGGAGCCAGTCGAGGCCAAATGTTACAATTTTTGCGAAAAAAAGATGACTCACTCATTTTGCCAATAACAGCTGCTATTAGAAGGGGCTACTTTTGCTCTCTTCTTTTTTCCTCTCCGATCCTACAAAACACATCCATTCATTCATTTCATAAATAAAATATAGATTGATAAATATATATAAATATAAATTGTCGGAACGCTGTGTAAAAACCAGAGAGATAAAGAAAATGAGCGAAAAGAACGATTTTGAGGACAAAAACAAAACTTGGAAACAACTGACATTTTGGTTTTTAATTTAAAAGTTAATGAATTAATGATCATTTTTCTCTCGCAAAAAGTTTTTTCTCAGTTTTTGTGTTTTTGTGAGTGATGATGATAATTGATCGATTGCGTTCGGAATTTCTGGAAAGGTCATAAGAGATAGAGATGATGTTGTGTGCTCAAATTACGTTTTTTTTGTTGCTCTAACTGCAAAAGTACACATATACTTTGACCAGGAACTTGAAGGTGTACTGTAGGTTTTTGAAAACAATTTCACAACAAAGTATTTTTAAAAGATTTGGTTGGACTGCACGATTTTTAACCAACATTTATTTGGGAAAACGTAGGAAAACTCAGATGATTTAAATAACATTTTTTGAAAGTTCTCAAAAAAAAAATTAGAAAACCTTTCATATTCTTTAAAAAATTGGAAAAGTTTTTGAAATTTTATGAGAAAAATCTGGAAACAATATCAAGGTTGCAGAAGTGTTTCTAATTAAGGAAAGGTTAAATTTTGAAAAATTCTAAATTTCACAAGAAGAAGTATCAAATTTTTCAAAAAATAAATGTTTTCAAGTCCCCCAATTTTTTCTCAAACCATATACTAATTAGTTTTTCTTCTCATAAAATCTAAACGAACAGATGTAAAATTTTCTTTTTGTTTCACATCGGTCAGATTTTGTATCACCCTCAAGATAGTACCATAACTGTTCTGCAAACAAATCAATACATATTCACTTCCTCCCCTTTCAGAAAACAAACTCATTTCAAAAAACAATTGAAAACTGATGGAATGAACAACTGACTTTCAATGTTTCGGCAGCAAAAAACGCTGGGTCCCTCAAAAAAATTTGCTGCTGTTGTGTGTTGTGCACTTTAAGTGAAAAGGGCATATAATCTGGACACAAAAGAAGACGGATCAAATGTTTATATAAATATTCATTTTCTTATTTTGAGCAACAAAAAGTAAACAAAATTTTGTAGGATCAACCATATGTGAAGTTTGATGTGTAGATCATTACGAATATTTTTTTTTCGCTTTTGCATTTGGTTTTTGAGAAATGAGAGATTATTGGAGGACACAAAACATCTGGATTTTTCTACAAACATGAGGTTGCAAATATTTATAAAATTTTTTGATTGGAAGAATGATGACCTATGAAAGTTCAGAAATCTGATCGAGAATGTTTTTTTTCAATCCGAAGATAAAAAAAACATATTAGCTACGAGCTTCTGGACCACGTACGTGGAAGCATGGAAGTTTACAATGCTTTCTCGTACCGAAAAAAAACTTTTGAAGGTTCATTTTTCAATTTATAGAAATTTTCGTGAAAGTTCTCTTCGCAGTTATACTATCTCAAAAATGATTTTCAATTCATAATTCAATTTTTTATTCCTCTTCCCTCTTTCTTCAAAAGTTCCCTGATATTGCAGAACAAATGTTTCTCAGAAAAACTCCTCATCATATCTCTTCACATCAAAAATCCTCAAAATAACCTAGGTGACCTCATCTGACCGCTGGATAAAAAACGCGTGAACTTTCAATCAATCACGGATGAACCTCAATTCCTCATCTCTAAAAAAACACGAAATTGATAAATATGGATGGCAACATTACAATTCCAAGCTCATAGTACCTCCTGACACAACACAAATTCTTGCATCTTGCTTTCTTCCCCCAACATCTTGGCAACAGAAACGTATGTACATTAAAAAAAGTGGTCCAGATGAAACGCAACAAAAATATTATATCTATCTGAACTGTACGATTCGTTTTGCAGCTGTGATAACATCTGTGTATAAGATGTAAAATGTTTTAGATGAAATGACCAATTTTCTGCTCTCGTCATCTTTTAAAATGCAGGTGTCAAGTTCATCAAATTTTTTGTGTTTCAAAAGAGAAGAGACAATTTTAGTATAGATTATTTGTTTGTTAAAAAATGTTGTTTTTTTGTGGACGATGACGAGGAATAAGACATTAGCAAACATAGTGCTGCAAGTGGACAACATTTTGAAACATATTATGTAATGGAGGAATAATTTTGGAAATTATGAAAATATTATTGATCTTTAAAAATTCTGGGAAAATTTGAAAACGTTTGAGAAGAACTGTTAAAGAAAAGGAGGAGACAATTATCCATTCGAAGATTTCCGAATTACAGAAATCCTGAATTTTTACAAGTAAATTTTTGGTCAAATTGATGATAAAGATGTTTTTGAAACAAGTTTTGGGTAGGATTTTTGTCAGATTTCTGAGACTATTAAACATTTTTTCAAAAATGTCACCCACTTCACTAAATGTTAAAATATTTTTATTTATTTTCCAACTCTTACCCCTGAAAATGTCCCAGCAACATTTCATGCAAATTCCATGATCAAAATCCACAAAATTTTTAAAACAGCTTTCTTCTTTCACATTTATTATGTGTTATGTTATGAACAAAGGTGCTCTAAATCGAGTTCTACGAGTTCATCTGCGTCTCTCGCTTTTTTCACGTATCTATTTTTTCCAATGTATATATTATATTCATCTCCAATCTCCCATCTCTTCTATCCTGACAGGGAAGATACGTTTATATATTACAGCAAAAAGGGTTTTTGTTCGGTCGTCTGTGGCTCGCCTTCTGCTCTTTTCTTCTTCTTCTTCATATTTTTCTTATTCACATTTTATCTGCCAGCTTCTGCCCGTCTCCAACACCTTGTGCACTATTTCACTTTTCGCTGTAGAGCCCCGCCCATCGAGTTTGCGACTGATTCCTTCTTCTCAACTGGTGCTTTCACAGCCAACGGCTGCTTACCACCATGAAGCAACGAGCGCCAATCGGGTGAGTTTTAAGATTCTATTTTGGGAATTTATCTGAAACTAATTCTCTATTTTTCAGGCCTCTGTTGCATTTGGCTATATTAGCCCTGTTAGCAGTTAGCTATGTACAATCGGTGAGTTATCCTAATTTTTTGTTGTTGAAATATTTTTCCTAATTTTTTTTCTGAAATTTTATTCGTAAATTCTACTATCAAAATTTTCTGAAGCTGAATAACATTCCATCTGACAATTTGGAATTTCAAGAATCCATTAAAACAAATGTACATAGTTATGAAAATAAAATTGGTATTACGGTAGATAAAAAATGTAAATGAGTTTATCAATAAACATTTTTAGAAATCAGGATTTTACTAAACTGTTAAATTAAATGTACTGTGAATTGATTTGGTTTTGTCTGCAGATTACTGTATTAAAAATTGTTTTCTAAATTTTTAATCAAGTTTATGAAGTGTCCTGATTTCAGATGTTTTTTGGCAAATAGTCTACTGTAAAGAAAATTTTGAGTTTCTCTGTTAAAAAATTTTTTAATGAAATTACCGAACTTTAAAAATTTTTATTCTGTAGTTAACGATCATTCTGTGTATTTAGCGTTGAAATTTAGGGTCAAATTCATGATTAAATTATGTTTTTTTTAAATTTATTGTCGAAGACTTATGATAACGATTTCAAATTTTGTAGCGAATGACTGTGTTTGAATGTGAATCAATTTTCAGTATTTTTTTCATATTGTATCAGATTTCTCACAAATTATTTACTATTCATTCAAAATCTTTTTTGGTTGACTAAAATATGTTTACATTCAATTCTTTGAGAGTTCATAATATTAAAAAATGCTATCTTCTCTACCTGTCCAGAAAAGATTGACTGGAAATTATTATTATTAAATTTTAAAGCACAAACCAAATTCTTTTCAAAACAACTCATCTGAACTGTGAAAGCTTTTCCTATCTTCATCAAAAAAATTTGTTTTTCAGCAAGCAACGTGTAGAGATTGTTCAAATCGAGGATGTTTCTGTGTTGGAGAAAAAGGTTCAATGGTAAGTTGATAACTTATTTCAATCATCATCAAAAATTTGCATTATTTATTCATTTCTCACAAAAAGTTCTAATGATCTTCTTTTCTCATCTTTTTCGATTTCTTCTTTTCATCTCCACCACCACCTTTTTGTAACAGTTGGAAACGGGGTAGAAAAACGCAGAAAAAGAAAGAGGACAGCAGCAAAAGCAGCAGCTGTCATTCTCAAATACACACATATTTCGTCTAAGACTAGTCCAATCTAATACATCTCCTGGGTCATCCGAGGTCACAACAATTGCCACTATCATACATAATCAATTGACAGATCATTTTGTGAAAAATTCTAATTTCGAAACTAAACTTGCACTTGATTGATCGATGGGCACAGGGAACATTTTAAATCTAAATTTGATTTCAGGGAGCACCAGGGCCACAAGGACCTCCAGGAGCATCTGGAATTCGTGGATTCCCAGGACCTGAAGGATTATCTGGACCAAAAGGACAAAAAGGAGCTCAAGGTAAAAAAAAAACATCTGAAAAAAACACAAAAAATAGCTGAAGGAAATTTGAGAGACACATGTGTTCGTTTTGACTTGCATTCAGTAATAAAGTGCATTGTGTTCTCAATTACTTCCTCCGCGTTGTGTAAAAAACACAGAGAAAAAAAACAAATATATTTCAGGACCACCGGGACCTATTGGAACTAAAGGAGATCGCGGAGCCGCTGGAGTTCCCGGATTCCCAGGAAACGATGGAGGCAACGGAAGACCAGGAGAGCCAGGACCACCAGGAGCACCTGGATGGGATGGTTGCAATGGTACCGACGGAGCTGCTGGAATTCCAGGACGACCAGGACCTCCAGGAATGCCAGGTTAGTAAACACATATTTTGAGATGAAATTCTTATGATAAATGTTACAGGATTCCCTGGACCACCGGGTATGGATGGATTGAAAGGAGAACCAGCTATCGGTTATGCTGGAGCACCAGGAGAGAAAGGAGATGGCGGTATGCCAGGAATGCCCGGACTTCCAGGAGCACCAGGACGTGAAGGTTATCCTGGAGAAAAAGGAGATCGAGGAGATACTGGATTGGAAGTGAGTTTGTTTAAAAAATTATGGAAAGGCTCCTCTCCTTTTAAAAGATGTATTATACAATTGCCTTAGAGCCTTATTAATTCAGAGAATTTGAAGTTCAATGCAAAACACTTAATTCTCACTTCAATGTTTGCATTTAAAATATAGAGAATTTAAATTTTTTTTGAAAATAATACCCACAGAATTTATGAACTCTTCATGTGTTCATTTTCAGTTTTCTTAATATGCCCTTCAAAAGTTTCCTCTCCCCTCACACTATTAAACTGTTTCAGGGACCACGAGGACCACCTGGAGAATCTGGAATGCCAGGAAACCCAGGAATCGGAAGCATCGGACCAAAAGGAGATCCTGTGAGATATAATTTTGATAAAAAAGCACACACAAAAATTGAAATGTACCGGAGACACACACCCACACATTTTTTGACTTTTTTGCACAAACCTGCACCTTTTCGCACCAAATTTTGTTAAATCAATTAAATTCTTAATTTGTAGGGTGATATAGGTTCGGCCGGACCGCCAGGACCGCCAGGTCCACGAGAATTTACCGGTTCTGGCTCAATTGTTGGGCCAAGAGGAAATACTGGAGATAAAGGAGATAAGGTACTGTGATTCAATCTTTTTCATTTTATAGGGAGACATTGGTGGTCAAGGGCCACCGGGTCCACCAGGTCCAATCGCGTCTACAATGTCCAAAGGAACGATTATCGGTCCTAAGGGAGATCTTGGAGAAAAGGGAGAGAAGGCAAGAAACGAAATGTGTAGCAAAAAAAAACACAAAGCTTCACTAACTTGATAGCTAACCTTTTCTACTATCAGCTATTTTTATGTTTAGAAAATAACTATAATTTAGTTACTAAAATTAATGCTTCCTTCTCAAAACTGCTTAACTTCTCCAAAAATTAGACTTGCTCCAGACGCTTTGCATGTTGACCTGTTGCCTTGGTTATTTAACAATCTGATTTCTAATCTTGTAATTATTTTAGGGAGAACCAGGAGAGGCTGGACAACGAGGTTATCCTGGAAATGGCGGGATCCCTGGACAACCAGGAGTTCCAGGAATAAAAGGAGAAAAGGGATTGTCTGGACCAGCTGGACCAAGAGTAAGTTTTTTTAAAGATTATGTGTTGAATTTCGCAGAATTTAAAAAAGTCCTCCCACAAAACATACATAATCTATTCTTCAGGGAAAAGAAGGACGACCAGGAAATGCTGGCCCACCAGGATTCAAAGGAGACCGTGGTTTGGATGGACTTGCCGGATATCCAGGAAGCCCTGGACAAAAAGGAGAAGCCGGATACCCAGGAAGAGATGGACCAAAAGGAAATTCTGGACCACCAGGACCACCAGGAGTATGTTTTTTTCTGATTTTGAAAATTATTTTTTCTAGAAGACAATAAAAGTTTTAAAGCTTTCATACTCAAAAATATGACTTTCTAGGGCGGCTCGTTCAACGATGGACCACCAGGACCTCCAGGATTGCCAGGACGACCAGGAAATCCGGGGCCACCAGGAACTGACGGATTCCCGGGACAACCAGGACCAGCTGGACCAGTTGGAGCACCAGGAGGACCAGGACTTCCAGGATACCCAGGAAACGAAGGATTGCCAGGACCAAAAGGAGACAAGGGAGATGGCGGATATCCAGGAACACCAGGAGTTGCTGGACCACCTGGACTTCCAGGAATGACCGGACCGAAAGGAGAACCAGGGTAAGATATTCAGAATCATAACATTTAGAAAATTTCAAACTTTAGAAAATATTTTGAAACTATCACAATGAAACCTTCGAAAAAAAAAATTAACAAAATTCAGAAATTATTTTAATCTTATATACGACTCCTGATCATTCCCGGAACGAAGAAATCAATAAAACAAAAAACCAATGAAAAATGCATAGGTTTTCATTGAAAAAAAAACTTTCAAAAGTATTTCCACAGAGAATCATTTTCAGACAACAAAAACTCAAGAACATACATTTTCGTATCTTTTTTGTCGGTACTGTACATTTGAATTAATACAATAATATTTTCAGAGCACGTGGAACACCAGGACAAAGTATCCCTGGACTTCCAGGAAAAGACGGACGACCGGGACTTGATGGAGCCCCAGGAAGAAAGGGAGAATCTGGATTGACTGGAGTTCGTGGACCACCAGGAGATTCGCTCAACGGCTTGCCAGGAGCACCAGGACAACGAGGTCTTCCAGGTCCAAAAGGATATGACGGTCGAGATGGTATCAATGGATTGCCAGGAGCACCAGGACACAAGGGAGAGAAGGGAGGAACCTGCTCTGCTTGCGCTCCAGGATTCAAGGGAGAGAAGGGATTGCCAGGATATCCAGGACAACCAGGTCCACAAGGAGAGCGCGGTCTTCCAGGAACACCAGGACCAGCTGGAGATGGCGGAGAAGATGGCTTACCAGGACCAGCTGGACGACCAGGATCACCAGGACCCCCAGGTCAAGATGGTTTGCCAGGAGTACCAGGACAAAAGGGAGAACCGACACAATTGAACTTGCGACCAGGACCACCAGGATATCCAGGAGTGAAGGGAGAATCTGGATTCCCAGGACAACCAGGGCTTGAAGGACTTCCAGGATCACCGGGACCAGTCGGTCCACCAGGAACACCCGGATATCCAGGAACTAAAGGAGACGCTGGATTACCAGGACTCCCAGGAAAACCAGGAGCTGACGGGCTTCCAGGAATGCCAGGAGCTAAAGGAGAAGCCGGATACGGACAACCAGGGCAACCAGGATTCCCAGGACAAAAGGGAGAATCTGGATTCCCAGGATTGCCAGGAACACCAGGTCTTCAAGGAACACCAGGATTGCCAGCACCGGAAAATCAAGTCAACCCATCCCCACCAGGAACACCCGGAAACCCAGGTCTTCCAGTGAGTTTTTTTTTCATATCATATGATATTTTCAAAGTAATAGCGCAAACTTATTTGAATAGACAGTTTTCCAATGAAAATTCAATTACATTTCGATTATTACTAAATTTGTGATATTTTCCTAGATCTCTAAACATCAATGCACACAAATCTAGATATTTCTATAATCGATAAAAAAACATCAAAATTTTCAAAAGTTCAAAAGTACTGTTTCATATAAATAGTGTTACAACTTGCAGTCCACCCTCAAATTCCATCAGAATTTAAGATCGATTTTCACGATATTTTATGGGAAAAATCTTTAAATTCAGGAGTTTTAGTTGAAATTGAAGATCTTATTCTAACTTCAAGCAAAAAAATCATAAGGAGATATTCGAAATTTTCAGTAGAAACATTTTTTTTATTAGAAAATAGCAAATTGACAAACCATAAAACTCAAAAAAATTGATGTATCACACCGTTACATTTTTGAGTGTTAGGTAACGATTTTTCGAAAAATTTTTAAGCAAAACGATTCTGATTATCCAACTTTTGTAGCACTAGTTATGAAAAACCCTGTAGTATCTAGAAACTGTACTTTTTAATTATTTTTGATAATCATTGTAGCTTATTGTAGATAATAAGCTAATTTATTGAAATAATCTTAAATCTGATATTTTTCAGGGAGTGAAAGGAGAAAGCGGATATCCAGGACGGCCAGGAGAGGGAGGACCACCCGGATTCCCAGGACTTCCAGGATCAAAGGGAGATTCTGGATTACCAGGACCACCAGGTCTTCCAGGATCAGCAGGATATCCAGGAGAAAAAGGTATCGCTGGATTCCCAGGACAACCAGGACCAGTCGGACCAAAAGGAGAAGCTGGACAACCAGGATTGCCAGGATATCAAGGAGCTAAAGGTGAAGCTGGAATCGGATATCCAGGACAACCAGGAGCACCAGGATTCCCAGGAATCAAGGGAGATGCTGGATTCCCAGGACTTCCAGGACAACCAGGACTTGAAGGACAACGTGGATTCCCAGGAGCACCAGGATTGAAGGGAGATGGTGGTTTGGCTGGTCTTCCAGGACAACCAGGATTCCCAGGAGAAAAAGGAGATGCCGGACTTCCAGGATTGCCAGGAAGAGAAGGAGCACCAGGATATCCAGGACAAGATGGACTTCCAGGAGCACCAGGATCGAAGGGAGATGATGGACTTCCAGGAGTTCCAGGAGTTACCGGATTGAAGGGAGACTCTGGATTACCAGGAACCCCAGGAGCACCAGGATTGCCAGGAGCACCTGGATATCCAGGAATGAAAGGAAACAGCGGAATTCCAGGAGTTCCAGGATTCAAGGGTAAGATTTTTTGATAACCTAGAAAACCAACAAAAACATTGTGCAAAAATTAGGCCATACTTGAATTCAACGTTTTCCTTGACAAATTTCCTCCAATCATTTCTCGAAAAAAATTAGAAATTCCTAAAACTTGTTTTATGACAATCTTTCACTATGAATTTATCAGAATGATTTGGCTTAAAATAATGTTGATGGATGGTGTTACCGTGAAAAGTTACATTTTCCAAGGATCGAAACTCAGAGTTTCAATCTTCGGAAGGTTGTCACAAAACAAGTTTGGGCAAATTCTTTTTTTATTGTAACAGGAATAATCGCGTTTTTATAAAAAGTCACTTCTAAATTTTCAGGAGAGAATGGATTGCCAGGTTTGCCAGGAGCTATCGGACCAAAGGGAGAACTTGGTCTTGCTGGACAACCAGGATTCCCAGGACAAAAAGGAAACAGTGGACTTCCAGGAGTTCCAGGCCGAGATGGACTTCCAGGAGCACCAGGATTCAAGGGAGATCGTGGATTCAACGGATTGCCAGGAGACAAAGGAGAACCTGGACCGGCTGCTCGTGACGGACAAAAGGGAGAATCTGGTCTTCCAGGACAACCAGGTCTTCGTGGGCCAGCTGGACCATCTGGACTTCCAGGAGCACCAGGACTCAAGGGAGAAGCTGGACTTCCAGGATATGGACCACCAGGAGTGCCAGGAGAAAAAGGATTGGCTGGAATTCCAGGAAAATCTGGACGTGTCGGAGCACCAGGACTACCAGGACAAGATGGCCTTCCAGGATTCCCAGGAGTCAAGGGAGATAGCGTAAGTTTATTACTTCAAACCTGAACTTTGAAAAAAAACAACACGTTTTTCAGGGTTTCCCAGGACAAGACGGATTGCCAGGACGTGATGGACTTCCAGGAGCACCAGGCTTCAAGGGAGACATCGGAGCCGCTGGAGAGCCAGGACTTCCAGGAGCCCCAGGAAATGATGGACTTCCAGGAGTACCAGGAATTCGCGGAGACAAGGGACAATCTGGGCTTCCAGGGCTTCCAGGAGACCGTGGATTGGATGGAGCTCCAGGATTGAAGGGAGATTCCGGATATCCAGGACAACCAGGAGTACCAGGACTTGCTGGAGAGAAGGGAAATGATGGAGCACCAGGATTCCCAGGAATCAAGGGAGCACCAGGATACCCAGGACAAGACGGACTTCCAGGAGTTCCAGGATCAAAGGGAGACTCTGGATATCCAGGACAACCAGGACGTGACGGACTTCCAGGAGTGCCAGGAGAAAAAGGATTCTCTGGACAACCAGGATTGCCGGGAGCACCAGGACAATCATTCCCAGGACCAGTCGGGCCACCAGGACAACCAGGATTGCCAGGAAAAGAAGGATACCCAGGAGTTCCAGGACAAAAGGGAGAATCTGGACTTCCAGGATTACCAGGAGCTGGTGGATTCAAGGGAGAAGCTGGTTTGCCAGGGTTCCCAGGACAAAAGGGAGATCTCGGACTCAACGGACTTCCAGGACAACGTGGAGAAAATGGACTTCCAGGAGTTCCAGGAAGAGATGGTCTTCCAGGAGCACCAGGAATTAAGGGAGAACTTGGAGCCAACGGTTTCCCAGGTGCACCAGGAGCCCCAGGAGTTCCAGGACTCAAGGGTAAGTCTGGCTTGAATTTCTAACTCTATTGAAATTCTCAAACTGGTTTCAATTAATAATTGATTTTTTATTTCAGGAGACAGTGGATTGCCAGGATTCCCTGGACCAAAGGGAGATTCAGGACTCCCAGGACAACCAGGAGTTCCAGGATATGCTGGAGAGAAAGGAGATTCTGGACTTCCAGGGTTACCAGGAAGAGATGGATTACCAGGAGCTGAGGGACCAGTTGGACCACCAGGACCAGCCGCACCAGAAAATATTGTTTCCCCAGGAGAAAAGGGACTTCCAGGTCTTCCTGGAGTTCCAGGACTCCGCGGAGAGAAGGGAACCCCAGGACTCGACGGAGCTCCAGGAAACGACGGCCCACCAGGTCTTCCAGGACAACGTGGAAACGACGGTTTGCCAGGAACACCAGGATATCCAGGAGAAAAGGGAGCCTCAGGACTTCCAGGATTCCCAGGAACTGAAGGATTACCAGGAGGCCCAGGAGCCCCAGGTTTGCCAGGATCGCCAGGACCAGCCGGTCCAGCTTATCGTGACGGATTCGTTCTTGTCAAGCACTCGCAAACCACCGAAGTTCCAAGATGTCCAGATGGTCAAGTCAAACTTTGGGACGGATATTCATTGCTCTACATTGAAGGAAACGAAAAATCCCACAACCAAGACCTCGGTAAGTGTTTATACTAATCGAGGTGTTTTCTTTTTATGAGTGCGCGAATTCAAATTCGAAATTTTACAGGACACGCTGGATCCTGCTTGCAACGATTCTCAACAATGCCATTCTTGTTCTGCGATTTCAACAATGTTTGCAACTATGCTTCAAGAAACGATAAATCTTACTGGCTTTCCACCTCTGCTGCTATTCCAATGATGCCAGTTAATGAGCAAGAAATCGAACCATACATCTCAAGATGTGCAGTTTGTGAAGCTCCAGCTAATGTTATCGCTGTTCACTCTCAAACTATTCAAATTCCAAACTGTCCAGCTGGTTGGTCAAGTCTCTGGATCGGTTACTCCTTTGCTATGCACACCGGAGCTGGAGCTGAAGGTGGTGGTCAATCTCTTTCTTCACCAGGATCGTGTCTCGAAGATTTCCGTGCTACTCCATTCATTGAATGTAACGGAGCTCGTGGATCGTGCCATTATTTCGCCAACAAATTCTCATTCTGGCTTACCACAATTGACAATGACACTGAATTCAAGGTGCCACAAAGTCAAACTCTCAAATCGGGCAATTTGCGCACACGTGTTTCAAGATGCCAAGTTTGTGTCAAATCAACTGATGGTCGCCAATAATTGTCATTCAATTAACATATTTATCAATTTATTATTATTCAATTTTTGTTCTCAAAAAAGTCTACTTGTTCAATTCTTTCAGATTGCCAAGTTCAATTATTTTCTATGTTTAAAATTAATTTTTTATCCCAACGAAAAAAAAACTTCATCTCTGCCTTTGTTTTTGTGATCACCCACTTTTCAAGACTCGCCTTATTAAAAACTGCCACAAATTTGTATCTAGTAATAAAGATCCCCCAAATAATTGATACATGCTAACATTATTATTATTATGATATTTCAAATAAATTTTCTTCATTGAATGTGTTTATTAATTTCATATATTTTATCGCAGAAAAATTGATTGTTGAAAAAATGGATAGAAAAGCATTTGAAAAATACTCGTTTGGACTTAAGAGGGTCATCTTGTATTTACACATATTGGAAAATTATTTTTTGATGTGGGAAAATGACAAATTATTAAACAGAACTTGTGTGATCATGATCATCGTGTTTCGCTTCATCATTTGGAAGTTTACAACAACCTTGATCGAAGAAATGACAACTTCTGGCTACACAAATTGATGCATTTTGTTGGGATTCATCGTCGTCTAGGAATTGGGGATTGATAATGACCTGAAATTTGAGAATGTTTTGAGATATTTTGTTGAGATTGTCAGAAACTTGTACTAAAGACTCTTCAAGTTAACTAATTCTGAATGAAAAGTCAATGAAATTCAGGAATTTTATCATACATATACTAATTGATAATAACTTCTTGTTTTATTTTGAATTCTAAAAATCTAATGTAAGAAGAAATGTCAGCTTCAATTTTTTAATACAAATCCTCATAAATTCTTCAAGCCATTTTCAAAAATCTGACTTTTTAAAATAATGTTCATTGAAGTTTAGAACTTTGTTATCGAAAATTCAAAAATAATCTCATTCTTATATTGTTACATTTTATTGTGTGCAACAAATCAATAACATTTGATGTTCCCATAAAAAGTCATTCTTATTCTCCCTCTTTTATTTACATATTTTTTCAAAATTCTCGAAAAATTACCTCATTCGCTCCCCAATCAATAATGTCTTTTGTTAGCGCATCACGAATTTTATTGAATGAATCTACAGTATTCAAAACATGACTCTCGTCATTATCAGGTTTTCTAATCATCACATCCATAATTACTTCAATTCGATTTGGCCAACATTCATACGTATGAAAATGACTGACACCTTTTAATTGTGGGTGCTGAAAAAAATTGTATGAATTTGATTTTCAGAAGTTAAAATCCTCTTACCTGCAGTTTTGTTCTTTCAATTATGCTGGACATATCAGCTTCAGCCGATGGTGGCGTTTTCAAAAGTAAGTATTTTGAATAAGGTTTTGCTGTAATTATCAATTGTAAAATGCCTGATTTCTGAAAGATCAAGAAAACACTTACAATCAACAAACAATACGATTCCAACAAAAATTGTTAGGAACAGACAAATGAAAGGTTCGGCACGATATTCAGTGAGATCATATTTGAGACAAGCTAAAATATACTCTTTGTAATTTTATTTATAAAGTATGAAGAGAAAAAGAGTTTACCAATCGCTATAATTGGTGGTAAAATGAGCAATGCGATATATCGAATTGTGTAGCGAAGAACACTTGCAGCTTGGAATGATACAATGACTGGAGAAACAAGTTTGCATACAAAATCGATGCAGGTTAGATAGAATTGATTTTCTGAAACCGTTTGGAGTTTGAAACATGAAGTAAATAAATTTTAGTGCTTGGTGATTTGAAGCTAGAAAATTATTACAGCACGTATTCTGTTGATTTTATGATTTCGATAAACTTTACGAGTTTATAACAAAAAAATGGAATAGTTATGATGATGGTATGTTTAAAAATCAAAAAAAAATTAAAAAAAATAGAAATAAATGAATAAAAAAGGTGAGCCTGACTTGGAAACTAAAAATCCATGAAAATCAATCGAGTTTTCAATATATGTATTCTTCCAAAGTAAACTTTTAATGTTTCAAATTTTTCCATCCCCAAAACAACTCACCAAGCGCCAATCCACAAATCCCATCAACATGTTCATGCGAATGTCCGTGATCATCACTAGAATTACCAGATTCACCGTGTCCCAAATCAGTTATCGCTTCGAAAATATGACTCAAATTTATAAAAAGCCAAGCAATTGCAACAATCGGAGCGGAAACTCTGAAAACATAGTTTTTTCAATGAAAAAATCAATAATTCTCACCTTGTTAATATAGAAAACGCCATATTTTGCTTCGGAATACAAACTTCTACGGAATTCACTACACACATCAAAGTCATCGCGAATACGATATTGAACAATGCCGAATGAAAACATATACTTGCAAGGTACTGAAAATGTCATTAATTATTGTTTTAATTAACAATTTTATGTGAATTTTAGAACTATTCTTACCTCGGTCAACGTCAGTAAAACAAAACAAAACAGGATTATGTAGCGTAGCATTTTTATCTGTAAAAATGAAATTTTAAAGAAAAAAAATGAAATGAAAGGCAAAACAAGTCAATAAAAAGTTACACAAAAATGTTCCTCAAATATTTTTATTCTTGTTCGTACTTTTGTCTGCACGGAAAAAAGCCTATTTGATAAGCCTAAATGTTTCCATTTTGATAGCAAAAAATTGTGAATGAATGAAAGATATGAAGGAAAAAACCGACTATTTACATACGAATGACAAAATGACAACATACATAGCCTAAAAATAAAGCGTCAGTACGAATTCGGACAATATTTGCTTTTTCGAAATGTTTATTTTGAAAAGGCAAGAAGGTTTGATGAATCAGATGATCAAAATCATTAAAATCATTATTATAAGAAAAATATGAAAGTTTCACAATTATTCAACTCAATGAAAATTACTCACAGACAGAAAAATGTGCAGTGTGTTTGCACCAACACATTTTATTTGACGACAATTTTTATATTGCAGCGTGCGTTTCCCTTCCCATTTCCTTTTTTCTAGAAGAAATAAGAGAAAACGCGCGAGAAGAAATGAAAAAAGAAGGAAAGATGAGAAAATTCTGGCAGTTGCTAGGAACATTTCGGGAAAATATGACTTATGACGTGATGTTGGCAGGGAGACTTTGATATTTTCAGTTTTGGAAAAATATGATTGATAAAAAACTTGGAACATAATTTATTAGGAGAGTTTTTTTGCATGGAAGTCATATAATTTTTTAATTTTTTGTTCCAAATTTCTTATCAGTTCTCGACAAAACGGTTGTAAATTTGATTTTGCGACATGTTATTTCAAAAAAATATCCGAAAAATAATACAGATTTGAGAAAATATTGGAAATTTTTGATTTAGGCAGTGCGAAACGTGCCTAACTTTTAATAGACCTCAAAAAATGTCTTATCAGTTTCCAAAAAAAGCTTTTAAATTTAATTTTGCGATTTTTTTTCTCCAAAAAATCATAATTGCATTTTTCACGAATGTTGAATAACTCATAGATTTCGAAAAAAAACGTACTTCATATCGGGAAAAATACATTTTCGAAAACACAGGAGAAAAATAGAGTGGTCAATTTGATATTTTTATTTTCAAAAAACAATGAAAGTTGATAAGAAAAATTGACACTACAGAATATTCCGAATGTTTTGGCAATAATGGAGATCTTGAAAAAAAAATTATTTTTATGGAAAAATTAGATTTAACAGTTTTTTTTGGAAACTACTGATAAGATATTTTTGAGGCCTTTGAAAAGTTAGGCATAGTTCGCACTGCCTGAACTACAACTTTCAGAACATTTGAAGTGTCAAATCCAAAGTCAAAATGTTATCTTCGAATAAGACAACATCAGATATAAAACTTGTTATTAGAAAAACTGATCAAGAGTTTGAGCTAAAATTTTAAATAATGAATAAATATAGAAATGTTCTCTGCAAAATTAATTCAGCACGAAAAAATGATAAGAAATTTCTGATCCCTGAAAGATTACCACAAAAATAGATAGTGAAGCTCAACCCACTATCTATAAATAAAATATTTTCCCGAAAATCCAATTTCACCCAAAGCAAGTTTGAAAAATACGAATTGATAACGTTCTAGAAAGAAACATTTCATGATTGAAGCATTTCTGATTTGAAAAAAAAACCTCTGCGAAAAAATTGATAAAAAGTTCCCCTTTATTATGTTCTTATCAATTTCCCACAGACGAGACCAACAAAGTTTTAAGATTTATTAATTAAAATAGATACATAAGAAAATTAATTAAATGCAATTCAGTACAAAAAATCACAATTAAATTTGGCAAAAATAGTGTACAATAAATATAATGTTTACTAGAAAATGAATGCCCTAACCAGCAAAAGTTTTTTTTTTGAAAATATGAAAATGAAACTTAAAATGAAAATAAAATTGAAAATAAAAGATCTAAGCTCTTCAGAAACCAAAAAAACAGACAGAAAATAGAACTTTTGAAGAAGAGAGAGAGAGAAAGGTGGTTTGGTATGGAATGTTAAAGCAAGTATGGAAAGTAGATGAAATCAAATATGACTCAAATCAAACATGAGATTTTCTTTGAACAATTTTTTATAGTTGTTTGTTTTTGAAAAAAGGTGAGAAGTTTCAATAAGATGCTTTTTTGGTTTGAAAAAATGTTGAGGGAAAATGAACAAATATTAGAATCATATCAGCCATTGCATGTTTCACTATCCGATTGTCTATATGTTTGATATCTGCAAAAATAACGAATATGGAATTAGGATATTTTTGCTGAAAATCAAAGGTGTTGAAGTTCTTTAAAATGATCTTAACTTGTGTCATTCACAGTCAAATACGAATATTAAAAAAACGGCACCCTGATATTTCCCTAACTGGTTCATTTCTATTTACAATATTTCAAACCTTCCTCTCATTTTCCAAATGAGGAATGTTCACCCTTTACAATTTGCATACCTTTTATATTGTTCAAAATGATACTGCCAATCCGTAATCAACTCATTCTGCCATTTATCCATTTGTTGTTTCCAAACAAGATACGGATCACCAACATCAGCTGAAAATGTTTTCTTTCATTCAACATCTTCTCATTCCCAAAACTAAAACTTACCAACAGCCGCCATTAAGTTTGGCAAATACCCTTTCCAAAAATTGCATTCTTTCCTCCTTGGACCATGTCCGATTCTTTGATGTTTCCTTGGATATGATGATTCAACGGTCATATTCATATATTCCATAGATGTTGGATTATATTTTGGCCAAACATCAGCTGTATATGAACCATCTTCATTTTTGTTTGGATCACTAGAAATAATTTAAAGATCAGCATTTTGATTTTTATGTTTAACTGAAGAGAAACTAACCCAGTTCTAGCAAAATTGGCCCAATATTTCATGAATCTTGTGCTCAATTCTCTCTCCTCATCTGTGTAATTGAAACGTTCTCGATTAAACGGTTCTCCGAAAATGAAATTGATCTCATAACCGTGTAAAACACCCATCCATTCAGGCCAAGTTTGAGCACTTGCTCTGAAAATGTTCCCGTTTTTGATAAGAAAAAAATAAATCAAAAATCAAAAATTTTCAGAGAGGTCGATTTCATCATTATCGGAAATTTAAACCTTGATTTTTTTATCAAAGTACAAAGAATTTTGGTTGGTGAATGAGAACTTGGAAATATTATTATAAGTATGTGGGGTTTCGAGACGAATATGATGAAATATATTTTTACCTTACTATGACAGCTTGAGGATAAGAATGTTTGTTTGATATCAAAAAGTCATGAAAAATGTTACTTTTTATTCCGGATCACCCACGACGCCAATAGATTAATTATTGTTGTCTGTGGCCCATTAATATTCAAAAAAGTTCAGAGTTGTATTCAAACTTCTAACAAAAGACGTCATATATTTTTATGTACTGATAACAACCCCGTGTGTGGTCAATGTATATATTTTGTGTTTTAATTTCAGATCCAGTAAAAAAAACTAACCTATGTGTGAAATAATAATAGAAAGTATCACCACCGTGTTTGGTGTGTGCCAAAGCCATTTCATTAACACTGCATGTAAAATGATAATCTCCTAACATCTTATCCATTGCGTTTAACCAATCTCGAGGGGAAACTGAAAATATTCTCTGCTTTCATTGTTTCAATGCTAAATTTCTACAAACCTGGAAAATTGGCTGGTTCATATTCATGTAAAACTGCTGCCAACGTTAATTGACATTTCAAAATCTGTCTGGGCAACAGATCTTTAACACCTTTGATCCAAATACTTCGATCTTTCACAAACTCATTTTTCTCAAAAAAATCTTTCACCGGGAAAATTTCCTATAAATTAATTTATTGATTTTTTGAAAGTTGAAAACAACAAAAACTTACAGGTAATTGATACGTTAGAAAATAAATACTCTCATCGCGATTGCTTCCAACTAACAACTGGGTCTTTTTGAAGTTTCCGCGTTTCAGCGATGTTTGCGCGCTTTCCAACAAAAAATCACCATCGACAACAGGAACCCACGGAAAATCGCCAAATTCTCGAACCGGAGCCCACTCATTTTCTCTGAATTCAATTCATATAAGAAATTAATGAAAAACATTGCTCACTTTAAATCAGCTGCTTCTGCTCTTTGAAAACATTCCAAAATTCGGTCATAATTTGGGCTGCTCAAAGACATATTTCCACATTTCATAGCATTGTATAAAATAACAGCGCGAGCTAGAGCTACATCTCTTGGCTCAATTGCCCATGGCGAAGTGGCTGAACCGGATTGGAGAATGGCGCGCTGAAAATGGATATTTGATGTTAATTATTATAAAAATGTATCTACCCAAATATTTTATTCAATGAACTTTTGTAAAAATCAATGAGACTAAAATTATCAAAAATTTGACAAAAAATTTGGAACGCTTCACGAATTTGCGTGTCATCCTTGCGCAGGGGCCATGCTAATCTTCTCTGTATTGTTCCAATTTTAGTATATGTTCTCGGAAGAACGAAAACTAATCATACACTTCTAGTTATATAGGTATGGCTATCCATGTGGCCGACGTTTCACGGGAAAGGAGAACTAGCATAAAAATAATAGGAAAAGGGAAGGGTGTGAAAATTGTCACATTCTACACCTGTTGGGAATAATTTTTAAAAACTAACACTATTTTGGGAACACTTTTGAGAACAAAAGTAATACAAAGAAAATTTCGATTCAACTCACATGGAAATATGGTGTACTTTGATGACTTAGCATATGTATACTGACTGAAGCAGCCCCAGCTGATTCACCAAATAATGTGATACGTTCCGGATCTCCTCCAAAATTTTGAATATTTCTCCGTACCCATTTCAACGCCATCAATTGATCCCATAATCCCATGTTTCCTGGAGCTTCTTCTCTATTCATATATAGAAAACCGAAAATTGATACGCGATAATTCATTGCAACTATTATTACGTTTTCTTCTCTGGAAAATGGTACTTTTGAGATATTGAAAGATTTAGAAACTACAAAGTAAAAATGTTTAGTAGCTGTAGAATATGGTAATGTTTTTTTTTTCACAAAATGGAACTTTGTTTCTATCCCAAAACTTACGTAGAAAAAATTCGACCATCATAAACATCAAGCGTACTTGTTCCCGACCAAAATCCTCCACCATAAACCCAAACCATGACCGCTAATTTCTTATTCGGATCCACAGTTCCAGGAACATACACATTCAAATAGAGACAATCTTCAGAAATTGGTGTATTCGGATTCCACATTGTTGATCCATAAAATGTCCCAAAATATGTGTCCTCACTTTGTATACAACTGTTTGGTGGGACAGTAGCGTTGAGCACCGTCCGCCATGGTCGTTTTTCACGAGGTTTCCGGAATCGTAGCTCATTTATGGGTGGCTCCGCAAATGGTATACCTAGAAATCGTGTCAAAGGTTTGCCAGTTGGTGCTAGAACTTCTTCTCCAAATAATGGTGAACCATCTTGCAATTTTATTATATTTGTGGCTAATATCTGAAAATTTTTGAATTCGTTAATGAAAAAATCTTTAAAAACATTGTATCCAGATAGGCCCACAAACTTACGAAAGGCAGAAAAATGAAGAAAAATAATAGATCTTCTCGCATAATTCATTCAACAAATCATAACTTTAGTCTATTTTCAAGTCTCCTGAAATAAACTTTTTTATTTTGTTTATTTTTTTTCAATTTCCAATTCCAAGAAAAACGAAAATCGAATAAAATAAATCAAAGATATAAACAAAAAAGCGCAATAAATTAAAATCCTTTTACTCCCATATGTTATTTTCCGACCCATTAACCACGTGCACCTTTATGGTGAGAATGAGAAGTTTTATGAACTCGTAAAAAACATGAGCAGAGTTTTTTTCAGTAGGTAAGTGATATATAAAAGAGCAAAAAACTGGAGAAAAATAGATTAGGATTAAAAATGAAAAGGTAATCAATTTATCAAATTATTTGTGTAATGTGGAATGAAAATTGATCACATGTAAGTTGGCTGAACATTGTTTGTCTTTTTACATTTGAAAAAAACACATGTACAAAGTTTTTATTTTAAAAGAATAATCTGTGAAATGAGTAAAGTGGAAGTTTTGCCAAAGAAAGGATGGCAAAACATTGTGGGAGGTCTCATACCAAATATAAAGCAAGATAAAAATTTTTCAAGAACAGAGAGTTGTTAGAATGAAATAATTTTATCTTCATGGGACGTTTTTTTTACAATTTATAAAAAGATGTTCAAATTTCGAACTTTCAAATCTATCGAATTAAATAAATCGACGTGGGTGGTCTTGTTTCAGAAAAAATTCCAATAAATCTTTAGTTTTTAAGAAATATGAGCAAGTTCAGATGAATATAGTACACTCATAACTTCAATCAAACCTAAACGCTCCTTCAAAATTTAAAAACCTCAACTCTCAAAAGTTAGACAAAATATGACTTTTTTTCAACAAACAAAAATGATATGTTTTGATGAGTCATCCTTCCTTCGAAAAAAAAACACAGGTTAAAAAAATAGTCGACAATTTTTTTGGCCTAATGTTTCGCTCAAGTGTTTGTTCAACACAACAACACAGTGTTCTTCCTAGAAAAAAGCCCAATTTTTTGCGGGGTAGGTGAAAAAATTAGAGATAAAATTGAAAAAAGACAAAAGAAAAGTGTCGATCGCGAACAGAGTATCAATACAAGATGAAATAAAATAAAACGTCTTGTAAAACAATTTTTTGCGGAAAAAAAATCTTGTAAAAAGGATCCCGCTAGAGTGAGATACATAAGTCAAGTTACATGTGTGTACACAACACTTTTGTGATACGTACTGCTGCCTGCTCAACGACCTTTAGGTCTCTTTGAGCAGGCTGCCTATAAAAACCTGATTTTATCACTTTTTAATTGGCTGGATCACGAATTGTTTTTGTTTTTTCATCTATCAAAACTTTTTAGAAAAAAACCGGGATTTTCAGAAACGTTGTTTAAAGCTAAAAAAAATCAGAAGAAAGTGAAATTGACTCTTAACCTCTTCATCTTTTCTTTTTTGACTAGGACATAGATACATATGTTGTAAACATGTTCATTTCTCATGTTTCAATCGGATATCAGATATTTATCGCTTGAAAAAAGCGATCGATTGATTGCTTCTCGGCGACGACGATGAGCACAAAAAACATTATTAGCAGACAGAAACAAATTATTTGAGTGTGATCAGTTTTGGAAAAAAAGAAAGAGAAATTGGGTAGGAAAATATATGCATTTGGAATTATGAGATCAGAAAAAAGTTGTCAGAAAGTTGGAAATTTTTGCTGTGAGAACAAATGGCCAATTTATTGAGAAATTCTGATCCAGGTGTTTAGATAATGTATTTCAGATTATTGATATAAAAATAAAAAATTCAAATCTTAACAAATTATCGAATTTTTAGACAGATACAAAAATCAATTTAATACAATAATTGAAATTAATTTTAAAAAAAAGTACGAATATTATAAAAAAAACATGGCAACCTGCAAACTAAAAAACAAGTTTCATTACTTTTTTCAAGCATTTATAGTTCCCAAAAAATTAATGATAATCTCCAGATGCTCCGGATTTCCGGACACATTTAAAATATCATATATTTCAAATACCAAATTTTTATTTCTGAAGACATTGTTTTAATCCACATTCTACTTTGGAAAAAAACCGGAAACAATTATCAAAAAAAATGAATGTGACAATTTTTCGACAAAAACACATACATATTTCAAAAAAAGTTGTGAGAAACGAAAAATTCTCATATTTACGATTTATGAGATATGAATTAATGTTGTAAAAAATATTTTGAGAAAGAGATATAAAGAGTTATGTGAAATCAATATTTTATTGGAATCAACGTTTGGAATTATCTCTCCTTGAATTTTGGAAATTTTTTTCGCAAAAAATTGGTTTATATAATATTCAAATTTTGGGTCGGAAGCTTCATCAATTATTGAAAAAAAAAAGAAAATAAATTGAGAGAACTTTTGCGAAGTGCAAAGAGATTTTTTTGGTGGACAAACTGAATATTTTGGACACAGCATGAAAATTAAAGATAAAATTCAACATTGACAAAAATCGAAGAAGCAAAATCAAAAAAAAAAGAAAAGATGAAAAGAAAAGCAAAAAGATTGAGATATTGCTCCAAACTACTGATATAATACGAACGAAAAGAAAACGAAAGGGGTCCCCTCTGGTTTCATCTTCAGGTTTTCCAACATCAAAAAGACAGTTGTGGTCGCACAAATTTTACTACTATTTTATATTTTTACTACTTTTTTTCTAACTCACATTTGAACATTCATCCAGTTTTACAGTAAATGAAAAAATAATGAAAAGTGAGAAAAACTTTCACCAGACATTTTTTAAGCAACTCAAAAAAAAAAGAATATTTTTTTGCTCAACAATGTGTCAAACAACAAATTACCGAGATGGACGTTAATGAATTGATGGGAGAAGAAACGACGTCTTATTTTTTTTCGAAAGTTTGAAGAGTAAAAATAAGCAGGAACATTTGTGAAGGGAATGTTGGAAAGTTAGAGACAAAAAAAGCTTGATGAGGCAAAAAAGGCAAAGTTCCTAGGAATTTCCGGTCCAGGTGGATCGAGTTACAGTTAATTGTGGAAACTTGGTGGAAACAAAGAAATTTTTGCGAGTATCTCTTTTGGAAGTTAGTTATTTAGGGAAATATTCTAATTTTTTGGGAAGATTCACATTTTTGTACATAGATATCACATACTGTTTCATTTGTACGTTTTAATTTGCTGATTGTGAGTTTTAAAAGACATTGAGAAAACAGAAGTTTATTGGAATACTGAAATAGTTTTGGCCCCCAAAAGAATTTCAGTATATCATTCATGAAATTTTCAAAATTTCAAGTTTTCCAAGTTCATCTGATTTTTCTAAACCAGTCACGTTATTCTGCTCTGACAATCACTTGTCAACAACATTGAAAAAACTTCATTTTCACGTTGTCTCATCTTTTTTTTGTTCTTCTGCTTACAATTTACGTCATCATCTTCATCATGTCCTTTATCACACTCAAACACAACTTTTCATCTCCACCCAAACAACTGGCTCAAAAAAACTGCAAATTTGTGTGTGTATCCATCAATCGTTCAACAATATATCGAGATATATTTTTAGGTCGGTCTCCAATATCAATTGTCAAATTTTGAATCCGTTTTTGCTCTCTCCACCAATGTTCTCTCATTTTTTCTGTACGTACATCTATCACTCAAAAAATATAAAGATATCTGTTTCTTTTATCTCTTTTTTTTCTGTTTCGGCTTATTCGCTTTTTTTGTTCGGACCAATCGCTCAATTATCATTATTTTTCTTTTCAATTTAGCAGGTGTCATTTCGACAAAAGATAACCGCAAGAAATATTAAAACGATGATTGATTGTGTTGAGCATCGATGACTATTTTTTCCAGGGTTCGAAGTTTTTGATTTGGGACGATCAGAAATCATAATAATATTGGATTTTGTGGATATCTAGGTTAAAGTTCGAGTTTTTATCTTGGGTGGTCTAAACAAATAAAACCCAGGTGGTATTTCAAGAATGTGAAAGATTCCGATCTCAACGTAGACATCATTTCCAATTATGTTGCAGACCCCCAACAATATTGAAGCAGTTTCGCCTTTTCTGTTCTCTCAAAAACGTTTTATTTGTATAAATATGTACAAGATCACGAAAAAAATCTGGTTAAATATGAACACAAACGAAAAATGTCTATTGGAATGTCTAAAACAAAGATATGTATCGAAATAGTTTCGTTTCTTTTCAAATAAAAACACGGGGTTGGAATTTATGCAAATTTTTGTTATTGTAGAATTAAAGCCAATCAAAAAATACAAAATTATTGTAAAAACAAAAAAAGAAGGAATGAGTTCACAAGGAAGTAGATGAAGATGAAGAACATGAGGATGCTGAATTATCGATTGATGAGGAATATTGAGAATAATCATAATATTGAGTGAGATCAGCTTGTTTTGGCATTTCCCAAGCTTCTTCTTTGATAATTTTTGCTTCGGTATCTTCTATTGCAAATACTGTGTCGGCAAGTCTGAAATTAAAAACTAGAATCATTTTTAAAAAGTTTACTACATTTTCATTCAGAACATGGGATTTTTCTTGGCTCCGCCTATTTTCAGAATAAACAATCATAGCCTTCTCACTAACCTTCCACTAACAAGTTCATAAAACTTCTCCTCAACGGACGACACATTAAAAACATGCGTAATCTCTACGTCTTCCTGAAACCTCCTCACTGATCTTTGCAACGCCGGTAAAAGAACAAGAAGATTAGCAAGTCTCATCGAAGGGTCTTCTATATTTTTTTGAGTGCGATAATAAAATAACACTTCTCGCAAAATTCTATCACGTGATAATCTTGCTAAGTTGGCACAATCTTCAGTCTGTCCTTCTAAACCATGATCCCATAGAACCAAAGAACATAGGGTGAAAAATTCATAAGCATCAACTTTTTCACGTCTCATGGGATCCAAAATATTCCGTCGATAAATATCGAATGATGGACCAAACATTCTAAAAAATTGTTTCCTTGTTTACTCACTAATTACCGAATTAATTAATTAATGAAGGTCATACCTGACCGCATCTTCCACACTCATTAATGGATGACCATTTTGATCATTGTAAAAAATTTCCGGCCGTGTACAATCAATATAATCACCTGATGGAAGATACAAATGATCGGTTCGATCTAAAAAAAAACAATAATCTATTTTTTAATTATGTTTTGATCTACCATTCAGACAGCATGTATAACCGCATTCGAGAATGATGAAGGGCAAGAAAAAATTTCGATAAACTAGTTTCTGAAAAAAAGAATGTTGATGACATTTTATATCTATCATAACATTACCTTTTGCTCAAGTATAAGTCGTTCAAAATCTGGAAAAGATTTGACTACCCAATCAGCAACCACTCCAATTTCTTTCAAATGCACATTGTTGGCTTCCTTATAAGCAAGTGCCCTTGGTTCGCGTTTCTGAAAAAATCAGACATCGGAATAATATTATTCAAACTCGAAAACAATTTATGAGGATAATCTATGTACGAGTTAATCCATGGTTCAGAATTTTTTCTGAACTTTGTAGTTGATCAAAAACAAATTCGATTTAAGAGATCATCTGGTAGCAGAAAGATTAACCAAAATCACACTGTTATGGAGTTTTGTGTGATTGAATATTAACTCTTTTCAGAATTAGCTCAAAATTTAGAGTGACAAAAGTAATCAAGATTCAATTTTAAAAAATATACACCAACCCAACAATAATACAAGAAAACCTTTCTAGACAAAATCTACAGTATTCGAATTAATAAACTAACCGTGAAAATGTTATCCCCTTGTCGATTATGAATCACTGTCCTCAATGAGCTCATTACCAAATAATTCTCATTCATCAAATTCAATGTTGGCATACCGTAATCTGATGTCACTGCAATATCAGTAATAATTGGCACAATTTTTTGAGGCAGTTCAATTTCTTCAGAAGGTGAGTTCTTGATTGGCACATCTCGATGTCGTTGAACAGCTGATTTTCTCATACCAACAGCAATACATTTTGCGTATCGACAAGACCTACACATACATCGAACGTCTGGAAAATTTCAGATTTAGATATTTTAAGAGAAACATTCTAGAAAAAATCAACTTTTCTGAATTTCGCAAGATCCCATTGCTCGACAAACGTAAACTTTTCCCAACGCAACACTTCTTCGAAAAAATGCGGCGCAAGCTCGACAAGCTTCGGCGCCAAAATGTGCACCATCACCAGGCTCACCGCAAACACTACACGGTTTCTTTGGAGAATTCATGGATTCTGCAAAAAAAAACTTTTTATTTTTCAATATTTAAAAAAATAGTGGCATCATTTTTTAAGGTCATTTTCATAAAGAAAGGGGAAAACACAAGAGACGATCATAGATTGTATCAAAAAAAAAAGAAAAAGGAAAAAACTCATATCAATAACAATAACAATGATGTCCGATTATTGATCTTTGTTATTATGGGTGGTTTGGAAAAAGTAAAAAAAAGTGGATAAGATTTTTTTGTCCTCGAAAATATGAAAGATCACAAAATATGCACACATTTTTCGGTTCGCCGAAAGTACGTTTTTTCGGCTAGTCATGTCTGATTAAATTCATATTATCAAAGATCAGGAATTTAACCTTTTTTGCAATTGAAAAAAATAAAAATGATTCTTGACTTGATCCTGATTCATAAACTGGTATTTAGAATTATATTTTTTGAGAGGGTTTGAGAAAAGAGGATTTTAAGAGCAAAAACTAAAGAAAATTGTGTTGTTGCAGTACTCAACAATTCTATCATAACATCACGAGAGTATAACATTGATTTTTTAGGGTTGGGAAGGAAAACGCTATTATTATGGGAAGTAAAAGTGTTAGGAAATCAACTGTTTTTTATTGGAAAAATTTAATTATTCTTAATATTATTTGTACATCGATATAAGTTTTGCAGACTATCAAATATTTCTCATTGAAACCCCAGGTGAAAATTCTACCAAAAATCAAACAAAAAAAGATTCAAAAATCGATTTTCTGTCAACAATGATGCAAAAATGTGTGATATTTTTGACTTAAATGCATTCTGAATACTTATAGTGAACCCATTTCAAAAAGTTAAATGAAAAAAATTATTCTCCGAATAGATTTTCTAGAGAAAAGTAATAACTTAAATTTAAAAAAACGTTTATTCAGAAAGTGTTTTTTATTTTGATAAGCTAGATTTGTTTGTTTGTTGAAAAGTCATTTTTGTGGTTAATATAAAACAACAGCTTTTCCGATGAAAGATGACAAATATATATGCAATATCAGAATACTAAAATTATAAAAAAAAAAGCAGTTTTTCATGCGCTAGGCAGCTGAAAAGGTCTCACATTTTTTTCCAACAAAAATTAAAAAATTGTTCACAAGTTCTCACACTATTTCCAAGAACAGCTGAATCAAGAAACATGTCTCAAAGCCCACGAAAACCAAAAAAAAAGAAGAAAAATCGATTCCAACGGTGAAGTTTTGCAAGAATCTTATCTAGATCTAAAAATCAATCTCCAAATTCTAATTCTCATAAAATGTATGCGAGAAAAAAAAGATTCAAAAACTTTTGAAAATCACAAAACCAGCCGTGTACAGTAGACAAATAATGACAAAATGAGAAAAGATGGTGTAAACTACCTTACATTATTTGTCTAAAGCGCAAAAGTACAAATTTCATCGGCTCGCCGAGCTCAGAAGAGCAAAAACCAGATCAATTTTTGTTTTATTTTTTTGTGAAAAAATATTTCAAATGTGTTTTTTAATGAATTTTGTAACTATAAATAACATTAATATTATTTACCTACCTCACAGAATATGTTTTTTATGAACAAAAAAGTTTCTAGACTTCCGTAAAAGTCAACTCGATCACAAATCACAAACAAATAAATAAAACATGTTGAAAAATGCTGACAAATAGATGAACAACGTTTTGTTATTGGAAACATTGTAAATATTTTCGGCAACCCGCGTCAAGTACACAACTTCTCTTTTTCGACTAACAAAGAATCAATCAAACAAAAATATAACAAAAGTTATATTTTTTCATGTTAATAATATTATTATATTTTTTATCATTGGAGATTTGGTGTTGATCATAGTCATAACATGTCCTTTTTATTTTTCTGCAGTGAGAAAAAAGAAATCGAGTTTTTTTTGTTTGAAAACGAAAGATTAATTCTGTGGTTTGTGATAATCGGGTGATTAGAAAAACCTATAATTCATTATGTCTCAATGGTTTTGACGTCAAAAATTACTGGTAATTAAAGCGTTCGAAGATGGGAAAATCATATATTAATAAAACGTAGGTAGGGAATTCGGCAAGTAAATATTTATAAGGAAAAATATGTTGGATGATCTAACATAATCAGAAAAATTTAAATTTAAATAGAAAAAGGCGCGAAAAATAATTTAGCTCTTTCAAACATCAAAAAATATCAAACGATAGAGCTGAAACTCTATTTCGGCGCCCACTGGAATGTCAAATTATCAGGGAAAATGAAAAGCTAATTAGTTTATAATTGTATGAAACACGCATAATCAGAAAAAATAACTTTAAAAAAATTTTTTTCAACCAAAATTATCGAAAAATTCTTATTATCAATGTTTAGAAGTCTTCAATTTTTTCAAAAAAATGATCTTAAAAATAAAAAACTAGACTTTTTTCATACTAATCACTGCTTTCAAAAACATGTAATTCAACATAATCACCTAGAAATTAATTCAAGATCATAAACCAATTGTTTTCTGTTTTTTGATTTTGAAAATATTAGAAAAAAAAACAGAAAAAAAATGAAACGAATCTAAATAACAATTCAACAACACATTTCTGAAAATCTAATTACCCTGTTTCAACCCAAAAAAATCCATAATTGGGCAAAACAATTTAATCCCCTAGAAAAAGTACAACAAAGTATCAAATTTCACTCAAAAATATTAGAATCAAAGACCAACTGAATAAATACGCATTTTCGAGCCTAACAATATAATTTAATGAGCTTACATTTAGCTTTGCATTTACGTAAAACCGCACTTCTAGACATTTTTTGATGACAATTAATAAAAATGAAAAAGATACGATTAACAAAAACATGAACTTTCAAGGGCATGATAAATCATCAAAAAATCAAAGTATTTATATAATTTTAGGTGGTGAACAAAAAAAAGATTATGATCGTTCAATGGAAAAATCGAAAAGAATAGGAGAGAAGAGAAACAACACAACACAGCATGTTATGTTTCACCGAACCGCGAAAATTTTGTTATCTCCGAAATATGTTCCCAACTGATTGATTAGAAATTTCAATCAATTGTTTTTTGCTGGAGGTCTGACATATTTTCTGCTTGCTATGTAATAATCAGATTTTGAAGAACCCGAAAAACCTTTTTTTCCGGTTGCCTAGGCCACCAAGAATTAACTTTATTGCCATTAATTGATTTATTGTTGTGTTAGAGAATTTTCGAAAAAAAATAGGGTAATTTTGAGCTAAATAGGGTGAAATGTTGACTTTTTGGAAAAAAAACATTTGACAGGAAAAAACATCAAATAAAAATAATAATAGGGGTTGAAAGAAAGACGGGGGATATTTATAGAATTTTTGGATGAATGAAAAAATTTAGTATCACAAATGTGTGGAAAATAGAATAGAAAATATAAATTTAGGTTAGGCTAGAAAAGTTATAATAGTATTTTCCAAAAAAAAAAACATTTGACAGATGGCAAAGGGAGATCCGATAAAATAAAATAAAAAATTAATCGCACAGAAAAAATTAGTAACCGGTGTTTAGACAAAAATTTAGACTTTCTTCTTCTTTTTCGATGATGACGAGGAATCAGAACGTTTGGCGGGTCGCTTCAAATCTCGATGTTTCTTCTTTCCCAAACAACGTTGGCAAAACCATGGCACATTTTGTGCAGGTTCCACAGTCAATCCAACACAATGCCTGGAAATATAGAAACTATTATTGGATTTTTTCTCTGAATCATATGTTCTTGTCTAGATCTGAAAATATGTTGCCTAATTTTGATTGCGTAAATTCAAAATGAGTGTTAAATGAGTTTTCAGCTTGATTAACTTCATGACGACATTTAAAAGCCTTTCTGGGTTCAAAATCAGATTTTTCATTAATTGTTTTTACAGAAAACTTCTCAAATGAAAAGGGTTTTTTGTTATTTTTTTCAGAAACTGGATATATTTATTTTTTATTTATTGGGGTAAGAATCAGAGTTCATATTCTGGGCTGTAATTTACAAATACCTAAAATTAACTGCAAACAGTATTTTTTGAGTTATTCTTAAAATTGCAGCTATAATTATCTAAACCTGTAATTTGATTTGAACATAGAGTTTTAATCGTAAAATGTTCACTGAATTTGTGCACACCGAACAATAAAAATTATAACAAGGAATTTCTACCGCAAGTATGCTTAATTTTTCGAAGAAAAAAACCCACCAGTGGAACCAGTCATCACATTGATCACAACAAACCATATTTGCACCTTCGGTATAAGCGACAGAGCAAAACGGGCAAATCCACACCTAGGGATGAATTTTGTAAAATTGAATTTATTGAAAAAAAATATCGCGTACCTCTTCTTCTTCTTCAGACGATGAGGAATCGTCTTCTTCATCATCATCAGCTGATAGAACTTTGCGAGTTGGAGGCGGTGGCGGCGGAGGCGGTGGTGTTGGAGTTGGTGACTTGGCGCGATGTTTTTTCTTCTCTTTTTCACGTCGTCTCTCTTCTCTGCGTTTTTCTTTCTCGCGCGCCTTCTCTTTTTCACGTTGTTTGTCTGCTTCTCGTTGTCTCTCTTCTCTCAACTTCTCAGCTTCACGTCTTTCGATTTCTTTTCGACGTTCGATTTCGCGAATCTTCTCTTTTTCACGCTCCGCTTCTTGTTGCTTGATGTGTTCTTGACGAGATCGTTCTTCTTCTCTGAAAACACTAGAGCATTTAGAGATTTAGTTCAGAATTTAGGGATATTATATACATATAATTTTTAAAATAAAAATTGTTTGGAAATTATTTCATAGTTATTTTCACAGTCGAAGTATTCTAATGTAAATGAAAATATTTCAAAATTCTAGATCATTTCACTGTGAAAACGTCAAAACGAAAAAAAACTGTTTGGCACAAGTTCAACCTAGCTTAACAAGTCCCTGGCATACTTATATGAAAATGCGAAATTGAGATTTTGGTCTAAAATTAAAAATAAGTGAAAAGCCTGTCTCTGAGCTAGCCCTCTAGAGAATGTCAAACTGCAAACTATACAGTTCTTAACGAATCTCTCCAATTTTCAGACAAATTTCAAGAATCCATGAAAAACATACTTGTATTTTCGTTCTTCCTCCCGTCGCTTCTCTCGATCTCTCTCCTTATCTTTTTCTCTTTCTTTTTTCTCCCGTTTCTTTTCTTTATCCTTCTTCTTTTTCTCTTTCTCTGGAGTGGAAGATGATGGGTGATCCTGAAAATTTAAGATTTCAAATTGCTTTCAGTCAAAAAAAGTTAAAGTTCATACCTCAGATTTTGCGTGCATGAGTCCGAGTTTCAACGGCGGAACAACTTTCCGTTCAGTTGAATCAGCAGTAGTTGGTGTGGATGCGGACGCGGGAGTCGCGCTAGATGAAGGCGCAGATTCCGGATCAACGAGTGGCTTGTATTTGAATTTCAATGGTGGTTGCGATGTTTCACCGCCGTCTCTTTGTGGAATATAATCGTCTCTTGAACTACTTGGGCGATCCGATGAGCTTGCGACCAAATCTGATCGCATTGACGATGACTTGTGTTGATTGCCAGCCTTGAGAGCCTCGTGGATTTTGGCGAAGTTTATCTTCACTGATAGTTTTTGCCGTTCTCCTTCTGGTTTTGGGGCTGCTGAAAATTGAGAAATTTTAATTTTTTTTTAGGAAGAAGAGAACAAAATACTTTAGAGAACTCCTAAAAAATCATGCAAAATTTTCAAAAAAAGTTGCATCACAATTGCGAATACACCTACGAAAAATATAGAACATTTGATGAAACATAATATCCTAGAAATCGCAAAAATTAATTAGGGTCCGTTTTTGAAACTGTTGGTGAAAATTCAAAATTGAAAAATTATAGAAAAATAAAGCCGTTAAAAATTCGAAGCTTCAGTAAGTTTGATACCAAGATTTTCGGATAAAATTCAGAAAGAGATGTTTATTGGTGTTCTTATCCCAGAATCTTCGAGTTCAAAAGAGCCGATGTATTTCGAGATTCAAAATATCAGTTTGAGAGAAATTTTCGAAAATGATGATTGCTAAGAATTTTCAAGCAAAAACTCAAATTTTCGAGATATCTGATTCCACCGAGATCCACTCTCAAAAATTCAACAAAAATCTTCGTGTTAACATTTTTTGAAACAAAAAAACAGCAAATGAAGAGAAAAGAGAGCGAAAACTGGGCGGACCATGTTGAAAGGGAAAAAAACAGCACACACAAAAATTTTGTTGAGAGATAGAACGAGTGAGAACTCAATAAGGAATGAGAAAACACAGCAAGAAGAAAAAAAGAGCAACATACGGGCATCGGCGTGTGTGTGAGTGTGTATATATTTTTGTGTGTGCAAGAAAAAACGGCGAGAACCCCCCTCGCCTTCCAAAATTGAGACAGCCTTCTCCACACTCCACCAAGCCCAGTATACATGTCTTTTTTTCTGGTCGAGAAAAAAGAGCATTTTTTCATGCTCTTCTCCTTTTTTGGTTTTATGTATGAAATGGTCGAGTCAAGTGTAAATAAAATAAAATAGAATGAAATGAAATAAAATTCAGGAAATGAAATAGCATAAATCAAAGAAATTTCTCCAATTTCTTCAAATATAAATCAATATAATATGTAAATTTTGTTCGGTGTCAAGAAAAACTGATAAAAATGTGTGTGGTTATTGTTTCGTGTAAAAAGAAGAAGAAAAAAGGGGGCATTTCACATGCATTTTTGTTCTGATAAAATTATTCGTGTAAAAAGAAAATCGAGAAGCAGAAGAAATATATATGTATATATTTATTCACACGACCTTTTATTGCGTATGTATATGCATATAAACATACATTTTTTGCTTTGCTTGCCATATGAAATTGAATGGAATGGTCAGGAAAATTTGTGATTTGTTTTCTGAGAAATTGCGGGGATTTTTTTTAATAATTAATTTTTTTAAATAGACTTGGGAGATCAAAAATCAATTTTCAGATGAATGTCTAACAGACTGAAATACACACGCTATCTACAAAATACATTAAAAATGAGTAGTCTGTGATTTTTCAAAGTATGAAACAATTTGAGATTCCAAAAAGAGGAGTTCAAGTTCAAAAATCAGCCGATTAAGGATTTTGAGATTTTGATTTATTGAGATATGATTTCTGATCTAAGTCTTACTGACAAATTCGTAGATTGAAAAATTAGCAGTGGAAAAAAAGTTGTTTTTCGGAGAATTCTTTAAAAAATTGAGAATTGCAAAATTTAAGAAAAAGCGGAAATTCAAAAAGAAAATAATAAAATTTAACGGAATCCAGAAAAATCAGAAATTAATCAATTCTGCAAAGAACAAATCAAACAAAAAGTACAAATATTAGACCAAAATTGAGAAAAATTGAAACACGCAAGAAGTTAAGCTGAAATTTCAAAAAAATCCAAATCTCCTTGAGTTCATGCAAAATTTGATAGTCGTTAATTTTTCAGATTTTCAGATAAATTAAAATTGCCATTATTCATCATGAGAATCACAAAATGTGCAATTAATGTAGAATCAAAACAATTCCTAGAAAACTATAAACAATTTCTCTAATTGAAATCAATCGATATCTTTTTTAGAGATTTTCAATAACCTTTTTTGATTTGAAAAACTGGTTTTGTCGATTAAATGTCTAAATGTGTTTGCAAAATTGTTACCCTTTTTTCAAACTAGATAACTTTCAGAGCTAATTTTTTAATTGTTGAAAAAAATCAATTTTTTAAAACAAGAATATTTAAAAGATCTAAAACAGACCAGAAAAAATATAGAAAAATTTCTAATAAAAAAGAGAGAATCCTCAGCACACCAACTAGTTGTCACATGACATATCTAACATTTTATTACTTTTTTATTATTATTTGAAAAAAAAATCCGAAGAGGATTAACATTCATCTCGATAAGAGCTAACACATCTAATCAACCTTCTTTTCCTTCATAAAAGATTAGTATAAGTGTGGATATATAATATAATGTTGAAAAGGGAAAAATGAAAATGCACCTTCTCAACATGAACAAAAATAAATTCATGTGTGAAATGAGAAATCTATAATTATTATGATTTTTTCTTTGAAATACATACACAGAAAGTGGGTAGGAGAAGAAAATTGATTCAACCTTTAAGAAATACCCTTTAGGAAAATAAATCCTGTCAGCCAGATGGAAAACTCAAGACAAATTTGATATGCAATAGCATAGAGCTGATTATTGAATCAGTAAATCATATTTCAAAACTTCTAAAAAAAATTCTAGTCCTCGACAAAGTTCTATTGATTTTTAGCAGTTTTCAAAAGAAAACACATTCTCATTAAATAACAGAAAACAGAAAGAAATTTCTCAAAAAAACGGACCAGAAAAGCTGGAAAAAATAGATAGAACAAGAACAAACCTTTAGCATCAGCCTTTTCTTTTTCTTCTTTTTCTCTCAATTCGCGCTCCAGCTGTTTTCGCTCCTTCTTCTTTCTCTTATACTCTTTATACTCATCACTATCCTTGTCCATTTTTTTGTGTTTCTTGTGGCTCGGCGAGTGTTCCTTGAAAAATAAAAAAAATAGAAAAGAAGAGATAGCTTGAAAAACGTCACAAAAAGTCAGCGAAAAAATGTAATTGCGTTAAAATTCATAGAATTTTATACTTACCCTGTCCTTTTCTTTATGCTTCTTCTTTTTCTCTTTGACTGGTGTTTGTTGGGTGGAACGAAGAGCTGTTGAGTCGGCTGTTGAATCCAATGTTGAATCGAGAGTTGTGTTGGCTGGTTGGGTGGATGATGATGATTGTTGCGAATAATCAAGAGGGATTTCGTCTTCGGCAACTTCGCCTAGACAAACTTCAGCTCCAACTGAAAAAAAATTCAAATTTTATTCAATTTTCCCACAATTAATATATTTTTCGTTTCAAATATTTTTGATCTTGGGAATCATAAATTCTCGAGTTAATGAAACTTGGCTTTAAATTTGAAGTATTTTGAAAAAAAAAACAAAAAAGACCCTCTAAAAATAAAATAATTCGTAACATTTTTCTTGCAAAAAAAATGCCTGATTTGATTATGATCGAGAATCAATGTTTGAATAAAAAGAAACAATCGATTGTGAATGAAATTTGGAATTTCAAATGTTTGAAATTGAATCATAGGATTTTTCATAGAAACACAACTCTCAATCTTCAAATTCGTGGCTTTTTTGGAATTGAAATATTCAAAAATAATTTTGGGGATTGCTGATTTACGACTTTCGGCTTGATCGAAATTCTAGGTTTTCTTGAAATCAGGATAATTTTTAAAAACATGTTTGAAAATTGATGAAACTTGTTAATGAAGTCATTTTGAAGTTAATATTTTTTCAATATTTAGTTTTTTTTAATCAAAATATCCAAAAGACCAACCTGGCGGTGGAATGCACACCATAGCACCCAATGGCGGTGTAGCTGCATCAGACGGTGTAATCGCATCCGATTTCGGTGAAAACAATTTCGGAAGTGTCAATTTAAGACCTTTCTGTTGTATTTGAGCTTGATTTTGAGCCTGTTTCAAAGCTTCTTCAGCAGCTTTTCGAGCAGCTTCTTGTGAAGCGCTCAAATTCTGAGCAGCTCGTTTAGCCAGAGCTTCGAATAGTTGCTTGGACACCATATCCTGACGCTCTTTATTCTCTTTGAACATTTGCAAACGTTTTTGTTGTTCGGCAATATAGTCAGCTTTGGCTTTCTGAAAATTTGTTTATTTTTCCTGAAAAAATCCAACAAATTCTTACTGTAGATGCCTCCTCGGGTCGCTTCTTGGGTGGTCTTCCCTTTGGCTTGGGTGGTCCTTTTGGCTCTTTTTCCTTCTTTGGTTTCTCTGGTTTGGTAGTGAACTTGATTGGTTTGATATCATGAACCATGGAATTTGATGAGGATGGTCTATCAAAATGCATTGGCGAGTGGACACGGGATTTCACGATATCAGACATTTTGAAACGATCCTGCTGAAAAATTGAATTTGTTTATGATTATGTATCAAATTTTCAATGAGCCTACCGATGTTTCATCAATATCGACAATTCTTGGTGAATGCACAGGTGTTGGATACCTCTGAAAAAAGTATGTTTACAGATTTATTACAAAATTCTGTTTCGATATCACAACATTAAATCGTTTTTTAATCACAAAAAAATAACTCACACTACTTTTGGCACTATTCAATCCTAATAAATTTGGCAACGCTGGCAAATTGGCACTACTCGTAATTCCAGTCGCTGCAGATATATCTGATTTGAAAGTCGTCACGACAGGCTCTTTTGGTTCGACAACAAATCCTAATTCATCAAAAGTCATGTCATCAAATCTTGGAACAATTCCATCGCATTTACTTTCAATTTTTCTGAAAATGAAAAATGAGAATATTGAAAAAAGTATAGGAAAAATATATGCTTACGGTATTTTTGGCACACTTTTCTTTTCCTGCGTTTTGACTTCATCTTTTTTCTTTTTCTGCTCCGCAGTCAGTGATTTTATTACATCTGATACTCCGTTATTTGGAAGCCACTCGGGATGCATTGCTGGATAATATTCAGGAACATGGCTTGGACGACTCTGGAAAAAACTTTGCAAATTGAGCTAATATGAAACAATGCTTCGAGAATTTTCTTGCTACATATCCCATAAGTTCAGAAATATTTTAGAAACTAGTGCAGTTTTTCAAAAATTTAACATGAAATTATAAATTTACGTTTCCGTACAGTTTCCCAATATATTTTTAACAAAATTCCACTTACATTTATTTCTCGTTCATTGGGTCTTGGGCCATACATTGCTGCAAAATGTGTCTCGTCATCAACTTCTGTTGGTCCAGGAGCAGGAAAATTTGGTAGCTGAAATAAATACAATCTTCTTTTTTTTAAATTCATATATGAACTTCATCAAAATTTACAAAAAAATAGTGAAACCCACCGCTGGTAATGAAGACGTTTTGACTTGTCGCAAAAATTCACGAGTTAGCGGAACTCTCTGGTTAATTGTTTTAAAAGCCGCCACAACATCTTCCACTACAGGTTGTGTTCTTCCAGCAGCTTCTGTGAACAATTTCACCTTTTCTCCATATTCTTTATAAATCAGTCGCCATTTTTCAGCAATTCTGTTGATTTGTGACTCTTGTGCACTTGAAAATCCCATATTTTCCAGCAAAATTATCACACCTTGCCTTAATTGATCCCGAGCATATTCCTCAGAACTACCCGATGCGGCCATCACCTACAAATTCTATAGATTTTTTCACAATAAATTTGAGATTATGAAAATCTTATGAAATTAAAATTATAATAACATAAAAAATAATGAGTGAAGAAAAGAGAAAAAAAGAAATAATGCAAACGTTTTTGAGAAAAAAGGAGATGGCAGGGACGCGCGTGGTGTCATTCGCGGAGTGTTGTTTGCAGGCGTCTCTTTGTGTGTATACACTGCATGCTTGGTTTTCTGTTGTTTTACAACAACAACAATAATAGGACAATATTATTTGTTGGACATTTCTTGAATGTGGGAAGAGGGAAGAAGAGGAAAAAGATATTGATCTGAAATATAAATGGATTTTTTTTTCAATTTGATTAAAACGGTTTGGTTTCTGTTGTAATATAGTTGGAGAAAGGATTGTTTTTCAAGTAAACAAATTGATTTGCTGGTGACTTTTTTTTTCCAAAAATTACAGAAGAATAGGTTTTTTTATTTGGAACAAAACATTGTTGGAAGTGAATGAAAAACGTAAGGATTGTTTTTTGAATAGAAATAGAATCGTTTATTAGTATTTTGGCTAGAATTTTGAAGAGACTTCCAAGGGAAATAAGTTATTGAATTCATTCAATATTTTGATTGAAATAGTCGTGTTGAAATGAAAACTTGAAACATTTCTTGAAAACTATGGTTTTGAAGTTGTTTTTCTTTTAATCAAATAACAAAAAAATTATAATCGAATTGATTTCTCAATTTTCAAATTTATATGAAATATTAAATATGTAATAGATTTTGTTTGGGATAGTTTTAAAATGGATAAATAATTGATTTATTTTTTGATTTTCAGAGAACTAATGAAGTAACCGCTTTTTCATTGTGTTTCGTCATAGATTTACAAAAAATTTAGAATCAAAAGGTTCAAAAAACCCATAAACAATTATATTTTTAAATAGTTGAGCTTTGTTTTTTTCAAAATTTTAATAGTCAAATCTCTTTTTTGAAATTTTCAGTGATATTTTTTTTTGATATAAACAAACTGAATAAATAATTGAGTTGTTATTTTGCTCATTTCCCGTTTATATATAAATACTATTTGTTATTTATGTTACTAAGAAAAGATATTTGTATATCTTCGGACGTTTTTTTTTGAAAAACAATACAATTTTTACTGTAATCTCGGAGAGAAATATCTTCTTGAAATTTAATTGAAATTTCTGAAATTGAAGTTGCTCAATAATTAAAAATCTAGCGTAGATTTTAAACAAAAATCATCCATCAAAACATTTGTTGAAAATGCTCATATAGTCTGTTTTTTCTTTGTTGACAAGTTTTTTTCATCATGTAAATTGGATTTTTTATTGAAAGCGATGGTTTTCATTGTAACAAACATTGATTTTCTTTTCCTCAAACAGTTTTTTTGGCGAATTCTGGAAAATGTATCATTTTCTTTGTCAACAAAGTACCTGATTTTGCATCGTGTGAACATTTTCTTTTCTTCTCAATTTCCCTTCGAATAAATTTATTCGAATTTTGGTTCACGAGTTCATTTATTTTTTTTACCCCAAAAAATTAACACAATTTTTATCTTTTTTTCTGCTTAAAAATGTGTTTTTTCTAGAAATGCTCAAAAGCAGAATGTTCCATTTTCAAGAGAGTAACATTTCAGAGTTTTTCTCTCAACTTCTCTTGATAACAATTCATTCAAATTTTTTCCACAAGTTTAATTTTTTCAGCATGCAAAACACTTGAAGCTATCTAACAAATAAAAAAAGTTAACGAGATTTTGTCGCCCAATTTTTTTTCAATCAAAGAACATCCAGTTTGTTTGCTTGTTCCATTCCAGTTAATTTCGAAGAGTGCTATTTTAAATTTGTTCTCCAAAAGTATCATGTTTCATTTTTTCCAGTATTGCTGAAAAGTCACAAGTTTATTGCTTGCTTCAGAATCGAAAGTATTAAACAAATTTTTCACTCGGAAAAATTACGATTTAAAATCCCGTACTTTATTTCAGATATTTTAAGAAGCAAAATTATTATGTGAGGGATTTTGTTGATTAAAAATTGAGAATGTTTGATAAAATAGTCTAATCGGATTTTTATTCGATAACATTTCCTGTTGATTTTTCTCTAGAAAGCTTCATCAATTTCATCTTAAAATTCAAATTCGCTCTCTGAACCTTCAAATATGTCTACATACATAAATCCAGATTTTTTCTAGAAATTCCAGAATACCTTCTTTCTTGAAAAAGGATCCTATTTTGAATCATCATCCATTTTTGTTGACCAAAAATTAAAAATTTTGAACAATATATTCAAATTACATTCAGTTTTTTTTCAAAAATAGAAATTTTCAGATATTGTTCCCATAATTAAGCTATACGATTTTGAATTGTGTTCAAAAATAAAATTCCCATTAATTTTTTGTGCAAAAAATCGGATCACATGAGAGCTAAAGAAAAGGGATATTTTTCATTTTTCCTAACATTAAATTTTTTTGGAGAGGATTAACTTGAGATGCTCTTTTGTTTGAAAGAAAATATGTATGTAGGTAAAAACTGATTAGTTTTATTCCAAAATAAATAGATAAATGGAGAGGATAATCCTGTTATTTTTGAACATTGAAATGAAACAAACAAAACCTGCCGTTTTCAATTTCTATCCAATTTTTTATGATTCAATTATATTTTTTTATTGTCAGAAACCAAGCTTGACCAGGTTCCTTTTTCTCTCTCGTTTTTTTTTGGCGGATTGTTTGTCATTTTTTATTGACTCTTCCTCCTCCGATTTCGCATCCCACAATCTATTTTTCGACGTTTTTTTTCAATCCCAAATAAAATATACATATTTCAATTGTTTTCATTTCAATTTTTCAAAACAAAAATAGCACTTTTCACCGTTTTTATTAGTTTACGCTGGAGAAAAACAGAAAAAACAGTTTGAGAAAAAAATGATAAAAAGTAAACACTTGAGTGAAAATTCCAAAAATGTTTGTTTTAGCAATCCAAAAAGTTACCATTTTTAAGCTGTGAATTTTTGTTATTCTTTCGTCTAAAATCAACAAAATTTCTCCACTTTTTTGTGGGTGGAGCCTAAGCTCCGCCCTCTTTCAATATGTTTTTTTGTTTGATTCAGATTCACATTATTTTTCCAGCTATGTCTTCGCTAACCAGAGCAGTAACTTCAAGATTTACTGAATTCACACATGGAAGACAACGACTAACACAAGAGAAAGGTATTTGATTTTCACAAATTCTGAAATTTTGGTTGATTTTTTTTCCAGAACCTCTGCCGCCATCTACAAGTGAATTTAATTATTTTATACCGCCTGAAATCATTTGGGAAGATTATCAATTGCAAAACAAGGTCTGTTGTTTTTTTTGTGTGTATGCATGTTTTTTATTTCTGTTTTCAACCAAAAAAAAACAGAAAAACAGATAAAAAGGTCGCCATCGTCAAACCAACAAATAAACCGTGACGTAACCTGTTTTTCTGTCGAACTTTTTTTTGATGTGATTTGATGATGTGAGGGGTGATGTTGTACTCTCGAAACACATTTCAAGTTTGATTAGTCATAACTTGTTCTATCTCCCTCGCATTTTTTTGTGTTGTGGAGAGAGAGGAGAAAATTGGGTTAATTCATTTGAGATGATCATCTTTGATCAAAAATTTCCCATATTTTCCAGTTTTTTTTCACCGAATAATTGATGGTTCCAAAAACCCCAAGGAGTATATTAGAAACTTGTGATCAAACTTCATGAAATTAATCTTTTTCTTCTTTTGTAAATATTGAATTTGAAAAAAACTGTGATTTCTGCTTTTCTCTAGAGAAACCAAAATGTTACAGAGTTTGAAGTGCCATAGGTTTGGATTTCGCGAGGGCAAAGACCACCAACGAAGTTTTTTGAAAGATGTAAGATACTGTAGTTTACAAATAGAAAATAGAACTCTTGAGAAACTATGACGTAGCAGAAATCCAGAAAATCTCAAGAAGTAATCAGAATTGTCAGGTGCCGATTTGAAAAATGTCATTTCTTGTTTATTGTGGATTTTAGAAAATGAAAATATGACGTGTCAAAAGTTTTGAAATCATTCTCATGATTTATTACGTTGCTGGTCAGGTTTTTCTGAAGTTCTGATTTTTCTTTTCTAAAATATGATTATGAACTGGCGAAAATCATGAACATATAACCACTATAATATAACTTGGTATTTTGATCATGATACTGTAGATTTTTGATGTTTCTGACTGGAAACAGTTGTGCGAATCATTATCACACGTTTTCTCATATTGATTTTTTTTTCTAAATTTCTCACTGTTTTTCTTGAATATAGTGCACTTTGTAAAATAATACCGTATTCTTACTTTTATATCTATCTACAGTATTTTTTAAAATTATTTTTAGAATAGTTCGAAGTTATTGTAGTTGCCTCATTTGTATTATGTCCTCACAATAAAAGGAATTTTCCGATAATAATATGATTAAAAGCTCATAAATCACTAGATCCAACCAAATTTTAATTTTAAATTCCATGGACTACTGTTTCTGTCTCTGTAGCTTCACAAATAATAACCATGTGACCCAATTTTACCTCTCAAAATCCAAAATCAATTTCCAAAAACTAATCTCTTGAAAAATAGAAACAATTTTTGTGCTGGTGAAAAACCAACAAACAAACGAAAACTAAGTTGAACTAATTACAAGAACCAGTCTTTGCTCGAATCAATAATAGAAACAACACAGCCGACAAAAATGTTTGACAGTAGGGCGGAAGCAGCTTTTGCTCATGTTGTTATTGTACATACACACACAAGAGTGACGTTATTTGATTTTATTTGATTTATTATTATGTATGTCTCTCACTATTCGTACAGAACCAGATTTCGAGTTTTTTTCTGTGTTGTACCTTATTTATTTGTCTGTCGGCAAAAATGGAATGCTTAAAAGATTTTGAGAGAAGAAATAAGATTTGATTGGATTTGTGCGGAACAAGAAAAGGAAGGAATTTGGAAACTGGATATAGATATTTTAAGAACTTGAGATTTATAGTTCAATATCGGGAGATAATTTCATTCCTAGAAATGTTGATTATTTATGAGAAAGTTCCGAATTTTTTGTGTTATTCGGAATTGTTCTAAAAATTGTAACTTCTTGAAACGTCAGTGATATTAAAAACCTATAAAAATTCAAAGATTCTGACTCTCTCTTCTGACTCTTTCAAAAACAAACATCATCTCGTCATCACAAATTTGTGTGTTGAACTTGTTGAGTACTGTATCCTATAAATTTTTGAGAAAATTTGTAAAGCTATCCTTGCTCACCTTCTGCTATATTTCATTCCATTTTAAAAATCTGGTTTATTGCAGGAAGCTCCACTGAAAATCGAGGTAGACCAAACAATGCTCAAAATCGAACCAGTTCAAAGCAACATTGAAAAGAAAAGTCCAACTAATTTTTCACAAAAGGTAACGGTTTCAGAATTTATTTTTTTCTTTAAAAAAATATCAAGTTGTTCAGATGACAGCAGTTGTTCGAAAATTATCACCATTCAGCGATGAAAGTTCAACATCCACGTCATCCAAAGAAAACCAAACATCAGAAGAAACTTCAAAGAAATCAAAACCATTCAAGGAAACCAAGCAAAAAATGGAGAAAATGAGAAAATTGCGAAAAACCAAGGATCGACAACAGTTGATTGATTCAAGTGATGATGAAATTTGATTTTTAAAACAACTTAATTATTTGAAAATTTGAATTTTATTTTAATTATTACTATTATTATGTATAAAAATCACATAAAATTATGTAGTTATCACAAAAAAACCCATAAATAAATTGAATTATGCTTTAAATATTTATTTTTAATTTGAAATATCTCCGTCATCTTCGTCTTTTGAAGCAAATGGTGTTTTTTCGGAACTTGTGGCAACTTCTCGATGCGATTTCCTTGTTTGATATGGTTTTGGAGTTGTGCTTTGATCAGTTTCTTGAGGCTCCAATTGTAATTCTTCTAAAATTTGATCCAAGCTTTCACGACTCTCTGAAATGTACATGTCTAGACTCATTAGACGCAAAAAGTGCAAAAAAATTCTATTTTTAAACGCTCGTTTTTTTGAAAATGGATGATTAAGAGATGTTTTGATGAAAAATGAAAAATGTTTATTTATCTTGCGGATTTCTTCATTTCCTTGGTAAAAAAGTTTATATAAACATTTTTTGAGAGATGGACATTTTATGAGAACAGATGTTATGAGATTCTTTGAGATTTTATTGAGCCAAAAAATGTTTATATAAATATTATCTGAAGGAAAGCTTGATCCCTAAAATTGATACAGCAGAAAATTTCATTTCGAAAATTTCAAATTTCTTCCCAAAACTCACCAGACTCTGACAACACCTCCTTTTGCATTCTCGGTAAAAATCTCCTAATACTCGACAAATTCATTTTTGTATTTCTAGAATCCTCATCGCTAGCTTCCGTAATCACCGAAAGAGCACCCGATGGGCTCCGATTACCCGGAGCCAGATTAGGAGCTGACAATCCGCTTGACTTTCCTAACATTGTAGGCTCCTTTGGGTTATTGATCTCGCAGTTCAACAACCATGGAGATCTAAAAGATATATAAAAAACGTGTGAAATTATTATGTAATTACCCTCCACGTGAACTGTTAGCAGGTGTTGAGAGCATTTCATTGCTCGGGAAAAGAGAATTCACTCTTTTTGAACCTTTTTTGTTCAAAATACTCTCAGATCTAGCCAACAATTTTTTCTTCATTGAAACATTGTGCATTAATAATGCTCCAAGAACTGGTGGTGCATATTGTGGTGGTTCTCCCGGTGTGAAAACTGCAATAAAGATATTTTGAAAGTTTACTAGTAAATAAAAGAATAATATACCGCTAAAACGTCTTTCACTTTCTGGACGATCTGGCATATTTTCAATGCTTGTCGCTGATGTTTTTGGTCGCCATCGAACTTGTGGTTGAAGTGTGTTTGGTCGGTCTGTTGTTAACGCCGGATTTTTTGAAATTGTCTAATTCTTCTTCCTGTATTCTTTCCATCTCGTACTTTTGGGTTTCTTGATATTCCAAATCGATTAATTCGAGGGCCCACATGTAGCGATTCTCAACACGTTCCTAAAAGTAAGAATAATGGGAGGGTCGTTGATGGTTTAGACAGGATCAATGTTCATTCATGTTTTTTTCGTGATAAAAGTTTCCTCACGGCCTTTACAAACATGTCCACCAGGAGTTCCTTAAATTTGATTTCCCCGGTGTTTATTACATTTTCCGAACAAAAAAACTTTTGTTTCTTCATCGGCCTACACCCCTTCTTTTAATGAAAAAAATATTTCAATATTTATGTTTGTCAAAATGATGTAAAAAGTGAACTTTGATGAATTTTTGTGAGTTGAGACTACATGTTTTGTGTTTTATTTCTTATTATTTTGTTCAATAATTGAGGTTTGATGAAATTTGATGTTTAATTATGAGATTTCATTTTTTTTGTATTTGTTGAAATGATTTGAAAATGTATTTCAATCAAATTTGGCTCAGTTTCTGTCAAACTTTCAAAAAATCCAAATCAACCAGAAGTAAGATACAACAATAATTCAAAAAAGTTTTGAAAAGTAACCACAACAATTGAAGATACATCTGAATTTTTAAAATTTTAATTTTTAATAAACCCAAAACTTTTAACTTTAATTTTGAAAAAAACTAACCTGTAAAATTGCATAAACCATCGAAAACAGCGCTAGTCCCAAAAAATACAAAATAAAAAGTCCACATGCAGTTCTTGGATTTTCAGGAATAATGTCACCGAATCCAATTGTTGATAAAGAAACAAAGAAAAAATAGACAGCAGTCAAAAAATCCCATTTCTCAAAAAACGAAACTATAAAAGAGCAGATGAAAATGAATAGAAAAACCAAGAGCAAAGCCCATCGAAGAGGAAATGATGTTGAATCATAGGACTGAAACATTTCAGATTTTTTTCAATTTTATCTGAATACATACTTGCTCTGAATCTTCATTTTCTTTGATATCATCCGATTCAATTGATTCTACAGTAGCTGTTCGTTTCAATCCTTTCTTTGTCGCACAACTCCGAAAATAATTTTTCAAAGAAACTCGAACTTTTTGAGCTTGATGAATTGAAAACTCTCCATATTTTTTCAAAACTGCTAAGCCTAGCGGAATTCCTATTAAACCGTAGATTATTGTTGCAATTCGACCCATCGGTGTCTTACAAGCCAAGTTACCATAACCTGAAAGTTGTCACTTCAATTAAAAGCCCACTAATTTTTAACTATCCATGTATTTTTAGAAAAAAACTCAATTCACAAACTTACCAATAGTGGTGAAAATAGTTGCAGCGAAAAACACAGATCCCCAAAAATCCCAAATCCATGGTGATCCTTTAATACTTCTTTCAACTTCTAGCGATCGATTGATTATTGATTGACGAATCATTGAAATACAATCATCAGAAAGCGCAGATCTCAACTAAATCAAAAATACAATTATTTTTTATCAGAGAAATTCACTTACGCATCCTTTCGTTGTCATGTTTTTAAGTAATGTAGTTGCATATTTAACAGATTCTATGGTCAAATTCTAAAAATATATTTTTAGCATGTCAAATTTAAAGGAAGAAAAAAGAAAAACCTCAGATTGCTCTCTCAGTTCGTTTGCTTGATAGTCATACTCCAAAATCATGAACATGTATCCACCAATACAAGCATAAGCTATCATAAAAACTGCCAAAACCACATATTGAAAACCCAAATCATAATATAACAATTTGATAATACGACTTAGCCAGTGATACCAGGTTTCTTTTTCTTTGAATCTAGAAAAAGTATAATTAGGGTTTTTTCTAAATGATGGGATGTTTTTTTAAGATTCCAGTTATATCCTAATAAACGACATTTCTCGTTTCCAGCAACTTTTTATCTCTCAAATATATTTTTTCGTCTCAAATTTTATAAAACATCAACTTACTTCATTTCAGATCTAAAAGAAGTTTCAGGATTCCCTGGAAAAACTGGCGATGGTGGCGGATATTGATTGTCTGACAAATTGATATTACCAAGAGCTGTTGAATTGAAAATGTGTGAAAGACGTTCGGCTGGATTTGTTATTTGTCTTAAAATAATATTCAAATCATTTTTAATAATGGGAATAAGAATACCTCGGTAATTGATATGCTGATTGTGTGTGTCCCGTTGGAGTTCCTGCTTGATCTATACTCAAATCTCCAGCATCTTGGCTTAGGAAAGTTGAATGCCGATATTTTCGTTTCACATATTTTTCTAGGAGCTGGAAAATGTGTTCGTTTTAAACAATTTGTTTGGAACAAAGTATTTTTTTCCATTTTCGAAAAATGTTATGATAAACTCAAAAACTGTGATTATTTTATTTTTATGTAAATTAGTTTCATTCATCGTTTGTTTTTTAAACATTAAAATGTGTTATTTTTTCAAAGTTCCTTTTTTGGAATTTTTTGAGAATATGAAACAAAAATTTCTCGAATGTTTCTATTGCAAAAAAAAATTAAAATTTATGACTGTACATATTCTGAATACTTTCAATAGACCTCATTGAAATTATGTTCCAAACATGTGACAAGCTTTAACAAAAAACAACTTCGGTAACTTCAAAACTTGCTTTAATTTTTACAATACAAAAACATACCTTAATCGCATCTTTTGTCTGATCTTCATCTAAAACGTTTCGTTGTCGACGCACCGGATTGCGTCGCTGCATACTTATGAAACTTTTATCATCGGAACTCTCCCGAGTCCTGTAAAAAACATTTGTTTTTAATTTTAATATTATTAAAACTTTAAAAGTGTTCCTAGCTTAATCTCAATCTCACCATAATTCAGAAGAAACATTAGAACAATTATCATAATAAGGACCAGCAATGTCCATTTACAGAATTTTTTTTTGAGAAAAAAAAAACAAGATTCTTTTTTCTCATTTTGGACAAAACAGTGATTTGAAATGAAATTAATGACTTTACAGTGACATAAAATTGACTTTTGATTGGGAGGATTTGAAAAAAAAAACATAAGATCGATAAGAAAAATAGGAGAAAACACAGTGATTGAAAAAACGCGAAATTTCTTTGTAGCACATATACATTAGCAAATATTTTCTCTTTTTTCTCTCCCTGAGCTTGTCTAAACAGTTTTCTATCTTTTTTCGACAAAAATCTTGAGCAAAATTGATAGAACAGAAAAAAAACAATAAAATACGTAGGCCGACAATTTTTGATGTTTTTTTTTTCGAAAAAAATTGAAACTTACAATTTTTGATCGCCGGCCATGATTATATCAAAGGACAGCAATTTTTGTGAACGAATTCATTTTTGTACAAAGAAAAAACACAAATCAGTGGTTTTTTGTGTGTCTGTGTTCAAGGTTATTCTGGAACCACTTACATTTTGTAACAAACCAAAACATTGATGATTTCAAGGAAAAATAATATTTATGAAATATATTTGAAAAAAACTGAGCGGTTTGATAAGTCTTCGAGCAAACATTTATGAATGAATCCTGTTTTTTAGAATAATTGAAAATGGAAGAGGAGGAATTGTATTGTTTTCAATGAAAAATGTTGCGGTTCTCCTGGAAAAAAGTGACGTGATCATTTGAAAGCTACATAAATTTTTTAATTCCGGGAAAAAATTTGAAAACTAAATTGTTTCCATTAAATTTTCACAGTTCTCTGTTTAAATATACATACGAAATTATTTTCCAGGTTCAAAGTTCAACGAAATTCTGACATTGCTCATAAAATGTTTGTAATGTTTGAAAATGAGATAATTTTATTTTCTTTTTTTTGGTCGTTCTGACAAAGATAAAAATAGTCAAAGCATATTTCGAAGCTACAAAAAATTGACTTTCCAATCGTAAATTTAGAACAGAATCTCAAAATATAGAAGAAAAACAGAAGACATTTTACCAATAGTTTTAGCAAGCTTATTGATTCTGAATATTCGAGCTTAAACTTATCGAAAGTTCATCATGTCTATAGATGAGTAAAAATTGCATTTTCCATTTTTTTTTCTCTGGAATTATTTATCTAAAATTTTGGAAGACTAGTTTTCACTCGATAAAATCAAGATAACAAATTTTCAGAAATTTCAGAATGCTATCAACATATCTAATCAAATTTTCACTCCTGATTTATTTGAAACTTGCAACGAGTTGTTAACTCATAAAAGGCACATGTGATTTCGGCACAAGAATCCTATAAGGGCTGATCGGATCAGGTTATTCACTATATTTTGTGTTAACAATTTTTATTTTAAAATTTTCCAGCTTCAAGTTTTGAATTCTCATTTTTTGACACAATGGTTTTCAACCCGAAAAAATTAGTCACTCTCTTTTGTTTCTCTTATCTCCACCTCTTTATTTTCAATATTGAAACTGTCGAAAAAACAATTTCATGTTATCAAACAAATGAAAATTGTTTGTTTTTTCTCTTCCTAAAATTTTTCTTCCCCTTTTTTTCATATTTTTCGTGTCCCATGATCAATTCGAAAGCAATTCCATGTGTGTGTGTGTATGTGTTTCGATTTTTGCGCCGGGAAAAGAAAAATCGCTGCGAAAGAGAGACAAATAATTGATGTCTTGTGATTTTTCGAAATTTCCGAAGAGCAACTTTTTTCTCTCCATCACTTTTTGTTTACATAGTAGACACAAACTTTTTGAACCGATACACTATTTTTCATTTTTTCTTCTCTTTTTTCAATATTGTTCAAAAAAATGAGAAACAAATTGTGATTAAAAAAAGGAAAGAACGCAGATTTTCCCATTCATCAAAAATTGTGTTGCGTATTATGTTTGGGTAGGCTTATGCAATCGTGTTCCCGTTGAACTCAATTCGCACTTTTTTACTCATTCCCAAAACGTTTTATTCTCCCTTTTTTCATTCCCTAGCCTTAAAAAAGTTGTATATGATTCATTTTGCAACCAATTTCAATATTTGTTTGCACACCTTTGCGTTCCATGAATTCTATTTATTTCGTTTTATTTTTATCAACATACAATGTGACCCCCGCTTCTCAAGTTTTCCTGATTTCTATATTTTTTGTCGGGTAAAAGTTGCATAAATAAATCAAATAAAAAAATGAACTAGTATTTGAATAAGCGTAGGGTGGCAATTTTTTTCGAAACTAAAACTATTTTTAGTGTTCCCCTCACATTATTTACTCACCTTTGCACATTTCATTTCATTTTATCCCAGCATTTTTTTCGGTGCAGTTTTATTCTCGAACTTGTCCCGTTTCATTCATATTTCTAAATTGGTTCTAAGCTTTTAGGTGGGTGAAAATGTTGTTTTTTATTGCGAAACTTTTTATTGTTATATGAACAATACGGGCAAAAATAATATTCTGGTAATATTTTTTATTTGATCGGAATCAAATGTCAATTTTTGTTTATTTTTTTCCAAACTTTTGGAATATAAACGTGTATGTTTACGTTTTTTGAACCTGGTATGATTAGGTAAACTTCGATTAAGTAAAAATTATGAGTTGGTAGTCTATGTCGTGGGTAGTCTAAAATTATTTGAAAGTTACATGAAATTCAGGAGAGTTATATTTGGCTGGACTTGAATCATGCCTAGGCTAGAGACATTTGATTAATCGGTTAGTCGCAAGCTTGATTTTTTTGTTTTTGGATGATCTGTTGCTCAATTTAATAAAGTCGAAAGATGATCCAAACCTTACATTTTCTTCTGAAATTTTTACTGATCTATGTTTTTAAATCAGAAAAATTCTTCTCAAAACCTGAAAAGTTTTTTTCAATCAAAAACCATTTATTTTCCATCTTCCGTTTCCCAATTTTAAAATCAAATAAAATCAAATCTTTCTCTGAAACCTTTCAATACAGTTTCTCTCAAAAAACTTCGACGAAACTTTTTTTGCAAAATAGAATTTTAATTGCCTGTTCACAAATTAGAGTACAGCTTACCATTTTTGAATAAAAAGTTACATATTTGATTGGCTAAGAGCAAACAAATGAAATAATTGCTCACCTTTAACATTTTTTGCGTTGTAAACAAGAAAAATCAGTTTTGTACCAATGGTTTTTTGTTGATAAATAGCTAAAATTATTGGAGATTTTCAATTATGCCAATTTCTTCAATTCTTTTTATCTGAAAAAATGATCAGGGTAAAATAGGAAATGTATCATTTACAACATATGTATGCCTATTTCACGGAACTTATATTCCTCTCTTCTTTTTTAATCTACATAATATACATATCAAAAAATTGTATGTGTTATTCCGCCACTGTCCTGTCCTATATACAATTTCTTCTCTTTGTTATTTTATTATTTTGTCCGCCTGTGTGTCTATGTGTGTTTTGTTTTTATTTTAATCGAAATGGATTTTGATTTGATTTAATTTGATTTTAAAAGTATGAAATATTATTCATAATTAAAAAAAATTTCTTTTCATTATAGTGTGAATATTGATTCATTTCGAAATAAAGAATTCGGTGTGATTTTAGCTAATGCCTTCTTCCCCAACTCCTTCAACTTCTTCAACTCCTAAAAAACTGCGAAAGGTAAGAATTGTTTGAACACACAATTTCGTAGAAATCGTTTCGTTCTGCCGAATTTTTTTACACTCCTACCAAAATTTTATAGCGCGAAGAAAAAACGGTCATTTCATTTCATTTTAGGGTCTTGTATCTTTTACGGTAGTCATCTGAGATAGTTCATTTTTTAGTATCTGTACGTTCATTTGCACTTGCATGTTTTGTTTTTGGCTGACTGGCTGTTGCATGAAAAGGTGGAATAACAAAACTGTAAATTCGTTTTCAGATAGTATAAATAGGCTGATTGTTTTTCAGCTAAGCCTAACTCTCCTGGGTTTTCACATTATTGTGAGGCAATTTTAGTTCTGAAAAACTCAAACTGTGGTTTTCCACCCACTTGTATTTTAAGATTGAAGAAAAACTGTATTTTTTTTCTAGATAAGCTTATTTCGTATTTGACTCTGACCTCGGAGTTCTTGATAATGAGGAACATGAAAAAAATCTATGGTGGAATAACAAAACTGAAAATAACTCTCCTGGGTTTTCTGATAATTGTGAAGCACTTTTTCTCTGTCGAGAAAAAATGCTCACCTATATTTCATCCAGAGATAATTCTAGACTTGAAACAAAACAACAATTGTTTTTTCTCGAATTTTTCAGGCATTTTTTCTTTTTGAAAAGAGAGAATAGAAAAAAGTGTAATTGTTTTCTTATCATCATCATCATCATGGTTTTTGTTTTCTAAAATTAAAATTAAATAATTTTCAGCGGAAAATTGTGGAAAAAATGTCGGATGAGACTCCAAAGAAGACGAGATTTGATCGAACCAAAAATGAAAAGTACAAGCAACTTGTGAAAAAATCAATCAAACGTCTCGCAACGCAAGATCAACAACAACAACAACGTCAACCAGTTGTTCATCAGGAACCACCACCACCAAGACCGCCAACTCGTAGAGGGTGAGATTTTTTTCTAATTTTGAAATTCAAAAAAACCTATTCAAAAATTTTAGGCAAGTCGAAATCGACATCGATCGTCGTAGCCCTGATCTTCGTGTTGACAAACCTCTTCGTCAAAAAAACTTGAATGAAAGAAAACGCTAAACTTTCGCAGCTCCGTATTCAAGACCAAAACAAATTAACCCACCAAAAAATTCACTTGTTTCATATTTTATATCGCTGACCGGTTAATGCGATCTCTCTCGCTTTTTTTCCAAATTCATTTTCCCAATTTATTTTTCCAAACAAAAAAATACAGTAGTCATTTTCACGATTCACATTTTTACTACAATTTTTAGAATTTCTCCTTCACCTGGTTTTTTCATTTTCTTCATTTTTCTTCTTGAAATAAATTTTTCACGGTTGTTGTTTTTTAGTGATCAGAAATCAGAAAGGATAGTGAAATTGACTTTCTTTTTTTTTCTGAAATAGCGAAAAAAAAAGCAAAAGTTGCTGTTCTGGAAATTTTATAGCAAAAGCTGGGATAATAAAAAAGGTGATAAAATTGGAGGTTTTACGATAACACTTTTGGAGAAGAAAATGGAAAAAATCTCATAGGGTAAAATTGAAATCGAAAAAAACATGTGTTTTATTTCTTTGTGGTATTTACTATGTTTCAAGTTGGGCATTTTTGAAACGACCAAAAAAAATCTTTTGAAGAAGTTTCTAGGCATTTTGAACTTTCAGAATTATATCAAATTGTGGATTTCTTTGCAGTTTGCCAAAACCCGAAAAGTAAATTTATCTGATTTTTTATAGTTGAAAATATGGGGCTTTCATACATATGTTTTGAAATTCTGAAAGTTGTCAACAGCTAGATTTGTAAGTCTCAGATATTTTCAGCCAGAATCAAAGATTTCCAATTATGTTATGCATAGTTTTTCTACACGTCATTCTTGATTGTTCGAATACCTGCAATTATTTTGTTCTAGATTTTTGGATGAAATATGAACTGTGAAAAATTGGAGCTGCGACATCATATCAAGTTAACATCTGTGTGATACTAAAAAAGATAAGTTATTCACTGGAAAATTTCTATAATCCACAGGACACAGTTTGAAATTTGAAAGTTCCGTCTACTGTTCTGAGAAGTAATATCTTTTTTAAGATTCAGAAAAATATCAATTCCAAATACGAATAATCTCACAAATAATCATCAAAAAAAAACCTCACATATAAGAAATTTGATTTCTCACAAACCACATTTTTTCTCTTTTTGCACTTTTTATCTCAATTTCACCCAAAAAAACAATTTTTTTCAAAAAAAAAACTTAACAAAAACAATAAAACTCATAGTGCAAAATGGCCTAACTTCAATTTTATGGTATTTTTCCAGTTTTTCTTGTCGTTTTGGAAACAACAGATCATGATATTTTTTTCGCAAATGAACCCCAAAAAAGATTTCCTGTCATAAATCAGTTCAGTTTTCGACATATGAAAAATGAAATTGTACAGATAAAAAACGATAACAACAAAAAATAGTGACATGTTATCAAAACTAATTCATCATTTTGCGAACGTTGACATGAAATATAGCGATTCAGAAACCATTATCACATTTTTGTTTAAAAACTATCTACAAAAAACGTTTTTATGAACCCGAAATCTAATAAAATTTGAGAAATTATGAAGAATATCCTGTTTAACCCAAAAATAGGTGTCAATTATAATCAATCAAATTATCGGCCAAATCAATTGTCAACACATTATTAGTGATTTATACAGAAAAGTGAAAGAGATTTGGGTTTTTTTGTTGTTGATAATCTGGATTAATTTGCAATTAAAGACTTTACTGTGTGGAATTTGTGATTTTGAAACTGGAGAAAATATTGAATAATTGCTGGAATAAAAAAAGAATGTTGCTCGAGATTATCTGAAAAATCAAGTTAAATTTGAAAAAAACATGTTTTTTAGACTATCTAAACAAAATTTGTTCTCGAACAGAACATTTTTGCATATTTATCTAAAATAAAATTGAAGCTCTCAAAACATTGTAAGAAACTTTAAAGGGGGTAAACCCTATTGTCTCTCGTGCAAAGTGTGATACATCATTCGATTCAGAATTTTGTGTTATATATGCACAAAAAATTTTAGCTCTCGAAACGCATTCTAAGTACACGTTTTTTGCGTCCAAACAGGACCAAAATCTGCTCGAAATAAAAAAAAAGAACACACAAGAAAGAGAGACGCAGACTCTCGCTGTCTGCTAGCCAGCCAGCATGAGAGTTGTTTTTTCTTCTTTTTTTTACTGTTTTTTTTCGAATTTTGTGTTCAACAACTACGGTAAGTGTGAATATACTGTAATAAAATTAGTAAAAACAACACACATGCTGGCTGGCTGGCAGACAGCGAGAGTCTGCGTCTCTCTTTCTTGTGTGTTCTTTTTTTTATTTCGAGCAGATTTTGGTCCTGTTTGGACGCAAAAAACGTGTACTTAGAATGCGTTTTGGGAGCTGAAATTTTTTGTGCATATAAAACACAAAATTCTGAATCGAATGATGTATCACACTTTGCACGAGAGACAATAGGGTATACCCCCTTTAACTTTCCGATTGTCAAAATTAAAGATATTTTATATCCTGATTTCGGTCTTGATTTATGTAAATTTAGACTCGATTTTGTCCTCTTCGAAGTACTCTGTGGAATTTGTAGTAATGTAGTGTCAAACAACTACATGTCAAACAACTTTTTTTTCTAGGTCACCTTACCATATCCAACATAAATTCTAATCAATTTACCCCATTCATCACCCAAAAATCCACCCACCCCTCAATAAATTTCAAAATTAATCAAAACCACACCCATCCTCTTCCTCTTTTTCCCCATCAAATCGTCAAAATCAAAACTTCATCTACACCTTTTTTCTGATTACTCATTTGGAAACAACGCCCTGGACGACATATATAAGACATATAGAAATAAGAAGAAGATGAGAACCGCACCCATTCTCTTCTTCTTTTTATTTTTATTTTCTCGCTCCGCCCATTTCACTATATACAATAGTTATCCCAAATCATTTGGTTTTTCGTTCATCATTTTATTATACATACCTTTATATGATTATTTCTAATATTTTTCTCAACATTCTCAAATTCAATTGAATTTTTCAGAATCACAAACCATGTCGGACAATGAATACCGTAGTTCGATCACTTCTCGTCCATCGTTCAATCGAACAGTCACCACAAACACCCAAAACTACAGTACTCCAGGATCTGGAAATCGTGTGCTGAAAATTGTGACTGAAATGTCGTCGTCATCTGTAGCTAGTGGATTATCACCATATGGCCAAAATGCGGCTTCAACCATTCGGGATGCTAGAGAAAAAGAAAAGAAAGAAATTATGGATCTTAATGATAAACTTGCTAGTTATATTGAGAAAGTAAGTATTTTTCTAAATCATATTTCATGGAAACATCTTTTGCAAACAACGCTTATATTTAACAAAACAGTTATTTTCAGGTTCGTTTCCTTGAAGCCCAAAACCGTAAACTTGGAGCTGACTTGGATATGCTCAAAGGAAGATGGGGAAAAGACACAAGCAGTGTGAAAGTTATGTATGAACTTGAAATCACTGAAGCCAAAAAAGGTTATCACTCAAACCGGAACCGAGAAGGAAAATTTGGAGAAGGAGATCAAAAAACTTCAAGATGAACTTAGCGAATATAGAAAAAAATTTGAAGAAGCCACCAAAGGACGTACTGAAGATCGTCAGAAAATTGATGACCTTTTGGTTGAATTGTCCAACCTCGAAGCTGAAATTAACCTCCTCAAAAGACGAATTGCTCTTTTGGAAGAAGAAATCACAAGACTCAAGAAAGAAAACATGCGATTGATGCAAGAACTTCAACGAGCCAGAACTGAATTAGATCAAGAAACATTGAACAGAATTGATTATCAAAATCAAGTCACAACTCTTTTGGAAGAAATTGATTTCATTAAACGTGTTCATGATCAAGAAATCAAAGAGTTGCAAGCATTGGCTGCTCGTGATACAACTAACGAAAATCGTGAATACTTCAAAAATGAATTGGCATCAGCTATTCGTGATATTCGTAGTGAATATGATCAAATGATGAATGGAAATAGAAATGATTTGGAGAGTTGGTACAAACTGAAAGTGCAAGAAATTCAAACACAAAGTGCCAGACAAAATATGGAACAAGGATATCAAAAGGAGGAAGTTAAAAGACTTCGCACACAATTGGGAGATTTGCGAGGAAAATTGGCTGATCTTGAAGGAAGAAATGCTCTTCTTGAAAAACAAATTCAAGAGCTCAATTATCAATTGGAAGATGATCAAAGATCATATGAAGCTGCTCTTAATGATAGAGATGCTCAAATTCGCAAAATGCGTGAAGAATGTCAAGCACTCATGGTTGAACTTCAAATGCTTCTTGATACTAAACAAGTAAGTTTTGGGAAGAATCGAGTAGAATTTGGAGGTAGAGAGGGTTTGATTTCTGAACAAAGAATTTCAAAAAATATTGTGTATTTTGTATTGATAATCGTTGTACGTAAATTTCGGCATTAAATTTTGTGGGGTTGAAAATATATTTGAGTTGACTCCCAGATTTTTTGTTAAATTCCTTGAACTTTCAATCAAAAACCAATTATTTTCGATTCACAATGTCACAACTGGTTTGAAATAAATCAAAAACCGAAAACTCAAATAACCTGTACTTTTTCATGAATACAAAAAAGTCATAGGTTGAAAACTAATTTAATCAAAATGTCATACTACTGTCAAATTCAATCTGAATTTTCCAGACCCTCGATGCTGAAATCGCTATTTACCGTAAAATGTTGGAAGGTGAAGGAGATGGTCCGGGACTCCGACAATTGGTCGAACAAGTTGTCCGAACAACCGGAATCAATGAAACCGCTGACACCGAAACAATGCGTGTTGTCAAAGGAGAAACATCCAGCAGAACTTCCTATCAACGATCAGCCAAAGGAAATGTTTCTATCCAGGTTTGTACTTTTCAGAAAAAAAAAATCAAATTCAATACGACCTTCAAAGCTTTTTTATATATATATCTGTTTTCTTTATATTTATTCATTCACATCACATTACGACAATCCATAATTGGTTTTTTTCATCTTTTCAATGTCCTCCTGCTGAGATAACGGAACTTTTTTTTCCTCGTCAGCAAAAAAAGTAAATGTGATTTTTCTTGCAGGAGACATCACCAGAGGGCAAATTTGTTGTGTTGGAGAATACAAATCGCGGCAAGGGCGAACCATTAGGCGAATGGAAATTGAAAAGAAAAATTGATGGAAAACGCGAAATTGTTTATACATTCCCAGCCGATTATGTTCTCGAACCTTTGAAATCTGTCAAGGTTTGTTTTTGCGGGCATTCAAGGTCAAATCATCTTATCAATCAACATAAAAAATATTCTTCTTGTTTATGTATTGATGATTTGGGATTATTGGAAAATCTGAGAACTAATATAATCATTACGTTGCTCCAAATATAATTCTCAAAAAAAACTGATTTTCTGATAGATATTATCGAAAATTAATTTTCTTTATCATTTTTTTTCTTTTTGAAAAAACCATTCCATTTAGCTAAAAAATTTCAAACATTTGAACTCACTTTGGTCTATCCGGGTTCACTTTTTTTCCATAGAAATAATCAATAATTTTTTACAGATCTTTGCCCGAGGACATGGAGTCGCTAGTCCACCAAACACCCTAGTCTTCGAAGGTGATGAAACCTTTGGAGTTGGGTCAAATGTTCAAACTATTCTCTACAACAAAAATGGAGAGGTAAAAATGAAACTTTTTTTTCGGAATCTCGAATTTCATGTGTTATTTTTTTCAGGAAAGAGCCACACATATTCAACGACAAAGTCAAAGCAACTCATAATTCTTTTTCTGGGCCGAAAATACGCAATGTATTTTTTTCAAACTTTTATGCTATAAATATATTTCTTATTTTTATTGTGCTTTTGATTGATGGGGATTTTTTGATTTGATTTATTTCTGGAAAACATTGGAGATTTTATTCAAAATTTTCGAAGTCGTTAGTTTCTGGAAAATGTTTATTTTCTATTTATTTTTGGATTTTAGTTATGATTTCATTTTTTCTTTTGTGTAAAAAAAAATTCCCATATTTTTTCGTGAGAATTTCGAAACATTTCAATTGAAAACCGTTTTTTTTAGTTTCGAATTTTTATTTTTTTGGTGAATTGTTTTTCCAGTCAAAATATTGTATTATTTAACATTATTAGTTTTCAGTATCAGAAAATTCTCTTGGTTCGTTTCTTTTTTAAAAAATTGAAGTAATCCATTTTCCCAGGTTTTTGAAATATAAAAAAAGTAGAATACAAATTTTTTCTTCTAAAAACGTATCCGAAAGTAATTTGTATTTTTAATTCCACATATACTTTCTTGAAACGCTGAAATTTTCGAAAATTCCAAATATTTCCATTTTTTTTTTATTTTCACCTGCGTTTTTCATTTTTCATATTTGGGATAGCATTTACAAACTCAACAATGAGTCTAAAAATTTCTATGAAAAAATTTGCATAATTTTTTCTGACGTCTAAAAAGTTTTTATTCAGATTAGTTTTTTCCCGGATTTTCAACAAATAAGGAAATTTTTCTTTGTTGATCAAAAATCAATTGTTTCCCTAATCCTCGTAGTTTGTTATGTTTTCTCACATCATTTTCGAAGCCATATTTTGTTGAAAAAGTGCAGACAGATGTTTCATTCAATTCATTTTTTTTTCTAAATGATCTCAAATTTGTTTAGTTCAATAATGATTTAATAGTTTTTGCTCTCCTTTTTGAAGAAAAAAAATAATCTGCCAATCATATCATAATTTTTGAAAAGAGGGGGTTTGCAATTTTGCGATAATCAGTCTCGAGTTCAATTTATTCTTATCAAAAAAAATTCGCGACTCGCGGAAACGCTTTTTCTCTCATTTGATATTTTCAAATTTTATTTATGTAATTTGAGTCATTTCATAAAAAAATCATTTTCAGATTGGGTAAAATGAGTAGTTTGTATTATTCAAGTAAGTTCTCTCTGAAAAATTTGAAAAAAAATTCAAAAATAAACATTTTGCAGATGCCAGGGAAGTTGGAAGAAACGAGGTAACTTCAAATGTGATCATAGCAGAGGATAAGAAAACTGTGGTATGTTTTTTTTTTCAAATATTTTTGCTCTGCTTATTTATAATTCTAAATTTGATTTCAGGTATATGCAATTCGTATAGGTAATGGACCCTTTATGCAGAAACCTTTTGAAGAGTATGAGAAATTCTTTCAATCGGTGAGAGTTTTCTACTAACTACAAACTAGAATGTAGTTTTGTGTTTTGCAGGTTGGTGAATTGACAACGGCCACAGCCACTCCGGCACCAAAGAAAAAGTTTTTGCAATCGGACACCAAGTTTTATGAGAAAAGGAAATTGTGGATTCAAAGTGTTTCACAACATCTTATTGATAATCATACAAAGAAGTAGGTTTTACCGAATTTAATCAAAAAGTGAATTGTGAATTTCTGGATTTTTAAAAAGTTCAAGAAAAGTTCCCCTACAGCAACCCGAGCAACCCCAACCACCAAAACAACAATTATCTCATATTTTCCAGCGACGATGTCCGCAGATTTTTCCACATCGACTTTGGAGATGATGATGAAAATATGGTTGACCTAGGACCAAGTGAACGAAAAACGTGAGAATTTTCATAAAATATTTAGAAAATCGTCTTTTTCCAGAGCCTGCCCACAGGATTTTGATTTCCTAACAACAATTGGAAAGGGTAGTTTTGGTAGAGTTTATCAAGTTCGACACAAAGAAACCAAAAAAATCTATGCGATGAAAGTTTTGTCCAAGGAACATATTAGGAAAAAGAATGAGGTTTGTGTTTTTCTTGGGGAGTTTTGGTAAAATTTTCAGAAAATTCATTTTTAGGTCAAACACGTGATGGCTGAACGTAATGTGTTGATCAATAATTTCAAGCATCCATTTTTAGTTTCCCTACATTATTCGTTCCAAAATAAGGATAAGCTCTATTTCGTTTTAGATCATTTAAATGGTGGAGAGGTGAGCAATTTTCTCAAGAAAAACTAGAACAAAAAATATCCGGTTTTCAGCTATTTTCACATTTACAACGTGAAAAACATTTTAGCGAATCGAGAAGTCGATTTTATGCGGCTGAAATTGCTTGTGCACTTGGATACTTGCATGAGAAAAATATTATCTACAGGTTTGTAGATCAAACAAATTTTTGAAATAATAAAAAAAAACAAGATCTTTGTTTTTTTAGAGACTTGAAACCGGAAAATTTACTTCTGGATGACAAGGGTTACTTGGTTTTGGCTGATTTTGGATTGTGTAAAGAGGGAATGATCGGAGGGAAGACGACAGTCACTTTTTGCGGAACTCCGGAATATTTGGCACCGGAAATTGTGTTGAAAAAACCATATGATAAGACTGTTGATTGGTGGTGTCTTGGAAGTGTTTTGTATGAAATGATTTTTGGATTGGTAAGGAAAGACAATTTGGAGAAATACTGATGAGTCTCAGGAGGTCTAGAAGTAATTAGATTTGAGTTGGATAAACAGAAGTGCACATGAGGATTTCTGAGAACATAGTTTTGAGAAAAAATAGAATAAATTATAAATATTGAATATATGATTTCACCTAATGACTAAAATAAAAAGAATGTCGATTTGAGCTTATTCACATTTTCTTATAAAATTAACGTTATTTTTAATAGTCTGAAAGCGCGAACTGGTTAGTCACTGGTTAGTCAAGAAATATATATTATTTTTTTATTTCCAGCCACCATTCTACTCCAAAGATCACAATGAAATGTACGATCGAATTGTTAATCAACCGCTCCGCCTCAAACATAGCATTTCAGTGCCATGCTCTGAATTGATTACTGGGGTAATTTTCATTATTTATGTTTTCACTAATAACTATTTTTATTCAGCTCCTCCAAAAAGATCGAACTAAAAGATTGGGAAACAAAAATGATTTCAAAGACATTAAAGATCATCCATTCTTCTTGCCAGTTGATTGGGATCGATTATTGAATCGTGAATTAAAAGCACCGTTCATTCCAAAAGTCAAAAATCAAATGGATGTGTCGCAAATTTCCAAGGAATTTGTTGATATACAGATTGATCCATGTAAGAATTTTGGTTTTTTTTGAGAGAACGGCTTCCAGAAATACGTGATATGAACTGTGATTTTGAAGAATATATTTCTGAAAAAAAAACATTTATGAGAAACACTTTTCAAAAATTCGCCCAAAACCCTTCATCTTTCTTCAACTATTCATTTCTGAATCAACTTTCTTATAAGGAAAATGCTTTTATTTCCGAAAAAGTACATTCATTCTTAATTTTTTGAAAACACAGCTTTCAATTTAACCTAAATTCTCATTCATCAATATTTTCAGCATCATTGGCTCCTCAACATATCGCTTCCACTATGCGTGATCATGATTTTGAAAACTTTACATTCGTTGACACAAATCGAGTGCTTGTTTGATTATAATTATAAGTTTTCCAACCCAATGTTCCCCCTTTTTTCCATCTTATATATTTTTTTTCTTTTATTTTTGGTGTTTCTGTTCTGACAACAACCCAATTTTTATAAAGCTTTTGGTCATAAACATATATATTATATAAATCTTGAGGAGAGTAAAAAACATTTTTTCCCGAAGTGAATCAATATTTCTCACAGCTATATATGTGTTTTTATAAAAAGTAAAGTACAATTTGATTATAATTTTTTATTCAATTATGTTATTTTACTTTTTGGTCTTTTTGAATTATAGATCAGAATAGGAAACGATGAAATTTAGTCTGGACATCCCAAAAATTAGAAAATATTTTATATTTTAGTTTGCGATAAGTGTTTTGAAAGAAGTTTTCAGAAAACTGAAAATACCGAATGATGTGTTGAGCTAACTTATCATTAATTTTTTGTTTGAGAAAAAGTGAAATTGAAGGTTTATATAACTTGAGAAAGCTAATTCTAGGGTTTTAAAATCTTGTGATAACTGCTTTGCTGTTTATAAAAAAAATCTGAACTCAAAATTGTATCATTCTCTAAATTTGGTATCTATTTCATATTGAAAAAATAAGAAGCTGTTCTACAAAAAAGTTATAGTTTTCACGATTGAAAGAATGTTTGAAGAGAAGTTGTTTTGGAAAACTATTTGCATTTTGTTGCATGGGAAGTTCAAATTCCTTTTATCTTCAGTTATTCACTAAAATTCCATTTGCGCAACGTCACAACTTTTTTCAGAAATTTGTTTTGATTTGACTACCCTTGACTAGACTAACTTTCTTAGAAGCGTATGATTTTTTCAACTTGTTTTCTGAAAAAAATTTTCTCTAATTTTTTCGGCAACTTTAACTTTGATGTCAAAGAAGACTTAATAAATCTCATGTGCACTGGATTATATTCCAAACTATTCAAATTTCATTTCTCCTAACATTTTTCGTTTGCCAAAAGAAATATAGAACTTCTGGATTAACCAACACCAAAACTAGCATTTTTTCTGAAAAAAAACCCAAAATGTTTTTCAGTGAACTTTTTTCTAATTAAACTTCTCACTAAACCCTCATTCCTCATGTACTCCCACAAAAAAACTTGTTCTCAAAAATGCATGAAGAAAGATATTTTGCACTTTTTCAAAGAAACGAACAGCAAAAAAGAAGAAAAATAGAGCAAAACAATGTTATTTTCATTTTTGTTTTTGAATATTTCTCTGATGGATATTTATTTGTAAGTGGGTGGAGCTTTTTTTCTCATTTTTCTTTTATTTTTTTCCAAAAAAATAAATGCTCACAGTAGCATTTTCAGGCTCATTGAGATTTATTTCTATTTTTTTTTAGAAAAATATATACACCTTTTCTTATTATTTTTCAAATAAACAAACATATTATTAAGGTATTATGTTAGTGCGGGTCTGACAAGATTATTAGTTTTTTTTTCTTTTTATAGGATTTTTTTCGAAAAAAAAAGCTTTTTCTTCGGAGAAGAAAAAAATTCGAAAAAAATGTTTATTATTCAGTCCCTTTTCTCTTCATACACAATTTTAAAGCATTACTAATTCCTCAGAACTTTTTTCAGCGTCTCTTTGTTTTTTTTTCTTCTGAATGAATTTTTTTTTAGCTTAAACCAAAATGAGCATAGAAATGAACATAATGAGAGCACTCTAATGAAGGGAAACCAAACAAAAAATAGAATAATATGCTTTTTTGTCGTACTTATGTTAGATATTTCGTCTTTTTATGATATGTGAAAAAAAGAGGAAATTGATATACTAGTATTGAAGAACAAAAAAAGAAGAGATTGATTATTTTTCGTATTTTTTAGTTCTATTATTATTTATCATCATGACGATTCTAGATATAATAACTGAAATTCTACGATTTTGTAGCTTTCCAACTTTTCCGGAGAATGATGAAATGATGGATAATTACGAATTATATCGTTGGCAACATACTATTCAATCTGGAATTTTATTGCTCCTTTTCATACTTTGGTTGTAAGTTTATTCACAATCTGCTTCGTATTTAAAGATTATCCGATTTTTCTAGAATTATTGGCTGTTTTGTATCACGTGAAGTCTTTTTAGTGCTATTGGATCATCACAAGATCAGGTCAGTTTTTATGGCGGGAACATTTTTGTTTTCTTTTGTGAAAACAATAAGACATTATTTCCAAAAAACCAGATGTTTTCTATTTTACACCACTTTTCTCGAATAGAAAAATAATAGATCTTTTCCGAAAGGGTTTCAAATTTTTTGTTTTTTGAAAAATGTGCATTTTTGGAGATTTTTGAGCCTTGGAGATTTTATATATTCTGTTGGAATTTTTCAATAGAGATTTGATTTTGGCTCTCTTTTGTTAGGAAAGAGATTTGGAATAAATGAAAGTGGAATGAGGATTAGCGGGAATAATAAGATAAATTGATAATGAATGAATGTAGTTTGGAAGTGAATATATAAAAATAAGTAATTTTTGAAAATGAATGTGTGAAAAAAATCGAAAAATATATGTGCGAACTTTCTGAGAATTTTTAAAAGATATTCCATCTTATTTTCCTGAAAAAAATAGAAAATGTTTTGATCTTTTTTAGTATAAAAAATATCCAAGAATGTTTGAAGAAGACTGAATGCTTTTTTGCCCACAATATGTTAAACTTTTTTCTTTTTCAAAATGAACACATTTTTTCTGGTCACAATATCTCAATTGAGTCTCTTTCCCCTTCTGAATCGTAATTTTCCAGACAATCTCGAACCAAACCTCTTCCCAAGCGCGAATATCACGGGAAATACAGCGTGAAGAAGAATCGTTGCCTAACAAAAGAGCGAAATCATCAACCAAATGGTCTAACTTCTGCTGCAGATCAACCATAATAATATTTTTATTTGCAAAAAACTGAAAAATAATAACGAAAACAACAATATTATCTAATCGAATTGAATTCATTTTGTTTTGTTTTGTAATTTGATAATTTTTGATTCTATTTGTTTTTTCTCCATTTTGATCGTTTTCAATATGTTTTTATTTTGTAAAATCAGATTACCTTGACATAATTTTTTCAAAAATAATATGTATGTCTAGTTAACCGCTGTCCGCCTCTTGTTTTTTTTCAATATCCTGCCTCTTTTTTTGAGTTGAATTTCTACTGGTCATTTATTCATAAATTTCCAGTATTCTCACATATGTAAATCTGAATTTTGACTAGTGTTTGTGATTTATTGGAACTTTTTATTTGAAAACCATATGTTTGTATATTCTCAGTTTTTTTTCGCATTGAAAAATAAATAAAATTTGTTATAATCCCAACTTTGGAAAATTGCCAGATTGCATTACTGCATGTACTTCCCCGAAAGAGTACTGTAGACAAGTGTTTTTATATATAAAATCGTTTTCTCAAGATTTTGGATAAGATTGTGCGTCCATCTTTCAGATCATGAAAATTACAGTAAACTAGATGTTCTAGATATTTCGAAAAAATTAAAATTTTCGTCCAGCACTTTGAAGAAATCTTGATCTCCCCTTTTTAAATATCAAACTCTATCAAGAGCTGTGTAAATAAAAAAACAAACAAAAACATAAAAAATTCGAAAAAAATAATACAGTATTTATTTCACCTTACCACATGATCAGTTATTTTGGAATTTATAAAAAACAAGTTTTTTTTCGCACAATGAAATTGAAATTGTTGTTGATTTCCATTTTCCTCCATTTTTCCACCTGCAACTGGTCAAATTTGTTTTTGTATTTTTTCATGAAAAAATTTAATTTTCATTTTTCAGGAATGCCAGACTACACTGCTGTCAATGTGGATGATTTGAACGTGAATGTCACCACACCGCCACCATATAATGATCCAGGAAATTCAGTAGCCAAGAAAAAAATGTCTAGAATTCGTGGGTTACATGAAATTTTTGTCAAATTGAAATAAAATTGCAAATATTTGCAGAAAAACAATCAATCGCTTCGAGCAAAGCTTGTGAGCACTGTGGTGCTCCACCACAATTTCAACGTGGAAATAGTCAAGGCCCTGTCGTAGTCTGGCCAGCGGTTCGTCCCACCAATCATATTCACCAAGATTCACGCCAATTTATTGGTTATGTTTTGGTGATTGCTATTGTTATTTTCCTTCTTTTTGCTGCTTGTAAGTATTTGCCTTAAATGTTTGGTGTTTTTTTCAAAGCATTTTTATACCTCACAATTGAATAAATATTTTTTGGATGAATGAGAAATGAAAAAATATTTCCATGGAAACACAGAAAAACGCTGATGAGTTAATGAGAATGAAATGAACTATTTCAGATTTTTATTTTGAGCAGAGCAGGGATTTTTAAAGTGCAGCTGGAAAATATTTCCTCGGAGAGATTAGTGGTTAGAATATTAATTTTTTTCATTGACTGTTTCATCATTTCTTATTTGATTTCAGAGTTATTGTATTGAAGGAAAAATATTCAGATTTAAAGAGAAGTGATGCTATGAAAAACATTAGGAGCAACACAAACGAGCAAGGAATATAGAACTTGTATTTCGAAGAAACTCAATATCAGAAATCTAGCGTAATCTCTTGATTCCGACAGAAGTTGTAGCGATAGTGAAGATTGAAATCAAGAATTCACAAAGGAATCTCTATATAATCAGAAAGTAATATATGCTCCGAATTACTACGCACATCATATGATTACTTGCATTCCTTATACATAACTATTCTAGATATGGTCCGTTAATTTTAAATAGAGTACTTAATTTTCGAATACACGAAACATGTCTAACTATATCTTCCATCTTTTTCGAACTCTCTGTATCTAGATTTTTCGAAAGCATCCTTCTAACAAGCTGTCTTAAAACTACAGTATAGTTTGATTTGCAAAAATAGCAATTCTATTTTTATTTTTTTCTATCTCGTGGTTTATGTTTTCTCCAAACACCCACGAAAAATTACAAAAAAAACAGATCATATTTATCAAACCCTCAAAAAATCGTTTTTATTTTCAGAAAAAAAACCATAGAACGCTTTTCCATCTTTTCGTTCCCACCAAAACCCATTTGCACTTTGTTAATTTTTTCCTCTTATAAAAAAACTATTGCACTTTAGAAAGAAACCAAAAAAAAAAAAACAAGAAACAAAAATATATAGTTTGATTGCCAATCAATATTTTAGCACATTGGCTGACCCCGCAAAACCGTTCCCCCTTTCTATTGTGCTCGTCTGCGTCTCTCTATCTCCTATATCTTCCCCTTTTTTCACACCAGACAGTTATTCTTTTTGTTGTTGTACGCTCTTGTGGTACGCTTCTTTTTATTTTTTCTTGGTTTTTCCCGCCTTATCTTTTCTCTTTGAAATGAATGAATTACAGCAAGCTTCACTTCTTCACTTTTCAATCCAAAAATGTCAAAGATGCCAGGATGTCGTTTTGTTGTTCAACCAGTCATCGACTATGAAATCCAACCAATGATCACAATCGAGAAGAAAAGTGATGCGCTTTCCGATTTCTTTGGTGCACCTGAAACTAGTGAAGTAGCCAACAAACAAACTTCGACGCGTATTACACTTACTGATGATGGTAGGTGTTTTTTTTTGAAGAAACATGCGGAGTTTACGAGATAAAAATTGAGAGATTCAGAACAAAATTCTAGAATACCCCTAGACTATGTTCAAAAATTAGAGAGGTGTAGAAAAATATAAAAGTTCCATCTCCTTTCACATCATTAATAATAAAATTGCAATTAGACAAGAAAGTGCGTGAGAAAGTAACATACCTGAACTATTTATTTACCGTCCTCCTGTATTACCTAAAAAAAACCAAAAATTCCATTATCAAGCTCAAATATATTTCAGCACTCACGGACGGCGTCTACGTTAATGCTCACGATCACGCAAAAATCTATGCAAAACTTCACAAAAACACTGGATGCGAAATCTTCGCCTTCTTATTCGTTCTCTTCGTTTTGGCACTTCTTGTTGTTGCATTGAAACAATCGTTCGAATTCTAATCAACTTGTTCAAAAGATATGACGTGACGTGTAACATTTCTTCTCAATTTGTACAAAAGTTCGTGTATTTGTATATACATTTGTATAACCTTTTCTGCCCATTCCAAACGACAATTATTCTTATTTGTTTTTTTGACCCGCTGGTTTCACTAATTGTTTATCCATAATAACTTTCTATCATAAATTATTATGGTAAATGTGTGTATTGATTTTTGATCAAACGTTGCGAGGGGGAGTTCGGGCTTTGGAAATGCGGCTTTCAAGTTTTAATGAGCGGGGTTTTTCTAGAGTTCGATACGGATGAGTTTTTTGTAAAATATAAAAAAAATTGATTGAAAATTTTGCATCTGGCCCGTGTTTTTCATCACCTATTCATATATTCTGAAAATAATCGGTTATAAAAGAATAATCGAGTAAGATAGGTCTTGTTATAAGAAAAATTTTCTGAGTTTTTGAAGTTCTGCTAACTATTTCATGAAAAACGTTTCAAACTAAAACTATCCAACTTCTCTTAAGTGCTGACTTGATTAGACTATAACTTTACATTTTTTAAATAATTTATTTAAAAAAAACTACAAAAAAAAACACAATAAAGCAAAAATGGTTACCATAAAATAGATGCATAAATAAACGACGAAGATTTAGACGATTCTTCTTAGAGGTTGAGGGCGAACTTTATTTTTCCAGAAACACATACGGTGACTGGACGGCGCTCCAAATTGCTCCATGCTTGTGTTAGTATCAGTCCCAGAAATTCGAAAGACTTCCGAACAAACTGTAGTGAACAACACTGCCGCTTCATTAGGAGAAACCAATCCATCGAATAGGTAGAACTCCCAAAGAACAATATCAATGCTTCCAGTCGGGATTGCCTGAAAATTATAATTAAAATAAAAAGAATTATATCTTTAACATCCGAATGGGTTACTATTTTTATATAGTATAAATTTTTGTAATCTATTGTTTGTGAAGATATTGTTTTTCAATCTATTTACCTTCAGAACATCAATATTGTCAAGCATATTATGATATTTGAACTTAACATTCAATTTCGGAGTAGTCTTGATAACTTCAGAGATATCAGTAAAGTTTTCGAGTGGTTCAGTGATATAGACACATGTAAGATTGTTCCCTCCTGCCATATTGTCGATCCATTTTTCAACGCGTACCGAAATATTTTCGATGCTCATTCGACGAAGAGAATCAAAAAGAGTTTGAGTAAAATATCCACCATTGAGGCGTAATTCTTCGATGGAATAGCAATGGAAAATCTTTTCGATTTGCTCGTTTGTCAATTCGCCGTTTTCGACGCGGAGGAAAAATTTGCCGACAACAGCGTTTGTGAAGAGAGATTCCCAGTGATCCGCTGGAACTCGAGAGGAATTAATAGAATCTTCGATATAACGGATGCCATAACGAATAGTGTTGTTTTGAAGTGTGACATATGCATCACAATGTGGACCACTGATTGATTTGCGGTAGTGATTGTAAACGCCTCTCATGACTGCAGATGTGTTTCGAAAATTTATGGCGTCTTTGTTTGGGAGCTGGAAATTGGTTATTTTTTGAGGGATAAGAAGGGAGAAGCTGAGTTATTTATGATGTTTTTTGACAGTTTTGAATATTGAGTGGATTTTATGATGCCAGGTCACGTTTTCTGAGAGTCTGTTTTGGGTATATTTATCTCTCTCTCTTTTTTTTATGGAAAACTGATCTACATCTACCCCAACACCTAAAAATTGAGAATATTATTCTTTTTTTTTGTTTTTCCACACAAAAAAAACGCATCGAAAAATTGATTGATTCATCAAAAAATTACAAGTTTCTTTTAAAACTTTTATTTTGTCCTAATTCTGTGGAAATCATCAAAGTTTCTTCTAAAATTATGGTTATCAGCTTCGCAATCAACCAAAATACCCTAAAAATTTGAACAGAAAAAAAAGAGTCTAGAAAAAATTCTATTGATAAATTTTCAAGGTCAGTTTTTTTCAAAAGTCTATTGTTTTATGAAGGCTTTCGAATTTTTTGGACTCTTTTCAAACTTACTTTGCACATAATTTTCCCAATCAATTCATGCGGCATTTCTTTGAAGATATTGGTTTTCTTTATGTCCATTGTTGGAGAATCTTGAAAAAATATGGAAATAAATTGGGAATTGGGAAAAGGTTTTTGAAAAAATGAAAAAATTTCATACTAGGGCTCTCTTTGTCTTAAGAAAGCTCCACCCATATCTTTTCTGATTTTTTACAAGGCAAAAAACATCGCATTCATATGAGTCACACAAAAAAACTGTGTTTTTTCTGCACATCAAAAAATCAGGAAATTGGATAACGTTTACTATATATTTCACAAGACAGGCGAAGGAAACATTATAAAAAATATAAAAAATTATTAGAGTGAGAAAGAAGGCACAAAAATCAATACAGGAATCGTTAATCTAATAAAAACATTTTTTTGCTTTTTGTGAAACTTTTTTGTATTTTTTTTTTTGAGAAGCCTTCCTCCTTGTAAAAAATGATGATACATAGAGTAAGTCGTTTTTTTTGCTTTCATCGAATTTTTGTCCCAACATATGTATCGTTGACCAAAATATAGACTTGGGAGGAGCCAGACACTATCGCGTTCCCTTCTCTTTTTTTTCCTTACTCATCATCACACATATTTCTGCCGTTTGTCTATTCTTTTTTACACTTTTCTTTCGAAAATGGTCAAAGTTTCGTTTGATTTTGCCGATCGGAAATCAGGAAATGATCAAAATTCTTTGGATGTGGATTTCTACACAATTGAAGGAACTTTCAAACAAGTTGTGATTGAAGATCCAAATGAGTTTCCAAGTGAGTGAATTTTGGGGTTTTCGGGGAATACCTTCCGATATTAGATATTGCTAAAAAGTGTTTCCATGGACTCTGATTATGAGGAAAAACCTTTTGGAAACAGGCCGTGAGACGAAAAATAGCAAACATGCTCCACCGGACAAACTCTTTTTTAACATATTTAAAAAAACAGGATGAATTTTGAATGATGAATATTGATCTTTTTCACTATGAAGAATGATCTGTAGACCAAATCCCTCAATGAAAGGTTACAAACTTGATCGGAGGATGTTTTTTTTTCGGTATAACACGTTTGCAATTTCTAGTCTTCTAAGCTTTTTCCTAGTATCTCTAATTTTCACAAGTTTTTTTCTTAGAATCAGAGTGTAAAAATAACATGAACATTTTCAGTTCTGTTCACCACCCAAGAAATAGACAATCATATCTATCAAATCTGCTGTTTCCTTCTCACAGTTTGGACCGTTCTTGTTGTGATTGAAGTTTGTTCTATTTTGACCTAATACATTTCAGTTATTCAAAGAAAAAATTCTTTCCTGATTTTGATGAATCTCATTTTTTAAAATCATTTTACATAAACCATTCAAATTTTATACGGGACAGGAAATTGGATGATAAAAGATCGTGTGAAATTAGCAAGCGATCGAAAGGTCGCTAATCTTTTTGTCTTTTGTAAGCAAGTTTTTTTTGCATTTTTTTGGAAAAATGTTTTAACATTTAAACATGTGAGACATTGAAGGAGTTTTTGTTCGACTAGAAGCTCCTGAAAACAGGTAATAATGCATTTTTTCGAAAACTGGAGTGCAAAATCATAGAAATGAAAATTCTCATAGAATAATCAGTATTTATTATCAAATTATTATCACAGATTATTTTAATTATGTATAATTAGCTTCCATTCCACACAAAACTCCTTCTGTGGTCAAATCATCAAATTCATCGTCCATCAATCCAGTACTCGTCAAGAACACCGCATAAAATTGTGCCAAATAACTATTATCAGGTTGTGCCCAGCCCCAAACAAATCCATCAGTTCCACTTGTGAAACCATCTGTCCAATGAAAACTCGTAATCTCGTTACAATCTACAGTAAGCCGAACATCAGCACATGCATCATTTCTATATGTTCCCAACCAAAGTCTTAAACCAGTAGCTGTTGTTGTGAGTATTGTTGTGGGTTCTTCAGTATTTTGAAAACCCGTGGGAACTGCCGCGGAATTCAAAATTTGACAATTTGATGACATTTGTGCAATTGTTGTGGCTCCAATATATGCCTTCATACACCAAAAATAAGTGTCTCTATCAAAAAGTGTCCAGGTTGAATCAATGCAAGATGGAATTAGTGTGGTTGTGGTCGTTGTTTGTGTGGTTGTGGTTGTTGTTTGTGTGGTTGTGGTTGTTGTGGTGGTTGTCGGATCTGAATCTCCTGATTTTACAAATCTATAAATAACTCCAAAACAGTTTAGTAAGTCCCGATAAAAACGTGCAAAAAAACGACGTCATAACATGTTCAAAGATGACCTGATCAGCGTTTGACATCTGGACCATAAATCGGTCAAATCACAAATATTTAAACATATTCACAATAAATCATATTGTTTTCTTCAATTTTCAAATTATGAACAAGAAACGCATCTTCGACATCTACAATCTGCGTAGGAATGCAACCATCACAAACATTTCCAAAAAATACCAACATTTCCAAAAATGCTGCAATCACGGCGGTAGAAAATATCATCATTTGTGGCTAAACATAAAAATGAACATGAATTTGATTAAAAGATTGTTATCGCGAGACTGTCTTTAGTCCAATCCTCTATGCTTTGAAAAATGATAAAGCAACAAACTTCACTATAGTTCCGCGGGCGGAAAATTTATTTCCGCATTGTTTATGGACACATTTTGTCAGCCTTTAGACTACAGTTTATACGTTGTTTTTTTTCATTTGAGATACAGTAATCCAAAATGATATTTCTTAGGAAAACAAATTTGAATAGAACAAAGAATCTATAGATACATTTTCTGGCTTTTCAATTCTCAAGGTCGTTTTGAGTTTGACATTTTCGTAATAAAAAAAGTATCAAAAAAATTATTTTCCTGTGCTTTTGCTTTACAAAAAATCACCAGATCGACATTCTTTCTCAAAACAAAACAAAATCGCGACTAAAACACAGCCCAACAGTTTTTTGGAGTGTTTCCCTCGTCTCTTTTCTGGTTACTCATCAACACCCTTTCTGCGGCTTGCTTCACTTTGACTTGGCTATTCACTTTTTTGTTGCGCTATTCAAAAAAGAAATGGTCAATTCGACTTACAATCTATCATTACGAAATGCTCAAAATGAGAATGGACATCGTCGAGATGAACCGAGACTTGAAATGCAAAATAATTGTTTTGAACTCGAGGGAGCCATGGAAAGTGTAGCATCGATCAGTGAAGCACCAGGTATGTTTTTGTTATTGAAGCTTTCTCCTCCAGAACCCCTAAAAGGGTTATAACTTCATCAAATTTGAAACAATCAAATTTTACAGTTCTGTTCAATGTTCAAAGAGCTCAAAATGTTGCTGATTTTGTCTGTTTTGCCTTTATGGTTATTTTTGCTGCAAGTGTTGCAATTTACTTCGTATTAACATTAAAAAGATAATATTTTAAACGTTTTGTTGAGTTAAATAAATTGTTGTGTTTAACAAAATGTGTGATTTGAAATAAAAGATCAGTAACTTCAACTGGGAATTCAGTCAAAATTGTTTTTTTAATGAGTATTGTGAAGTCACTTTTTTTTGTTGTTTCGGGAGCTTATTATATTTTAATTCAAACTGCCCTCGCTCTCCATCTTTAACATCTTAAAACGATACATATCAATGTAACCCTCAAAATTGATTTGGGCCTAATTCTCAAAGTCTTGTGTCAATGATAAGCCATATCTGCGTAGGTGTCTGTAAAAACCAAATTTCTCCAGATCTTTCTCTAAAATCTTCATCAATCTCAAAACAAAAACCGTAAAATCAAGGCACAATAAACTATAGGATTCTCATATCCATTAAAAAAGACAAGCAAAAAAAAGTGTCATACATAATTTTAGCGGCATTTTTTGTAGCCATCTCGTTGTTCTCTTCCTCTTCTTCATACTCGTAATCATTTTCGTCCTCGTCTTCATCTTCTTCCCTGGAAAAACGTTCCGTTTTGATCTAAAAAATTCTTCAAACTCACAATTTTGAATTATCATCAATGTATATCAAATTATTGTTAGTTTCAGTTTCATTTTCAGCTTCAGCTCCAGTTTTAAATTCCATTCCAGGCTGTTCAGATGGAACTGAATAATCCACTTTAACTGGGATAAATTCCACAGATGGCTTTGAGGTCTCTAGTTCTTTCTTTGGTTCAATATCATTTTTCTCTGCATCTTCATATTCATAATCATATTCAACATAACCATCAGAATCTGCGTGGAATGCATAAAGTTGTTCGCCATCCACAATCACAAGTTTTTCAGTTTCTAAAAAAACTACCGAAATTCACCAAAAAAAACATTCCACAACTAACTCACCATTAAATACTCCAGTTGACACAAAAAACCATTGCTCATGTTGATAATATTTGAAAAGCTCATTTTTCGAAAAAGAGCACACGAACTGATTTTTATCGATTTTCTTGACCTTTTCGCTCCTAATCTCAGATTTGACAACTGTGATGGGATCTCCTAGTTTGGAAATTGCTCGCACCATTTTTTGAGCATGTGGAAGACACAGCAAAAATGTGCATGTTTCATTTTGCCACTCGCCAACTCGAAATGCCGCGTAAGCTTGTGAATCAAGTAGGGTGAAGTTTTTGAGATGAAGATCGAGATTTCCATTTGTATCAAAATTAAATAAAAATTGACAATTTTCAGGGGAATCGCAGTTTTGCGGATTTCCAAAACATCGATCCTCTCCACAATCAATTGATATTGCAGGGCTAGTGAACAAAATGAAGATAAGAAGGAAAGCCAGATACATTTCTGAAACAATCTGAAATCTTTGGAGAGTGAATAGAGGGAACGGAATTTTTGAGAATGATTCAATAAGGTGATCTACAAATGCAAAATGTTCTGTGAAAAAATTTCGATTGTCTTTATAAAAAACCCCATTTCTGCAAGATTTGCCCTTTGAAATAATAATTACAGAAATTTCAGATTTTGGTGCATTTCTCACAAAATGATGGGTGAATTTCAAAAACAATCTTCCCAGATTCTCAATAGCATCAGACATCATTGAAAAAGCAAAAATGAAATGAAATAAAATGAAACAAGAGGCGGGATGAAAAAAAGCTGAAAATGTTTTGGTTTCAAAGTTTTTCAGATGCTTTCAAATCATCTATTTTTTTCAAAAAAAAATTCCAATGAAAAATTTCTGAAAGCCATTGCAACTCGTAGTACACAAAGGTCTCCGGGGACTGACTATTATTTTTCTCAGTTTTTTTCCAAAATTTTTTCCCGCAAAAAAACTTCCACTAATAAAAATGTGATATAAAAATTAAACAGTTCATTTTTCACGAGAAAAAAAGGAAAATAGTCATGCGATGCAATTCAATAAAAATATATGTATATATCTCATCTAATATAACAGGTAATAATCACAGACACAGATCAAAATATAGTAGGGTAAATTGAAAAATTAATTGACTGACTATTTCAATATGTATATTTGACAATTTTGAAAAGAAGAGGGGAGGTTGAGGGTAATAAGTGTACAATATAATGAAAACTATTTGGGGAGAAGAGAGGGCAAATCAATAAAAAAATGAAAAGTAAAATTGTTTATATACCATTATATACTTCATCCATAAATGAGTTCCATTCACTCATTTTTCCAAATGATGGAATTTCTTTGAAGATTTCCATCATAGTTTTGGTGTGCTTCTGGAAAAGGGTAGATTTTAACATAAGAAAAGATTAATGATCAGGAAACATATAAATTTCTGTCTTATTTTTTCAAAGATCAACCGCATTTTTCCTATATTATCTTTGGTTTGCTAATCTTTTTTGTTTTTTTTTTTTGGGAAACCCCCACGAGTTTATCGTGAATGACTGTTTGATATCTTTCAAAGTACATTTGAATTTGAAGCATATCATAATTGTTCAATTTAATTAATTCGTTTCAAATTCTCATGGATTTTATATATCTCGAATTTTGACTTTTTCGACATTTTATAATGTCTGATATGTATCAAAAAACTCACACATAACGCGGGAACAATTAACAAAATAAATTGAATCCGACTTTGATTATCATCACTCATTTCTTGTTCCAAATATTGTTGCAATTCTTTCATCGCATTATTCGATGCCTAGAAATTCAATTTATATACATCCTTTTTTTCAAAAAAAAACTCACTTCTGCACATATTTGAGTGGCATATGGAGAAAGATTAATCGATCCGGGGTTCCAAAAAACAAGCCGCCGAATTGTCATAATTTCTCCAAATAGAATATTTGTGCGACTCATTGGAACAATCAATTCTTGAATTAGTTGATGCATTCGATCACCATACATCCTGAGAAATTAGAACTTTGAAGTCACTTTAGAAAAATATTGTAGGAGAAACTTACATTTGACGAAGTTTGTCGGTGTTGAAAACTTCTTCTGATTTCAATGTAGCTGGATGTCCAGGCATAATAAAATTGTTATTTACAAGAATCATCTGAAAATCAAAAAGGTTGAGGGTCTTGGTTATGGGTAAAATTGTGAAATATTTCTCAGTTGTATCTTCAGAAAAAAAACCAAACTCACCCTATCATTATACCCTAACTCGTGTGTATGATAAACATCATCCAACAACATATATCTCAATGCAAACGTTTTTAACAAAATCGTTTTATCATTTGGATCGCGAAGCATCCGAAATTCGGGTAATTTTTCAACCCATTCAAACATCAAAACCATCTGTGCTTGAAATATTAATGTGAAATCTTCAATCGACGCAGGTTCTCGAAGTGAAATATCTTCAGATAAGATTTCTTCCAATGATTTACATAAAAGTGCTCGCCTTCGTCGTTTTTGCTCAACAAATTCATAACATTGTCGCAATAATAGACTACTTTCTGGTGGAGGTGAAGGTGATAATAATGGTGTGAATTCCTGAAAACATTTTGAGTTATAGTTAGTAAGGACCAGATAATCAAAAAAAAAATCCAAAAACTCACTGAAGACAAATTATTCATTGGTGTGAATGCGGAACCTGGTGATGTCATATCATTCATATCAAAATTGGGAGAATTCTGAAAAAATGGTTTTGTTGTAAGGGAAACGATCAGAAATGTAAGTTACCCCTGTTATCCGCATGTCAAAATCCTGTTCATTTTGATCGAAAGAATTGTGGCCATTATTCATCACATTTCCGACATCTCTTTTTGGTTGAACTGCTTTTCGATCCATTCCTACGGAAAAACATTTTGATAATCGACAAGCGCGGCAAGCACATCGAGCGTCTGAAAAAAGTTTCGGTGAGTTTTGAATAATATATTCCCAAATTTAAACTTTCTGAAATGTTTCTAGTTTTGAAATGAAAAAAGTTGGTTATTTTCGAATTAAATGCATAACATTGTTCCATTTTTTCCACATTTTTTCTACAATCGAAAAAGTGTTGTCAGTTTTTCTGCTCTCTCATTTTCGTAAGAAATCTCACAATTTTATTATCACAAAAAAATCGAAAACTGTTCAAATGAAAAATTTTATTTTGTAAAAGCTTTTTGAAATCATCACAAAATTTCATCTTCAGTTTTTTTTCGAAACTTTCTCAAAGATTCAGACATAACTTTCTGCTCAAATATCAAAAATATGCGTTTTTTATAATTTATTCAAGAAATATTTTTCCCACGATTTAAATTGCAATTTTCTGGTCTTTCAAAATACCGCCAAATATTCATCAAAATTAATATTTTTCAATAAAAAACTTACTTTTATCAACTGGACATCTTCCGCCTCTTCTACACGTAAAAGTCATATTAAAAGTGACAGCTCGTCGAAAAAATGCATTACAACCTCGGCAAGATCTTACACCATAATGAAAACCATCAGCAGCATCGCCGCAAACAACACATTGCTCTTAAAATATTAATTAATTATTTTCAAATAACAAAAAGGTGAAAAAGTACCTGTATGCGCCAAAATTTCAATTTGTGATTGATTCGGTGGATCCGAATACATATAATCTGAAAATTAAAGATTGAAAAGTTTGCCTACATTTTATTTGATTTCATTATTTTATCAGAAAAAAAAAGAGAAAACGATAAAAAGTTGGTTGGTTGATGTGAGAGAATATTGAAAGTACGCTCTGTCAGACAAAAAAACGCACACACAACACACAGTGGCAATGAAGAGAAAAGCGAAAGAGTGTAAGGAGATGAGAGAGTTGGAAAGAGAGTTAGAGAAAACGAAACGAATAATATGTTTTTGCTGGGAGAGAGAGAAAGAGTCACGTGCTATTGCAGATGGGAAATAGAATTGATAATAGAACAAATTGTGAAAAATGCTTTTGGTATAGAAAATTGTTGAGCTGGTTGATTTTTAAAGTTTTTTTGCAAGTAAAACCATGTTTTTCTGGAATAATCTTCGTGTAAAGAGACCAGAATAACAAATTAAAAGGGATCAAGATCAAGGTCAGAAAATAGAGATTATAGAAATATTTAAACGAGGGAACTTTTCGGAACCAACAAAAAAAATCAATAAAAGTTGAAACATCGATTTATTTATGAAAATTTCATTCAGAAACTTTTACGATGGGAAAACACAACACATTTCAAATGTTCTGAATTTTGAAGAAAATAATGTTTTTAAAAATCAAAAAAAAAAGACGGAGACAAGAAATAAAAATGTTGCCGTGGTTACAGGTCTTTGTTTCGTTGCTCTCTCACCGTGTTCTCATAAAGGACAACGGAAAAAAGCGAGCAAATATAGTATTTTATTTCGGCCAGACCTCCCCTTTCTGAATGTGAATATACACATATACAGCCTATCGGGTTACGATGCCCTTTGAACAACGAAAAAGTTCAGAGATTTTTTCTGAAAAGTGAAAGAGAAATGTTGATTTTATCGAAAAATAATAAAAATAGGAAATTTCATTGATTTTTTTCAAAACATTTATTCGAAATTACGATTGGAATCTAAATTTTGAATCTGACCGATGGTTCAATGAATAAGTTCTGAAAATTAGAAGATTAAAGTTTACGAAGATCAGACTCTCAAGATTAGCTGATGATGAATTGCCCTAAAGATAAAATTTAGTGAGAAAAACTGATGTCATAGAAAGAAAAGTTCATTTTTATAATGATCCTTGAACAGATTTCTCTGGTTAGAGAAAAAGACATAAAAAATAGGGTCGTTTCAATTTTTCAGAATCAATTGAATAGAACAATTTTTTACGAAAGATGATTAGTTTTCTTTCGCAGCGTAATGATGCTACCTGGTCCAAATGGAACTTTGATCAATCAATTTATTCAAAAAATTTTGAAGTCACTATAAAAAAAACTATCAATAGGAAACCAAAAAAAAATGTTTTTTTTTTAATCAGAAAAAGTAGTACAATTTAGCATTCAAATTATGCCGTTTTCTTTTCTTCTTCTGGAACAGTTGCATTAACTTCATCGATTTTCATTATCTTTTGAATTCCTTCTTTCAAATCACCAAGACTACCACCATTTGGAAGTTGATTCATAGTTTTCAATCCAGAAATATGAATGTTCGAGTCAACAAATGGAACTTTTGCATAAGTTTCAAGTTTATTCTCAAAAAGAGAAGATAAGGAATTTGCAGACGATTTCTGAAAATTGTTGAAATAATTTTTTTTAAATTTTTTGATACACTAACATTCTTCACGAATATCTTAACTAATTCATCAACAACTTGTGATGTTCTATAGGCACCAAATTGTGCATCAAGAAATGTAATAAGAAGAACTCCATCCATGTTCAAATAGTTGTTGATAAATTGTCGAGTTCTTTCTGGATTCATGAGATCGTGTCGTTTCAAATTGGTTGGAATGAGTGAGTGTTTTCTGAACAGCATCTGAATGGCAAATGTGAACAATGCTGTTGTGGTGGCGATAAAAACAAATACGATCCTAAAAAATGTTGAAACCTTTTTGAAAAAATTCTATTTTTCACTCACCAAAAGTATAAACCAATGTAAACTTTTTCAATAATCATATTTAACATCATAATACACGAAACAGTATGTCTGTGTTTCTGACCGAGCATTCGGATAACAAAATCGCAAAGTACCACACGCGGAAAAATACTGTTTTCATGTTCGGCAGTTCCATTAAACTCTACATTCCACAAATGTTCAAATCCCCAGAGGTAATCGTCTAAGTTCAAGAACCTTTTGATGATGAACATTTGAAGGACACAGTTGAAAATATATAATATTTTGAGCAGAAAATAATGAATTGTGGTCTGACATGCGGCAAGCTAAAAATGAAATATAAGATGATTTCAATGAAGTCAAAAAGTAAAATGAGAACTTAAAACTCACTGTTCGATTTTCTTCATTAATTTTTTCCAACTTCTCCGTTAATTCTATGGCAAATGATTCATTTGCTTTCGCACTTCCACTAGTTTTTAATTGCTTTTGATACATTCTTAACGATCCTTTCAAATTAATAGATGTTCGTTTATGCATAACATTCCATATCATATACGGAATGACAAACAGCAAAGCCTGCAACATCAAAACAAGAGGAACCCATCGATAATAATTTATCTGTCGATCTCCTCTGGCAACATCCGTAATTTCAGTTCCATTTGGCACAAAATAAGTGTCTTCAATAAAACAATAATCATGAACATAGCCATCCCAACTGCCCGAAAATTCTCGAGGTGTCCAGCATTTCAAAGGTTGGCCGAAATATTGTTTGCAAGAAATTGCCAAAGTCAAAGCTCCAATCACCATTGGCGTGAACCATGAATTTAATTGATCAATTCTGTCATAAGCTAATTGGTTGAATTGGCGATTGATGATTCGACAGATGTGATCGTACAGTGGATTGAAGAATCCAATCATCCTGAGAAAATAACATAGAATTTTGTTTATTTGATAACACAACTAAATTTAAAGCAACACCTCGGTATAAAAAGTACCTAATCAGTAAAACTTTTAATTTGCTCTAACAAATACGTAATTTGAAAACTACAGTAACTCAACATAGGTTATGAATCAAACATCTGAACAATTATGCAAAATTTTCCCACACATTGAAGTATCTATAAAAAATCGCCCACGTTTTGAACAAAAAGTCGATCGAAGAACAACTGAAAATTTAGTAACCTTTGAAAAAAACACAATAAAAATTATATTTCAAAAAAATATGAAAAGTCTTTATTTGCAACACAAAAGCCACATTGAATCACATCGAATCGATAAAATGGAGTTATTAATCAAACAATCAAATATCACTTTTGCCTTCATTTTTCACGGCTCGCTTATAATAATTATAATGGGTCTCATCTATTTACCTTTTCGCGCCATTTCTGATCAAACAAAAAACATTTTGTCTTAGGTTGCCCAAGGTTACCTAAAATTTGATAAGCATGTAATTTGTGAGAAAATGTGAGAGCCATATTAGAAATATGAGCCGTTTTCAATGGCTATGTTTCAGTATTTCTCTTCTATTTTCTTTCAAAAATGTTCACAGTTTCAATTGTACCAGCGAACAAACCTTGTGCAGTGTAAGTTCACAAAAGTCTGTATCACATAATACATTTTTTTGGTCAGGTTTGCAAGGAATTTGGAACAAATGATGGGGTGAATACATTTTATGCCGATTCACTTTGCTCTATCTATCTAGAAATTTCTGATGCAAACATGACTAATGAGGAAATTCCAATCAAATGTGAACAACTATTCAACAGATTCACAAGTATTCAATGAACTAAAAATTCTGTCAAAATTTCAACTTTTCAGATTCCTCCTGTCAGCTAGCAGTTATTCCAGACGTTGATATTCTTGGATCATATTTAGTTTACGGAATCAGATCGGTAATTTTTCAGCGAAAATTTGATAAAAAAATAGATTTTTGAAGACAAACCACAGTATGCTTTTGGGGTTGGAACGTGAAAATTGTACAAAAACTTGGAATTGGTATTCGCGTTTGACGAATGATACATTTCTTGCTGGAATCGGAGATGCATCGGAAAGTTGTGAAATCAGCCAAGGAGCTTTTATTGGATATGAACTTGTTCGCATTGATCCTACTGACTTTTATCCGACTGGAGTTTTGTGTCAATGTTGTAGGTTTTCGGGCGGAGATCAAAAGATGTTTTTCTAGAGAATTTTCAAAATTGTTCGAAAAAATCAAACAAAATGCTTTTTTGAATATATAGAAAAACGTTTAATAAAATTCTTTTTTAGATGTAAACAATTTTCTGTTTAACCCAATCTTTCATTTTTTCAGCCGAATATGTCTCATTTCTCCCATCAACTGAACCCGAATCAATTGAAAGTGATTTATCAACAGATTTACTAACAATTTCAACAGTTATCTTATTAACAATTTCATTATTTGTTTTTCAATAAAGAGTCGGTGTGAACAAAACATCTTTGCTACTTTGCGCTCCACCATTATCAGTCAACCAGGAGTAAAATTTCGAAGATTTTGTGTGTTGTTCAGAAGGTGCCTAAAAAGTTTATTTTCAATTTAAATGAAAGCTTGAATGAAAAACTACTAACCTTTTGCTGTGGCGGAGATTTTGAACTTGGTTGACTTGAATCAGCCACCTGATTTTGTCGAGGCGGAGATTCAGATTTCTCAGGATCTTGGTTATTTTTGACTGGATCAATATCATCATCATCGTCATCTAGTTTACTGTATTTTCTAGAACGTTCCGGCTTTTCTTTAGGTGGACACATTGTATAGAAATTACCGAAACAGCCAGGACTCGCCCATTTTCTACAGGTCTGAAATAACGTTCTCGGTACATTAAAACTTTTTTGAAAAAACTGAAACTTACATTAAGGTGTCCAAAAGTGTGTATGATGAAAATGGTAGGACCAAAAAATATCACCAAAACTGTAGTTAAAATAAATAAGTATAATCTTTGATGTTCGGCAGCCAACATAACCATCATCCAAACACTAAATAACATTAGTGAAATAATTGTGAGAGATTTTGCAGATCTTCTTGACCAGTACACTTGATCTTCATTTTGTGAGTCATTTTGACGATCACAAGAAATGCAGGAGAGTTGAGATTTGAGAATTGCGGCGGAGAGGATTGTCCAGACTGGAATGACAAAAGCCCAGAACATGTCCACTGTGGAGATTACAAAACAGCTGAAAATGGGAGTTTCTAAATTCTGAAGCTTATTACTGACGCCTATACTAAAACAGAAATTTCCCTTGCTCGATAACAAATTTTCCAGTTATTAACTTACTGTAACCCTGATGTTCCATAATAATCCTTTTCCGGAAAATAGGAAGCCACAGTTGGTATAGCAGCAATAATTATTGGAAGAATATAGTAAATCACAACAGGACAACCTCCATTTTTATCCGATTTTCCATTAACCATTCTAAATTCCGAAATATATGTATTCGTTTTTTTCAAATCTTCCAAAATACTTACGATGATGCGAAAAATGCTTCCATTAGAAAAAGTGAGCATACAAAACACATCAAAAAATCATTCCCAATCACCACATATTTACAAAGATCCTGTAAACTTTCAATCAAATTTTATGACTATTTTTTTTCTGGAAAACTCACATAATTCCTGTCTAATGCAAAGTTCAAAATACACATGAAAACTGCAAGAAAAATTATCCCAAGTTCTTGGAAAAAGTGGATAAATCGATGATGACCCGAGTTTTTATGACAAATATTCACCAACGTTGTAATAAGACACCATAAAATTATCCAACCGCCAGAAAAGTACATTAGATACTGTAGGAAAAACATTTATTTATTTTATGTTCGAAGTTTCAAACTCACTTTTGCTGTATCTAATTGACTGGAAGTCAATAAGTTTTCATAACATCTTTGAAGTGTAAACGAACTATTTGTTGAATCGTCATAATAGAAATAGTCATCTGTTTCATTCGACATGATTTCAAATTATGAACACAACTTTTAAAAATGTCTTTGTTTAAAAAACAATAAAGTGTCATGGGATGTTTTACGAACTGTTCAAAAATTCCAGCGGTTACTAGGCGATGAACAATGGTGAAAAAACGGTGTATGATCTGTTTGTTGGGGCCCATGTTTTTTGAAAAGAATTCCGAAATTTTTTTGGTGCGTGGGATTTGAGCAGTTTCTTTTTCATTAATACATCGATAATTGTGCATTCGGATTGCAATGTTTCTAGTTTTTGTAAGAATTTTATATAAAATATCTTAAAACACTCAAAGTTTTCACCACCTGTTCACATATAATGTAAGACATTTTCAGATTGCAATGTGTTGGTTAGAAAAGAAATGAAGATGGTTAGAGTCAGAGAAACGAATTGTTCTCCTGCTTTCATTTATATTCATTTTACACATGAGTTTCTGTCTCCGTTGTGGTCTAGTGGTTAGGATTTATGGCTCTCACCCATAAGGCCGGGGTTCGATTCCCCGCAACGGAATAACTTTTTTCTTTTTGAAAGTTAGTTGACAAAAATTGTCAATTTTGAATATCAAATAACCTTATAATTTGAAAAACCGTTGCCTGTTGGACGAATGCTGACCTGAAAACAAAATAACAGACATACTACCGCTGACTAATTTTATTCCAAGTCGCTATCCCATTTTGTCTGTTTCAATAAAAATTAATAAAAAGTTATTCCGTTGCGGGGAATCGAACCCCGGCCTTATGGGTGAGAGCCATAAATCCTAACCACTAGACCACAACGGAGACAAACAACGCTGTTTAAAATTGATAGAAATAAACGCATAAAAGAAATTTGTTTCTCTGACTCTAACCATCTTATATTATTTCGCAATCTGAAAATTTTCCTGATAAAAACAATAACATCAGAAACAAAATAAATTTTCAAATTTTATTAAAAAATAATAATTGTTCAGAATTTCAAACAACTATGACGTCATGCACCAAGAGAGGAAAAAAAATTCACAAAAAATAATTACACAATTTTTGTTTTGACACAGTGTGAGTTTATGGCAAAATATTTCGAAAAAAATTGCAATTGAATATAAAATTGGCAAGAATCGGAGAAAACATAAAATCGAGATAATAAAAGTAGAAAAAGTGAGAAATTTGAAAACATATTTCAAAGACGTGTGAAGAATGAAAGATCCCTTTGGGAAAACATCATGGGTGGAAATTTTCAGACAAAAAATGATATAAAATATGGCAGTTTTTTCTTTGAAATGGTCCAGGCCCAATTAATTTCCTAGAGTTGGTATTTTTTCTAGACATAAAAAATTGAAAAATAAAAAAAAAATAAATACACAAAAAAACACACCGTAAAAAAGTATAGAAATCTGTTTGTGGAATTGGTGACAAAAACTGAGATTTTTTTGGGGGTGGGTGGGAGAAAAAAGGGATGGTGAAGCTCTCAAAATAACTTACTATCTGCAAACATACATAAATTAACAATTCAATTCAATTTTTGAGCAACACGGGATGCAAAATACTCAGTATTGGGCATTTTTGGAAATAGGTTACAAAATATTTCGAATAAAGGGGTAAGGTAATAAGTGAAATTGGCAAAAATATCCAATTTTTCTCATAAAAAATATCATAGTTATTTGAATAGTTAATTGCAAAAATTATTGTTAATTATCACACGTCATGCATTTTGCCCTCCTTATTATCGCAATAATTATTCCAAAGTGTTTTCGCTAGTTCGTAACACGGTAGTTCACCAGCGTGGGTGGCAACCATGCGTAGTAAGAAGACACCATCCTACAAAATTATTCATGAGTTTTTGTTGAGTTTTACGTGTGAACTTTTGATCTACCTGTCGCAAGAAATGGAATACAAAGCGACGAAGTGATTGTGAGTCGACCATTTTGTATCCTTCAATACCCGTCAAATATTTTCCAACAAAGTTGAGTTGTCTAAAAAAATAGAGATTTTTTGAAAAGATGGGGATGGTTTTTCATGCTCCGATTGTTGATGTGAATGAAAAAAAAACTCGAAATTTGTATTAACATTTTGGGTGGTCTTTTGGAAACTTTGTGAGTGGTACTTCAACATTTAAATTAGCATCGTCGGTGGTCCTCATATATTTTTTTTACCACATATGGTTTCTCAAATCTTACCTGCTTGGAACTACTGAAATGTAGATCCAGTAGAAAAGCGAGCAGACTGTAGCTCCCGCCAAAAGGAAATACCAAAACCTGAAAATCACTCATTTCACATCATCTAAAAATAAATAAATTACCATAAAAATAAGAAAATTTTCTCATTGAACATATTGATCATGAGTACACATTGAACTGTATGCCTATGAACATTTCCAAGAACTTTGACTTCGAAATCGCATAACGTCACTCTTGGAAAATGACCAGATTCTTCCCACTCTCTACCATTCATCAAATCGTTCAAAACCTAAACATTTTCATGATTGATTTCTTCATTATAAATCTAGAAGAACGTTCATACCTGTAATCCATACCACTTGCTACGATTTCCCAAAAATGTGTTGAGCAAAAATATCTGTCCGACAATATTTACGGTATACAAAATTTTGACGGAAATGTATAAAAATGTGACGGCAGCACCAGAAGATCGTGTGCAAATGATCAAATTGAGCAATTTCAGCCGATTTCCAGACATCTGAAAACCCCTGTGTTTTGTAAAAAAGTGAAATAAAACACATAGAAGAAAAAGTGAGTATCTTTCGAGTGTTACAAATTGAATTTTCCTGTGTGTATGTGGAATTCCGTTTTTTTTGTAGAAATAGGGAGAAAAAAGTTTTTGCTTACCACTTGATGTTTTACATGTAGAGCTTCTTCGACATTTGTCGCAATTGTCTGAAGTGCTCGATTTCGCGATTCTAAATCTAACAATCGAGAATCGCATGCCATTTGAACTAATGATTGAACATGAATTCCTGGAAAATTATTTTGAATATGTATTTTTGGAAACTTGTTGGCTGAAGAAAGAGCTTCAAATTGGTTTTTGAAAAATTGAATTCATCGTATTCGCGTTTTTAGAATTTCAGGAAAAAAAATTGGGAAAGTTGAAAATTATCTGGATTTTTCTGTATTCCAAATTTATTTTCCTAAGGTTTGAAAAGCTTCGTAGAATTCAAAACAAACTGGATCTCAATATTCCAGCTTATTCCAATAAAATGTTTTGTTCTTGTTCTTAAATTTTTATCTCTCTATATATTCCCCCATTCATTGCCATTTTTTCCTCATTTCTCACAACAACAAAAACAAAATGTATACTCCCTCGAGGTGAGAGAGGAGAAAAGACCCCTTCTCACTATAAGTCGATTGTTTTTCAGCCAAGTTTTATTTATAATATATATATATATATACGGCTTGAAAAAAAATGAAAAACAAATGCATTTTTGATTGGTTTTTATTTGTTTATTATTATAAATTAATTTGTTTTTTTTTTCTTCTTTGAATTTTATTTTATGTTACAGAAAATGAAAAAATGTGTGATGTTTTTTCTAGTAAAAATGCAATCAAAAGTACAAAAAACATACCGGATTGCCAACTGAGCAGCCTCCAAACAATAGTCGGCACATAGAAAAGTAGCGCTTCGAGTGCTAACACAAATGGAACCCATTGATAATACCCGATTTGACGATTTTCACGTTCCGCATAATTATGAGGAATATAGTCGTGGAGCGGTAGAAAATAGGTGTTTTGCACCCAACAATAATTTTCCGTATATTGTTCCATGGGCTCGGTAAATGTTGCCGGCACCCAACATTGAATCGGAAAACCTACATATTGTTTGGCAGACACCAGAATTGCGAATACTGGAAAAACATGTTGGGAGTTTGGGAAATGTTTATTATTGGTAATTCATGAATTTGTTTTTTGAAAATGACTAGAACCCCTCGTGAAAATTATCAGATATGTCTTACTAAATTTCTAGTGAAGGTTAATCTAAAATTAATATAAACATTCAGAAGTAAAATTATTGCTTTATAATTTTTGAATTACTGAATTTCATTGAGTCTATTTTTCAGATACATTTTTTAAAGTAATGATTTGTATTGAAATAAAGATTTTGGATAATTTTTTTTATAAGTAAAATATATTCCCAGCCCACAAATTCAGGATCTATGAATTTGTTCTCTTATTTGTATCAGATTTTCAGAAATTGTATCTCTTTCATATACAGTCAACGTTCCACAGTTTAGAAAAATAATTTTCTTTGTTTCCAAAATATGAAATTGGCTTGGATTGAGCTGGAACTCTATAAAATGAGGCTAATAAATCTAGCTATGATGAATTTTTTCAGAACTCGAATTCTGCAAACTACAATTCTGCGTTCTCATAAAACATTCACGATTTTTGAATTCACATACAAAAATGCGTTATCTCCTAACATTATTCTGTTCAAAAATGAAATCAAAAACATGTGTTGTATTAGATACACATTTTTTGTCTAATTATACTCCACGAAAAACATGTGTTCTGTTCCAATATTTCAATTTTCGCCTCACCACCGAAAATTGCAACTCCCCCCTTTTCAATTTGCACAAAACTCTCTCACCTGTAATAATTGCTGTCGTATAATAATAATTGAGCTTGTCAATGATGTCATCGTCAACGTGAAACTGTATTGACTTGACAGCGCTCGCGAAATAATATAATAGCATACTCATGATCTAAGTCATTTTGGGGCTCAGGCGCTCGTAGCGCCTTTTTTGAAAGATCTGAAAGAAAAAAAATGAGATTGAATTGAATTGAAAAGATGAAAAAAACGAAGATTTGAAAAATATAAGATTGAAAGAAATAGATCTTTTAAGAATGAATAAAGTATAATTAAGTGTAAAGTCCATTTTTTGGTTCTGTTCAAAAATAAATAATTTTTAGAAAAATTGGAGTTTCCAAAAAATTCGGCAATATTGCCACGTCATTTTGTAGAAATTTTTAGAACTTTCAAAAAAGTTCTCGGGAAAAATCCCGCAAGTGTCGGCAAGAATTGCAGTAGAGCCGCAATGGCGGCGGGTGAAGCCGCCGTTGTTGCGGGGAAAAGACAAGGGAAGTGTGAGAGAGCACAGCTAGACAGACAAAAAGTAGCGAGCGTCTGCGTTCTCTCACATTCCCCTTGTCTTTCCCCCGCAACAACGGCGGCTTCACCCGCCGCCATTGCGGCTCTACTGCAATTCTTGCCGACACTTGCGGGATTTTTCCCGAGTTGAGAGGAAAAAGAACATTTTTAATTTTCTAAAAACCGAAATGTTCTCGTATTTCAAGCAACATCTGGGAATGAGCAGCAATAGAAAAAGAACGGAGCAGAAGAGCAAGCTCAAAAAATATGTATAGAGTTATAAATAAAATATTTGTGAAACCAAAAAAAAACGGAGGACGAAAAAGTCTGTAGGTGGCAGGTCACATACTAATTATGCATTGAAATTCGCCCGGAGGACATACGCTCATCTTTTTCTATCTCTTTGAAAAAAAGCACAAAATTTTCATTTTTTTTCTTTTTTTTTCGAAAAAAATTGGCAAAAAGTGGGAAAAAGGAAACGGTTGGCTATAATTGTTGAGAGCTCTATTGTTCATTTTCTCGGGTTTTTTTCCCGAAAAAATTGGTTTACTCACATTCAGAAAAAGATCGAACTTGCGTTTGCTGTCAAGTAAAAAATATTTTTTGGTCGCACTTTCGAACTTTTTCCGGGTGACTAATCCGCTTTTTTCAAGTAACGTGAAAAAAAAGGAGAAAATTTCTTGGGAAAAGAGAAACAGGTGAAAATTCGAGAGCTTATTCGAAAAATGTGGTCGTAATTTATTAGAAAAATGTGTGTTCGAGAAGATTGACCAGCTGGAAATTTTATTTTGACAACGGGATTCTGATACTTCAAAACAAAAATGATGTTTTAGATTTGGATAATGAGGGAGCGGGGGTGCAAAACATTTGGAGAAAAAATTCAAAAGGATCCAATCTTCAGGAGAATTTATGAAAAATACTAAAATTAAAAAAAAATGGGATCAAATTTGAATATTTTAAAACCTTTTGGGCGAAATCGAGTCAGATAAAAAATCAAAATAGAATCAGAAATAAAATTCAACCCAACTCCAACAAAAAAATCTTCCACATTCCCAAAAAACTGGACAATCAAAGTTCTTCAAAAAAAGAAGCACACACAAAATTCACCAACAAAAAGACCATTGAAAACAGAAGCTTTTTTTTTCTTTTTTCAAAAAAAGACGAAATATACGTAGATTCTAAAGTGTGTGTGTATGTTGCTGAATTTGTGCAACTTCTTCTCCTCTTCCTTCTTTTTTCCACCACTCTTCTATTTTTTCAAGAGAGAAAGAAAAAGGGAAAATCGATCAAAGTGCCAGAGGGAAATAGTTTGAGATTTGCATAGAATAGCTAGACAAGGTTTTCACCATAGGTTTTTTCAAAAAAAAACTTTTTTTTTTGAAACACATTTTCTTTCATCCCGTAAATTGTTCTTCATCTTTTTTATTGTGTTGCGTTTTTTCTTTTCTTTTTTTTTCAAAAAAAAAATGGAAAAATGAAAAAAGAAGAAAGGTGAAGCAACAATTACATACACTTGGGACCACTCAAAAAAGATCCGAAATTTTGATAAAAACAAATATATGTATATATATATTTGCAATATTCATTTCATTATTACACTTTTTTTTGAAAAATTGAGAGAATTTTGAGAAAAATGGGGATTTGAAAAAAAAATTATGTAACTGTTTTGGGTTTTGAAAACTTGAAAAACTGTGATTAAATTATATTTGGAAATTCGAAAATTGGTAATTGATTACTATTCCTTAAAATAAATATTAGTGAAACTTTTGTTTAATTTAGAGAAAACCGAAAAAATTTAGATCCCAGGAAGAACAAAGAAATTAAAAAATCACAGATTTCAATTAATGCATGGAATCTGAAATTACATAAAATTTTAAAACACATAAATTTCATTTAATCTACAGTACCTCCCAAAAATCCTCATTATATCCACTAAATAACCTTATGTGTGATCTATAGTAATCCGGAAAAATGATCAGGAACATTTCAAAACTCAGGAGTTTCCTTCACATAATCATCCACAGTATTGCTCATTCTAGAAAAAAACTTTCAAAATTAAAAAACAACTTGGGTTCTAATCTGAAATATTTTCAATTTACAGTAACCTCCTTCCCTCTTCAATAAAATAAAATTTTTTGAAAATCAGGCTCTCACCTAAAAATTGTCCCTCATAAAACTATTAGCCACTCAGCTCAACTCAAAAATATATATATTTGATAAAAGAACGAGAAAAGTTTCAGGCAGGTTCAAAAACACATAAAGGCTCGGGACATAATGTGTTTTACGATTATTCATTACATAAAAACTTTTTTTTTTTGTCGTGTTGCTCTTGTGTTTCAAACCCATTTTTGTTGGCATTTCCCTTCGACCCGCCTCTCCTCCTGATATGTTATTCAATTTCGATGAATTTTCAAGAAGCCTCATTTGTTGCATATTTGATAGATTGATGGACCAGAGAACCTTGGGTGGGAAAAAATGGAAAAAAGAGAAGAGGATGCACTTTTTTTTTGTTCGAAAAGGAGAAAAAACGCGACACGAAATAACAAAAAATAATCGAATTCTTTCGGGGATATACTATACCTTACCAAACATCGTATATTTTTTGAAATAAGGGACACACACACACACACATACGAAAAAGCTTCTTTTTATTTTATTTTCGCTCGTCTCGAACTAGGCCCCTCAATGAATATCATTAACATAATCTAGAAAAAACCCTTCCGCCGAAAAAAAGTAATCAGAAATATATATATACACATAAGAATGCTTATTTTTTTTCGTTCTCGCCGAAAAAAAAAGAGTGCCAATGTTTTTCAAGCTGGTGGGGCGTGAAAATATGAGCACGTTTAGTTTAGAGATAGAAGAAGAAGAGGAACGAGCCGAAAGTGGGGAAAAAAAGAAGAAAAAGAAGCAGCAAAAAGTAGAGCACTGGAAAATAGAAGAAGAAGAAGAAAAACCCGACGGGCAGAATGGATGGAGACAAATAAATTTTGACGAGTGTCTATCAAAATATTAGTGGTCCCGTCGTATTTTTTCTGGACGGACGAGGACGCGGAGAATTAGATGGATTGGATTGACAGCGGTCGGTCGCTTGTTTTGGGGCACGCAACAAATAGAAACATTTTTTTGCATTCAATTTTTCTGCCGTTTTTGAGAAGAAATGAAAAAGGTCTCATGCAATGTGAAAGGGTACGGTAGTTGCATGAAAATATTTTTCTATTGAGCGACCACACATCAAGAAAAATAGGATAAGTTTTTTTTCGAGGGGCTAAACAGCTGAGAATTATGTTCAAATATAAAAAAGGCCACCAGGTTGACCCAGAAGTTCAGACCCCATGAAGACGGTTATCAAACAACTCTGTGTGTTTGATAAAGATGAACAGGACCACCCACAGAGTAAAAGAATCAGAGAGAGTTGGAGTAAATGTATGAATGTTTATAGCAATCCCAACATAAAAAAGGGTGCAAAGCACAAACATCTTAAGACCAATGAAGAAAATATCCCGGAACAGAACGCCAGATAAAACTATTCAAAATTTATGGAATTTCTAGTTTCATTCCACTCAAAAATAAAAACGGTGCATTTTCTAAATCTATTCAAAATAATCCCATAAATTTCACGCACCCTATAATTTCAAAAATGTTTCACACTACCGTAATCTTCGAGGCGTGGCTTGAAATCCAAGGAAACCTCAAAAATTTGTATAATTTCAAAAATCCCATTTCCCTCTTCCTCAAAGCAGAAAAAAAAACAAAAATTGTAAAGTGACACATTATTACTACACTTCTCATTTCAAGTGGTTTTTTGTGCTCACTTTTCAGCAAAAAATTCCAGGAATTCTATACTTGTTGAAACTTTCACATATTTCAGAGATGGGGAGAACAAAAGAAAAATCCATTCATCAAATATATATGTATATATAGGTTTGATATTCCCTTTGGGAGGTGCAAAATTTTTGCGAGGAGTGCATGAAAAATTGGTGTAAAGTAAAAACAGCAAAAATTATGAGATGATCAATTTTGGGAAAAAAATCTTGTACGAAATATTATATATATACGACATAAATATAGAGAGATGAAGAAAGTGTGTGGTTTTAGAAAACAGGAAGTATCATTATTCTTTTGCAATATATATATACACATATTGGAACCTTTTTTTCGAAAAATAAAAAACTTGCATTGTTTTTGTTTAGAGCAAAAAGAAGCACAAAAAAGAAAGAAAAAAATACATCAAGATTGAGAAGGCGAGGTGTTTTTGTTGTTCTGATTTAAATTGATGAGTTCTCTATTCTTTTTTTGTTGCTTGCTTTGACAAAAAAAAGTGTTCCATGAATAAAAAATCGTGAAAATTGTAATGAGAAAACATGAAGAAGTTTGGAAAGGTGAGTTTTTTTTTTCAGATTGTGACTGAAAATGTTTTTGGTTGGATTTTAAATGGGAGAATCAGGAAAACTCGCATCAAAAATTTTTGATCCTGAAATGTTCGGTAGAATTTTGAAAGTTATAAAATGTAATGTTAGACTACTGGAGAGAAAGAAATTCATATAACGTTTGATTTTTTTTCAAAATTCTGGAGTTTGTCTGCCGAAAATCTAAAAAAGAATAGCGAGC